GCAGCAGCAGCGCGGCCGCCCAGCAGCCATCCGGAGACGCCGCGGAGGAGGAGGAGGAGGAGGAGGAGGAGGCGCGTCACGTGTGAACGTCGCCGATATGGGGCGGGAGGGGAGGAGGGGAGGGCCTCGCCTCACGCCCCGCCCCTCGCAGGGCCCCCACCTCGGGGCTTCCATCTCTTCCATCTGCCATGGCTAGTTAGCTCATTAGCTAATTGCGTTTCTCTCCCGCCGCATTGGACTCCGAAGGGGCATCCCTGCAACGACAGCCCTGCGAGGTAGGACAAGCGTGCCAACTTGAATAACATACTGGGCAGGACCAGGTATGCCCCGCCCTGCATGATCGATCACAAGACACTCCATTTGAATGTCAGTTATTTTATTGGGGGGACCAAAGGGACCTCGGCCCCCAGGAATTGGCTCCTACACCCAGGCTGAGAGGCAGCAGCTGGCCCCCAGCGCCACCCCCTGCGGTCCCCCATCTCCAGCACTAACCACTACACCACACTGCCTCTCAACCCTACTTTTGCGCAAAGTGTGGCAACTGTGGCTTAGGAAAGGCTTTCAGGGCTGCCCCAGCTTGCGTCTGGGCCATGCGCAAACTCTGCCCCATTGCTTGGCTCTTCCCTCCGCGTTTCTTCCCCACAACAGAGCTGCCAGGTAGGCCAGGGTGAGAGGCAGCAACCCGCACCCATGGTCGCAGCCGGGGAGTGTCCGGGCCGAGGAGATGCAGACCCACCCCACCCTTTCCCTCAAATCATAGCATTGTAGAGTTGGAAGGGACCCCCAAAGGTCATCGAGTCCAGCCCCCGCAAGGCAGGATGTTGCTGGACTAAAACTCCCATCCTTCCTAGACAGCACAGCCAGCAGTCAGGGATGGTGGGAGTTGTAGTTCAAGGGCGCCAGGGTTGAGAGAGGCGGCACCACCCTGCTCTTACTAAAACCCCACTTTTCTGCCAGAATTTGGACTCAGCGGGGCTAAAAAACAACAACTAAAGCAAACACTGATAAAATGCAGAAAGCCAAAAACTTAGAACAGGTAAGAGTGAAGAAGGGATTGAGCAGCCATGGAAGAAAACCGTCTCCACCTCCCAGAAGGACAAGGAGGGATCCTGCCTGGTTTCCCTGGACAAGGAGTTCCAAAGGTGCCTGGGAGCTAGGGAGTTGCTGCTGCCAGCCAGTGCGGGCACTTCTGGTGGCCATCTGTCATGGATGCTTTAGCTGAGATTCCTGCATTCCACAGGGTTGGACTAGATGACCCTGGGGGGTCCCTTTCAAATTCTACAATTCTATGGTGCTTCTGCCAGACTCTCAGCCCAACCAAACCCCCAAATTCTGGGCTTAAAAGATGCCACTGTGACGTACAAGGCCAGGCCTTCTGCCCTACTCCCCTTCCCCCCCTTGCAGTAACCATTGGGCGGCAATGCCTTCCCAAACTGGAGAGGCGGAAGCCAGACTCTGGGGATGCACTGTACCTCTTTGCAGAATTCCTCCCAGAGCGCCGGGTGACTCATGCAGCCAATTAATTAATATCTGGGATTGTTACTAATATAGCAGCCAGCTGCGGGGAGCAACGGGGAGCCCCTCCCCGCAAGAGGCAGAGGACAAGGCGGCCCACTGGTCTGAGCAAAGCCCCCTGCGGGACACCTGTGGTGCTCAGCAGCTTCGCACTGGCGGGGTGTGTGCGTGTGTGTCAACAGCTCTGGAAGCCAGGCGGGGAGTGGGCAAGGAGCCAGACTTGTGTGTGCGCAAGGAACACCTGCAACCTTCCAGCTGTCGGGCTGTGCTGCCTCCATTGCCCCTGACTCTGCCGTCTGCTGGGGGTGGAGGGAGATGGGGGTGGGCCCTGCAATCTCTGGGTGCCCCTGCTTCCTGCTGCCTCGCAGGGTTGTTGTTCGCAGTTCCACCAAAAAGGTTATCGGGATGAAGGTTTACTTCAGAGAAAGTGTCCCTGGTGGGAACCGGCTCCAGCAGATGAACGAAGATTTGACAGAGGCTCTTCCTATGCTCTTATGGAGCCTTCAGGCCCAAAGGCAGTCCATCTGGATTCCCGAGTTCTTAGGGGAGCCGGATGAGACTCCAGAGCCCCCCTCAAGAAAAAAGGAAGGGGTGCAGCTCTGTCCGACAGTCACTTCCACAGGGGGCGGCTCAGAATTCACAACCCCCCACAAAAACTGCAGGACCCCATAAATTTAGGATAAATTTCGCTTTCTATTGTGCTCAGGATGGTGTTGTGGTGCCTCTAAACATCCCCCACTTTTTATGCATTTTGTGGTATAAATTTAACACTTTTTGAAATCTCTTTGCACATGCAAAGTTGTTGGGGAGCTCGGTAACTTCCAGGTGAAACCCGGTAGCTTTTCAACCAGGCCGCAAATTCTCCCGTTTATTTTTCTGGCCCCACTTTTTTGCTGCAGAACTGGACCATTTAAGCCCATGTAATAATGGGTCATGTTTGGGGGGAGCATTGCAGAAAAACGAATAAAGCAGGTTGGAGTCTGGACAGTCCAGTGTAAATCCACCGCTGGTGCACTTATTCCTGCCCCAACAACATCTTGCAGGAAATCGCGCTGCAAAGAAGAACCCAAAAATCTCCAGAGGAATTTTGGTTTGGGAGTTTTATACTTGCAAAAATTGACCTGGAACAGAGTACAGCTCCCCTCCCCCCAATAAACAGAGTCAGAGAAAAGTGGCGAAATTTGAAAGGTGTTTTATTTAAAGAGCGGCTGAATAAAAGGCCGGTGACTGTTATTATCATTTTTTAGCACAGTGGAGATTACACTGAATTATTAAAATAAAATAAAAACCCTGTCCCCAGAGCAGAATGCAAAAATATCACATGTGCACAATTTCCTCTGTGCTAAATTCAAAGTCCTGGTGGGGGGGAAAGGATGTGGATTTAAATGGAAAAGCAGCGTCAACGTGTTCTGCTCACAAGCAGGTAACTTTTCCCAGCATTGAAGCCCTAGAGTCCAAGGCTCCCTCTCTCACCACACCCAAGGAAAGCCAGGGAGGCACTTGGATCCCCTGCAAAACGTGGGCCTGGGCAGCATATCCTCTGCAGAAAGTGCACAGCCAAGCTAAGTCAACACAGGATACCTGCAGACTTGGTTGGGGGGCGATGGAACCCTAATCCCAGACCCCTAAGAAAAAGAGAGCGATCCGCCAGAGATATGGCCGCTCTTTCATTTGGTGGGGCCAAAGGACAGTGCAAGCTTCCGGGTCACACCAGCCTCTTTCGTCAGGTGGCAAAAAGCCCCAGCGCAATGTTGTTTTGACAAGACAGCTCTGCCGGATCCTTTTGGGTCAGCAAGAAGGGGGCTGGCAGCTGAGGACAGCTCCCTTTCCCACTGCAGAAACTGAAGGGTGGGCACAGGAGAAGAGTGAGGCCTCGGCACATGCCAGCTGCTACTTCTGAGCCTCGTGTTCGAGTCTCTCTCCCAGCATGAATCAAAGCCAAAACTCTGGTGCCAGAGCTGGGGGTGGGAAGCAGTGGCAGGAAGACTGAGACCCCCCCTCGCCCCCCTCGCCTCCTGCATGTCCTTCCACCCTGAAAGTGGTGCAGGAAAGAGTCTGCATGCCACCTCCTCTTTGTTCTCCAGGGATCCATTAGCCCATCCAAGCCTCTGGACTCAGCAGCCGAGGGGCCTCCTCTCTCTCTCTCTCTCTCTCTCTCTCTCTCTCTCTCTCTCTCTCTTTCTGGCTTCAGACCCCAGATGAACAAATAAATGAAAGGAACAGCAATGGAAACTTCCCTCCTTGCAGCCCACAAGGGTCCCAGCAAACCGGCTTTCCACTTTTTTGGGGTACAGCCCTGCTCCACCACCCCTTCCCCTTCAAGGAAAGCGTTAGAAATACAAGGAGGCAGAGAATTTGGGGGCCAGGAGGAGGTTTCTGTCTGTGCTGCAAATCCCCGGCTGCTGGAGAGATTAGGAAAGTGCATGACGCCCAGGGAGCAGCAGGTCCCCTCGACTGGGAAGAAGGAAGGAGAGCCTCAGGTGTCACCTGCGCACTCAGGCGCAAAGAGGGAGAGGAGAAGAAGCCAGAAGGAGAAAGCAGGAGGCGGCTCAAAGGGGGGTTGGGGACGAGGGGGTTGGCTTTGGCAAGGTGGGAATCAAAGGAAAATGAAAAAGGAGAGACAGAGACTGTGAATTTGGGCTCCCTGGCAAATCTGCTCAAAGCAAAAGAGAAGGAAAAAATGAGCCTTTTGGAGAGAGGGGAAAGTGAACCTTTTGCAGGGAGAGAGACTGCGAATGTTGGCTTCCTGGCAGCCAGTGAGCTTTGGCTGGGCCAGACCACCAGCCAACTGTTGGCAAAAGCCCACAAGGGGATCTCCTCCCTGCGCCCCCTAAGAAACCCAACGAACATCCCAGCGGGCTTTTGCGTCCACAACAGCAAAATCTGTGGGGAAACTGCACAGACCTGGAGGGAAACTCTGTGCAGCCAGGTCTCCCCTCTTGCCGCCACAATCCTCACCTCCAGAAAAGAAGGGGGGAGCCACAGGGGGAAAAGATGCCCTTTCTGCGCCCTTGACCCTGAAGAGGCGCCACAGATTAGCCGGCTGCCAAGAGCTTTGCCAGGAGGGCAGAAAAAGGAGCGGGAACTGATCAGGCCCAGGTCCTGTTGTGGCTCTGCCACCTTCCGTGGCCCTTGCCACCTTGCTCCTGACTGGTTCATGCCTTGCAGGAGAGGGGTTGCCCAGGATCTGGGGAGGAGAAAGGCATGAGTGCCAAGCTGCCTCAGGGACTCGGGTCTCCCTGAGAGCGAGGGGAGCTGAGCAAGGCAGTGCCATGTCCCATCTTGGTCCCCCTGGTCCGGAGTGTGTGTGTCTAAGGGGGCAGCGGAAAGCGTCTCGTTCCTCCATCTGGCCTCAAGGCCACGGAGCCTACGCCACATCACGCCGTGCAATCTGTGCGCGGCCCCCCGAACTCTTTGGCGTGGCTTGGGGCGTGGCTGAGGGTGGCAGCGGTGGGGAAGAGCTTCCCCGCCTGGAGGCCACGGCGTCACCACTTGAAGAAGACAAGGGTGGCCATGACGGCGTAGCCCAGGACGAGGAAGAGCACCTTGAGGAGGCGGCTGCTCTTGTCCTCCAGCTCCTTGGCCAGGATCTCAAAAAAGGTGACAAAGACGAAGGTGCCGCTGGCAATGCCCTGCAGGAGCACCGAGGCCACGCTGGAGGCCACGCTGTGGCGGCTCTCGATGCCCATCCCGATGACGATGCCCAGCGGGATCATGAGGCTGACGGCGCCCGCCAGCTTGGCCGCCTCGCGCAGGGTGAGGCCCGTCTTGGTCATGGTGATGCCCAGCGCCACAGCCACCAGCGTTTCGTGGATGGCCACGCCCAGGAAGAGATTCATGACCTTGTGCCCCTCCTCCTGCAGGCCCAGCGCCAGCCCCTCGAAGATGGAGTGGGCAGAGAGCGCAAAGACCAGGCTGAAGAGGCGCAGCGGAGTCGAGCGCGAGAGTTCGTGGACGTTGAGGCCGCACTGGCTGGAGCTGTGGCTGGTCGAGCTGCCCTGGTGGTAGTGGTGGCGCTTGGAGGGTGGCTCCAGGAAGGGGCTCTCGAACTCAGAGTCGCTGCCCGCGTCCGAGCCGGCATTGAAGGTCTCCAGGTCAATGAAGGACGGCTGCTCCTTGCGCACCGTCAGCACCAGCTGCTCCACAAAGACCGTCATGAAGAAGCCCAGCAGCATGATGGTCTCAGCCAGAGGGTAGTCGGTCACCACGTTGCCCACCTTGAGCACCTCCGCCAGCTGCGGAGGGGAGAGAAGAGGCTGTGAAGCAGCGGAACTCCCTGCCACAAGGGGGAGGCAGCATAGAATTGTAGAGTTGGAAGGGAAACCTGAGGGTCATCCAGCCCAACCCCCTGCAAGGCAAGGATCTTTTGCCCAACATGGGACTCAAACCCACAACCCTGAGATTAAGAGTCTCATGGTCTGCAGACTGAGCCAATTGTCTGCTGTCTCTCCAAATATCCCCTCTGCCCAGCTCAGTGGAGATCAGCTTGGCTGGATCAGGCCAATGGCACCTGAGACCTGGGGGTCACCCACGAGCGTCTGGGGAGCCTGCAAAGGAAAGCCCCTCCCTCTCCTTGGCCCACCACAGCCAAGCAATATGGAAAGGTCAAGTGTCTCTTGGCTGCAGGGAAACTCGCATCCTGGTCTCCCAGGAGGAGTTTCTCAGACCCGCTAACAAGGTGGGAACCGTTATAGGAACAAACCCCCAGGATCACCCCTGGGCATCCTCAGCGGGGACTGGCGCCTTCTTTCCCAGCCAGGAGAGGGGAGGAGGCTCTCAGGGCCGCCTTGGTGGCAGCAGCACAAATGGCCACCCAATGCGATGGCTTTAAAAGAAGATTGGCCAAGCCCTGCCCACTCCATGGCCCCCAGAAGGCTGCGTAGAAGGGGAGGCGGCCCTTGGGAACCCCCCTCACACACACGTTCACAGCAGTGGCTGCTGGGTTGTGTTGATCCTGCCCTCCACAAACGGACAGGGAAGGAAGCCCAGATTGAGTAGTTATCTATTCAAAGGTAGAGTGCCTCTGAATAGGGGGGCTCCATTCCATGGCCATACAGATCCGGGATGGGGAAACCTCAGGCCCCGGGAGGCTCAACGTGGCCCTCAAGGTCCTTTCCACATGGCATCGCCCCCCCCCCCCGATTTGCGCCCCACCTTTTCTCGCACAGCCGGCAGCAGGGCGTTGAAGCAGGTGCCCAGGAAGACGCCGCCTCCGAAGGAGTTGCAGACGGAGATGATGCGCTGGGAGCGCTCTGCCTTCTCACCGTCGGTGGCAATGAAGCGGACAGGCAGCAAGGACCCCCCCAGCATCAGCACAAAGACCCCCACCAGGGACAGCACCTTGGTCACCAGGAGATTCATGGTGGCGTGGTGCCCGGGGGCATCTGTTAGGAGGGTGCCAGGGGCTCCGGGCGGCAGGCGTAGGGGGCGGCCGCCAAACCCATGGAGCTCTGCAAGGGGGGATGAGAGAAAAACAGATGGGATTGAAACAACTTGGCAGTGAGACTGTGGAACTGACTGCCACAGGAGAAAGGCCACCATCCTGGATGGCTTTAAAAGAAAACGGGACACCTTCCTTTGTTAATGCTGGAGGGTTTCAAATGTTACTATTCTGTTGCTGGGGCAACACAGTCAGATGGGTGGCATAAAATAATAATAATAATAATAATAATAATAATAATAATAATATAAAACGGAGGAGGAGAGGGCTCTGGAGGGCTCCTAGCCAGGATGTTTATGACCTGCCCCCACAGTCAGAGGCACCAATGCTTCTGAATCAGAGTTGCTGGAAACTGCAGGAGGGGAGAGTTGCTCTTGTGTTCGAATCCTGCTTGTGTGTTTCCCTTTTTGGAGAGGGATAATTCTGCGGTTTAATTTTCACTGTGGTTTATACCTTGTTAGCAGCTCTGAGAAACTCCTTTTTCTGGAGAGAAGGAACCAGGATGCAGGTTTTCCTGCAGCAACAAAACAGACCCTTTCTATAAATAGACAAATGATTACTCATGACTATTACAGCGGTACCTCAGTTTTTGAACGTATGTTGTTCCGGAAGACCATTCCGAGTTCTGAAATGTTTGAAAACTGAAAACTCAATAGCCAACAGCTAGGCCTCAGGATCTTGCACTCAGTGGAAGCCGCTTGGCATGTTCAACTTCCAAGGTGTGTTCGAAAACCGAAGCATTTACAGTTATACCTTGGGTTGCGAATGTGATCCATGTGGGAGGCACGTTCGCAACCCGCAGCGTGAAGTGCCGCATCTGTGCACATGCGTGACGCGATTCGGCGCTTCTGCACATGAGTGTGACGTCATTTTGTGTTTCTGCGCAAGCGCCGAACCTGGAAGTAACCCATTCCGGTACTTCCAGGTTCGGCGCAGTCCGCAACCAAAAATGCACAACCTGCCATGTTCGTAACCTGAGGTATGACTGTACTTCCGGGTTTACGGCATTCAAAAACCGAAATGTTCGTCAACGGAGATGTTTGAAAACCGAGGTACCACTGGATTATTATTATTATTATTATTATTATTATTAAAATTTGTACACCTCCCTAGATCCAGTTCACAACATCACATTTCAGTATAAGAAACACAAAAGACAATAAAAATAAGAAGAAAAACAACCTAATAACCCCCATACTACTACTAAACTTTTGTTTATGTAAAATACTTTAAAGCAGACTTTTGGGGCATGCTGCCCTCAAGACACAGGAAAAACACACCGGCAGTGAAATATTTGCCCAGGTTCAATTCAGCTCAATGCGCCAGTTGCAACAGTAAGAACTCGATCAGTTAGTATGGCAGCACCTAGACTTTAGAACTCCCTGCCTCTTGAGATCAGGCAGGCATCTTCCCATTTAGTCCAGCCTGTTCGGATCTTGGAAAGGGGGGGGGGGGATTTCAATCTGTTTTAGTACTTGAAACAAAGTTTTGTTTCATTTAAAGCTTGCGTATTTTTCTTGATTTTACGGCGTTATTATTTTCTAAACTGCTTTGAGGTTTGTTTGTTTTTAACTATCAAGATGTGTATAAATTTGACTAAATAAATAAGCAATTTCATAAAAAGAATGTATCAGTAATAACTAGTTATTATGATGACTGTTTCATTAATAGGCTTCCTGTCAGTATTCTTATTATTATGTTTTTATCCTTGATGTTCTGTAATGTGTTTTTAATGTGGAACACCACCTGGGATCTTCTGATAAAGGGCAGTATATAAATTGAAATTATTATTATTATTATTAATATTACATCTTCAAGGCCAACCCCACAAAGAATAGATTGCGATACTCTATCCAGGGTGTAATTCAAGAGAGCACCAATAATACTAATATTTAGAAAAGCAGAGAATCACTTGGCGCTCTAAGAAGACTTAAGAGCAGAGTCACATACTTTAAAGCACATTCACATGGCTTCCCCCTTGCAGAAGTATCCTGGGAATTGTAGTTAGCTTGTTAAGGGTGCTAGGAAGTGCAGCTCTGCGAAGAGAAACTACAGCTCCCAAGAATCTTTGGCAAGGGGGATTTCATGCTTTGAAGGCACGGAGCGGATCTATGCTCACAAATGCATTTCATTGTTATTCCTGGGTTTCTCCTTCCTTGGAGGTCTTGAATAATAATAATAATAATAATAATGATAATAAATTTTATTTATACCCTGCCCACCCCAGCCAGAGCCGGGCTCAGGGCGGCTAACACTAGTAAAATTACAGTAAAAACATAAAAGGAAAAAAAACTAATTTAAAATACAGGTTAAAATGCAATTTAAAATGTAGCCTCATTTTAAAAGTAGCTCATAGATCAAAACCATAAGGGGAGGGAAACATAAGGGTCAGACTGAGTCCAAACCAAAGGCCAGATGGAACAGCTCTGTCTTGCAGGCCCTGCAGGGCCCTGGTCTCATGAGGCAGAGCGTTCCACCAGATCGGGGCCAGTACTGAAAAGGCCCTGGCCCTAGTTGAGACCACTCTAAATTTAAACAGTTTGGGCAGCCCCGTCAGGGATCCTTGATCTGTGATCCCTGCCTTGCAGGCAGCTGGACTTGGATGCCCTTTGGCTGACCCTCCCAACCACACAATTCTATGATTCATTGGAGGTTTTTTAACAGAATTTGGATGGACTTCTGTTGGGAATACTTTAGCCATGTGATTCCTGCATTGCAGAGGAGGTTGCACAGGATGACCCTTGGGGGAGCCTGTTGCAGGAATTTATGTATAGGTTGGGGGGGTGCCCCTCCAGCAGATATCACACACATCCAGCCCACTACCAAAATCAGCACTATCACTTTTGTGACTTTTGTGATTTGTCCCCACAAAACACTTTATCACAGTTTCTTCCTATCTATTCAAAGGGCCTTTGCTGCGTGATACCAAATGTAACAATTCACTGATAAATGTATCTCTGTACTGGCTCACTGGGAAAACTTTAGAAATTCATACAGACATGTGAGCTCAGCTCCTCAGCAGCCCCTCTGCCTGAGTGATACCAATTCCTGGCATCCTGATACCTGAGTGCCAGACAGGTGGCCATTCCAGAAATAACAAACCCAGATGAAGACAAAAGGGTGCGATTAACTTGGCTGGGAAACAGAGAAATGTAAATATCTCTTTTGTTTCACTTGATGGGTGTTTGGTGGAGGGCAAGGGGAACCATGGGGCAGGGTCCCGGATGCTCAGATTCCTGCCCCCAGACCTCCCCTTTCATGGTGTAACTGTGATGTAGTTTGGGGGGGGGTGTAACATGGGGATTAGCAGCTAATAAAAGTTTGGGTGCTCTTTTGTTTGGGGCTTCCATCTTTTTCCACCTGGTGGCAGGTGGGAGTCCTGTCGCGACAGTCTTCAATAAAGACCAAGCCTTCTGGCTCCTGTTTTGCTCTGCTATTCCTGGCTGGTCCCCTTGTTTTTTTTGTCCAAGGGAGCCCTCAGATTTCTCTGTTAACAGTCCAAATCTAGGATCCTACAATTCACTGGCAGTTTTTAAGCAGAGTTGGGATGGCCACATGTTGGGGATCCCTGTGGGTCAGACTGGGTGCCATTATTATTATTATTATTATTATTAGATTATGCCCCGGATAGAGTACCACAACCGGCTCTTCATGTCCTTGAAGACAGTTCAGAGATGATGATGATGAAGTTCTGACCCCTCCAAACCACACAAGCTGGCAAGCTCTCTCTCTCTCCCTCCCTCTCCTTTGTTGGAGGCTGTTCAGCAGAGGTCCGTCTGCTGGCAATCCTGCAGCCCTGCGACTGCTTTGTGCCCAAGTGGGGGCTGGACTAGATGGCCCCTGGCGGCCCCTGCGATTGCACAACCCTATGCAATAGCCTGCTATTATGACGATTATCACTGCTGTTCTTCTTCCTCCTCCTCCTCCTCTCATGCCCCACACCCCGACGGCGCATCCCTGGCTGCAGTTGGGCAAAGCCATTTGCAGACCCAAGCGGCTAGTCCTCATGGAGGCGGCGACGGGGAGGAGCCCCGCCCCCTGGCGCCCAGGCCCCGCCCCCTCCGGCAGTCCTGGGCGCCGGGCCCCGGGGGTGCGGGAGCCCCCTCTCCTCTTCCTCCCCCCCTCCTCACCTGCGCGGCCGCTTCCCGTCCTTCCTCCTTCCGCCCCTTTCCCACCTCGCCCGCCTGCCTTGGCAACCGCGGCGAAGCGACGCCTATTGGCTGCCACTGACATCATGTCGGCGCCCGTTGGCTGAGCAACCCGCCCGTCCGCTGTGGACCCCGCCCTTTAGGCGGGCCTTTCCCTCCCTCTCGCCCCGCCCACCCACAGTCGCCTTTCGGCTGTGCAGCAAGTAAGGGTGTCCTCCAACCTTCAGGGAAGTGGCTGTGCCTGCCGAACGGCGGCCGGCGCGGAACAGCGGCCGCGACATGCCTGGTTCCGGCGACTTTTGCGTGTGCTGGGAGAAACCCGGCCGCCCGTTGGCTGAGCAGCCCTGCTCGGTAACGCTGATTGGCTGAAGCGGCGGCCGATTGACCTCGGGTTCAGGAAAGCAGGAAAGCGACGAAGGGCTCTACGGCCAACTCGCGAGAAATACACAGGAAAAAGGGTTCCATACGGAGAGCTGTCCGATGAGCGCTTCCTTATTTACGGGGAAGGCGGGAGGGGGGCGTGTGGTGCTTGTGTAATACTTTACAAGGAAGGGGGGGGCTTCCTGCCACACTAAGATTCCTAGGAATATCTATTTGTTTGTTTGAATATATATGTTTTATATTAATTTATAGTCTGTTCTGACCAGGAGCCATGAGATAAATAAAACCTCCAGGTCAATAGGCAGTCTACCTCGGAATAATTTGAACAGATAAGAAATCAAGATGAGTCAGATATAAAAGAGGAGTGGGAATATTTGGCAAATATTTAAAGAAATATAACAATCAGATAGGCTTCCAAGTGGGGTTAGATATAGGAGCAGCAGTTAAAAATAAGCAGAAGAGGGATGGTAATTAAGGAGATGCAGCTAAACAAGGACTAAGTTAGAACCCACCCACCCCTGAGGGATGTGTGTGGAAGCCAAAGAGTGTAAGATAAACAATGACAATTGTATAACGGATGTATTAAGATGTGTAAAATGCATTTCAAATCACACACACACACACACACAGAAGTGGACAGGTTGGTGCTCCATGGCAGTGGGGGGAGAGACTCCATCAGGCAAGGTCTCTTTCCACCTGCCTTGCCCCCCCCCCCAGTCTCTGCTTCTCATTTTGTATTGTATTATGTTGTGCACTGTGGTTTGCTGCTGTTTATTGATTGGAGTTTAGAAATTACTTATTGTAACTGTTGAGTGGATTTCTGTTTAATTCTGAAATGCTGATATTTAGGCATGCATATTTGTGGTATGATAAGGTCAAAGCACATAAAGCATTTAGAAACCACATTGTCAGGAAAGCGCTATTTAATGTTTGGATAAGATATAAGGATTTGCTAGAAAACAAAACCCCAAGGTGGCTGTCACCAATGGAAGCGAAAGCCTTGAGAAAGGCCAATATGGAGGTCAAATGGCCGAAATATTGGGAAATTTTGGAACAAGACGGAGATAGACTGAAATTGCAGAGCTTTGAAAAATTAAAAAACAAAGTGCGAGACTGGCTTCATTATTATCAGATAATGGAGGCATTTAAATTGGACAAGAAAATTGGCTTCCAGGTGGAAAGATCTAAATTAGAAACAGAACTGTTAGAACCCAGAACTAAGAATTTGTCAAGAATGTATAACTTGCTGCTGAAATGGAATACTCAGGAGGAAACGGTAAAATCGGCTATGATTAAATGGGCACAGGACATTGGACATAACATTATGTTTGCTGACTGGGAACAGTTGTGGACCACAGGTATGAAATTTACGGCATGTAATGCCTTAAGAGAGAATATTATGAAAATGATATACAGGTGGTACATAACCCCAGTCAAGCTTGCAAAAATTTATCACTTGCCCAATAACAAATGTTGGAAATGTAAAGAAACTGACGGTACATTTTTCACCTTTGGTGGACGTGCCCAAAGATTAAGGCTTTCTGGGAAATGATATATAATGAATTTAAAAGGTATTTAAGTATACCTTCCCTAAGAAACCAGAGGCCTTTCTCCTGGGCATAGTCGGCCAAATGGTGTTAAAAAGGATAGAACTTTCTTTATGTATGCAACAACAGCAGCAAGAATACTTATCGCAAAGTATTGGAAGACACAAGAACTTCCCACGCTGGAGGAATGGCAGATGAAACTGATGGACTATATGGAACTGGCGGAAATGACTGGTAGAATCCGTGACCAGGGAGAAGAGTCGGTGGAGGAAGATTGGAAGAAATTCAAAGACTATCTTCAGAAACATTGCAAAATTAAAGAATGTTAGAGTGATGTTGGACTGAAAATAAGCGGTTTCCAGCTGTACAGGTTAAAGTTAACGATAGACTAAGATTAAAGATTAGGATTAAAGATGTTTAAAGAAATGGAAATTTGACAATTAAGAGGGAAAATTTTAATGTTATATTATACTAAGACTAAAGACCAGGTTTAAAGAAGTTGAAGTTATATATTTCAATATTATATTAAAGTTAAAGAAAAGAAATTGCTGGACAAACAATTTGGATTGGAATACAAAAGAGGGAGGTATGAGGAAGTCCAGAAGAGAAGTAAACTAAAAAACGGAAATGGAAAAGAGATATTGTTTTTAATTGTTATGTTTTTTGTTTTTTATTGTTGAATCTTGTTTTGTGTGTGTGTGTGTGTTTTTGTTATCCTTTTTTTGAGATATGTATTGTGTATGTTTTTCTTTTCTTTCTTTGTTGTTCAAAACTTTAATAAAAATTATTTTAAAAAAAATGAAATGCTGATATTTAATAATATTCTATACTGTTTTAATAAATGTTGAATGTTATTTTATTTGCATATTGTATATTGCATTATGCATATTGCCTTATTTATATGATGTTAGCCGCTCTGAGCCTGGCTTTGGCTGGGGAGAGCAAATAAAATATATTTTTAAAAAATATATTATTGGCATCCAGAAGGTTCCAGGTTCAATCCCAGGCAGCGTCTCCTGGCAGGGCTGCAAATCCCCTTTGCCTGGCGCCCTGGAGAGCCACTGCTGCTGCCAGCCAGTGCTGATGACACCGAGCTGGATGGCTCAAGGGCCTCACTCTGTCCCAAACAGCACCCTGTGTTAGGGGGGCAGGGATGCAGCTCAGCAGGATCCGCACAAAGCTTATAGCTTTTCTACAACCTCCTATTCCTGGAGCCAGGTTAGAGAAAAGTTTGCCTAAAGCAAAGGAATGAACGGTCATTGCCAAATATTTTGGGAAAAGGTCACCCCAAAAGCAATAAAGCGATTTTTGCCTAGGGAACTGCATAATGTATTATGTCATATGCATAGCATGCATACAGGAAAAAACAGAGATTGCAGATTTTCTAATACTAGTACAACATTTTGTACGTTGCACAACCCACTTTACTGCTTACAATCAAGCGAAGTTTCAGCTGGTCTTTGTTTCTGCTGCAGGAAGCAAAATGTTCCCACACCACTTTGCTTGCGCCTTCTGCGCACCGATCCCTTCTCGGGATCTGGAGGACGGATGGCTTCTGAGAGCCAGTGTGGTGTAGTGCTTAAGAGCGGTGGACTCGTAATCTGGGGAACTGGGTTCGCGTCTCCGCTCCTCCACATGCAGCTGCTGGGTGACCTTGGGCCAGTCACACTTCTCTGAAGCCTCTCAGCCCCACTCACCTCACAGAGTGTTTGTTGTGGGGGAGGAAGGGAAAGGAGAATGTTAGCCGCTTTGAGACTCCTTCGGGAAGTGATAAAGCGGGATATCAAATCCAAACTCCTCTTCTTCCTGCTTCCAGGGATTCTCCCAAACCCGCAAGGCTTTTTTGCAAGGTTTCAACATTTCTGACAAGTTCTTGAAATGATTTTCATGGAGTAGTAATGTTACATAGTACAGTGATTCCAACTGTTCCTTTTGGGGTCCCTTTTTCAGTGCCTTTCAGAGAAAAGTTCTGATACAGGTTTTGTTTTTTTACAGGAGTAAAAAAAGTTATAACCCTAATCCACATACCCTGCTTGCAAAAAGGGTTGTGTCCTGGCAGCTTCCCCAAATGGGGCTGGGAAGGGGCAAGGTTCTCCTCCGATCCCTGCTTAATCCCCACCCCAAGACATCACCGCCAAACAAACCCCCCTGAGGACTGGCACCTTTCTTTTCATTTAACGCAGGAATAGAGCCCAGGGCCCATCTGCAGCTTCCCCATGAAGGGCAAGGGAAGAGAGTGCCCAGGGGGCCACTGCCAGTCAGAGCAGGCAGCATCAGACAAGTTGGGGAGAAAGAAGCATTGATTGGGAGGTGGCCCGGGTTTGGACTAGATGACCCCGGGGTCCCTTCCAGCTCTACAGAATGGTCAGCTAAGAGCTCCTAGTTTAGGGGCAGTCTGTCTTGAAGCACCGGTTCCTGGGAAGCAGCAGCTCCTTCCTGCCCTCTCTCCAAACTGGGCTGTTCCCAGTTGAAACCAGGATGTGGAGCCGCCTCTGGCTCTGAGCCAGGTGTTCGCTGGATTTTTAAAAAGGGCCATGTCAGAAGGGATTCCAAGAACCACCTAGTCCAACTTTTCTGTGGCTAAGAAAAGGACGATCCTTCCTCCCAGAAGGAAACATGGCTTGCTCCTTTTCATGTATGCTGACTCGCCTCCTGCAACTTGCAGAGGGCTGGGCTGGAGGACCTCTGGGGTTCCCTCCCAACTCTGCAGCTGTCAGTTGCTGCTCATTCTTTTCCTTGTGACTTTTCTCTGCAACCTCCCCCCACACTGTCCCCTGCACCAAGTTGTGCTTTTAATATTTCATTGGGAGCTGCCCAGTGCAGCTGGGGCAACTCACTGTCTGGACACAGGAAGGCCAACTTGGAATTGTTCACGTGTTCAGCAGATTACTTTTAATTATGCTCATGTGCGTTTACCAGATGGCTGGTTTTTCATGTGTCATCAAAGAAGTTATAACTACATTCCCGCAAATTTATCTGATGCTCAATGCTGCCTCAACAGACTGACATGGGTCCAGCCTAGTTGCTCAGTTTTAGAAAAGAATAGGCAAAGGTTATTACGCTCACTTCAGGAATGTCTGCTAGAGATCTTTATGTGATACAGAAACACATGCAGGCAGATTATGAAGACACAATGCCTCTCCTCTCTTAAGTATTCCTGTACATAAATAATAAATAAATAAAAAAGGGTGAGATGTAGGGATCAGATGGGATTACCATGAGGAATTATAAAATATACATCAAGCCATCGTGTCCACGATGAAAGCATTGTGTTGACTGGGTTTGATATATTGACGATAATTTCTGATTAAATCCCATAAGATTCTACATTCATGCCCTTTTGACTCTACTGCCCATTTTTCTCTCCTCACATGTCACATACACAGCAGTTGCTTCGCCAGGCAGGCATCCTGGGCCATAAAGATAGTGGGCAAGTTTCTTTGATGCAGGATGTTAATCTTAGGGCCTGGAAATAGTTTCACAGGAAGGTGATAAAGATGCCTTTCTCCTTGCCATCCTTCCATCCTCTCTTGTTTACTCCTGTTTGTGATCTCCGGAGTTTCTCTAGTCCTCTTTTATTTACTCTCAGATTATGTATGCATGCTCAGAGTAGTAGTCTTTGTAGTTAAAAGAATTTCTTTTGATCTAACTTTTCCCCCAGGTGGGTTTGTTTAAATGCTCAGAGGAAATCTGATTGGTTCTTACGAACACTCTGTAAAAAGTTCTTTTGTGAATAAAATGGCCTGGGCCAGGGGCTGCTGGGATCTGACGGACAAGCACAGAGAGACACGATTATACGCACCCTTCCCAGAGTCTTGCTGGTTCAAGCCTCTGTGTGTATTCTAATTAATCAGGGTTCAATCCTTCCTTTACTTTGCGAACGCAACAAGAACAGTTTCAGGTTAAGTACGGACCTCCGGAACGAATTAAGTACTTAACCCAAGGTACCACTGTAATTAATTATCATTATTATTATTAATAATAATTCCCTGTTTTAGGTTAGATGGGGGCCAATCGAGAGGGGGACAACAGCAAGCAACAGTGTCCAAAGGATTTTATTTTCTACGTTAAAAAAAAGAAAACGGAAACAGTGCCAATTTCTTTAATAATAATAGTAATTAAAAAAAAAAAAAACATTTTGAAGGAATCCAAAGAAAAGCTCTTAGGGGGTGGCGGGGGGGAGGTCTCAAACCCCTTTCCCCCTTTTAACCCCCCAGGGATCATTTATTCCCAACAAGGCATCTCAAAAATTGTCAATGCCCCCTTTTTGGAGCACCCCCTTCTCCAAATGTGGGGCACCAAGGAGGTGGGATAGAACGGCAAGTTTCTGAGGGCCCATTTGCCCCCACCCCTAATCCTGAAGAGGGTCTGCAGAAGGCGGGTTGCAGGCTGGGCAAACCAGGAGCAGAAAAGTGGGGTTGGGGGTGTCGCTAGAGACCCCCAACTGTAAGAGGAAGCCCTGACCTGGCCCTGCAGTGGGGAGAGGAAGAGAGGGTCCTCTTTTCCGCAGAGCCACTCATCTTTAGAAATCAGACCCTGTCTCTGGAAATGCAGCTTGGGGGTGCGCATCTATTCGAACTGGGGGTGGGAGGCAGGAAGCTTGTCTGTCCATCTATCCCAGAGGCCTTGTAAAATATCGAGGGCAATCCCCCTCTGGCAAAGCAACTTTCTTGGCACCGGATTCATGGCGACCCTCCGTGGGGCAGGTGGGGGTGCTCAAGGGCGACGCCCCGGGGGCATTCACACACCCTTCCTACACTAAAGTCAACTCAGCCCCCCCAAAATTTCCTTTTGCTAAGCTCACAAACATGCAAGAATCCCCCCAAATTCCCCCTCCCAATATTTTAATTAAAAACCTTCTGGAAGCCAAAAGGGGGGCGAGACGTTGCTAACCTGTGCTCCCTCCACAAAGAGATCTACGCATATCGCCATGATCTTTTAAGAAAGAGAGGAAACAAAGAATATCCTATTTTTCACCTTAGCTGCAATTTCCCAAAGTCATGGCCCCCCCACCCTGCAAAACACACATGATCCCATGCAAAAATCCCTCCCCCACCCCCCGGTTTTTGCCCTGCGCTAGAGATCCCAGACAAAGGAAGAGCCTGGCAAAGGGAGAAAGAAACAGAGACAACAACCCGGGGAGGTGGACACAGAAATCCATTTTTTGGGGGGTTGGTGTTTTTTTGCAAAAATAAAGAAAGAGAGAGGGTTTGCTCCCCCCGCCCCCGCCCCCAGAGAAGGCCGTGGTTCTGGAGTGAGGCTTCTTCCCTGGAAACATAGCATCTCCCCGGGAGAAAATGGGATTTAAAAACTGCCGCACCAGTCGTGGATCTTCCCGGGGGTCTCAAGGGGGGCAGGAGGAAGAGGAGGAGGAGCAGGAGGAGGAAGGGGAGACTACTGGGGTGGGAGGAGCTGCCTCTCTAACATGCAGGTTCGGGGGTCCCCCCCAACCCCCCCATTCCTGCCCCCCCCCCGCACTCCATGAGCAGGAGAAACAGCAACACAAACATGGCTTTTCCAGTTTCAAATCTTCTTTCCTGTCCAGCCGAGGAAGGAGGTCATCTTCCGACAAAGGGCACCCCTGGAAGGAAAGCAGGTGGTTTTGTTCTTTAAAAAGGGACATGCCCCATAGAACCGAAGAATCCGGATAGACTGCCTCTGGAGCTGGAGGCTCCATATGTACAGGAACGGAGCCTGGGCTGTTGGTTCAGGCCCCAAGGGGATCCATCCATCCCAGCTTCCTGTCCTTGGAGTGGCCAGGCTTCCCAGCCTTTGGATCAGGCCAAAAGGGGCTCATCTGGCCAGGCTTCCTGTCCTTGCAGGAGCCTGGATAGACTGCCCCTGCTCCTGGAGGCTCCACAGTAAGAACCTGGGTGCCGCACCAGGTGCAAGGGGGCGCATCCAGCCCAGCTTCCTGTCCCCACACTGGGCAAATGCTCCATAGGACCTAGGAGCCCAGGTAGACTGCCTCTGGAGCTGGAGCCTCCACAAGAAGCCCAGCAGCTGCTGCCACATCAGGCTGTCTGCTCCTGTGTCTGATCATTTTCCGGGAACACCAGAGACCATCTCACCCTGCGACAGCTAGCACGTCAACCCCCCCCCCCGGAGCCCCGCACAAGGTCCCCGGCACACACCTTCCGACCCGCCTCATTCCTGCTGCTCCTCATTGCTGGCGCTGGGTGTCCGGCTGCGGATCTGGCTGCGCAACTGCTCAATGAGTTCCGGGTTCTGCTGCTGCATCTGCTGCGCAAATTGCTGGCCCCTGCAGAGGGAGAGAGGCACGTCAGGGAGGGCCCCTGGTCAGGATGCCGGGCATTTTCCCGCTGCAAAATGCGCTGGAATATCCAGGCAATCTGTTCAATTTAATAAATTCATAGCCGGCCACCTGTCCCGGGGTCTTCGAAAGATTTAATAACCTCAATAAATCCATAGCCAGGAGACTCTGCGCAACTTGAATTCCCTACTGAAGGGTAAAGAGTTCATACCACAAATGCGGGCAGAGACTGCAATATTGTGGCTTGAATTCGGGGACACCACCTGCCAAAATATTTGAATGGGAAGCATGTATTTGTGGTCAAATTATTGCAGGTTCATCTGATAAAAATAGATTTAAAAATAAAAGGGGAGAAAGGAGCAGCAGTTCTCCAAGAGTGTGGCAGGAAGGTTCAGGGGCAACCCAAGAAACATTTTTTATTTTATTTTATTGACTTATATACCACCCTTCATCATAAGATCTCAAAGCATTTCCCATTCAAACATTTCAGTCCAGGGAACTACCAAAATCATGTTTTCATTTGCAGAATATGGATGGATATCTTTTCAAAATTAAGACTATCTTCACTGTTTTCCCCAATGCATATCTTACCAATAAAAAAGACTGGTTGGTGCAAGCAAGTTTTTGTTCTGCAAATGCGGCCCGGAGAAAAAAGTTTGGGCGTGGGACTGGGACCTGGGAGAGACCAGGGTTCAGATCGCGCCCACTTGGACTGGGGGGCCAGCCGCTACCTCTCAGCCTAACCAACCTCGCAGGGTTGCTGTGAGGGGGATTAAATGAGGAGGGAGGGAGAGCCAGCTGGAGATCCTTGAGGGAACGCAGGGAGGCCGATGCAAGGCTGCGGGCCACGTGCTGTTGCTCAGAGCCGGGAGGGGAGAGACCGCCCAGACCTTTCTACTCACGCTTGGATAAGGCTGGCGAGGTCACTGGGGGACGCGCCCGCTCCTGGCGCTGCCATGGGGTTGGTGCCACCCGAGATCATCCCAGACATCCTTCCAGCAAAGAGGGCAGGAGAAAAGAAAAGGGGTCATTGTCACAGGTTGCGAGAGTCGGAAGGGTTCCCCCAAAGGTCATCCAGCCCAACCCCCGGCAAGGCAGGGAGCGCAGCAATCCTCGGAGACTCTTCTGAATGGCAAGTTGGCTCTCCTTCCAGCAATTCTGAAATCTGCAGGGACCCTGCCATTCGGGGGTGTCAGAAGAAGCTTTAAAAAAAGACCCCCCCCTTCCCTAAAAATCAGGTGTTTCCCATACTTACAATTGCTGTACCTGCGGATTGTTCATCAGGTTTGATGCCTGTTTTAAATTTTTTTTAAAGGAGAAAAGTGGAGGGGAGAGAAAGAGAGAGTGGTTGGGAAGTCTTCTTTTTACTATTAAATTTTTATTATGAATTCTGTCTTTTTTTCTATTGCAGTTTTATGTTTTGAAGTGCCCTAAGATCTATGGTTAGAGGGCAGCATACAAATTTTAACAACAACAACAACGAGATCCTTATTCCTCCAATAAATCAAAACACCAGCTCAGGAAGCAGGGCTAGACTCACCATGCTCATGAACCCAGGGTTGTTGAGCAAGCCGGCTAAGTCAAAGCCTCCAGCACCTCCTGTCTGAAAGGCAAACAGAACCGTAGAGTCAGAAGGGACTGCCAAGGATCATCTAGTCCAGCCCCCCGCAAAGCAGGAACCTTTTGCTCAGTGTAAGAGCAAAAGGAGGATTTACACACCACTGTTTCCTCCTAGGAGCTGAAGGTGGTGTGCAAAGTTCTCCCCCTCCGTTGACATCCTTGCCATGACCCTGCAAGGCAGGTGAGTCTGAGAGGTGGCGATTTGCACCCTGATCTCTTCCCGTTTAATCCTCACAGCCACCCTGCAAGGGAGGCCAGACCAAGAGAGGCAGCGGCTGGCCCCCTAGGTCACCTGGAGGCTCTATGGAAGAGGGTGGGGGTGTGAACACCAGTCCCTTGTGGGTCCTGGCCCAGGTGCTCTAACCACTGCACCACTGCTGCCTCTCCTTCTCACCGGGCTTGGAGCCTCCTTCATTTTCTGCTCCGTGACTTTGAGGTTGGACTTGTACGTCTCGTTATCTGGGTCAAGCTCCAGAGCTTTTCTGTAGTAGACAACGGCGTCCGAGAGTTTGTTCAGGCTCGACAGGGCTAAGCTGGGAGCAGGAGGCAGAGAGAGAGAGAGAGAGAGAGAGAGAGAGAGAGAGAGAGAAGGTTGCCTGACCGAGAAGGAGCACCCTGAGGTCCAAAAGCCGTTCCCTGGCTTCTCCCTTACAGGCCACATCCTGGGTCCCCCACTTAGGCTGGAGGGGCCAGTGGGGAGGGGGAATTACCTCTCCCGCCCCACCTTCCGCCCCCCAAGATGCTCACCCCATCCTGCCATAGGCCTTGCTGTATTTGGGGTCGATGTGGATGGCTCGCTCGCAGTCCCGGACGGCCCCGGTGTAGTTCCCCAGCTTGCTGTAAGCGGCAGCCCTGCGGAGGAGAGAAAGAAAGATGCTCAGCGCTCACACAAATGGCACCCTAGAATCATGGCATTGGAGGGGACCCTGAGGGCCATCTAGCCCAACTCCCTGCTGTCCCATGCGGAAATCAAACCCGCAGCCCTGGCATTCTCAGCACCACACTCTAAGCAATGGAGCCATCCAGGCTGACAGGAAGGGGGAATATAGAGAGAAACAAACATACATAGAACATTACACACACACACACACACACCCCTACAAAAGTGGAGAAAGAGAGAAAGATCTGCCCATCCCCCACCAGCTCACCGATTGCAATAGTAAACTGCATTGGACGGATTCAACTCAATGGCTTTCCCATAGAAGGAGACGGCACTTTCAAAGTTTTCCGCCTTCATCTGCTCATTTCCTATTGAGAAGGGAACAAGGAAATCCTAGAGTTGGAAGGGACCCCGAGGGTCATCCAGCCCAACCCCCTGCAAGGCAGGAATCTCCGCTAAAGCATCCAGAGCATCATTATCGATGCTTTTTTTTCTAGAAAAATAGGTGCTGGAGCTCACGATGAAGTAGTTTCAGTACGTGCCACACTTTTTAACCAAAAGAAAGAGGTGCTGTACTGCAGATCCTTGAGAACCGCCTGGAAAAAAGCACTGAGGATGAGGGTGATGATCCCTGGCAGGCCCTCAGCTGTGGGGCTCCCTCCCCATGGAGACGCGTCTGGCCCCCTCACTGTGCGGCAGCCCGGCTGGAGCTGGCATGGAATGCCCGGAGGGAGGGTCTCACCTTCGGCCTTCAGCCTTTCTGCCTCTGCGGCCTCTTCTTCTGAGGGGGTGACCGGCTCTGAGGGGGGTGGGCTTGGCTGTGGCTCCTGAGGCACACCAGGGCAGAAAGAGAGAAGAAAGTCAGAGCTCAGGAGGTGCCTGCCCAAAGGACCCTTCTTGGGGCAGGCAGGATCACCAGGAGGGTCCCCCAGCGCTCAACCAATCCAACCCAGTCATGCTGCCACTACAGACTACCTGCTCCCCCCACCCAGTCTCCCCCCACTCTGGCAGCAACACCGCCTGCAAAGACACCCCCTTCTCCCCTCCTCTTGCTCCCACAAACACCTACCTTTGCTGCAGCAGCTTCGAAAATCTCCGGCAGGGTCTGGGACAAGGCGAGGCTGCGGTCGTCCGTGGAGACACCAAACGCTGTCTCGAGGCACTGGATGGCGACTGCAGGAGAGACAAAGGGCCCCGTTAACCCTGCTCCCCTGCTCCCCACAGGGAGGCGGGGGGGGGGGGCTCGGTGGCAGGACACGTTTCTGGCATGCAGAAGGTCCCAGGGTGGCAGAGACACTCAGCTTCCAATCTCAAAGGCCTGTGCCCACTCAGCAAAGACAAGCCTGGATGGGGCAACCAAGCCAGATGGGCAGGGTATAAATAATAAAATTATGATGACGGTTATTATTAATCAAATTTACCCCACCCTGCAAAACAGTCCACTTTTAAGGAAGCAGTGGTGCCGCGTTGTGTGTTTTAATGGATTAGATCGATCGATCGACAGCTACATAGATGTAGTTTCAATTTCAACGATGTTTGATCACTTTTTAATTTGTTAATTTGTTGGAAGCTGCCCAGGGTGGCTGGGGTAACCGAGTCAGATGGGTGGCATATAAATAATAAATTTGTTGTTGTTGTTTTCCTTTATTTTTAGCAGTTTCTGTTTTATCTGCAAGCTGCCTTGTGTCCTGTCGTGGCAAAAGGCAGGATATAAATTATTATTATTATTATTTTTAAGAGTCAAATGTTGGGCGAGAAGGTTGGGTCAAAGGGGCCCCCGAGGCCTAAACAGGAAAACATAGAATCAAACTGAGCTTTTTCCAGCTCCCATTTGCCCGTCCTCCGCCCCCCCCCCCACCTTCCAGGCTCTCCTGGGCGTCGGGTGAGAGTCCGCCATGATGCAGCTGGTCCTGGAGGAACTGGATGATGGAGAAAGCCAGGCGCCTCTTCTCGGCCATGCTGGGGCTCCAGGGAACTCCTCTTGGTGGCTGGAAAAGAACAGCAGCACACAAAGGGTTAACGGGCAGCATTCAAAATCTGCCAGGTCCAACTGGGGCTACAGGGAGATCTCTGGGCACCAGGTTGGAGATGAGCATCTCCGTCTGGCTGGCCCCTAAGCGGTTCAGCAGAAGAGCTCATTTCTATCCCAAGGAGTCCATGGTTCACCCCCTCCTCCGTTAATCCCTACAACAACCCTGCGAAGGAGGCGAAGAGGTTGTGACTGACTCCAAGGTCACCCAGCAAGCTTCATGACAGAGTGGGGATTCGAACTCTGATCTCCCAGGTCCCCGTCTGACATTCTCACCATTACACCCTCACTGGCTTGCCAGAGCACTTCTGCAAGTAAATAAATACAGTGGTACCTCAGGTTACAGACTCCACTAACCCAGAAATAGTACCTCAGGTTAAGAACTTTGCTTCAGGATGAGAACAGAAATTGTGTGGCAGCAGCGGGAGGCCCCATTAGCTAAAGTGGTACCTCAGGTTAAGAACAGTTTCAGGTTAAGAACAGACCTCCAGAACGAATTATGTTCTTAACCCTAGGAACTACTTCCGGGTTAGAGGAGTTTGTGACCCGAAGTGTTTGTAACCCAAAGTACCACTGTATGGGGAAAGCCAAATGTCACTTAGAGAAGGTCCTGAAATATTCTCCTTGAAGCTGACAAAAACCAGGACATCATTGGATTTCCTTCTACGCCTTCCTTTCTCGCAGATATGGTCACGCTGTAGAACTGACGGAAGGTTTGTCTGTTTGCATTGGGATGCCTCTTTGGAAATTATCTCCACATTCTGCAGGGCAGCTCCCCAAATCAAGGAGCAAGTTGTACCTCTGGGCTTGGATCCCGTCAGGTGACATTTTGGATCAAGACTCGGGACTGCACCACTCTAAAACACACTGATTTCAAAACAGTACTTATTTTAAAGCCCACTGATTTTGAGTACTGATTCCAGAACCATGCTACTTTTAATAACAATAATAATAATTCATTTTTTTTACCATGCCCATCCACTCTGCGGAAATCAATTTCAAAGTGCACTAATTTTAACCACTGACTCCAAAACCACCACACTTTTAAAAACTGATTCCAAAGTGCACTGATTTCACCACCGATTTCAAAACTGCCCTGATTTTTGCTTGTTTGTTTCTCAGAATTGCTGAGGCCATATCCTCTATCCTGCTCCCCGCTCCAGTCTAGGGAGAGGGTCTTGCCTGGAGCGTCTCCCCCACCCCAAACCCCCTCCAGCCCATGGGGGGTGCTGCATCAATAAAACCAGCCATGCTGGTGCCCCGCTCCCCAGAAGCCAGAGAGACGCTCCTCACAAGGGACGGGGTCTGCACAGGGGTCCCTCCAACACCTCGACCTTCTCGGATGGGCACCCAGAAAGGCAGGCGTTGCAGCCCCCCTGTCTCATGGGATCTGGGGGGCTTTTGTTGAAGGAAGGAACCTAGCATAAAGTGAAACAGTGAAAACTGGGACCTCATGGTTTCTCACAGGGGGTTTGGCTGGACAGGCATGCATCCAACAGGCACGTCCTTCTCTCTCCCCCCCCCCCCCATGTACCACGTGGAGATGCAGGCATGGAAAAGGGCTGCACCTGCTGGACTTCTGCCTGTTCTGCCCCCCTCCATTATGTTCTGGGGAAGGGGAAAGGATGCCCCCCTCCGCGCCCCAACTCTTTCTCCGGGGAGAGGGAGGAACTCAACAGGTACCGCCCCGGACAGAGAGAGAGAGAGAGACCCCCCTTCCCCTCGCAAGGACCCGGCTGCCTCCAGGGGGAGGAGGAGGAAGGGGCAGCTCCCCACTTGCTTCGAGGCAGAAACCCAACCGATACAGCACCCTGGCCACCCCCCCCCCCCCAGCCTCAGGGCGGCCCGTCCCCCCCGGGAACAAAGGGGGCCCTTCCCCGGGACCCCGCCCCCCCCACTCACCAGCCCTCCGTCGCCCCCCAGCAGCGCAGGAGCCAGCGAGTCCGCCTCCCCCGGGTGCGCATGCGCGGGTGGGTCCCCTTCCCTTGTTCTCCGGCCTCCCGGCCCAACTGCGCAGGCGTGGCTGAGAAAGGACTGCGCCTGCGCTCCGGAGCAGCTTCCGCCAGTCGCCGACGCCCAACTCTCAGTCCCGCCGGGCAAAGCGCTCATCAAAGCGCGTGCGCAAAGAGGCCCCTCGCCGCGCTCAGGAACGCGCGCGCGAGAGTGACGTAACTGATCTATCATCTCCAGCGCATTGCATTCCAGAGATAGATGAGAACTTTAGAGTGACACAACTCCTTGTCTGCATAGGGCGTTTTCGGGTTCACAGTGGAGAAATTCTCCTCCTCCTCCGAAGAGGGTACTGGGAGTTATAGCTCGGTGAGGGGCGAACTACGGTTCCCATGATTCTTTGGGGCGTGGGGGGGTGTACTTTAAATGTATGCTGTATGTATACACCGGTCTTGCTAGCTAGGGATGATGGGAGTTGTAGTCCCAAAACAGCTGGAGACCCAAGTTTGTTAAGTTTGGGAAAGTGTATCAAAGCCCCGCTGAACACTTTCTTCAGACTGGACACACCTCAGACTGCAGTCTTGTGGTTTTTAAGGGTTATTATATTTTTTAGAAAACATCCCAGGGCAGCTCAGTAAAAAGGAGCTCAAGCTGTGAGTTACAAGAGACTTGCTACGTTGTCCAATGTTTGCGGAAGACCAGGCTGAATCTGAAAAACTGGCACACAAGGGCCCTGCAATGTTGTCCAGTGTAGTTGTCATAAGCGTCTTGCGAACCTACAGCTGGCCTAAGACTAGCAGCAAGCGCTACCAAGGGGGCATCTGATAATAATAATAATAATAATAATAATAATAATAATAATTTATTTGTACACTAAAATCACTAAAATACACTAAAATCACACATTAAAAACTTTCCTGAACAGGGCTGCCTTAAGATGTCTTCTGAATGTCAGGTAGTTGTTTATCGCTTTGACATCTGATGGGAGGGCGTTCCACAGGGCAGGCACCACCACTGAGAAGGCCCTCTGCCTGGTTCCCTGTAGCTTTGCTTCTCGCAATGAGGGAACCACCAGAAGGCCCTCGGCGCTGGATCTGTGTCCGGGCTGAATGATGGGGGTGGAGACGCTCCTTCAGGTATACTGGGCCGAGGCCGATTAGGGCTTTAAAGGTCAACACCATCACTTTGAATTGTGCTCGGAAACGTACTGGGAGCCAATGCAGGTCTCTCAGGACCGGTGTTATATGGTCTCGGCGGCCACTCCCAGTCACCAGTCTACCTGCCGTGTTCTGGATTAGTTGTAGTTTCCGGGTCACCTTCAAAGGTGGCCCCATGTAGAGTGCATTGCAGTAGTCCAAGCGGGAGATAAGTAGAGCATGCACCACTCTGGGGAGACAGTCTGCAGGCAGGGAGGGTCTCAGCCTGCGTACCAGATGGAGCTGATAAACAGCTGCCTTGGACACAGAATTGACCTGTGCCTCCATGGACAGCTGTGAGTCCAAAATGACTCCCAGGCTGCGCACCTGATCCTTCAGGGGCACAGTTACCCCATTCAGGACCAGGGAGTCCTCCACACCTGCCCACCTCCGGTCCCCCCAAAACAGTACTTCTGTCAGGATTCAACCTCAATCTGTTAGCCGCCATCGAACCTCCAACCGCCTCCAGACACTCACACAGGACCTTCACCGCCTTCACTGGTTCTGATTTGAAAGAGAGGTAGAGCTGGGTATCATCTGCATATTGATGGACACCCAACCCAAACCCCCTGGTGATCTCTCCTAGCGGCTTCATATAGATGTTAAAAAGCATGGGGGAGAGGACGGAACCCTGAGGCACCCCACAAGTGACAGCCCAGGGGTCTGAACACTCATCCCGCCCCACCACTTTCTGAACACGGCCCAGGAGGAAGGAGCGTAACCACTGTTGCAAGGTGCAACAACCTTGCGAGGCAGTACGCAGCTACTCTTCTTCTTTGACGATCCCTCATAGCTGAGTAAGATTATCTTCCGTAAACATGGTTTTAACGGGGGCGCTGCCTGTGGGGGCGGGTTGCCCAGCGCGGGGGGGGGGGGGGGACAGCCGCCATGGCATCCTGCCGGGATTACGCTGCCGGGGACGGTGCGCTCGCCCCCCCTTCATCCGCCAGTGCTTCCGGGCGGGAGTTGATCACGGTGAGGGTTTGCCAAGCGTGCCTTCCTCTTACACGTCTTAACACGTTTCTCCCTTTCGTCCTGAGTTTAGTGTCTTCAAAGTCCATGACACCTTTGGTCAAGGCTGTTCTTCAATTGGAGCTCTCACAGGCCGATGTTTCTCAATCATCCATGCTTATACTGCATTATTTGCCTTGAGAGAGTCTTTAAACCTCTTTTGTTTACCACCAGCATTACGCTTTCCCTTTTAAGTTCAGAATAGTGTAGTTGCTTTGGAAGACGATAATCAGGCATCCGCACAACATGATCAGTCCAACGAAGTTGATGTTGAAGAATCATTGCTTCAACACCGGTGATCTTTGCTTCTTCCAATACTCTGGTATTAGTTTGCCTGACTTCCCAAGTGATGTGTACAATTTTTGGAGACACTGTTGATGGAATCTTTCTTTTCTTTTCCTTTCTTTTCTTTTTAAAATAATTTTAAAGAATTTTCAACATAACAAATTATCAAAACATATCGTCTTCATTTCCCCCCATTTTTTCCCTCCTCCCTCCCCAAGAAGAACCCTTCCTCCTTCCCCCTCAAAGACTTCCCTCAGCTCCTCTCTCTGATTTTTCAACATGTTATTCTCTGCATATTGTAAAAATTGTAAAGATCCTTAAGTTATCTATCTATTATGTTAATAATCAATAAATTTGTGTATGTTTATTCAAAACCTGCCAAGGAGTCCAATTCATTTTGTTGTTTTTTTAAGTAGTTTGTAAAAAGTTCCCATTCTTCTTTAAAGTCACAGTTGCCCTTGTCTCACAGTTTTTATGCCAATTTCACCAATTCTGCATAATCCATCAATTTCTCTTGCCACTGTTCTTTTGTCGGGATTTCCTCGTTCTTCCATCCTTGTGCTATTAAGTTCATTATTTTCCTTGGCAGGTCTTTCCCTACAATCGCTAACAAAAATGCTTCTGGGTTTTTTTACAAATGTTAATTTAAACATTTTCTTCAACTCATTATATATCATTTCCCAAAATTTTTTAATTTCTCTACATTCCCACCACATATGGTAAAAAGTCCCTTCTTTTTCTTTACACTTCCAGCATACGTTTGACCCGGTTTTGTACATTCTTGAAATCTGTACTGGTGTTATAGAGAGCCAGTGTGGTGTAGTGGTTGAGAGCGGTAGATTTGTAATCTGTGAACCGGGTTCGCGTCTCCGCTCCTTCACATGCAGCTGCTAGGTGACTTCTCTGAAGTCTCTCAGCCCCACTCACCTCACAGTGTTTGTTGTGGGGGAGGAAGGGAAAGGAAAATGTTAGCCGCTTTGAGACTTCTTTGCGTAGTGATAAAGCGGGATATCAAATCCACACTCTTCTTCTTCCTCCTCTTCTTCTTCTATACCATCTATACATGATTTTCATATAATTTTATTTCAAAAGAGAATAGTCTGTAAATTTTAATTCTATTCTCCACAATTTTTTCCAATCTTCAAATTGTATGTTATGTCCTATATCTTGTGCCCATTTGATAATGACCTGTTTCACCTCCTCATCTTTTGTTTCCCATTCTAGCAGAATAATATATGCACCCTTCAGCAACTTCACTTTCCCTTCTATAACTTCCTTTTGAAATCTAGAAGTAGTATAATTAAATCCTTTCTTATTGTCTTCTTTGTATATCTCGTGTAATTGCCTGTAATGTACCAACCATCTGAAAATGATCTTTTATTTCCTCATACTCTTTTAGCTTCCATTTTCCTTCTTGGTCCTTTAGTAAGTCACTGTATGTAAGCCACTTTCCTTTTTTACCAAGTGGCTTGAGCAGCAAAGCTTCAAGTGGTGAAAGCCACCAGGGTGTCTTCTGTTCTATCTTTATATCTCTCCCAAACCCTCATTAATGATTTCCTAATTATATGATAATAAAATCCTTTATGTACTTTTCCTTTCCCATACCATAGATATGCATGCCATCAGAATCTATTGTCGTGACCTTCCAAATTCAATGCTTCTTGATTTTCCAGTTTTATCCAGTCCCTAATCCATACCAAACATGCAGCCTCATAATACAATTTAAGGTTTGGGAGGGCAAAACTGCCTCTTTCTTTTATATCTGTAAGTAACTTATGCTTTATCCTTGGCCTTTTGCCCCCCCCCCCGATAAACTTTGAAATTTCCTTCTGCCATTTTTTAAGGCAATCATCTTCCACCATTATTGGGAGTGATTGGAAAAGAAATAGCATTTTTTGCAAAACATTCATTTTTACTGCTGCTATTTTTCCTAGCAGGGAAAGGTTCAGTCTGCTCCGTATTTCTAAATTTCTTTTTATCTCGAACCACACTTTTTCATAATTGTCTTTGTAGATATTTATGTTTCTTGATGTCAACCATATCCCTAAATATTTGACCTTTTTATGAACTTCTATCTTGATACTTTGCTCCAACTCTTTTTTCTCTTCCTCCTTCAGATTTTTAACTAATAATTTAGTTTTCTTCCTATTTAATTTAAATCCTGCCACTTCCCCAAATTTCTGAATCTTTTCTATGACTCTAGCGAGAGAACTGTTGATGGAATCTTTCCAGGAGTTGGAGATGGCGTTTATAAGTGGTCCATGTTACTATGAAAGGCTTGGAGATGGAGCGGATTTCCAGCCAACCTTCCAATCACGAAACGCTCCCGGTTCAGTGAGCAGCAAAGGACGCCTTCCTTAAATTGCGCCCCCCCCCCAAAAAAATCACTCGGCACGTTTGACCTTTGTTATCCAACAACGAAACGTTCTCTCTTTCCGTTTCGTAGGTCTATGCTCCCTTTCCAGCAACTGAGGGCGGAAAGCAGGCGAGTCCTTGCTATGGGAGAGCGGTGGATTGTGGGAGCGGGAGGTGGAGCCTGCGCAAAGGCGGAGAAGCTGCCCCCGCCTTTGTCCGCTCCTGGCCCAAAGGGGATGCGGGAATCGAGTCTCTACAAGACGACTTCCGGCTCCCTATTGAAGGAAAGAGGCTTGCGGGCCCCTGAAGGGGCGGCCAGGGAGAGAAGCAGGGCCCCTTCCGCCTGCCACCTTCCTTAAAAAAGAAGAGGTTGCTTGTCCTCATGGTTCTCAAGGAAGGACATATTCCTGCATTGCAGCGGGTTGGACTGGATGACCCTCAGGGTCCCTTCCAATTCTATACGAGATTTTCTCCTTGTGGGGTTTGCAGTGGGGGGAATCTGCTTATGCAAAGCAGGCGACAACCCCCCGCCCTCTGAGTTCGAAGTGGGCGGGGCCGCCTTCCTTGGCCCCGCCCCATCCCATAATCCCCCTGGCTCTCCGCTCTCCCCCCCCCCGCCTGCCTTTGCTCTGGAAGCCTCCATGTGCTGAGCAGGAGCAGCCGGGCTCGCCGCCCACCGCAGCGATGGCTCCTCCGACAGGTGATTTGGGGGTGCAAAGCAGGCGCGGCGGGCGGCAGCTGCAGTAGGAAGGCCGGGAAGGGGGTCTGGGACGGGGGGGGGGTTCCCCCATTTTCCCGTTTGGACTTGCCCGGGTGAATTTCAGCCTTACCTGCCAACAAGCTTCCTTCCTTCCACCTCTCTCTCTGTCTTTCCACAATTCGTGCCAAAAAACTTCACCGATTGGATATCTGTCTGCTATGCTTGAGGTGCGCAGGTCGCTCGTTGGCCCCCCGTCCTGGGTTGGGTGGGGTTGGCTGGCACCATCCCTGGCGGAGGAACAGAGGGGCGGGAGGGGAGCAGCCCAGGATCGGCCGGGGCCGGGAGTGGGGAGGGAGCTCTGGGCTTATGCCCGGCACCGCTGCGCCCTTGAGGGGCACCAGATGCCAGCATGAGCAATGTGCCGACCGCCTAAGAATGTCAGAACCATGTAGCCCAGGTTCCTTTTCTCACAGGGCCAAGCAGATGCCCCCAAAGCAGGATTTGAACACACGAGCGACTTTCTCCTTCCTTGTGTGGTTTCCAGCAACTGGGATTCAGAAGCAACTGGGGAGGCCAGAGCAGAGATATTGTGACTAAGAGCCATTGACAGGGCATGAATTTCTCCAGTCCTCTTTTAAAGCAGTCTAGTTTGCTGGCTGCTGCTGCTTCCTTTGGCAGGGAGTTCCGCAGATCCCCGGCCACTGGCACTCGGAAGCATTGCTGCCTCTGACTGTGGAGGCACGGCAGAGCTATCCTGGCATTGTCCTCTCCATGAATTTGCCTGACCCTGTTTCTAAGCTGTCTAGGCTGGTGGCTGCCTCCTGTGGCGGAGAGTTCGGCAGATTCCCAGCTACTGATATTCAGGATCCTACTAGCCTTGGCCCTTTATTTTCCCATTCCTGCTTGCTTCCTCTCTGCCCCCTTTTTTTTTAAAAAAAAAAATTGATTTCCAAATTTATAATAAACATAAAAGAAAAGCAATACAATAGACAAACAAACATATATCTTAACTGTCAAAATCCCAATTTAAATAACATTGTTAAGTGACTTCCTCAGATCCCCCCTGTGTTTCCATAATACTCATTTTAGCAGTTTTCCAATATCCACTTTCAAATAGAATTAACTTATTCCATTAATATCTTTCTTTCTTTTCATAATGTTCTCAATCCATAATGTTATACAATCAATCTATTTTACTCCTAGGCCAGTTAGGTACTTACAAGTAGTTCTACTTAAATTATGTTAGAATATCTAGAATCATAGAATCATAGAGCTGGAAGAGACCACAAGGGCCATCGAGTCCAACCCCCTGCCAAGCAGGAAACACCATCAGAGCACTCCTGACATATGGTTGTCAAGCCTCTGCTTAAAGACCTCCAAAGAAGGAGACTCCACCACACTCCTTGGCAGCAAATTCCACTGTCAAACAGCTCTTACTGTCAGGAAGTTCTTCCTAATGTTGAGGTGGAATCTTCTTTCTTGTAGTTTGGATCCATTGCTCCGTGTCCGCTTCTCTGGAGCAGCAGAAAACAACCTTTCTCCCTCCTCTATGTGGCATCCTTTTATATATTTGAACATGGCTATCATATCACCCCTTAACCTCCTCTTCTCCAGGCTAAACATGCCCAGCTCCCTTAGCCGTTCCTCATAAGGCATCGTTTCCAGGCCTTTGACCATTTTGGTTGCCCTCCTCTGGACCCGTTCCAGTTTGTCAGTGTCCTTCTTGAACTGTGGTGCCCAGAACTGGACACAGTACTCCAGGTGAGGTCTGACCAGGGCAGAATACAGTGGCACTATTACTTCCCTTGATCTAGATGCTATACTCCTATTGATGCAGCCCAGATCTAGCCAAACAGTCCTTAAATTTCTTCCATTCTTCTTGATGCTCCTCTTCCTTCTGATCGCGGATTCTTCCAGTTAGGTCAGCCAGCTCCAAAAAGTCCACCAACTTCATCTGCCATTCCTCCACTGTTGGCATTTCCTGTAGCTTCCAATTTTTGGCTAACAAAATTCTTGCTGCAGTTGTGGCATACAAAAAGCCCCCTCTCTGCCCCTTCCCTACCCAGACAGCGCCATGGAGGCTGCAGCCCCCCCGTGCCCGGCCAGCCACCTCCGCTGGGACCTGACGGCCGCACAGATCCAGGACGCTACGGCCAAGCTGATCGAGAAGACCAAGCGGGTGTACGACACAGTGGGTGCCCTGGCGCAGGGCGACATCTCCTACGAGAACACGCTGGGCGCCCTGGCCGCTGTGGAGGTGGAGTACACGGGTGAGTCCAGAAGAAGGCGCATCATTTCCACACAATAGGAATCCTGGAAGCTGTAGTTTGCTGGGAGTGCTAGGAACTTCAGCACTGGGAGAAGCTGCGGTTACTGGGATTCTTTGTTTGGATCTGCCTTATCCAATGCAATTCTTAAGGAGCCAAACCGATGCTAAGGATACAGTAACCTTTCAAAAGTGTTTGTGGGAAGGGGTGGGGGGAAGGAAGATTCTTAATAATAATAATAGTTAAATTTGTATACTGTTCATCTGTAGATCTCAGGGCAGTTAGGATATATAATTATGTATTGATTTGTGTGTTTTTGCTCTACTTTTTAGTATGTGTATTGTGTTTCTATCTTGTATTTTTATGGTGCAAGCCTCCTGGAGGTAGAATCACAGGGGAATACTGTTGGAAGGGACCCTAGGGGTCATCCAGTCCAACCCCCTGCAATGGAGGAAAACTTTTGCCCAGGCTGGGGCTCGCACCCATGACCCTGAGCTGAAAAGTCTCTTGCTGTATCCTCCTTTTGCTCTATGGATGGAGGACGGGAGACAATAATGAAATGAAATGCACTAGGTTCCAGGGGGCTGGAGCCGTGATACTAAAAGCCGCATTGTTAGTCAAAGTGAGCGTAGCTCTGGGGCACAGGGTGCTCTCTGCATGGTTGGGTAGGGGGCCGAGAGGTTTGCCTGACAGCCACCTTTCCCTCTTCCCCTCCCAGTTCAGCGGAACATGCTAGACTTCCCGCAACACGTGTCTCCCTGCAAGGAGGTTCGTGCGGCCAGCACTGAGGCTGACAAAAAGCTCTCCGAGTTTGACGTGGAGATGAGCATGCGGCGGGACGTTTACCAGCGCATCATCTGGCTGCAGGTCAAAGTGGGGCGGGGAGGGGGTGGGACCGGTGCTAGAACTCCCCCAGGTGCCAGGCGCTTGCCCAGTTGCAACCATGCAGAGGTCTCTGGGCACCAGTTTGGCGACTGACATCTCCCTCTGGCTGGCCTCTCCAGGTTTCTTTTTTTATTTTTATTTTTTATTGAATGTTACAGTTTTTTCATCATCAGAATCATTATTTCAAAAACAAAATACATTACAAATCCTCAAACACCCCCCCCCCCTTGACTTCCCTCAACTTCCTTTTCTGGTTTTTTGGCATATTATATCTCCCTGCTTATTGGTTATTCTTTAAAAATTTTAAAGTAATTATTATTCTCTTATCATTTTAACATCCTATTTCTATTTCACATTTCTTATGTTGATTGCAAGTGTTTAATCAAACCTTGCAAGTGAGTCCATTTCTTTACATTGATTCTGTAAAGTTTATATAAATGGTTCCCAGTCTTTCTTAAAATCTCTATTGTCTTGGTCTTTCCATTAGTTTTGCCATTTTAGCGTATTCCGTCAGTTTCCATTCTTCTTTAGCTGGTATTTCAGCACTTTTCCTTCTTTGTCAGGCTTCCTCAATCTTCCTCCAGATGTTTTTTGGCCTACAACTCCCATGATCCCTAGCTAGCGGGGCCAGTGGTCAGGGATGATGGGAATTGTAGTCTCAAAACATATGGAGGGCTGAGGTTGAGGAAGCCTGATCTTTGTGCTAGCAACATCCTAGCCGTAGTTGTAGCATACATGAAAAGTTTTTTCTTCTCTTTCAGCAAATCTTGACCTGAAATGCCTAACAAAAAGGCTTCTGGGTTTTTCACAAAAGTTAGCGTAAACATTTTCTTCAATTCATTATAAATCATTTCCCAATATTTTTAAATTATACAATTCAACCACATATGAAAGAACGTACCCTCTTTTTCTTCACATTTCCAACACTTATTGGGGGAAATCATTAATTGCCTAGCACTTGCAGTTATTGATATTACTGCATGTCCTAGGCAATTATTTCCATGCAACTTTACACACATCTAACTTTCTAAGTAAAACTAAATTGTATTAATTTAACCAACTCATTTTTGTGCTGTCAGGCCTCACAGATGCCTGTTTTGGTATTCAGGCATCTGTATCCTAGAATCCTAGAAGGGACCCCCAGGGGTCATCCAGCCCAACCCCTCACAACGCAGAAATCTCAGCCAAAGCATCCCTGACAGAAGCCACCCAAGCTCTGCTTAGAAACCTCCAAGGAAGGAGAGTCCACCACTCAATCATTTTTTATTAAACTGATTTATATTTGGGCATTAGCCTAAAATATCAGAGTTGCACAAGTCAGGCGTCTTGAGTTTTTCAGCTTTCCAAAAATGAGGGGTGCTAAAAAATTGTAACATGAATTGGGAAATTGAAAGATATTTTTATTTTCCCTTTTCAGAAGGTAAAATGGAAATTCTTTGGTTTCCCGAAAGATGTTTTGGTGCTTCTTCATCTAACCTAGAGTTGCCTAGCTAAATGTTGTCCAATACATAGAAATCGTTAAAAATGACAGCTGAGTCTGGCAGTTATATGGTAGATTATTAAAATTATTTATTATTAGAATTACTTGATTTTACCTGACATTTTTAGAAGGCAAAGAGGATACTTGGTTTTGCTTAGGAAGTAAAATTTGCCTAAAAATGATTGCTGTATATTTGCAGTTATTATGTTTGTTTGTTCTTTTGTGTTCCATGATCTTTTCAGATGGTAAAATGGATGTTCTTTGGTTTTCCAGAAGCAGTTTTGGTGTTTCTTGGTCAACCACAAAAATACAAGCAGATTTGCTCACACCCAAAACCCTGTTTTTTAAAGACCCCTCCCTGAAGAAATTTGCAAAAATTAAGTTTAAATCAGCTTTTCATATGGAAGCATGAGGACTAGAGTCTTGCTTTATTGTTAGGCTTCAGGCTGCAGCTCAGTTTACAGAAATTAAGTTTTGCCCTACCATGAGCTTTAAAATCTGCAGGTGCATCAAGTGAACTGGGTGTAGGTGTTGCTCTCAGCCCTCGGGGCAGAGCTGGTGTGTGGCAGCAGTGCAGAGTGTGGGCTGTGAACCTGGAAAATCCAGTTTGCCAAGCAGCTCTCCTCTGAAGATCCATCTTCGCCCTTTGGCTGGGTAGGGTCAGAGCTCCTGACCATCTTTTCTCAACCTTATGGAGATGAAATAATAATATTAATAATAATAGCTGTTATTGTTGTAAGCCCTGGCCTATTTTCTGAACTGCTTTAAGTGGTTTAGAGATGAAATAATAACAACAACAATAATTATTATTAGTAATACAGTGGTACCTTGGTTCTCAAACTTAATTCGTTCCAGAAGTCCATTCCAAAACCAAAACATTCCAAAACCAAGGCATGCTTTCCCATAGAAATTAATGCAAAACAAATTAATCCCTTAAAAACAACCCCTAAAACAGCAATTTAACATGAATTTTACTATCTAACGAGACCATTGATCCATAAAATGAAAGCAATAATCAATGTACTGTACTATAAAATAAATAAGACAGTATTGTAGATGATAAAAATGAAAAATAATTTTTTTCTTGCCTGCACTGATGACAGTCATTGTTTGGATGGGAGGCTTTTATCCATTTCTGCAGAGACACAATCGATCAGGAGCTGAACTGGGTTCCGCACAGTCACCAAAACAAATGAACCGAAAAAGCCTCAAAAACAAAAATGCAAAATAAATACCAAAAACAAAAGTGCCAAACTTAATCGAATCGGGAAATCCGTTTGACTTCTCAAATGTCTTAATCCAAACTTAATCCATTCGGGAAACCAAGGCACGGCTTCTGATTGGCACAGGAGCCCCAGAAACAATAGCCGACAGTTGTATCGGATGTTCAGCTTCCGAAAAACGTTCGAAAACCAGAACACTTCCTTCCGGGTTTTTGGAGTTTGAGAACCAAGGTACCACTGTAATTATTTGATTTGTTGCTTCCTTGCAGGAGAAGCTGGAGAACACCTCCCTGAAGCCGGAAGCGAAGCGATACCTTGAGCGCCTGATCAAGCTGGGCCGGCGGAGTGGCCTCCATCTCCCTGAGGAGACGCAGGAGGTGGGAGACATTGCCCGGGGGGGGGGGGGGAGGCCCTGAGGGTCACCTGGCCTCCCAGGGGCACAGCTGGACTCAAGAGGCAAATCCGTGGCTCCTCTTGGGGAGGCTTGGAAGCGAAGGGAACGGGCTGGCCCAGCGCTGTGATTCCTGCCTTGCAGTGGGTTGGACTGGATGACCCTTGGGGTCCCTTCCAGCCCCCCCATTCTCTCATCCCAGCGGGGCTGGAGGGACGCCCCTGCCAGGTCGAAAGAGGCCTGGGAAGATGATGCGCAGCCTGAGACGAGGGACCCCTTCTTCCTCTCGTGGATTCACGGAGGCCTTTTAGCGAGTAAACTGCCCTGCGTGGATCGTGGGAATACGTGGGATCGGGAACCAGGGGTGAGGGCGGGGGGGGGGAGTTGTTGGGGGGGAAGCCAACTCGGCTCGGGGCCTTTTGCTGCCTCCAACCCCATTTCCCCCTTTCGCCCAGAAAATCAAAGAGATAAAAAAAAGGCTGAGCGTCCTCTGCATCGACTTCAACAAGAACCTCAATGAGGACACGACCGTCCTGCCCTTCTCCCGGGAAGAGCTGGGTAAGGGTGGGGCATAGCGGGTTGGACTAGATGACCCTTGGGGTTCCCTTCCAACTCTACCTTTCCATGATTCTTCATATCTGGGATAGCTCATTCGGTAGAGCAGGAGACTCTTAATCTTGGGGTTGTGGGTCCAAAACCCACCTTAGGCAGGATTCCTGCCTTGCAGGGGGTTGGGCTGGATGACCCTCAGGGGTCCCTTCCAACTCTCAGCCAAGCCCAATAATTTTCTCAACCGTTCCTCCCAGGTATGCATAGAAATAATTTAAAATACTTGTTGTTAGATTACAGATTAATGTTATTTTGCTTAGAAAGGGTAAATGATTGCCAAGTACTTGCCATTATATTACAGTTTCATTTTGTCATTTATTATTATTATTATTCCTGACCTTTTCAGAGGATACAATCTCCAGAAGCAGATTAAGTGTATAAAAGCATCAGTGCATAGCGTAATAATGAAATAATCCCAGTAACCCAATAATGGACGCCAGGCACCATGAAGCCTGCAATCCTCGCATGAAACTTGTACAGTTAAAGCGCCTAGTCCTCTGTGAGGCTCACCCCCATGGTGCCCTTGTCCTTCCTTGCAGGGGGTCTTCCTGAGGACTTCCTGAGTTCCCTGGAGAAGACTGAGGAGGGGAACCTGAAAGTGACCCTGAAGTACCCCCACTATTTCCCCCTGATGAAGAAGTGCCACGTTCCAGAGACGCGGAGGCTGGTGGAGAAGCAGTTCAACTCCCGCTGCAAGGAGGTAGGAGGCAGCACAAACCAAACAAATGAACGCCTTTTCTGCTTTCTGCTTGGAGAACGGCTCCCTTTCTCCCTGCATATCTCTGCTGTCACATAAAAACTCAGCAGGGACTCGTTTCAGCAAACTTGCAATTCAAATTTTGTCCCTCGCTCATTAAAAGCCGTCTGAGTTGGTGTCCTGTGGCGGTGAGTTCCGCAGATGGACCCTGTGCCGTTTCGCCCGCCCTGACCCTCCTGGCGTTCCGCTTCCTTGCATGTCACGAGTTCGAGTTTACGATACAGGGAGGAGAACCTCCCTGCACGATTCCATTTTCTTTGTTGAGGGTTTTGCTGCAGCCTCGTGTTTCCTTACATTTCTCAGAATGTCTGTTTCTCCATGTAGTTGATGATAAAGGCCTTTTCTGAAAGGGGGGGAATAAAAGGGGCTCCTTTGCGGTCTCCCCCACTGGCTGCCTCACCGCCTCCCCCCCTCCCTCTGGTTGCCACAGGAGAACTGCCTGATCCTGAAGGAACTGGTGGATCTGCGGGCGAAGAAGGCGGCTCTGCTGGGATTTGAGACGCATGCCGACTTCGTCCTGGAGATGAACATGGCCAAGGACTGCCAGACGGTGGCCTCTTTCCTGGGTAAGGCGTTTCTGCAGATGGTGAGCACATGGCTTCAGCCCCAAAGAAAGCGGGACGGTTGAAGGGTCTCCTAGGACTTCAGAGGTGGAAGGGACCCCAGGGGGTCATCTAGCCCAACCCCCTGCAAGGCAGGAATCTCCGCTAAAGAATCTGTTAAAAACCTCCAAGGAAGGAGAGGCCTTCTAATAGGTGCAAGGAAGTCTCTCCATTGTTTGTGTTTCTTATTTGCGTGTTTAGAAAACCTTTGACTAAATTCTTTATTAACAATAGTTATTTTTGAAAGCCAGAGGAGGTTCACAAACCCCTCCCCTGCTTTTCTGCTCCGGAGGGCAGGACCCGAACCAACGGATTCAGAAGGTGGTGGACTCTGCTTTGGAGGATTTTAAGCAGCTGTCCATCAGGGATTCTTTTGCTGAGATTCTTGCCTCGCAGGGGGTGGGTCTGGATGCCCCCAGGGGGTCCCCCAACCTTCCATTCTGTGGTTCTTCAGCTGAGCTTCCTGCCCAGCACAGGGTTGGTCTGGATGACCCCCGGGGGACCCTGCAACCCTCCTGCACTCTTCTCCCCCCCCCCAGATGAGCTGGCAGCCAAGCTGCGCGTGCTAGGCGAGCAGGAGCGGGCCCTGATGCTGTCCCTGAAGCGCCAGGAGTGCGAGCAGCGCGGCCTGCCCTTTGACGGGGGTCTCCACGCCTGGGACCTGCGCTTCTACATGAACCGGGTTCAGGAGACGCTTTACCAGGTGGACCAGAACCTGCTCAAGGAGTTCTTCCCCATGGAGGTGGTGACGGCCGGCCTGCTGGGTATCTACCAGGAGTTGTTGGGGCTCACCTTCCGCCTGGAGGAGGGGGCCCCCGCCTGGCACCCCGATGTCCAGCTCTACGCCGTGCAGGACGCCCACTCCGGCCAGGCCGTCGGGAAGTTCTACCTGGACCTCTACCCAAGGTGAGTCCCGGGGGGCGGAGGGTCAAAGAGCGTGCAGAAGGTCCCAGGTCCAGGGCTTCTAGTCTTCATAGGCCAGCAGCCCATAGAGCCAAAGATGCTGGGTAGACTGCCTCTGCAGCTGGAGGCTCCATAGTAAGAACACGGGGGCTGGATCAGCCCAGCAGCCCAACATCCTGACCTCACAGCAGCAAAATGCCCCTAGAACCGAGGAATCCAGAGTTGCTGTCTCTGCAGCTGGAGGCTCCAGAAAAGAGCTTTGCTGCTGGACCAGACCCGAAGGGGGCCCAGCCGGCCGGGCCTCCTAGTAGCCAGGTGCCCCCAAAGACCCAGGATTCCAGATCGACTGCCTCTGCAGCTGGAGGCTCCATCAAGGCATCCGACGACTCCCGCCACTGGATCAGGCCCAGAGCACCCTGGTCCCAAAGTAGCCGACCAGATGCCCTCCAAGGGAAGAATTTTGGTTGCTTTGTTAATAGCTAAACAGCAATTGTTTCATCAATGATTTGTAATTGCTTCACTGATGATTTGTTACTTATTTTCTAAGACTTGTGCTGCAGTTAGGATGTTATTTTACACGTTCACCAGTTAATGGTTGTAAAAGGTTAGGGATTCATCAGGATGGGAATTGGCAAAGAAATAAAATCTAGCAATCAGTCCAGAAGCTCCCAAGGGGTCCTGAGCACACCAGCCCTGTCCCCAGCTGCTGTCCCCGCCTTCTGGTTCCCCAGGGCAGAGAGGTTCTGCCATCCCAGGAGGCCTCGCAAGGAAGAGCCTGGCTGCTGCCTCGGGCCAAAGTCCAGCCCTGCTTCCTGTCCTTGCTGGAGTCCAGATAGACTGTCCTTGGCCCCGGAGGCTCCAGCCAGCCCCCAGAGAGTATCAGAAGCACAGCGTGGGAAGGGACCCCCAGCCCAGCCGGCTGCTCTGCCACAGGCTCTCCTTTGTCCCCGGAGCAGGGAGGGGAAGTATGGCCACGCAGCCTGCTTTGGTCTGCAGCCCGGCTGCCTTCTCCCCGACGGCAGCCGCCAGATCTCAGTGGCAGCCATGGTAGCCAACTTCACGAAGCCCACGCAGGACGCGCCTTCGTTGCTGCAGCACGACGAGGTGGAGACCTACTTCCACGAGTTTGGGCACGTCATGCACCAGCTCTGCTCGCAGGTGAGAGGCCGACCCGGGAGCCCTTGGCCCTCGGTCTTCTGGGCTGGAAGATGGGTCCGAGGTCAAGTTGCTGAATTTTCCAACTTTTGAAAATGAGGGGTGCTAGAAAGCAGTGAAGCAACCTGGGATTGGAAAGGTATTTGGGCTAAATTAGTGTGATTTAGTGTTGCCTGTTGGGTAAAACGTGTGAAACAGTGTGTAGGAATCATTAAAAATGATTGCCAAGTATTGAATGGCAGAGGTGGAAGGTACACCACAAGGTCATCTAGTCCAACCCCATGCAGGTACACAAGTATCCATGGCAGGTGGCCCCCCCACGGCAGCGTCACATAGTGGTTAGAGTGTCAGACTAGGTCCTGGAAGTGACCAGAGCTCAAATCCCCTGCACTCAGCCATGAAGCCCACTGTGTGACCTCTCAGCCTAGCCTGCCTCACATGGTTGTAGGGATGAAAACAGGACAAAGACTTGGGAGAGACCAGGGTTCGAATTCCCCCACCTTGGTCATGAAGCTTAATGACTAACCTTGGAGTTAGTCAGAGCCTCTCTCTCGGCCCCAACCTGCCTCACAGTGTTGTGGTGTCGATTAAATGAGGCCTGAGTGAGACCAGGGTTCAAATCCTTAGCCAGGAAGCTCACTGGGTAACTTTGAGGACAGTCCTGCAGCCCTTTGCTCATCCCCTTCCTCTCTGCCCCCGGACAGGCGGACTTTGCCATGTTCAGTGGGACCCACGTGGAGAGGGACTTCGTAGAGGCTCCGTCGCAGATGCTGGAGAACTGGGTGTGGGAGAAGGAGCCCCTGCGGCGGATGTCCACGCACTACAAGAACGGCGTGCCCATCCCAGACCAGCTGCTGGAGAAGCTCATCAAGTCCCGACAGGCCAACACAGGTAGGCAGCGTCCCCAGGGGGCTGCACGGGAAGGGCAGGAAGGAGCAATAACACCTGCAAAAGCATGCCTGGAATCGTAGCATTGGAGGCGGCCCAGGGGGTCATCCATCCAACCCCCCTGCAAGGCAGGAATATTTCGCCCAACGCAAGATTCAAACCCACAACCCTGAGATTAAGAGGCTCAGGTTCTACTGACTGAGCTCTCCCAGATCAAATTAAATCCTTTTGATGCATAATAGCAGCACCATACAGATAAGCAAGGAAATATCCCCTTTAACCCAGAAGCCGGTGTTTAGGCAATACATGCAAGACTGCTTAGTTTATTTTGTTTCATTCATTCATTCATTCATTTAATAGTTAATCAGCTTCCGCATCCCAGACTCCTCTTCATAAAGAAGGCGACACACAGTTTCTGGGAACCAGGAAATTCCTAACCCAAAGCGAGTCCTCTAGCTTTTGTTCTTAGCTTTTTGAACCTTCCTCTGGTTTAATTCCGTTTTTGGCTTTCCCCCCAGAACTGGATGGGCCAAAAGGCTCCCTGGCCATTTGGGGCAGGGGATGGAGACCCCAGAGCCCCCTCTCCCACTTTTCTCCTTTTCCTCCTCCTCCTCCTCCTCCTCTCTCTCCAGGACTCTTCAACCTGCGGCAGATCGTCCTGGCCAAGGTCGACCAGGCTTTGCACACACAGATGGACGCCGACCCTGCGGAGGAGTACGCCCGGCAGTGTGACAAGATCCTGGGCGTCCCTGCAACCCCAGGTAGCGGGCAGAGGAGGCTGCGGGGAACAGCTAAATCTGGTCAGGATCAGTGCAGTGTAGAAATCTGGTCAGATTCCGTGCCGCTTTGAAAGGTTTCACCTGCCCTCTTAATCCCAATGGGGCCTGATGCTCTCCTCCGCTTTGGTCTTGGGTTGCAATCTTTTGTTTTTACTTGTTTTAGTCTTCCTTGACTTTTTTTTTCTTTTGCCATTCCAATGTTTCCTTTTGGTCAAAGTTCTATTATTATATCCTTTTATGGTGTGGGTCTGTGAGAATGACGCATGGAAACGAAAAGATGGAGAGCTAAACCGCAAAATGGGCACGTAGGGCAAGTTTCGTTGCAGGAGGGTGAAAACAGCCGAGTCCCAGTGAAGGAAGACCATCCACGTAGTCAGAGTATGTGTCACAAAGGAATGCCAAACCATAGAAGAAGCCCCTGTAGGTTCTAGTCCTCACTGACCTCTCCACTGAGACCTCCCTTTCTCCATTATATTTTCACTTCCAGGGAGATTCTGTGGTGGGATTTGGGCTGTTTCCCATGGAGATGCAATGCCCCACGCAGACTATTGGTTGGACTAGATGGCCCTTGGGGGTCCCTTCCAACCCGACAATTCTGTGTCTAAGGGAAGGGTCCCCCAAGGCTCTCCTAACCTTCTCCCTGCATTGCCCCTTGCAAGGTACGAACATGCCGGCAACGTTTGGCCACCTGGCAGGGGGCTACGATGCCCAGTACTACGGCTACCTCTGGAGCGAGGTCTACTCCATGGACATGTTCTACACCCGCTTCAAGAAAGAAGGCGTCATGAACCACAAGGTAGGCAGGGAGCCCTCTGTTCCCATCGCCTCTCGTCCCTCAAGCCTCGGCTGCTTGTGCATAGGCAACCAGAGCTGCCTGTGTCGCTCACTGCCAGCCAAGAGCCTGGAATGGCCTTCGCCAAGCACTGGGTCCCGGGGAACTCCCTGCCACTGGGGATCAAAGTGAAAACCCTTCTACTCCACCAGGACTATTACAGTTAACAGTGGTGAATGGACAACCATGTTTAACTTTATGAAGTTTTATGAAACAGCCTTATGCATTTTTTATATATAACGACAACAACATAATAATAATAATTTATTATTTGTACCCAGCCCATCTGGCTGGGTTTCCCCAGCCACTCTGGGCGGCTTCCACAAAGACAAAAAATACACTAAGATGTCACACACTAAAAATTTCTCTGAACAGGGAAGTTTATATAAATAAATTTTATTAAGGTTAGTAGAGAAAAATACAAAACAATATCTTTCCCCCTAGGTACAATAAAAGCATAAAAAGTGGGGCAGAAAGAAATAAAAAGAGTAGAAAAGGTGGGGGGGGGAGAGAAATAAGCAGTGTGCAAACACTTTTATGCCAGAGAGGGCAGAGCCTCTGCACCCGCTGCTTTTCCCATTACATGTCCCGGAAGTGGCAGTTTATTGCAAGGCTTCTCAGGAGCTTCTGGACTCGCCTTCCCTGGAGGTGTTTCTGCAGAGGCTGGGTGGCTGCCTGCCTTGGATGCTTGAGCTGAGATTCCTGCATTGCCGGGGGTTGGGCTAGATAACCCCTGGGGGCCCCTTCCAACTCTTGAGTCTCTGATTTTGACCCGGCTTCTCTCTGGCTCTTTTCTAGGTGGGCATGGACTACCGGAACTGCATCCTGCGTCCCGGCGGTTCCCTCGATGCCTCCGACATGCTGCTCCGCTTCCTTGGCCGGAATCCCAGGCAGGATGCCTTCCTGGCCAGCAAGGGTCTTGCCGCTGACCCCACCAGCCCCCCCTCGTCCTGCTGAGACCTCCCCCTGCCCGCTTCCCGGCTGGGCGGCACTTGCAAGTCCTGCCTGGCGGCCTGCTTGTAGAAATAGCCTTGGGAGTGTGGGGGGGGGGTCCTCCTGGTTCTGGAGGGAAGGGGGTCTCTCAGCTTCCTGATTCCCTCCTTGGCCCACCCCCAGAGTCCCAACAAACCCATCTGACTCCTTTGCCCCCCCCCCCCCCGAAAATATAGTTTGCAAGGAAAAGGATTGTGCTTTTAACGATTGGTTTGGAGCTCTGATTCTTTCCTGCCCTTGGGTGGAGGCTGGAGTTTGCTGCCGCTTACAGTCAGGCTCCGGGTTTCCTGCCGCTTGCAAGTGGATCCCTGGCCTAGATCAGTCAGATCCAGGGCTCTTGTAGAAGTGTAAAGCGCCAAGCAGAGTTGCTGAAGGCAAGACGGGAAGGTGCTGCCCTGCCCTGTGTCTTCTGCTGCAGCCCCTTCTCCTCGATTTTCCTGCGGGGGACATTCACTCGCAGAGGCACCCCCTCCTGAGAGCTGCAGCTGCAGCGCACAGCGTCTGATGGAAGGCTGCATACATTATTGCAGCGGGGGAGGGGGGCTCCTCTTTCCTTCCCTCCATTTCTCTGATTTCCATGGGGCTAAAATTATTCCTATTCTTGCTTTGACACCCTTTGGAATTGATCTTAAACCCCAAATCTTAGCTCTGTGTATCAATTTAGCAGTGCAGGTTTGATGCAGTTTGCACAACCGTTCATTTGAGGCTGTTCTCAATGCTGGGTATTTGGGGGGGGGCAGGGAGCAAACCCCAGTTGACATCACCCCGTGGGGTTTTGTGCAGAACAAAATGGCCCCTCTTCTCCAAAGGAGGGCAATCATCGCCTCTCAGGAAGCGGCTGTCTATCAAAAGACCCTTACGGTTTTTAAGGTGGGACGGAAGCCATCGCGGTGCAGAGATCTGGTCTCAACTGAGATCCTGAAGGGGACCCCCCCCCCCAATCTCTGCCCCCTGTTTTCATATCCGTCTAACATGGATTGCGGATCGAGTTCTCTCCTGGCGGAAGCAAAAGGGTCCTGTGGACGCAGCTCGTCTTCTTAGCAGCAGCAGCCGGGGCTGAGGTTGGATGGCCAATAAAGGGTTTTTGAGATTTTTGTTTGGGGCTGGACTTGGCATTCTTGATGGAGGGGAGAAGGCAGCTTACAAAGGAGCTAGACCATGTTGTCTTGAGTGTGATTCTGTGGAGAGTGTTTGTGTGTGTGTGTGTGTAAGGGAGAGGAAAGAGAGAGAAGGAAGAGGGGAGCCTCTAAACCCCCAGATTGTCCGAGTTCCCCTCTTGTACTTCCTTGCAATAGACCTGATCCCCATGCACAGAGCACTGCGCCCTTTTCATAGAAGTGTGGTGCTGAGAGGGACCCCGAGTGTCATCCAGCCCAACCCGCTGCAATGCAGGTGTCTTGGCTCCAGCAGTGCCAGCTGCAATGCCCACCACTGCCCTTTAGGGGGCAGTCCGGGCTCTTCCATGCGCTTCAGAGACATCTGGGGTGCTGAGCATCCTTTGTTTGCAAAAACCCAGACCTCTGAGGAGGGGAGGAGGTCGGTGTTAATTTTAGGCCAGGCTCCATTTACAAACAGTGTTTATTAAAAGCCAGAGGGGTGTTTCTTCGTGCACACAGGGCGGGGAGGATTAGGTTTGTGGCTGGAGCACCACTGTGCGCTGGAGTGGGCCCAGGGCGCCTTATTCTGGGCACGCAGACGGGGCTAAATTTGTCCCTGGGGTGGGGGTCAGATTCCTGGGCTGCCGGCCTCCTCGTCTGTCTCGCCTGCCTCTGGATGCCTTGCCCTTCCTAGCATTTTGGCCAAATCTCTGCGCTTCCACTCCTAGCATACCCCCCCAAAACCCCCCACTATTTTTGGCCCGTGGGTCTCCGTATGCTGCTCTCCTTGGGGGGCCTTGTAATCATCTCCCAGCTTACATTTCATGCCTGGACCCCTGGAGATGGAAGAGTGGGGGGTGCTGGCAAGTGGGTGGGGGGTCCATATCAAGTCCAAAACAAGTGTGACCTTATTAGGGCACAGGATTGAAGCGGGGGGGGGGGGGGAGAGATTGTCCCTGCAATGTTGGCATGCCCTGCAGCTCCTGATTGTCATCTTGGCCTCTTAAACACCAAATTATTTTATTTTGGGTGAGGGTCCCTTGATTCCATCAGCCCCTCCAGCATTTCTCCTATAAAAATCAGGACATCCTCTCCATCAGGAAGCTTCTGGCACATTTGAGCTCACCACACACATCGGCATCACAGAATCATAGAGTTGGAAGGGACCCTGAGGGCCATCTAGTCCAACTCCCTGCAAGGCAGGAATATGCAGCTGTCCCCTGTGGGGACTGAACCGGCCACCGTGGCCTTGTCAGTGCCAGGTTCCCACCAACAGAGCTGTTCTGTCCTGGGCTACCTCTTGCAGTGAAGGAGCAGGCCAGAAATTGTAAAAAGCCCTCACCCTTCTTTCTGGGGCTGCTGTCAAGAATTGAACTGGCGACCTTCTGCAATGGAAAGCTGGCGTCTGTGTGGCCCTTGTGGGAACAGGGTGCTGGGCTAGATGGGCCCTTCATCTCAGGCTCATCTGAGGTTCGAGCCACATGTTGGGCAAAAGATTCCTGCATTGCAGAGGGTTGGGCTGGATGACCCTAAGGGGTCCCTTCCATTGTATGATTTTGCAGGCTTTGGGGAGGGGGCTTTGCTGCATCTCTCTTCTCTTCTCTCCCTGCCTTGAGCCCAAATGATTGTGTCTGCTCCTTTCTCTCCCCATGCCTTTCTCTGGCTGAAATAGCAGGACCAAATTAACTGCACTCAGGCAGGAGTTCACACGGTGGTGCAGGGGCAGCTTGGCCACCTGCTCTGTGTGCATAGAGAATGCTTTGAAAGCACTGCATCACGGGGCTGGACTGGATGACCCTTGGGGGACCCTCCCAACTCTACAGTGCTGTTTCTATGGAATTGCCGGTTCCAGGAGTGAATCAGGTGCATCTCACCAGGGGAGGTGGAGGCCCTTGCCCTGTATGTGCCAACGCAGGAGGGCACCAAGCCCCACAAAAGCCACCCCCCCCCCCGCCAACATCTGTTGCCACGGTTCCAGCAGCCAAGACTGGTGGGATGGGAGATGAGGGACGGGGCCTCTGGCCTCCTTTTTAACCCAGAGAATGTTCAACGTCCCGCTGCGTCTGGTCGTACTTATTTCAGGGAGCTGTAAACTCAGAACACATTTAGCATAGTTTACTATCCTGGAAGGGAAGGCATGGGCCGCGTGTCTGAGCCTGTTGCGTGCACAGCGCCCCACACCATATCCAGCCCAGGGCCCTGTCCTCACAGGGAACCTTGGATCCCGATGGATTGCCTGTGGGCCTGGAGGTTCCATAAGAAGAGCCTGGTTGTGGGATCAGGCCAAAGAGGCTCTCTGCAGTGGCATCTAAGCACCTAGGAATTGAGAGACTGCCTCTGGGGCTGGAGGCTCCATAGAAGACAATATGGTCAAAGGGGGCCCATCTAGTAAGCCACCAAGCAGGACCTGAGTGTCAGGCACTGCCCAGTGCTTGTTTCCCATTGTCTAGTATTCAGTGGTAGACTGCCCCTGGGCTTGGAGGCTCTACTATCCCATCCTGGTCTCATTCAGAAGCATTTGCTGTCTCCAAGAGGGGAGGGTGAGTGCAGCCATCACGGCTGCGTAGCTGCAGGTTCCAAGCTGGTCCCACCTGCGGTTTTGGCACCACAGAGTGGAGGGCAAGGGGCAAGTCGGGGGGGGGGCGGCTGGTGGAAATGCAGCCTGGAGACAAGAAGGGCTTGAGCAGGACGTGTCTCCCTGGGGTACAAGCAGAAGGTCTCAGGTTTGATTCCTGACATCTCCTTGCCTGAAAGCCTGGACAGCTGCTGCTGGCCTGTGCAGACAATATGGAACCCGACTCCACAGCTTTGTGTTAAGACCATGAGGACCAAAATCTTTATTTCCAAAGACAAGCTTGGTGGACAAGCACCTGGCTTTGCATGCAGGTCCCGGGGTTGAATGTTGCTCCTCTGAAACCCCCCGAGAGATCCCGACCAAGCCGGGGGGGGGGGCAGGGCCTGATCCTCAGTGGAGCAGCCAATGCACGTGCCCCACGGCAGTCGCATTCCTGCGCTGTGTTTCCCCAGGAGGTGGTGACATGCTTGTCCCAAGGACCTTGTCGCTCCTGAAGGTTTAATCTGCAAAGGGCGGGGGCAGCGATGGGGGGTGGCCAGGCGACCTTGGCTGGAGTAACTTTTTCCCACAGAGGGTGCACAGCATCACCCTATAGAGCCAACAGCCAGAGGGCCCCACTTCTCTGCTGAGGAGGAAGGATCGCCCCGCAAGGATGGGTTTGCCCACCTCCCAGGGGAAGCCGATGGCGCAAAGATGCAGGGAGGGTGTTTGCCCCCCCCCATTGGTCTGTACTTTTGAGATTACGGGATGTCTGCAAATCCGCCCTTTAAGTCAGAACGCTGATGACTTGAATCTTAGTAGACCTTTGGGAATAAATACAAGTTTGTCTTCAAAACAGGACTAGAATCTTGCTTTGCCCAAAAGTAAATGTTCAGAGAACCATAGAATGATACATTTGGAAGGGACCTCAAGGGTCATCTAGTCCAACCCCCTGCAATGCAGGAACCATTTGCCCAATGTGGGGCTCAAACCTGCAACCCTGAGATTAAGTCTCCTGACTGAGCTATCATAGCCAAGTGGCAGCTTGCTGGCCGGTCCTTTTGAGCCATCTCTGCTGGGCGGTGTAGACAATATGGAATGAGAGGCAGTGGACCTGGGAGAGACCGGGGTTTGAATTCCAACTCAGTTGTGTAGCCCCACCTTGGGGGCCTGTCGCTGGCTCTCAGCTTCACCTACCTCATAGGGTTGTTGTGGGGACAAAACATGAGAAAGAAGCCTGAGTCAAATGGTCTGAGTCACATTGCTTTAATTAAAAACAGGAATTTGGGAGGGAGCTGCTGTATCAGGACAGGGAACAGCTTAGCACTCGCCGCAGTCGTCATCACCGCTGCTTGCCTGAGGTCGGCCATGGGCAAGAATCCTGCTCTGCCCACTAAACCCCCCCCCCCATTTCTCCCATAGTCAGCTTGCACCCCACAGATCAAAACCCTCCAGCCACCAGAGACCCTCCTTCCCTTCCCTCGTCTTGGGGGTCCCCTTACTTTTTCCTCCTCACCAGCTCCGCAGAACCACCACCCTCCAGCCTCCACAACCAGCATGGCAATGTGTAGGAAGCCCCACCCCAACCCCAAACCCCCTCGCCCCCAACCACTGGCTGTCCAACCCCACCGGGACCGACAGCTGCCTGGACCCACAACTGCCCCCTTTCTGTACCACTTGCTTATTATCCTCATAGATTTCTAGAGTTGGAAGGGACCCCAAGAGTCATCCAGCCCAACGCCCTGCAATGCAGGAATATCCCACCCAACATGAGATTCGAACCCGCAACCCAATCTGCCGTCTCCGCTGCCTCAGGCTTCATCCTGCCCTCATCACCTGCTTGCTCCTAGGCTGCTCCTTACAAGACACAAGGATCCTGCCTGGAGTTCCAACCCTTGCACAGAGCCCCCACCACCACCACCTGGCCCCAACCGCACATGGGGGGGGCAGAGCAGGATCTGGCCAGCAGCCGGTGAGTGACAGGGCAGCGAGTGTAAGTGGGCTCAGGGAAAGGGGGGTGCTGGGAGGGCTCTGCTACAGGCAGTGCAGCATGCTCAGGGCATAGCTGAGGCGCTCTCGCAAGGGGATCGTCCAACCTCGCAGGACCAGCGTCTCCAGCGGGAAGGTCCTGCTCTGGCGCTGCCGGTCCACAAAAGTCAGGAGGTACCCCCCAGCTGACGTGGGGCTCAGCACAAGCTTGGTGCGGTCGTGGTAGAAGTTGACCTGGGAATGGGGGGCAGAAAGGGGAGGAAGTGAGGGATATGTAGAAACAACTTGGTGGGAAAGAAAAACCGTAAGATGGAGACACCCCACCCCACCCAGGTGACTCTTACCTGCAGGGTCCCGTCGCTGAAGAGCATCAAAAGTGCCTCCTGGGACTTTGCAAAGTGCAGGAGGCAGAGGTTGTCCAGCGAGGTGGTGGGACTTGCCTGCTGGTGACCCCCCTGGGGAAGGAGGAGGGGAAATTGTAGAATGGCAGAGATGGAAGTTAAAGCTATGGTTTTCCCAGTAGTGATGTATGGAAGTGAGAGCTGGACCAAAAAAAAGGCTGATCGCCGAAGAATGGATGCTTTGGAATTCTGGTGCTGGAGGAGACTCTTGAGAGTCCCATGGGCTGCAAAAAGATCAAACCTCTCTGTTCTGAAGGAAATCAGCCCTGAGTGCTCACTGGAAGGACAGATCCTGAAGCTGAGGCTCCAATACTTTGGCCACCTCATGAGAAGAGAAGACTCCCTGGAAAAGACCCTGATGTTGGGAAAGATGGAGGGCACAAGGAGAAGGGGACGACAGAGGACGAGATGGTGGGACAGTGTTCTCGAAGCTACCAGAATGAGGGAGGCAGTGGAAGGCAGGAGCGCCTGGTGTGCTCTGGTCCAGGGGGTCACGAAGAGGCGGACACGACCAAATGACTAAACAACAACAAGAAGAGATGGAAGGTCCCCTGAGGGTCATGTAGCCCAACCCCCTGCCAGGCAGGAATCTTTTGGCAAATGAGGCTTGAACCCACAACCCTGAAATTATGGGTCCCTTCCAACTCTACAGCAGTTTATTTTACATTGGATACAATTTAAAAAGCACTGGGGTTCAGGGGGGCACCAGCTCTCGTCTCCTGGCTGCTCGCCTCCCATCCTGCTCTGCTCACCTCCAGGAGTCGCTGCTGCATGTACCGGCTGAAGAAGTGGAGAACCCCCATTTTCATGGTCAGCGAAGGCGGCACGTCTCTCCGCGGGAAGGATGAGGCCTCGTGGAGCTCGGGGCAGTAGCAGACGCGCCTGGGGGGGGGGGTGCAGGGAGGAGAGATTTTTAAGAAACCAGCAGGCAGCTCAAGCCAGCTTCTTTTCCTCTGCCCTCCTCAGCCCCTTCTGCGCTCACTGAGAGAGCAGGAAACAGGGTGGGGCGGCACTCACTGGCGTTGCGGGCAAAGCGCGATGTGGGTCCCATCAGCCAGGAGCACTCCGGTGGAGCCGTCCGAGAGCAGGTAGCTGAAGCCGTACTTGTTGGAGTAGTCGACCCACTTGGTGACCATCTGGACGGGTCCAGCCCTTGGGGGCCCCTCGGGATCCTCTTCCGCTGCAGAGAAGGCAGGAAGGAAACGTTCGGGCAGGAGGGGGGGGGAGGAGCTCACCCCCCCCCAAAAAACCTCCTTTAGGTTTTATCTCCCTCCCTGCATTTTCTAAAATCGGGTCTGTACTTTATAGCCTCCTAGGGGTGCAGCAAAAAACAAACAAACCTTCCAGCCTATTTGCAAAGCTAAGCAGGGTCTGCTGTGGTTTCAAATTGGGTGGAGGGGATGCAAGTTGAGATTCTTCCCTTGCAGGGGGTTTGACTACATGACCCTCAGGGGACCCTTCTGATGTGTTGTTCGAGGGGAAAATAGTTCTTTCCTGTGCTTATTTTGTTATGTATTCCGTGGTTATTATATTGTAATTTAACATAGCTGACCACCCTGAGATCTGCAGATGAAGGGCAGGATACAAATTTAAATAACAAGAATTCTGCTGCACTGCTGCTGCTTCTGATCTGAATCCAATAATGGCAGAGTCGGAAGGGACCCCGAGGGACATCCAGCCCAACCCGCTGCTATGCAGGAATCTTTCGCCCAACGTGGGGCTCGAACCCACGACCCTGAGATTAAGAGTCTCGAGCTCTACCAACTGAGCTCTCCCAGGTCAGAATAATAAGGGGCTCCTTTACTGACACCCCCCCCCAAAATCTGGAAGAAATGAAATCTGAAGATGGGACCCTCAACCTTCCTTTCCAAGAGGTCCAGTTTCTCACTCCTCCAAGGTGCTGCGCAGACATTTCCAGGCTGTGTGATGACATGAGGGTGACCCCAAAGGTGGCCATTTAAGTTGGGCAGAGACAGTCCCTTCCAGGGACAGGGGGTGGGAGGTCAGAACGCAGCCAGTTCCTGGGCCTGGGCATGCAAACAATAGGGAGCCTCACCCAGGGGGATGGTCTTCAGGCAGGTCCGCAGAACTTCATCCACTTTGGCCATCATGCTCCTCTCGGCATCGGCTGGAGGAGAGACAGAGATGGAGTGAGAAGCAGCGGGCGCTGGGGGCAGACTCTCCACCCGCATCTCTGCCCCCCACAGCCTTCCAAACCCTGCAGGTTCCTGGCCCCCCATTTCCTGAGCGCTTAGCTCATTCCTACACGGGACAGCCGAGATGGGAAGCTGCTGCAGCCTTGTCCTGAGCTGGGCTGGGCCTGGATATGGAGGTGCGTCCCAGCCCCACCCCTCTTCTCCTCCCTTCCTGCCCCAAATTCCAAATTAGAGGTTTGGGGGTTCAAATGTTGCAGCTCCCTTTCTGGAGGCCTCTTGGAGCCACCCCAGAGCACCACAGAAGGAGGGTGCTGAGTTTGGGGTTGCCTTTGTCACTGACCCCCACAAGCCTCCCCAGGCTACCCGCTTCTTCCCAGCTCACACCTCCCTCTGGCTCTGTGGCCCAATTTTTCTGCATCTTTCAGCTCTGATAACCCCTGGAACCACAGAATGGTAGAACTGGAAGGGGACTCCAGGGGTCATCCAGCCCAACCCCCTGCAATGCAGAAACAGAGGACAGCCTCCTGTCATCCTGTCTGTTTGGGTCTCTGGCAAGCGGCCCTCAGGCTGGGAAAAGGAGCTGCTTCACTCCTGCTCGGCCCAATCAGGAGATCCCCCAGACTCTCAGCCGCAAGCACCCCAGTTCTTGGCCTCTGTGGTGCCACTCACCTGCCTCCCGGCTGACATTCAAGGAGCCCCTCATGAGGAAGCAGACGGGGAAGGTGGCTGTGTCCTCAGTGGCATTCTGGCTGTCCTCTTCCACTTCCTTGCAGAGGACAAGAAGAAAGAAGCAGCCCGTAAAGCCCACAGAACAGGGTGGACTGGGAAGCCCCCCTGCAGCCCCCACTGAGGACATCTGGGAGGGAAGAGGGTGGGCCACTCCCCTAGGAACTTCAGAGATTGTTTGCGCCTGGACATCACTAGGCGCCATTTTGAATCACCAGATCTGTATCTGCGGTGTGCTTGTGTTCATCGCATTCATAGTCTACCTTTCCTCAAGGAATCATAGTAAAGTTGGAAGGGGGTCCCCAAGGGCCATCTAATCCAACCCCCGGCAATGAAGGAATATGGGGGCTTGCACCTGTAGCCTTGGAGTTATCTGTCCCATGCTCCAACCAACGGAGCTATAATTTCATTATGTTCCATTTCTGGTTTTTCAGATCAAATGATTTTCCAGACTATTTACGGATGCCGCCTTTGTCCTGCTCCCCCCCCCCCGGGTGGGGCATGTTCTCACTCACCTTGGCGGCCGTAGTTGCTCTCCCCTTACTGCAGAAGGAACAACAGAGGCTGGGCACCCTGGTCTTGCCTCCAGCCAGTCATGTAAGTCCAGTGAGATTCTAGCCAGGGACTTCCTGGCTGCTCAGTCTCACAAATCAATCCATCAGTTGATCAGTCTCCGTGATATGGGCAGTTACCATGCACAAGGACGCCAAGAAGATCCATTTGGGGGCACCAGATTTTGGCCTCACTCAGGGTGCCCTATTACCCAAGACTACCAAAGTCTGACCCGGATTGATTGACACACACAGAGCCATTTCTTACCAGGCTGGGGGTCTCGGCAGGCATCCCAAGTGGTGGCATCCCTTCTGCCTCCTGGGGTGGGGGGCTCACTGGGGGAGAGGCAGAAGAGGGGCCCCATTAGATTCGCAGCCTTTGGCGGGGCTCACTCCCTGATGGCTCAGCCGTGCAGGGGAAAGAGGGTGGGGTCATGCCCAGTAATGCCAATTTAAAACCGAAATAGATTTTGCATTTCAATTTGTTTCAAAATTGGGGCGCACACGTTCATGCCCTTTTGCATGGCACCTGACCCTCCCCTTACGTGGGACTGAAGGATTAATCGAGGAAAGCAAGGTTGCCTCTGAGCCTGTGGAGAGCGCTGTCCCCTTCTTCAAACAGTGCGTCATTAAACTGTGGAACTTGCTGCCCCAGGAGACAGCCATGGCTCTTCTGAGAGAACCTCCAGGTCTAGAGGCAGTCTATCATGATTCCTAGATTTTTAGGGAATTTGGCTACTGTGGGGACAGGACGCTGGACTAGAGGGGCCCCCTTGGGCCTGATCCAGCGGTTCTACTGTTACATTGCCTCTTACCCAGGGCTCCATTGAAAAGCGAGGTTGCCTCTGAGTACGTGGAGAGCACTGTCCCCTCTCTGCTAGACTGTGGAGGATGGTCTCCCATTTGGGGGGGAGTTCCTGGTGGTCTCCTCACCCCACCCCTCGCAAGCGAAGGCTCACCTGTCCGGGTCTCCTGGCACAGGGAGCCACGCAGGAAAACCTTCGCTGCTTTCTGGAAGAACTTCCTCAGTGGGTTGGGAAGCACGAAGAGCGGGGCAGAATGACAGGCGCGGGAAGGCAGCTGGGTCGGGGTGAAGCCCTGGCGAGAGAGAGAGCAGGATGAGTCCCTTCACGCTCCCAAGCCACGCTTGCAAAACGAGGAAGCAGCAGAATGCGGGAGAACATCCCGGCTGCTCAAGGCGAAAGCAGAGTCGCTTGTGGGTGAGAAATGTCGACCTGGATTGGAAATGGGGCCCTTTCCCTTTTCCCTTTCCCCTTCTTTTTCCCTTTCCCTCTTTTCCTTTTCTTCTTTCCACACAGGAAGAAGGCTCAGAGCTCGGAGAGGGGTGGTGGGATGGCAATGAAGGGTCAGAGGGAGAAGACGGGGAGGAGGAGGTGTTGAAAGCTGAAGAAGTGACAGGTCTTAGTGAGCGGGGAGAGTCTGTGGCAGAGAGAAGTCCAGACTCAGAGGCAGGAGCTGAAGCAGGAGAGGAGGGAGACCAAGAGGCAGAGAGGGGAAGAGCCATGGGGGTCTCCCCCTCCTGCTGCAAGAAGCTCCCCTCCCCGCTGGTCTCCCAGGACCAGGAGAGGCATGAAAAGGGTGGAGCAGAGTTTGGCTTAGTCTCTGATTGCTTGGGAAAGACCCTGGAGAGGAGGCAGGGAGCTTCCATCTCAGCAACTGACTTTCATGCAGCGAGACCACCAGGAAGGAGCTGCTCTACTCACTAGGCCAAGTCTGTGCAGATGGTGGTTTTGCTAGCAAACAGTTAACTCCAACTTTGAACTGCAGCATGGGGGTAGAGCCTAAGACTCTGCCAGTCAGGGTCTGGGCATTCTCCCTGGTTGCAAGCTAGTTTCCCACGGCCTCATGAGAACTGGGATCTTAGCTCATGTTCCTCTGCCCAGCCTGCTGGAAGAGATCCCAAGTCAGAGACCCTGCAGAGCCACTGCGTCTGGGAGCTGCTTTGCCCCTGGGCACCCACCTGGGTGAAAAACTGGTGGGCGAGGGTTTCTTCCAGGGTGGGCCGTGCTTCAGGATCGGGGGCCAGCAGCTTCCCAATGAGGTCCCTGGCACTGGGTGAGAGGCGGCTGGGGGTGGGGTAGCGCCCTTCCCGGATGCAGCGGTACATCTCCTGCTTGTGGGTGATCTCAAAGGGGGAGCAGCCCGTGAGGGCCGTGTACCTGGGGGAGGGGGTGAGGAAAAAGAAGCAGTGGGTCAGCCAGAGAGCCAAGGAGGGGACCCCATAGATCCTTTATTTCATTTTCTGCATAAAACATAGAGAATGACTGGCAAAAAAGCAAAAACAGACCTAGAGGCATGTAGGATAACTCAGTTGGTAGAGCAAGAGACTGAATGCCAGGGTCGTGGGTTCGAGCCCCACCATGAGCGAAAGATTCCTGCATTGCAGAGGGCTGGACTAGATGACCCTGGGAGGTCCCTTCTAAGTCTGCAATTCTGCAATTCTATTATTCCTTTCCACCAGAGTTACTTACATGATGCAGCCAAGGGCCCAGACATCCGACTTGAACGAGTGCCCCTTTTTGGCAATGACTTCAGGAGCCAGGTAATTGGGGGTCCCACAGACCACTCTGTGGGGAGAGGAAAGGCCCTTTAGGGAAGGAGGAAAGCAACAGCAACACTGAGGAAGCCAGGCTTCCCTTCTGCGTGCAGGACAGGTGCTCTAGTCCGCATCATTCTGAATTAAACAGGAATAGAGGAATTTTCCTTATACCGAGTCCAGCCATTGCTCCATCTATCCCAGCGCTGACCGGCAGCAACGACTGTCCAGGGTTTCAGACTCAGCCATCTCTCTCAGTCACCCCTGCTGTGGACCCTGCCACCTTCTGCATGCCTAGCAGCTGCTCTGCCCCTGGGCTGCAGCCTATGAGGCTTCTATCAGCAAGAAGGTGGGAGATTTGAACCCACAACCAGATGAAAAACTGGATCAGATTTGCTGCAGACTCCTCCTCCTCCATGGAGGTCTGGGCAGAGCTTGCTCTGGAAAGCTGATGGATCCAGGTGGTACCTCGGTTTATGCACTTAATCCGTTCCGGAAGTTTGTTCTTAAACCGAAACCGTTCTTAAACTCAGGCGCGCTTTCTATAATGAGGCCTCCCGTGCCAGTGTCCTTCCACCGTCTGGATTCTGTTCTGAGACCAAGGTAAAGTTTGCAAACTGGGACACTACTTCCGGTTTTGCGGAGTTCGTAAACCGAATCATTCGTAAACAGGACTGTTCTTAAACCGAGGTAGCACTGTGTAAGGAAGCTGGCTTTCCTCCCCGCCCTGCGAGAAATTAGGGATCCTTCTGTGCCCCATCAGAAACAGAGGCTGCAGAATCACTCATGAGTAATCCCCATTGGAACAAGACGTTTTCCTTCCGAGGACACCTACAAAAGTGTCAGACTAGGACTTGGGAGAGGCCAGTGTTCAACTCTTGCCCCTCAGGCAGGAATCTGACTGGTTGAGCTTGGGGACCAGTTGCTGCCCCTCAGTCTGGCCTACCCAGTGGCCATTGTGCGGATCAAGTGGGGAGGGAGGGGAGAGAAGCAGGCATGGGGTCCCCTGAAGTCCTTGGAGTTAAGAAAGGTGGGATGCAAATGCATCAAAGGAAGGAATAACTAAATATTGCAACTCCAAGGCTTTAATGTCTGCCTTTACCCCACCAGGAAATCCAAGGCTCCCTTTCTCTGCCCAGCCACCCCATAATACTCACCCTCTCCTCCGGTTAGCCTGCTCCTCATGAGTCGCCAGCCCCAGGTCCCCAATCTTCACCTGCATGGTCTTCGTGATGAAGAAGTTACCTGAGCACATGAAGAGTTCAGAGGTATAGAGAGTCCCATCTTTTCCCACGCTAAGTGCCGGACAGTTGCTCCCAGAGAAGAGCCAGTGGGGTCCTGGGAGATCCGGGTTCAGATCTCGCCACTCAGCCATGGAACTCCCTGTAGGCCAGGCAGTCTCTCAGCTTGGCCTGCCTCACAGGGCTCTTGTGAGGACAAAGCGGGCCAAAGTTTGTGCTGTGTGCGCTCCTTTCAGAACAGAAGGAACAGAATGAAGAATAAACTTGGAGGCTGCATTGGGCAACAACTGGGGGGGTCAGTGGGTGCCCTTTTTTACCTTTGAGGTTTTAGCATGTTTTTATATCTGCTGGAAGCTGCCCAGAGCAGCTGGGGCAACCCAGTCAGATGGGTGGGGTACAAACAATAACATTATGGAGAGCTCCGTTGGTGAGAGCTTGGTGCCGACAATGCCAAGGTTGCAGGTTCGACCCCCGTCAGGGACAGCTGCATATTCCTGCATTGCAGTGGGTTGGGCTGGATGACCCTCAGGGTCCCTTCCAACTCTACAAATCTATAATTCTATGACTGGAAAAGGGAAGTGTGTGTTACAACAAGTTCACTTTTTCAAAGAATGGGTTTCCTTGTGCAAGAATGGCCTGTGACCTCAATTGGCGGGCATGGGACCGAATCCTACCTCCAAATAGTGACAGTCTGGTCTGGAGGCCCTGCAGACCTCTGCAGAAGCAAACCAGGATGGGTGCTGTGGTCTGCCAGGAAAGGTCTTCATCTCCCCTCCCACCTTTCCCTTGTTAAATTTGCTAATAAAAATAAATTTTGCAAAAGCACGACTTCTTGATAAGCAGGCTGTCTGGAAGACCTCGGGCTCTTTGCAAATGCACGATGTCGGCTGGAGGCTCAGGATGCAGAGACGCTTGTGCATGTGTGTGAGAGAGATCCTTGCTCTGCCCTTGCAGGCTAAATCAGATCAGCGTTCGCACTCAGAGCCTCCCGCCCCTGGCAATAGTGCCATGAGGTCACCCTGCAGGCATTCGCTCTGCCCCCACCAGAGTCATCCTGGGCTGCTGTGTATATTTTTAACCCCCTCTCCAAAGCCCAGGAGGGTCCCAGGACGGAGAGCGAATTGGGGGCACTGGGTGATTAACTCTTCCTGCGCTGCAGTGCCAATAACGGCATCCCATCCCTTGCCTGGCGGGTGTGAGAGCAAATTGGCTCTTCTGGTGCAGAAACAGGGAGCAGATCTCTCCCAGCGATGAAGGCAGAGAAAGGACCCTTCACACCTTCCATGCATTTCTCAGCTTTCACATTCCGAAAACAAGAGGTGCTAAAAAGTTGCAACATGATTTGAAAGATGTTTCATTTAAGTGAATATAGTTTAATTTCGCCTGGTAAGCGAAATGTGCATAAAAATGCATAGAAATAATTAAAAATGACTGCCAAGTACTTGCAGTTATATTATAGATTATTATAGATTGTTGTTGTTATTGATTACCTAAGATTTTCAGAAGGCAAAATTAAAATTCTTTGGTTTTCTAAAAGACATTTAGGTGCCTCTTCATCAAACAAACTTGCCAAGCTAAATGTTGTCCCATCACAAAATGTTGTCCCAGCAGAATTCCTCAGGCCCCAAAGCATATTTCTAAGACCCATCACTGAACAAATTTGCAAAAATTAAGTTTCGTCCTCTAAAATGACACACCCTGTCATGAACCTTAAAAATCTACAGATTGTGCACTGGTGGGGGGGGGGGCGGTGGTTGTTGCTCTGAGCCATTGGGGCGGAGCTGATGTCTGGTAGTGGTGTGGAGCATGGGCTAGGAGGCTGGTGGTACCCCATTGGAGGTACGACTCCTCCCCTAGCACCCCATACAGGTCTCACGGGTGCGACCGCAGCACACCCACCACGGGTCCATTGGAGCCCCCCTCCCCCAGCCGCCAGACACCTACTCAGCTTGAGGTCCCGGTGAATGATGCCTTGCTGGTGGAGGTACTGGAGGCCAGCAATGACTTGCTTGAGGTAGAAGCGGACCTCAGGCTCCGTCAGCGTCTTGCGGGCTTTCAGGATGTGGGCCAGGGACTGGAGAGAGAGAACATCAGGGTTTTAGCAGCCTCACTCCAAATCCCAGGGTCCCAAAGGGTGCCGCTCCCCACAGGTCATCGGGGCTGAATTGCACCCCCCAAAAAAAGAAATCTTATGGGGACAGCTGCATCTGTTGAATTGCCTGCCCTTTTGTGCAATGCTTGTGCAATGTGAAAGAGCGTGGCCTGAGATGACAGAAAAGGATGGGGCCCCTGGTGAAATTCCTTACTGAAGGGGGAGAAGCTCTGTTTGGTTTTGCGCCGGGGAAAGCATGGGGTGGGCAGCCGGGGACAATACTGGTGCCAGACTCTCCACATTCTGTTGGGGAGGGAGTGGCTTTAGCCAGGCCAGCAAAGAATTGTAGAAGTGTAAAGTTGGAAGGAACTCCAAAGGTCATCTAGTCCAACCTGCTGCAAGGCAGCAATGCAACTGCAAGCCTCTTCTAGCAGATGGCAGGTGGGTCAGAACAGCAAAGAAAGCTTCAGGGTGCCAACTTCTTAGCACCTTCTGAACAAATAATAATAATAATAATAATTTTATGATTTATACCGCGCCCATCTGGCTGGGTTTCCCCAGCCACTCTGGGCAGCTTCCAGCAGTATATGAAAACATTATAAAACATCAAACATTAAAAACATCCTGATACAGGGCTGCCTTCAGATGTCTTCTAACAACTGAGTAGTTATTTATCTCCCTGACATCTGGTGGGAGGGCGCCACCACCAAGAAGGCCCTCAGAGCTGGACCTCAGAGCAAGGGGTGGTGTTGTCGAGAAGCTCCAATGGCCAGCTTCAGCAGACTGGGCATTTGTCAGAAACACTGGAGTAAACTGAGTCACTTTTCCCCAGGGATTCTTGAACTCCAATTCCTGCATTGCAACCCTGCAATTCTATGGACTGTAGCAGGAACCCCCCACCCCAATCATTCAGTTTGTACAAACTTCACACACTCACACTCACACACTACATATGCCACACTTCTGTTATAAATTCATAGAAAAATCAACCATACATTGGATTTGCACTGTTCCATTTTTATTTTACTCCATATGACAAGGACTATCAAAGGGGGGTGGCTTGGTTCTGGTCAGCCATAATCCCTTCACCATCCCAGCACATCCACAGGAGCCCTGCCCAGTTGCTATGCCAACCCTGATGGTCCTAGACAGAAGACCATCAAGATCACAAAGAACTTGCATATGGGAGTGGATTCAGCATGGACTGAAACAAAGGACAATGATCAGATCTTCCCTCTGGGGGCAGGAAACTGCCAACTCCCCTTTGTCTCCTGGAAGTGACTCATGGGGAGGGGGAAAGGAGGAACCAGCCAGGTGACAGGACACTCAGGTTACCACCACAACTCCTCCCTCAACCCCTCCTTTCTGTAATGTATGCATGATATTTCTGGGGGTGGTCTTCATCTACAGGGTGGCAATTTCAAAAGTTTTTATAAGGTCTTGCACACCATCTTTCTGGGTCTTTCCTCTCTCTGGCAAGTAAGGGGAACACCCTGTTGCAACAGTTCAATAAAGGCCAAGCCTACAGGCTGCTGTTTTGCTTCAAGTTATCCTGGTTGGTGTCTTTATTTTGTCCAAGGGAGCCCTCGGATTTTTCCGGTAACAGGACAACTTTCTGTATTCCATTGCAGGCGGAAGGAAGGAAGGAAACCCTTTGAGGGCCCAGCCCGTCAGCTCCCTCTCTGCTCTGGCTCTCCCTTTCTCTCTCTTTTTCTCACCTTCCGACTGCAGTACTCCAGGACCATGTAGATGTTCTCCTGGTCAGCAAAATGCCGGTGGAAGCCGACAACATTCCTGTGCTTGAGCTGGCTGTGCAGCTCGATCTCGCGCTCGACCTGCAGGGGGTGGGGGGAGAAAACCACGAGGTTCCTGCTAAAGCGCCAACAGAGACACCCACCCACCCACCTTGCGCCAGCAGAGAGGAGAGGAGCCACGGGTGCAGGTGCTGGAGTCAGCGAGAAACTCAGCAATATCTACAGTATATATATTTACGACGTCCAAGGACAAAGGAGAGCAAAGCGAATGGAGAATCTGCAATGAGAAAGGAAGGCGCCGGCCTCTGCCTCTGCTAGAGACCGTTGCCCTTTGCCCGCCCCCCCCCCATTTTGGCAGTCTCCCCACTTTCCAGAACCTTAGACTGGAAGCTCTTTGGGGCAGCATCCCTTTGGCTGCATGGCGCCTGGCGGCCTCTTAGCTCACATCCTATGCGACTGGGTGCTTTTTGCAATATTCCCTGCCCCAAGGAGCTTCTGATCCCAGGTTGGCAAGGGTGTAGTGTGGGGACTGGGGGGTCGTGGCCCTGGGCACACAATTTTGAGGGGTGCAAAACAGGCACTGGCTTCCAAGGGAATCCCTGTTCTTCCCTGTCTGCCAAAGTGCCCGGAGCCCAGCCTGGGCCAGCCACCATGTCCCCGGGCCCCTTGCCGAAGGGCCACCTGGCCAGCACTTGCTCTTGGATGGTGAGGACAGAGGGAGGCAGACAAGGGGCAGCCTTGGCAGGGCCTGCTGCAGCACTCCTCTCTGCGGGCATGGGGGGGATTTGCCTGCCATGGGCCACGTCAGCTGGCTGGACTCCTCCCTGCACAGGTGGGCAGTGCCCCGGACACCAGCAAGGCACGCTAAGCCACTGGCTGGGTAAAATGTCATGGGGAAGTGGAGGCACGGAGCTGCGCTGGGATCAGGAGGGGCAGGGTCATGGCAGGGTCACACATCCATCACAGATCAGATCCCCCAGATGCATTTGCTTCACAGATGATAATAACAATTAATAATAATTTTTTTACTTATACCCCACCCACCTGGCTAGGTTTTCTCAGATTTGAGAAAAGCCCTGCAGTAGACAGATCAGGCCCATCGCAGCTAGCATCCTGCCCTCACAGGAGCCAACCAGACACCCCAAAGGGAAACTCACTAGCAGGACCTGAGAGCAGCAGCCTTCTCCCACTCCAGCGTTCTAAGATAGGCTGGCTTGTCCATGGAGGCTCCATTGAGGAATCATAAGAAACTAAAAAGAGCTCAACTGCTGGATCAGACTCAAAGGGGGCCCATCGATTCCAGTCTTCTCTTCTCATAGTGACCAAATACCCCTAAGAACCAAGCAATCGAGATAGACTGCCTCTGGACCTGGAGGTTCCATCAGAATGTAAGAAGAGACGGCTGGATCAGGTCAATGGCCCATTTTGCCCAGCATTCTGACCTCAGAGTGGCCAACCATTATGAGAAACCTACAAACAGGATCCGAGCACAAGAGCAACTCTCCCCTCCAGCAGTTTCCAACAACTGGGATTCGGAAGCCTCTGACTGTCAGGACAGAGCATAGCCATTGTGGCTGGTAGCCATCCAAAGCCACCGTCTCCTCCTTGAATTTGTCCAATCCTCATTTCAAAGCCATCCAAGCTGGTGGCCGTCAGTGTCTCCTGTGGGAGGGAGTTCCACTGTTTAACTCTGTGCTGCCTTCTTTAATCTACTGGAATTTCAGCTTTGCCCATGAGTTCCAGCGTCAGGAGAGGAAGAAAAGCTTCCCTTTGCCCACTTTCTTCTACTTTGCATGATTTTAAGCCTTGTTTAAATGCTCAAGTGCAGAGGAACGCCACCCTTTAGGTGGGAATAAAGGGGTCAGGAAAAGAAAAGTGTGTGTCCCCCAATATTGAGAAAGGAGAGGAAGGGCCTTCCTTAAAGCATTTTTATCCTAAAGGTAAAGGTAAAGGGACCCCTGACCATTAGGTCCAGTGGTGGCCGACTCTGGGGTTGCAGCGCTCATCTCGCTTTACTGGCCGAGGGAGCCGGCGTAGCTTCCGGGTCCTGTGGCCAGCATGACTAAGCCACTTCTGGCAAACCAGAGCAGCGCACGGAAACGGCATTTACCTTCCCGCCGGAGCGGTACCTACTTGCACTTTGACGTGCTTTCGAACTGCTAGGTTGGCAGGAACAGGGACCGAGCAACGGGAGCTCACCCCTTCGCGGGGATTTGAACCGCTACCTTCTGATCAGCAAGTCCTAGGCCACAGCGCCACCCGCATCCCATTTTTATCCTACTCTCCAGCTAAAAAAAAGATGCTTGCAATCGAGAAGACATAGCATGAAAGGAAAAATGGTGGGGAGGGAGGAGGGCAAATGAAGGAACCCGTTTTTAGCAGCAAATTTTAAAAAGGGAGGTGGGGTGCTTAATGGCATTAGAGAGGGAAGAAGGGTCTTCCTCCCACAGGGGCACCCAGCTAAAGATGGCACCAACTACAATAATCATTTGCAGGGGCTCCCCCACCCCATGATCATATCTGGGCTCACCTTCCCTCGGTTGTCCAGCCTGGAGACCCGGGACTGAGGCACGACCTTCACGGCATAGACCTTGTTGGTGGAGGTGTCTATGAACTTGTAGCATCTCCCAAAGGCACCCTGAGGAGAAAGAGAGGAAGAGGGTGGCAGGTGGGGGTCAGCCAGGAACCGGGGCAGGTGTGGAATTCCATTTGTTGCAGGGAGAGTGGGTGGGCTGTGTGTACCCTAAAACACACATGCAGACACAGGCTTCATCAGTTGCAAATCCTGTATTGCAGGGGGTTGGACTAGATGACCCTCGGGATCCCTCCTAACTCTACAATTCTATGATTCATTTCCTGGCTCCAAAGCCAGGCTTGTCCTGCTGCCTCAGATGGATGGCCTCTGAGGTCCCAAAATTCTGAGGCCATCAATTCAGACCCATAGTTTGAGGTCCACCTCCGAGGGCCTTCTGGCGGTTCCTTCCCTGCAAGAAGTGAGGTTACAGGGAACCAGGCTGAAGGCCTTATTGGTGGTGGCGCCCGCCCTGTAGAATGCCCTCCTGTCAGATGTCAAGGAAACAAAGAACTGTCTGACTTTTGGAAGACATTTGAAGGTTTAGGGAAGTTTCTAATGTTTGATGTTTTATCGTGTTTTTAATATTCTGTTGGGAGCCGCTCAGAGTGGCTGGGGAGTCCCGGTCAGATGGACGGGGTATAAGTAATAAATTTATTATTATTATTATTATTATTATTATTATTATTTCCAACCCCCTTCCCCACAAGGCAGGAATATCAACTCAAGCATCCAGGCCACCCAACCTCTGCTTAAAACCTTCCAGGAAGGAGAGTCCTCCACCTTCTTCCGAGGTCGTCCTGTCTAACAATCCTTAGATAACCAGTTGGCTCCATCTTCCATGAGGCAAATATCTCCTCTCAGCCTCCTCTTCTCCAGACTTAACATCCCCACCTCCCGTGGAACAAGTGCGCCAGAGGCATGGCCGCAGCAGAACTGCTGGGTCTGCAGAAGGAGACCCAGGTTCAAGCCCCGCTGGCGTCTCCGGGTAAGGATTCGCCCCGATCAAAGGGCATCTTCTGCTCAAAAACCAAAGCAGACTGCTTCTCCCGCTCCCCATTGGCTGGCGCCTCGAGTGGGCGGGTCTTTCTCCCCCACCTGTAGCGAGACCGGGCATGCCCGACCCCATCCGGGAGAAAGCGGAGCAGACCCAGAGTGAGAAAGGGGCGGGTGGGAAATCCCCCGATCCGGATGTCTCTGGGCTCAAGCTGGGAAAGGGGCTCAGACGCGCAGGACTCCTGAGTCCTGGGGGCGTGGGTGGGTGTTGTGACTTGCTGGGGGGAGAGCGGGAGTCCCGGCTCCCCAAATGCAAAACATCGACCCACTCCGGATTAAGCACGTGTAGCCACTGCACTTCTCATCATGTATTTGCAAAACAAAGCTGGATGATGAAGGATTCTGTGAGACTCCGAAGCTTGCCGGGTGCTTGGGGAGAAAAACCGATCTGATCCTTACAGCAGAATTGCCTTGCTGTGGATTTGGAGGGGCATAGTTGCCTTTTGTGCCTTTGAACCCCGTCCCGCAGTTCCCCAAATAGCCTGTCCCGGACTCGGAGCTCCGGAAAAACCGAGAGCGCCGCCTTGTCGCGGCTCTACCCAGATCTCCGGGTGCTGCAAAGACAGACGCGCAATGTCTCATATGTTGCAAAAGGGGCAAACTCCGTTAGAAAAAATGGTCCCTGAACTCCTTCGGCGTGGGGAGACCAGTGGAAGAAGGAAGACGAAGGAACCCAAAATGTGAACATAAGCCAATGCACAGTTTAAGAAAAACTAGGTTTTGCAGATTTAGATGCGTGAATTGAAAATGCGCGCGCGTGTGTGTGAGAAGTGTGAAATGGACCCCATGTTTCGTTCCAAGGGGTTCAGAGGAAAGAAAACAGATAAGATCAGATCAGATCTAGGACCCGGACGCCTGGATCCTGTGCTCAAACCTGAGAGAAAAAGGGGGCGCCTGATTCTCCACAAGAGTTCTTCCTGCGTGACCTTGGTTCGCCTCTTCACCTGGTGACTCAGTTTCCCCCAACGGGGAGCCGTCATTCTTGCAAATCCCCCCCAAAGAGAGGAAACTTTCTTGCTGCCGCCACCCCACACCGCTTTGAAAGTGAGGGGTCTCTGTCTGCGCCTGTTCCAACAGGCCCATTTCCACCCGACGCATCCCTGTGTACGAGCTAAGAGGGCAGAAAATCCCGCAAACGTCATCTAAAAATACCAAAAAATTAGAGTTGCAATTCTTAACCGAGGTTGCAAAATCCCTAAAGCAAGCGAAAAGGAAAGGAAATTGCAAAACAACCATAGAATCATTTACCTTCCCCAAAAGCTGCCCTCTCTTGTAAAGCGTCCCCGTGCTCGGATCCTCTATGAAGTATTTGAGGCTCTCGCCTTCTGCCCTCCTCCAAGCGGGGTGCTCCATCCGCCCCATCGGGTGCCCCCCACCCCCCTCCCACCCTCTTTTTTGCAAACTCCTCCGGCTGCTCCTTAGAGTCTCTGGCCAGGAGGGAGCCGATGCCAGGTCCTCTTATAAGGCGGGGTTGGGGGTGGAGAGAAGGGGGGGCCGGCCAGGGGGGCCTCTGCTGCCCAGGCAGCCTCCTCTGCCCATTGGAGGGCCGGGGATCCGCGATCCGGAGCAGAAGCGGCGCAGCACCGGGACGAGACGCTGGCCGGGAGGAGGGCGGAGAAATGCCGAAGCGCAAACTGGAGCGAAAGAGCTGCGCTTGGTTCTTCGGCGGACTTCCAGCATCCGGATTAGGTCCAAGGGGTGTGGGCCCACCTGCTCCAGCACCCTGAAAGTCCACGGACAGGCGAGGTCCAGGTAGGTGCCCCCCGCCCGTGGGCAGTGGAACCCCAAAATCTCCCAGGCGAAGTCCCAGCCAGGTGTCGGTTCCGCCAGGTCTGAGTTGAAGGGTGGGCGGGGGTTTCGCCTTCTGGGCTGGGATGGGTGGGACTTCTCCCCCCCTAAGCTGTCGGGGGTCGGGGGGGGGGGGCTGATGGACCCACGTGGCGCCTGTGGCTGAGGCTGATGCGGCACCTGCGCCCCCTCCTGGACAGAGGTATTAGTCATTCCTTCGTTAACCCTTTATTGATTGGAGGCCGTCAGAGAGATGCTTCTACGATAAATAATTCTACAAAAGGATAGTAAACGAACACGTAATTTAGGAGAACGGTATTTCTGTTTTGGGAGCCGTGCAGGTCCTTGTTTGAAACGTACGATTTTAAAAGTCTCACCCAATTGCAGAAAATGGTTCTCCTGAGTCTTTCATCATGCAAATCTTGTGGGTTAACCTTTCCCCATTTGCAAGTCTCCTAAGTTCTTTTTACCTGGTGAGATTTATTTTATTGAGATTTTCCAATAATACAATAAAGTTGTGATTACCAAAGATACCAAGGTTCCTTAATCTTATACCACAATTCCAGAGGCAGATCGTTTGCGTTCATCCATTTCTGTGCAATTTATTGCCTTCTAAGCCACTCTCTCAAGACAATTTACACATAAGACAATTAAAAACTGCTAAGAACGCAAAAACAATCCATCTGTCATGTATGCATTAGCTGAGATTCCTGCATTTCAGGGCGTTGGACTAGATGACCCTTGGGGTCCCTTCCAACTCTGCAATTCTATTATTCTATTTAAAACTAGGCATTAAAGTGGACAATCATGGCCAAGAAGACCCATTTACATAGAGAGCATAACCAGAGTTGTGGACCGTTTATTTCTTTGGTTATGAATTTTCTCTGCTTCGTATTCAAAAGACTCCCAATAGAAATCAGAGACAATAGACAAAGTTTCAAAGTGTTACATGAAGCAGAGAAGACAGTTCAGTATCCTGCGAAAGAATATCGAAAGCACCTGCTGCTTTGCTGGGATCATAGAATCAAAGAAGTGTAGAGATTCCCCTGCAGAAATCTTTTGCCCCATGAGGGACTCGAACCATACGGGCTGAGCTATCCATCGTGAATCTCCCAGAGATCTGTGGGTAATGGGTGGATGACTGAGCTATCCCAGGCATGTTGGGGAGCAGTCCGTGCCCCACACAGGATGTCAGCCAACGAGGGGCAGAGCCTTTTCTGTGCCACTAGACATGGCAATACGGACCCCCAACTACGCAAAGAGGTGAGTGGCTGAAAAACAGTGAATGAGAGAAGCACATAGAAAGAGCTGCATCTGCAGTGAAAACATCAGAATGGGATCAGAGCAGAGCAGTGAACATCAATGTTGCTGCAGGAATGCTTAGAAACCTTTTTAAGCAGAGGCTGGATAGCCATCTGTCATGGATGCTTGAGCTCAGATTCCTGCCTTGCAGGGGGTTGGACTAGAGGACCCTCGGGTGCCGCTTCCAACTGCATGGTTCTATGATTCTATGAATACAGGGGTACCTTGGGTTACAGACACTTCTTCAAGTTACAGACACTTCAGGTAACAGACTTTGCTAACCCAGAAATAGTACCTCGGGTTAAGAACTTTGCTTCAGGATGAGAACAGAAATTGCACGGCGGCGGCAGCAGGAGGCCCCATGAGCTAAAGAGGTACCTCTGGTTAAGAAGAGTTTCAGATTAAGAACGGACCTTCAGAATTAAGTTCTTAACCCGAGGTCCCACCCTAACCACCGAGGCCAGGTGGTTAGTTTGCGAGTGGCGTGGAACCCCTGCTTGGCATGCAGAAGGTGCTGCCAGCAGTCTCTACGGAGCCATCAGGCCCCTTCCTTGGGTGTCTCCTTGAGGACTCATCTTGATTTGTTTGTGAGGATGTTGCACTGAGTAATTGTTATCCCACACTTCCCAGGAGATCTTTTCTTCATTTCCCTTTCCCTGTGACAGTTTGGATGCATCCCCCTGCCCGGAGGTGGGTCTTGCACAAGAGTGCCAACCCCCCTGTTAAGTGTGTGATTGGAAAAGCCCTCCTCCTCAAATCCAATGACCATGACGGGAGGCCAGTATAGCCTGTGTGCCTCTAGGGGGCGCCCCAGCACCAGAGATGGGAGACAGTGGAATGGGACCCATCCTCTCTGTTGTTGCTGTGACACTTGCAGGCTGTGTACGCATCATACATTCCCTCTCCACCCCCCCAACCAAAAATGCTGGGAACTGTAGTTTGCCCCTTCACAGAGCTACAGCTCCCAGCACCCTCAGCAAACCTCAGTTCCCAGGATTCACTGAGGAGGGGTTGAATGTGCTTTAAAGGCGTCCCTGTGTGTCTGGGGCAACCTAGTCAGGTGGCAGGACACAAAATATATTTTATTATCATTATGTGATAGGAATTTTTTTGGTCTTAGATATATGGTAATGTTCATAAGTGTACCAACCAAGCACATACATAGATCAGCACAGGAAGGCCAACCTGGAACCATTTTGATTCCTAAACTGAGCAAATGTTTGCAAGGTCAAACTGGAAAAGCCTCCCCATTGTCTTTTCTTTCACAAATCCTGTCTTAAGGGCACATTTAAGATATGAATTGGGCGTGAGCCTGTGACCTGGCCCAGGAACTAAGTATTTATCATTACAAAAGACTGGCCAGGCTCCCCAGGCAATCCAATCAACTAACCTGCCAGACAAGAGATAAACAACAGGAGAAAAACAATATTCAAATTTCTGTTTTAGACCACCTTTTCTGTGATGTAGGTGTGATGTATCTGAGGGGTGGTCTTAGGTTACACCCCTTCTGTGATGTATGTATGATGTTTCTGGGGGTGGTCTTGATCTACAGGGTGGCAATTTCAAAAGTCTTTATAAGGCCTTGCACACCATCTTTCTGGGTTCCTCCTCTCTCCTGCAGGTGAGGGGAGCACCCTGTTGCAACAGATCAATAAAGGCCAAGCCTACAGGCTGCTGTTTTGCTCCAAGTAATCCTGGTTGGAGTCTTTGTTTTTGTCCAAGGGAGCCCTCGGATTTTCCCGTTAACAGTTACCACCATCACCAAGTGCAGTCACCTAGAGCGTGGTGCTGACAATGCCAAGGTTGCAGTTCCGATCTCCCTACTGCCTAAATCCCTGCATTGCAAGGGCTGGACTGGATGATCCTCAGGGTCCCTTCCAACTCTATAGTTCTATGCTTCTATTTTCACCATCCCCAGACAATCAGATTCCATCTGATTTGCCTGTAGAAAGTTATGGGGAGGTGAAAGGGAGATCTCAATTTATTGCACCTTCTTTCTGATTTGTCTATGGGGAAGTTACACAGGACTGAGTTGAGCCAGTTTCTCTTGCTGTTTCCAGGGCATTTTCCCAAAATTCTGCAAAAAGCTCAACCTGGCGGGTGGGGGAGGCAGGGAAATGTGGTTTGGTTGCAGCAGGAAGGAAAAACTTCTTTTGAATTGCACATGCTGAATGAGCAGGTATGTTGTTGCAATCCCACCTGCAAAATACTGACAGTCTGGAAAAAGTGGTCCCAAATTGTTATTGTGCATTTGGCAGGCTGAGGGGTTTTTTGGGGGGGCTGTTGATCCTGGCCCATCCAGGTCTGGAAAGTGAGCCTTATGAGAAACAATTGAGGGAACAGGGGATGCTTAGCTTGGAAAGGAGAAATGGGAGCCACCTTCAAATATCTGAAGGGCTGTCCTGTGGAAGATGCAGCAAGCTCGTTTTCTGCTGCTCTGGAAGAAAAGATGTGAGCCAACAGATTTAAATGCTGCTAGCAGCCATTTGCCAGAGGAATGGACTCCCTCGGAAGGTGGTGGACTCTTCTTCCTTGGGTGGCCGTCTGTCAGCGATTCTTGAGCTGGGAGTCCTCCATTGCACGAGGCTAGACTAGATGAGCCTTGGAAGTACTTCAAACCCTGCAATTCTATGATTCTGTTACCCACCGGAGGTTTGTCAGCGGAGGTCGGATGGCCATCTGCCAGGGATTCCTTAGCTGGTCTTCCTGCATTGCAGGGGGCTGGGGGTCCCATCCAGCACAACAAGGTATGATTCCATCTCTAGCACTGAGCATCCTATAGGAGAAGAAAGGCATAGGAAACTACCCCACCGGGCCCAGCGCTGTCCCTGATGAGCAGTTGTGGGTTTTCCAAAGGGGAAATTCCCCCTCCTTGACCCATTCTTCAGCTGTGATTCCTGCCTTGCAGGGGGTGAGTCTAGATAGCCCTCAGGGTACCTTCCAATGCTATGACCCTATTATTACTTGCCCAAAACTAAATGTATTGTTTGTGCTTCCCTTCAGCAGCCTGGCAGGGCCCTCTAGACTGCCTGCTTGATCACTTCCAACCATCTCTGCAAAATGTCCTCCTTTTGGAGAGCCCATCACGGCTGCAGCTGTTTCCGTACAGTTTCAGCGCCGAGAGAGCAGTTCTGCAAGTGGTGTGTGTTCCTTCCTACACTACACAAACACACATATCCTTTGGTCCCCTGCTGAGCCTGAGTCCCACATTGCAGTGGGTTGAGCTTGATGACCCTCAGGGGACCCTTCCGACCCTGCCATTCTGCAGTTCTTTAGCTGCGATTCCCACATTGCGGGGGGTTAGGCTAGATGACCCTGGGGGTTCCCTTCCAACTCACTGCCTGGATGCCTGCTTCCCACAAATCTATCCCTCCTGCTGCATCTGCAAAACATCTGGAAGGATTTTCGGAGGGGAGGAATTGTCCCCCTGTGAATTGATGCAGGCATTTGAGGGCTTGGAGGAGCCTGATTGAACAGGGTGCAGCTCAAAGGCTTCCCAGGAGAGGCAAAAGGTGTGGGTCTGCCCCCACCCCTTTCTCCTGAGTGTTTCCCCTCCAGGAACTGATGTCACCACAGCTGGGACTGAGCCCTGCAGCTCTGGATGGCGGCCAAAGCAGCCCCCTCCTCCCCACAGCTGTTTGGGAAGGGAGACCTCTTCCCCACCCAGCCACAGCCCCCAAGGAGGGTCATAGGAAGTGTGAGCACTGGGTGGCAGTTCAAGGTACGAGGCAGCTGTGAGGTGTACCGCCACCCCGACGGAGAGCCTGGGCGTCTGCACATGTCCAACATGCACAGAGACCACGTCTCTCATCTCAGACGCACATACTGCCCCCCCCCCCCCACTGGCCAAACCAAAGAAGGCAAAAACCCACACCCTGTGGCCTGCAGTCATCATAAATTACTGCCAAGGAAGCATTTTGCACTCGAAAGCGTGACTTGTCCGCAGAGCTGGATTCTCCTTCCGTCAGCATGAAAAAAAGAGGGGAAGAAAGAGAAGGTCCTTAGGAACAGAACTGGCAGTCACAAGATGCCGTTATACTAATAGTCCATTGGAAGATGGTGTGCCATTCTGGTCACCTCCTGTCAAAAAGGAGATGTGAAGATGGGGGAAGGTTAAAAAATGGGTCACCCAAAATGATCAAGGGGATGGAGAGATGCCCCCAGGAGGAAAAGTTGCAGCATCCCCTTAGCTTAGAGAACGCTGCAGGGGGTTGGACTAGATGACCCTGGGGGTGCTTTCCTCCTCTGCAATTCTATGCATGGCCCAGAGGAAGTGGAGGGAGGGGAGTTCTTCTCTTACAGCATGAGAACTTAAAGAACATAGCACGAGAAAAATTAAAAGCCACTCAAAGCGGTTCATGGACTCTCCTTCCTTGCAGGTTTTTAAGCAGAGGTTGGGTGGCCCTCTGTCCTGGAGGCTTTAGCGAAGATTCCTGCATTGCAGGGAGTTGGACTAGATGACCCTCGGGGTCCCTCCTAGCTCCACCATTCTATGACTCTATGACAAACTAGCATGTTAAAAGCAACATAAATTAAATGTGTTTGCAAAAAGAGGCCGGCCACACAGCCATGGAAAGAAAAATCCCTTTCTATGAATTCTGTGTTCTCGGGTGCCTTCCATCTGCCATGGGCTCCCTCCTTGTTAGGTTTGATATGAAGAGCAGTTCCCCAGATGTTTCCTTGCTCTAACAAGGCCCCCCCCCAGCACAACATCACGGTGGGGTTGCCCCCAGGACAGTTCCTGCCTCACAGACTTGCTGGGACACCTGAACTGGCAGAGGCAGGTGAAGGCGAGGAGCTGCCATCAGCCCCCCCCCCCCAGTTCCCTTTCATCCCTCTTATTGCAAGGCAGGGGCTGTTATCTCACCTGGCAGCTGTTCTGTCAAGTTACTGCCCTCCCTCCTGGGACTGGCATCTGACCAGGATGCTCCCAGCTCCCCCCTCTGCCTGCCAGCCCTTGCTTTTCAGGCACACCCCCAGGGAGAAAAGGGGAGAGGAAGAGGAGGAGGCCACATCTCCCCGTGAGTCAGGCTGTGCTCATGCTACGATACAATACGATAATCTTTATTGTCATTGTCCCATACAGAACAATGAAATTGGGGGAAAAATCTACATAAGACATTCAAAACCAACAAGCCTGCTACCCCAGCTATCCCAACCTGGTTAGCCCCCTAAAAACTCTGATACCCCAAATTTCAAAATACAATACACTCCCATAGAGACTCCTTACACTGTGTTTAAAACCAAAATCACATTTGGATAGAAACTGTTTCTCAGGCGGCTAGTCCTAGTCTTTATAACCCTGTACCTTCTTCCAGAAGGCAGAAGCTGAAAGAGATCATTTCTGGGGTGTATTGGAAGAGGGCTCTCCTATATCTTGTCTCCTCTCCTATTTGTCCAGGTCCCTTCCAACACTACGATACCATGATTCTCTCAGGACTGGGAAAGGAAGGAAGAGCCCTGAGCCTGGAAAGCCCTTTAGGGAGCGTCTGCCAGCCTGTGTGGGCAACACTGAGCTACATAGCTCATATCCTGGCTCAGGACATGATGTTCCTCAAAGCAAGCAAAGGAAACCTGCAATGGGGAAACCTTGCTTTGGGATCATTGGGGGCTCCTCCACATGGCCCTTTGGGGCCAATTCATCTCTGCTCAGGCAGGCAGAGCCCCCCCCCCCCGCACAGTGTGGACAATATTGTCCTCATCAAAATGCCACCCCCTTATCACACACGGAGAGAATGCTAAAATAATAATAATCTGGGGTTGCTTTTTGCACTGGGTGTGTGTGTGTCTTGTTTTTGTTTTCTCAACTTACAGGATTTTCCATGGAAACAGAGATTCTACCTTAAATGGTGTGAATTATATGGGATGGCATTTTGATGAGGGACATGTGTAGGCACTGAACGAACTATGCAAACATGTGCAGTGCCTGAGTAACCCAGGAAAGTGTCACGTGGAAGCACACAGAGGCTAAGACAAAAGGATTTATATGCTATTTAGGTGCTGAAATGACTGCTAGGAAATTAACAACTATAAAACCAGTATTTTCTTTCACCTTTTTCTCCTTCTCCTCCTCTTCCTTCTCTCTCATTTGGTGTCATCTGCAGACACCAAACTGGGATGGGGAGCTAATGCTGCTGAAGACAAAATCAGGATTCAAAATGACCGTAACAGATTGGAGAACAGGGCCGAAGCTAACAAAATGTGTTTCAATAGGGACAAATGTCAGGTTCTGCACTTAGGCAGGAAGAACCAGATGCACAAACATAGGATGTGGGACACCTGGCTTACTAGTAGTACATGTGAAAAGGATCAAGGGGTCTTGGTGGACCACAATCTCAACATGAGTGAATAGTGTGATGCAGGAGCAAAAAAAGCTAATGCTATTCAACAGAAGTCTAGTGTCCAGATCAAGGGAAGTCATAGTCCCACTCTATTCTGCCTTGGTCAGACCACACCTGGAATACTGTGTCCAATTCTGGGCACCACAATTTAAGATGGATGTTAACAAGCTGCAACATGTGCAGAGAAGGGCAACTAGGGTCTGAAAACCAAGCCTTATGAGGAACGGTTGAAGGAGCTGGATATGTTTAGCTTGGAAAAGAGGAGACTGAGAGGAGATATGATAGCCATCTTCCAATATCTTAAGGGCTGTCGCAGGGAAGGGGCAGCAAGCTTGTTCCCTCCTGCTCCAGAGGGCAGGACCCAATCCAATGGCTTCAAGCTATGAGGAAGGAGGTTCCAACTCAATACCCAGAAGAACTCTCTGACAGTAAGAACTTCTTTTAAAAAAAGAACACCCAGTTAAAACAATAAAACCAGAAGAAGTTCAGCTCAGGTGACTGCTGGCTTCTACACAGGTGTGTTTGTGTATCTTCAGGAGCTGACGGCATGCCAATTCTGAGGGGGGGTCCCTCTTTTTCTATTATTATTATTATCATTATCATTGTTACTGTTAAAATTTTTATACTGCCAGATACCCATAGAACTCAGGGTGGTTCACATCATAAAATCACAATACATAAAAAACACAAAATGCATAATAAAAATAAGAAACTCATAAACCCATTTGCCAGACTGTCTGAGGAAAGCCAGTAACCCAACTCTGCAATTTGATTATTCTTTGGCTGCGACTCCTGCATTGCACAGGAGGGGGGGCAGGTTGGGCTGGATGACCCTTGGGATCCCTTCCAACTCGACAATCCTATGATTCTAGGAACAGGGCAGAGCCTGCCTGTGCCCAGGTGGCACAAAGCACCGCCAAAGGACGGGTGCGGTTGCAATTCCACCTCTGTCTGCCTGGTCCTTGATTGATTTTTATTTTTACTTTTTAAAAAACCCCGCACATGTCCTGCAAGGGCTTTTAAGGCTGCATTTCTTGCCTGCTCGGCGACAGACAGCTGAGAGGTGGCGGTGGCGCCTACGTGCCCTTAAATGTTCTTTGTTCCGTGCTCCCCAGAGCGCCCCACCCCAAAAGAGAGAGACAGAGAGTGTCCATCTGCAAACGGCGGGGTGCCTGCTGTCCATCTCTCCCCCCTCTACTGCTGCATGTGCCAAAGGACAGCATCCAAGACTTCTCTGGAAAACAGAAGTGCGCTCTCTCGCTCTCTCTTTCTCTGTCCTGAGCCTGGGGCAAAAATAAAATAAAAAACTGGAAGCTGTCTCAGCGGGAGCCTTTTCCAAAACAAAGTCAATGGGCTGCAGAGTGACGCACTTTTCGGTTCTCGGTGGGAACCAAATTTGGAGACGCTGCCGCCCTCCCGCACTTGGGCGCCTTTCCAAGAGGATCAGACGGACTCACGGAAGGGGAGAAGGCTCCCGAGGGCTTCTAGCGCCCAGGGCGGAGATGCTTCTGGAGAGCAGCCGCGGGGGGGGGGGGCTGCCCTTGCGCCCGGTTCCCCCTTTGCCCCTGATCCAATGGCAGGGCTCGCCACGCGGAGGCCCGCTGTGGCAGCAGAACCTCCAGGCCCGGGGCAGTCTACCTGTGTGAGTACCAGATGATGGGGAACAACGATCCGGCACGCCCTTGTGGTCCTCTGGACCTTCAAGGCTGGGCGGAGTGAAGACTAATGGCGTCCGCTGCCCTCCAGGATCAGCCCCTTCTTCCCAAATGCCTCTTCCACTTCTGGGTCTTTCTGGTCCGCAGTCGGGGTGCTGCCTTTCACCTTAAGAGCAGCAAGAAATCCAAGCGGTCGGTGCGCCCTCCGCAGCTTCCCGAGGTGGCTTGACCTGTTGGATTTCTGTCTCGAGCTGCTCTGACTGCCAAGGGGAGGAAGGTGTCCAGATTTCCCACTGCTCTCCCTTCTCACCCTTCCGGAGAGGAAAGGAAAAGACGAAAACTCAGCAACAGCAGAGAGAGACCCACTCGAACTCTCCCGCAGCGGGCCTTTGGCCAAGAAGCTTCGGGAAACTTTGAAACGGAGTTCCCCTTCCTGGAAAAACCTCCAGGGCGCGGGACTTGCCCCCAAAGAACCCCGGGAGCTGTAGTTCCCCCCTTGCAGAACTAAAGTTCCCAGTGTCCTTAGCGAACTACGGGTCCCAGGATTCTTTGGGAGCGGGGGGGGAGACGTCATATGCCTCGGAGGGGAGGGGGTTGGCGCGCCCCCGAGAGGTGTCTTTTTAGGACCCCCTTCTTCCGGTGCTTGCCAGTTGGCGGTGTAGCCCCTAGTTAGTGGCCTGGCCTGGACTCGGACCTGAGAGAGAGCAGGGTTCGAATTCCCACTTAGCCCTGCGGCTCCTTGGGAGACCTTGGAGTCAGTCCTCATCTCTTAGCCTAGCCTACCTTACAGGGCTGTTGTGAGGGAGGAGAGCCAGATGCACCTTGAGAGCCTTGGAAGACAATAAAGGTAGCACCTAACTATAATTAATAATAAACTTTAATAAATGTTTTTACAAACATGGTGCTCTGATGGTTGCAGCCCATCCTGGGACTTTAGGAGAAGGGCTGGCAATTAATTAATAAATAGGGGGGAGGCGGGGCACATTGATGCAAGGGGCACATTGATACACCAACAATATTTCAATTTCGAGAAATGTTATTTGTGCGTTACATCACTAAAACGTGTCTATACATGTGTGAGTACAACAGTTGCGAGCGCACCGCCCACCAGTTAACTGTTGGCGTTTGACGAGAGTAGGTGTGTTTTTAGCGCAGCCAACTAAAAAGTTACATGAAATGTAAAAGTGCTCCAACGTTCTTTTACATCGTTTAGTTAAGATTTAAAAATACCAAAGGTAAGTTATTCAGTAATCAGGATTACACATGATTTTTAAATAAGTTCAGTGGTTTTATTAATAATTTTTAGTTTTTTGAAAATGTCTGTTGGGGTACTTTGATACACTAAGACACAGGGCACATTGATATGTATAAAAGTGCCCTGCTAGTGTAAATTTTGATGTTCCCAATCCTGAAAATATAAATGCTGGAGATTTCCTACTCATTAAATCTGAAAAGAAAAAAACCTATTGTTTCTAAATATAATATGACCAATAATTAAGTGTCATATCTCAGGAAAAAATCAGGATCTTGTATTCAAAAGAAAATAAAAAAAAATTCCTTCCAGTAGCACCTTAGAGACCAGCTAAGTTTGTTATTGATATGAGCTTTCGTGTGCATGCACACTTTGTGGTGCGGCATGGGTGGCGCTGTGGGTTAAACCACAGAGCCTAGGACTTGCCGATCAGAAAGTCGGCTGTTCAAATCCCCACGACAGGGTGAGCTCCCGTTGCTCGGTCCCAGCTCCTGCCAACTTAGCAGTTCAAAAGCACATCCAAGTGCAAGTAGATCAATAGGTACCACTCCTGTGGGAAGGTAAACGGCATTTCCGTGCGCTGCTCTGGTTCACCAGAAGCGGCTTAGTCATGCTGGACACATGACCCGGAAGCTGTACGCTGGCTCCCTTGGCCAGTAAAGCGAGATGAGCTCTGCAACCCCAGAGTCGGCCACGACTGGACCTAATGGCCAGGGGTCCCTTTACCTTTTTAAGGTGCTACTGGAAGGAATTTTTTTATTTTGTTTTGACTACGGCAGACCAACATGGCTACCTACCTGTAACAGGATTTTGTATGTTTGTCTTCCCCATTGTAGAAGATAAGGCATGCGTTGATTTCAAGGATGTTGTTTTGCAGTTGCCAAAACCAAATTTCTCTAAGGGCACATCTCGAACACCATCTCTTCATACTTTTTCTATTGACTTCAATGGATATAATGTGCAATACATGCTAAACGTTAAGTAATTATCTTATTTTCTATAAGCATTTTGTTTAAATTACTATTTTTTGACTACCTAATGTGAGTTCTTATACTTTTTAAAGTTTTTCCAAAATTGTTTTTTTTTAATGCATAGGTGTTTGAGGAAAGATTAATATAAGTTTTGATGTTTTGTTAAGAAAACCTGCCATAAAGTCTATGATATGTGTGAAACACTGTTAGTTTTGATACGTAATTTAGATTTTAAGGAACAAATTGTAAGGCTGATTATTATATACCACAATAAAAAATATGGTTTTTTTCCATTAAATTTTTGCAAATACAATTTATGCTTTGTAACAAAGTGCCCCATCCAATGTATCTAAGTGCCCCATAGGTGGGGCAGAATGATACAAAACCCATTTTTTACTCAAGTCATTATATTCTCATTATCTTCTAACTTTAATGGTTCTTTTGATTGCTATTATATTGATTAGATATGCCATGCATAAAGCAAAAAAATATATTATTTGACTCATTTTTGTTACAATTAGATCTCCCCTTTTTCTCCAAGGAGCTCACATGGTTCCCCCGACTCCTCATTTAACCTCCACAACAACTGGCCCCGAGGTCACATGGGGATTTGAACCCTGGTCTCTCCCAGCTCCTAGTTCGACACTCTAACCACTATGCCACGCTGCCATGGGGGGACACCCCAGTTTTTGTGTGTGTGTCGTGGACGGACCCCCGACTCCCCACCGTCCTGCCCCCTCCATTACCTGCCCCCCTTCTCTGCTTTTGGGACACCTCCCCCCAAGAGTGCGCACTTATTTATAGCCTGGCCCTCCCCGCCTGGGTTTGGCCGGCGGCCTGGAAAATGAGGCCGGAGAGCGAGGGGGTTAATATGAATCCTCTCTCTCACCCCCTAGAAATTCACCCTTTGCGACCCTAATCAAAGTTTGCGCCTCCAACCAAGGGGGCAAGATCAGAGGGTGTCGCGCGTGGGCTGAGCTGGGGGGGTATTTTCAGCCCTGCTCTGGAAAGGGGTTCCGCCCCGCGCCCAGGCTGCCGAGCCCTCCATTCCGCGCCCCCTGCTTGCCTGCGCAAAAGGATCCCCGTTGCCGGAGGGGGAACTTGACATGTTCAGGAGCCCGAGGACGGCGGCGGCCGCCTTTCGGGGAAGAGGGGTCCCCCGCCTTCCCTCTCTCCGCCTCCCTCCCCGGGACGCCGTCCAAGCCCCGCCGGGCCCCGCTCCCTAGCCGCCGACGGAGCAGCGCAGGAAGGGTGCGTCTCGGCGCGGGGACCCGCTCGCTCCCCAAAGGCCCCGGGACGCAGCGGCGCCGCCATGCGGGCGGGGAGAAGAGGAGCCGCGGGCCAGGAGCGCGCCGGGTGAGGGGGGCTCATCGGCGGGGGAAACTGAGGCTCGGGCCGGAATGGCTCGGCTAAGGTGCTGTGGGGAGGAGGGGGGGGTCGCGGACAGGCTGCCGTTCCCGGAGTTGTGGGGTGGAAAAGGCACATCGAGACCATCGCAAGCGCCAACGCATGGGGGGCGACGTTTGGGGATCTCCCTTGGGTGCCGGACTTCAAGCTCTCCTGCGGGTCCCTAGTTTAATCCCCGCTGGCCTCTCCAGTTAGGAGAGACCCCTGAGCCTGAAACCTTGGAGAGCCGCTGCTGGCTGCCGGCCAGTGTAGACAATACAGAGCTTCAGCCCGCTCAGTGTTTTGCAGGCTGCCCTGCTCTCTGACTTCTCATTGACGTTATTTACTTGCATTTTGCCCTGTTCCTAAGCTGCTTACAGGCAAACAAAGACAACTGGACACCCTCCACCTCACTCCCCCACCCCCACCCCCCTTAGGATTCTGGACTTCTGTGCTGGATTTGCAGCCCTTAACAAAATCATAGAATCATAGAGTTGGATGGGACCCTGAGGGTATTGACAAGCTGGAAGGCGTGCAGAGGAGGGTGCCCAAGGTGATCAAGGGTCTGGAAACCAAGTATGATGAGGAACGGTTGAAGGAGCTGGGTTTAGTCTCAGAAAGAGGAGACTGAGAGGAGATAGGAGAGCCATCTTCAAATATCTCAAGGGCTGCCACTGGAAGAAGGAACAAGGGTGTTTCCTCCTGCTCTGGAGGGCAGGACTCGAACCCATGGCTTCAAGTGACAAGAAAGGAGATTCTGACTAAACAACAGGAAGAACTTTCTGAAAGTAAGAGCTATTAAAGAGTGGAACGGTCTTCCTTGGGAGGTGGTGGACTCTTCATCCTTGGAGCTTTTAAAGCAGAGGTTGAATGACCCTCCCACTGTGATGCAGGCTTTAGCTGAGATTCCTGCATTGCAGGGGGTTGGACTAGATGACCCTTGGGGTCTTTTCCAAATCTATGCTTCTATGATTCCATGCCTGGGAGTTCCTGTGAGCTGCACTTTCTCAATTTAAGAGAGAAGGAGGCCTGGTGGCTGGGTGGCTGTTAGGGCCATGTAGGCCTATCAGACACTGGAGAATAGGCTGAGGAAAAGCCACTCTGTGAATGCTCAGAGGGCCAAAGCTGAGCTTTGCTGGCTCCAGCAGAGCTGCTGCTCCCCCCAGGCTTAGGCAGGAGAATGGGAAGCGAGTCTGACTTCGCTCCTGCTGCGCCACAACTTCATGTGATGCCCCTTAAATCTTGTTTATGTTTCCCCGCCCCGTTTGCTGCCTCCGGCGTTTTTGAGGCATGCAAGCGTCAGGCAGCCTTAAGTGCCGTCTGGCATCTCCAGGTGCTCAGAAAGGGAGCGCCTGTCCCTGCCCTGTAGAATCAAATAAATGTAGTGTTGGAAGGGATCCAAGGGTCATCTATCCCAACCCAAGAATTGCTCCTGCCCTGAAGGCCTGGAAAGAAGTGGGAGCATCTCAGCAAGCGCTCACTCTGCCCTGCATAGGAAGGGATGGGAGGCAGTGCAGGGGGCTTCTGTCCTCACACAGCAGGAAGGGGACCACGGCTTTGATATCCACTCCTCCTGCTTTGTTCATATCGGGGGAATGATAGTGTGGCTCAACTTGCAGGGAGCCATGCCAGGAACTGGTGGCCCAGTCCCAGCACTTCCTTTTTAATTGTTTTTTCTTTAATAGTATTTTTGTTGATACTTGTCTAAAAATATGCAAAAAATCATACCCATCACAAAATATCTTTTAATAATACATTATGTGTTTTTGTTGTTGTTTAGTCGTTTAGTCGTGTCCGACTCTTCGTGACCCCCTGGACCAGAGCGCACCAGGCACTTCTGTCTTCCACTGCCTCCCGCAGTTTGGTCAAACTCATACCACTGTCCAACCATCTTGTCCTCTGTTGTCCCCTTCTCCTTGTGCCCTCCATCTTTCCCAACATCAGGGTCTTTTCCAGGGAGTCTTCTCTTCTCTTGAGGGGGCCAAAGTCTTGGAGCCTCAGCTTCAGGATCTGCATTAAGGGCTGATTTCCTTCAGAATGGAGAGGTTTGTTCTTCTTGCAGTCCATGGGACTCTAAGTATGTAATACATTACATACTTTATCTAAAAAAGAACCAATCCAGAGAGACTTTTTTAAAAAAGAGGAGAGAAAGAAGAGGGCAAAATAAAGAAAGATAAAGACTTCCAGGTATAGTGGTACCTCGGGTTACAGACGCTTCAGGTTACAGATGCTTCAGGTTACCGACTCTGCTAACTCAGAAATAGTACCTTGGGTTAAGAACTTTGCTTCAGGATGAGAACAGAAATCGTGCTCTGGCGGCACGGTGGCAGCGGAAGGCCCCATTAGCTAAAGTGGTACCTCAGGTTAAGAACAGTTTCAGGTTAATAATGGACCTCCAGAACGAATTAAGTTCTTAACCTGAGGTACCACTGTGCAGTATTCACTCCTTAACATCCAAGCTTCCTATCTCCTATAATCAGTATTTTTTCAATCTTTAAGTCACAATATTGCAGGTTCATTTTCTCTTTCATGCAAAAAGTCCATAAGAGGTTTCCAGCCCTGAATCAGTGTCAATAATTATTTTTCGAATCAATGGTTTCAAGTTGCAAGAAAGAAGATTCCATCTCAACATCAGGAAAAACTTTCATGTCGCTAAGAGCTGTCTGACAGTGGAACAGTTTTCCTTGGGAGGTTGGGGACTCTCCTTCCTTGGAGATTTTAAGCAGAGGCCATCTGTCACGGACGCTTTAGCTGAGATTCCTGCATGGCAGGGGGTTGGGCTAGATAACCCCTGGGGGCCCCTTCCAACTCTATGATTCTGCGATTCTATGATTCTACTCCCACATATGGCTCTGGGTGACTCACGGCTCATGCAGGGTGGGCGGGGGAACCCCTGGCGTTCTGCCCGCCTGTGCCCTTGATTCTCCCTTGTCTCCGGAGAGTCTGGGTTTTCTTTTTTCCACTTTGATTAAGAACATAAGGGGAGCTGGCTGCTGGATCAGGCCCAAGGGGGCCCACCCAGCCCAGCATCCTCCTCTCACGGGCTCCAAATACCCCTAAGAAACTAGGAATCCAGGTAGACTGCCTCAGAGCCTGGAGGTTCCATGAGGGCATACAAAGGCCCTGGCTGCTGGATCAGGCCAAAGCCACCCCCCACCCCTGTCTAGCCCAGCATCCTGTCTCACATTGGCCAACTAGAGACCTCTTCTGGGACACCCACAAGCAGGAGCTGAGTGCAAGAGCAACCATCTCCCCTCCTGCGTTCCAGCAACGGAGATTCAGAAGCATCGCTGCCTCCATCTGTTGAGGCAGAGCAGAGCCATCCTGGCGAGTAGAAATCCATAGCCCTTTCCTCCCTCTTTTAAAGCTGTCCAGGCCGGTGGTCACTGCTGCCTCCTGTGGGAGGGAGTTCCACACTTCAACCGAGAAATCCTTCCTTTTCTCTGCCCCGAATCTTCCACATTTGTTGGCTGCCCAGGCGGTGTAGTGTTTAGAGAGAGGGAGGAAAACTCTCTCTCTCTCTCTCTCCCCCCGCCCCACCCCACCCCATTTCCTCTCTTCTGCATTATTTTCTGTAGGCCCTGGACGCAACTGACACCCTCCAAGGGGACCCCTCCCTCTCCCCCCCTATTCTTTTTCCAGGGCACGTGAGCCCCTTATCGCTGCTGCCTCTCACCCTCTCATCCACCCACAGGATCGAAATGTCAGAATAAATAAATCTGGCAGCGTCAGGTGGTGTCCAGAACAGGCAGCTTGGTGTTCTCCTCTCCTTGCCCAGGGGACTGATTGGGGGGGGGGAACCATAAGGGGAAAGGCCCTCTGCACATGCCCAGAGGTCCCCTGACCATGGGGGGACCCTCTGCAAACTGAGGCTGCAGTTAAGCCAATGAAGAAAGGCTGAAGTGTTTGAGACTTTTGAGTTTCAATAAAAAATGAGGCAGATGTGACCGGGTAGGAAGTTATAAATGATGCCTGGAATGGGGAGAGTGGCAGTTTTCCTCTCTCTCTCCCCCTGCTAGAAATCATGGACATCCAACGGAGCTGAGGGTTGGAAGATTTGGGACAGAGAAAAGGAAGGACTTTTTCGTTAAATTGTGGAACTCCCTGCCACAAGCGGTAGCAATGGCCACCAACGTGACCTTTCCATCCGTCTGTCTGTCTGTCTGTCTGTCTGTCTGTCTGTCTGTCTGTCTATCTGTCTGTCTGTCTCTCTCCTTCCCCTGATTTCTGGACCATAGAAGCTTCAGTCAGATAATATTGGGTTTTGGGCTATTCCTACCCCCCTCTCTGCTTTGAGTGTCAATTACTCAGCTGGGGCGGTGGCACAAAATGAGGGGTTCACGGCACAAAACTAGCACAAAACATTGGCACCAGTTTGGAGGGGATCCTACATTTCAGGATCAGCCATTAATGAAGCTGGCAATAGGCCCTCGTTAGAGTATTTCCTTCTCTTTCTTGCAGGAGCACCTCTCCCCTGACCACCGTCTTCCTCATCTGGCTGACCTTCCTGTGCACCGTTCAGGTAAGTTGGAGAGCAGGTGACTGGGAGGCCCAGAGGGCCCCCCCGGCCCCCACATGCTGGCAGATCCAGATTGTGCTGTTAAGGCTGATTTGTTGCTCCCCAGAACTCTTCAGCAGCCGGGGTGTGAAGCAAAGCTTTAAGGTGGTGGGGAGGGAGGGAAGATGAGAGTCCAAATCTGGCTCGGTAGAACTTCCTGTCGCAGCACAAAATTCACATGAGGAACTCCCTCCCCCAGGAGGCAGCAATGGCTTTAAGAGGACTGGGCAAATTCATGGAGGAGGAGGAGGAGGAGAGGGTTGTCGAGGGCTCCTAGCTAGGGAGGCTCTGCTCTTCCTCCATATTTGGAGGCAGCTGGAAACCGCAGGACAGGAGAGCTGCTCCTGTGCTGGGATCTCCCTTGGAGGTTTTCCACAGGCAACTGCGAGAGCAGGGGGCTGCACTGGATGGGTCCTCTTTGGCCTGATCCAGAAGACAGGCTCTTCTTACATCCACACAGAACCTCCAGGTCCAGAGGCAGTCTCTCTGGATTCCTAGGTTCTCAGGGGTATTAGGCCACTGTGAGGGGAGGAGGCTGGACCAGATGGGCCTGTGTGGGTCTGATTCTGACAGCATCCTTTGTTTGGACTGGCAGCCAGCCCAAGCAATGGCTAAACTGGTTGGCCTCCAGCCAAGCTTGGCAGAGAGCAAGATTTGCAGGTGGAAGTTCAGTCTCCGGGTTCCAAAAGACAGCGTCTGGGCAGAGGAGGTGACATTTGCATGGTCAGCCTTGCGCTTCCTTGAGGGGTCCTGCTGCTGCTCCCCCCTTGCTTCCCCAGGTTCAGGATCCTGCTTGGGGCAGCAGATTGGGAGGCGGCTGGGACCGGTGGCTGTGGGGAGGTGAGGCCTAGTGAACAGAGTTGGGGTTCTGGGGGGGAGAGTGCTGCCTCTGATGTCTACAGAAAGCCTTGAGACGCGGGTGCAGAGACCGTCCAATTTGTAAATACTGTAGTTTTAATGCAATTAGGCTGAAAATGTCCAGAGGCAAGGCGATCATCCCGGCCCCTTTTCCAGGACCCTTGGCAGGAGCAGGATAATGCCAGATTACGATTTCCCTTGGGATCTTTGACGCCAACGGGGGAGAGCACGCAAAGGGGACCGGGGGCCACATCTCCTTCTGCGGCCAGAGGCCATTGATGGGTGGAGCTAGGAGCAAGAGAGGGTGGGGCAATGGCTGCAAGGAAAGTTTCCATCCAAGACAAGAAAGAATCTTAGAATCCTAGAATCGTAGAGTTGGAAGGGACCCCTGAGAGTCATCTAGTCTAAGGTTACCAGACGTCCCCGTTTCCCGGGGACAGTCCCCAGATTTGCTTGCTTTGGTGATGGAAGTAATGCTCACCCCCCCCCCCCAGCTTCCAGTCTTCTGGCCGCCAACCTATTTATTCCACCCTCTCCCTGGATGTTTAACCATCAATTTCATGAAACCCATTAGGAGAGCAAAGATCTCCCTCTGGTTTTCTGGGCTCCCTTCTCAGGAGTGGGCCAAACGCACCCCCTTTGGCTTGACCCTGCTTAGGCCCTTATGGAACCTCCAGCGCCAGAGGCAGTCTATCTCGGTTGCTAGTTTCTTACGAAGCAGCGTTATCATGATGGACCACACATATCTGCTAATGGGTCCCTGAAGCACAGTTTCACACAAAGGGGATCATATAGCGAACAATATTCTAATGGCCCCTTCAATCACGAGCCAGAACTTTGGCTCACCTAGTTCAGTATTGTCTGCACTGACCAGCAGCAACTCTCCAGGTTTTTGAGACTCGGGGGGGGGGGCGTCTCTCCCAGTCCTGCCTGGAGCCTTCTGCATACCATGTGGATGCTCTGCTGGAGAAGGGGGGCCTGCATCTGTCTGTGCAAAGGGCTTCTTTGTTTTCTGAAGCAAGGCAGGCAGGCTCAGGATCCCTGTGAGGTTTGGGGGATTTCCGAGAGGTGGTTTTTTAAAAATTAAAAAAGCAGATTTTTGTGCAAGATATGAGCTAGCTGCCCACCTGCTCCGATGCAGCCCCAATTCTCTTGGCCAGCTGCTCCCACCCACCCACCCTCTCCTTTTGTCCCCATGCACCCCCTTCTCCATCCTCAGTCATTCCGCCCTTGTGGCCACTGGGTCACCCTGCCACAACTGGGGACGCCTCCACCTTGTGGTCCTGCCCCTTGCTTAGCGCCACGATAAACATTTAATTCCCTTGACCTTCCTTTTGTAAACAGAGTGGGGCCTTCCCAGGCTCCACTGCTGGAAGGAGGATGGAGAGGAGGATCTCCCCCACCAAAAAACGCTCCTGCATCTGGGCTATTTAGCAAAGGCTGATCTTATCTCCCCTCCTGCCTCCTCCTGAGCTTTTGGGAAGCAGCTTTCCTCTGTGTGTTGTGTGTGCACTGCATGCTCAGGCAGAGCTTGGCTCCTTCACTCTGTGGGGAAGGTTTCTTCATGGTGCGCTGAAAGCCCTTTCCAAATGTCTGGGAAGAGATAAAGCAGACTTTGGAAGGAGGCTCCAGACTTTCCTTCAGAGGAGTGGAAAGGATGAGAAACAGACAATTACCAAGACAATGGCTGGAGTGTTTTGTGAAGGCTGAAAGAGCCCCCCCTTCACTGGGCAGTGAGGAAGACTTCACAAAAAGGAGGGGTGATGCATGGAGGCAGGTGGGGGCCCCACCCCAATTAACCTCCACCCCAATTTCTCTGGCTTATTGCTCAGGATATTCCCAAATGACTAAGCCATACATCTAAAAGACCTTGGTTATGATCTTTATTATCTGAAAATAGAGATGATGTTTGTACTATTGTAACTCAAGAAAATCCTTAATAAAAACAATACAAAAGGACCTTGTTGTTGCACAGGATGTGATGCAGCAGCGAAAAAAGAACGAATGGTGCATCCACAGAAGTCTAGTGTCCAGATCAAGGGAAGTCATAGTGCCGCTCTCTTCTGCCTTGGTCAGACCACACCTGGGATCCTGTGTCCAATTCTGGGCACCGCAATTTAAGAAGGACCTTGACAAGCTGGAAGATGAGCAGAGGAGGGAGGCCAAGATGATCAGGGGTCTGGAAACCAAACCTGATGAGGAACGGTTGCGAGAATTGGGGATGTTTTGCCTCCAAGGGTTGCCACATGGAGAATGGAGCAAGCTTGGTTTCTTCTGCTTCAGAGGGTAGGACCTGAACCCATGGCTTTAAGTTACAAAAAAAGAGATTCCACCAAAACGTCAGGAAGAAATTTTTGGCAGTAAGAGCTGTTCAGATGTGGAATGGAAGGTGGTGGACTCTCCTTCCTTGAAGGTTTTTAAGCAGAGATTGGATGGCCATGGATGCTTGAGGACTTACAGCATCTTAACCTCTACTTAAAAACTTCCAAGGACGACCTTCAAGACAGGACCTTCTCCATGGTGGCCCTAGGAGGTGTAGCTGCGTCCCAAAAATGTTGCGTCTCATGACTAGGGGAATTGGGAAGGTATTCCCCAAAGCTGCCCTCTTGCCCCCGCACCTGCCAGAGCCTGGTGACTTTGACATCTTCCTTTAAGTAGGAGACAGACCACATGGGCCACCAGCCCCGCCAGAGACGCCAGCTGGGCTACGGGGCATGGACGCACTGGGGCAGCTGGAGTGCCTGCTCCAGTACCTGCGGGGACGGAGCCTCCTTTCGGACCCGGCGATGCATCAGGTGAGCTGGCCTGCCCTGTTTGTCGGGGAGGGGGCCATGGGATGTGACTGCCTGGGGGGTGCTAGCATAGGGGTTGTGGTTGGCCTGCTGGGCTTCAGGTGGGGGAGACCTGGGTTCGAATCACAGAAGTTGCTTTCGGTCTCCCCGGCGGCCAACCTGGAGGCTCTCCCACATTGGAAATATTGCCGATATTAATATTGCTCCATTTGAAGCAACTGGACATATAAAAATAGACTCCTTTTTGGAATGAAAACAAGGCCTATTGACACTTACTTGCAGAACTTTCTTCAAAACGAACCTGTGGATTGAAACAGACTCAGCATTTTACAAAATATGAAATGATCCCAACAGACCTAGAAGCAGAGGTCTGCCTATCTTGACAGCATCCAATTCTCCTGGAGCTGTTTTCCTGGAGAGCTTCATTTACATCCTCACAGAGCCGGAGAAACAGGCATCACCCTTCCAAGATGGCAAACTGGCAATTCAATACCTCTCATGTGATCTAAGGTTAAACACTCATGTGTTACCTAGCAGAAAACAACAATACTGTAGTTAATTATTAACTCAGAGCTCAGAGTAAGGCTGAACTGTCTTGATCCAGTTACCTGGGAGTAAGCTCCATTGATTACAGTGGGACTTACTTCTGAGTAGGCAGTGCCAGGCTCCATTGACAATAAAGGAATAAACACTCCCCACATTTCCTAAGAATTGGCTAGCTGCGGAAGCATCGCAATGAAAGACTTGAAAGTGGATTGGTGATCTTTTCCTTCAAAATTGTAGGAAGGGCTTTGTATGCCAGCGTCATCGTTTCCTTCGTTTGGTGCAGGGATTTTATTTTCAGGATAAACGGGACTCAGTTTTTGAACCTTCACACACCACTTTTAATTGTTCTCCGAGACAGGGAGGAGAAAAGAAAATTGGGATATTTCGGGATCAAATCAGTATGGCTTCTGTAATTCTGGGACTGTCCCTGGAAAATTGGAGGGTGTTTTTTTTTCCTCTTTGCTTGGCTCATAGATGCCTTTCGGTAGCATGTACAGTGGTACCTCTGGTTGCGAACGGGATCCTTTCCGGAGGCCCATTCGCAACATGAAAAGAGCGCAACCTGAAGCACCGTATCTGTGCAGCGCAATTTAGTGCTTCTGCGCATGTGCGAGCAGTGAAACCCAGAAGTAACCCTTTATGGTACTTCTGGGTCACCGTGGGACATAACCTGAAAGAACATAACATGAAGCAAATGTAACATGAAGTATGACTGTATAAGGAAATACCTCTGTGCCACCTTTTGAGCCAAAAGGCTGAATTTATCAGGAAACTGCCTTAGCCATGCTTTGCCAATATAACATTTCACCAGTATATAGCCCCAGCACCTTGAGAATGCATGCCCAGCAATCCTCTTGCTGCTTACCTGGGAGTAAGCCCTGCTGCACCCAAAGGGGCTTCCTTCTGCATAGGATGAGTCTCTCAAGGAGGTGTTTCCTCTTCACGTACAGGTTCCCTGAGGAGGAGATGTGCAAGGGGCCTCTCAGGCAGTACCGGGTGTGTGAACTGAACGTGAGTACTTGCCTTGTCAAAGAATAAAGTGCTGCACACTTATTGCGGGGTTTGTGTTCGAGGTTGCATTTGTATCAGGTCCAGGTTAAAGGGTCGAGCCAGGGTTCAAATCAGCCATTTGGAAGAGTCTCCAGCCTCTGTATCCCTTGGACTGATATAGGATGATATGCAGAGGTGGGGAGAATTACGCTTGAGCTTTGTGGAGGGAAGGAGGTGGACTCCCAACACAGCAATAAATATAATCTGCAGCTTGCCTTGCACTCCTGCTCCCTATTCTTCATTGTTAATACTGACGATGAATGATTATTAATTACCTGCCCTTCAACCTAAAGTCCCAGGGCTGGTTACAATTTATTTACAATACTATTTATTATTTATTTTCATGCCACCCTAAACCTGTAAATCTCAGGGTGGTTCACAACATAACATTAAAATACAGTGGTACTTTGGTTCTCAAACAGTTTAGTTGTCAAACAAATAGGTTCCCGAACGCTGCAAACCCGGAAGTAAAGTCTGCAAATGTTTTTTGAAAGCCAAACATCCGACGGGCTTCCATTTGAGTGCAGGAAGCTCCTGCAGCCAACCAGAAGCTGCGTCTTGGTTTTAAACAGTTTCAGGGGTCGAATGGACTCCCAGAATGGATTAAGTTCGAGAACCAAGGTACCACTGTATACAAAACATAGAATACATAATGAAAATAATGAATGCAAAATGGTAAAAAAAGAGCTGAAAGCAATCTACAACTGCAAAAATAAGGAGCAGGGGTTCTAAAAATGCAGAGAGGTTTGAGGGTCCCTGCTTTGGACCACTGTCAAGGGATGCTTTGGGGAGTGGGGGTCAAGGGCTGGCATTGCCTAGCAACCACCAATGGGCTGGGAAGGAAATCCAGCATCACCTAGCAGTTGTCACCAGCATTTGGCTGAAAGGCAGAGGTGGATCTACGGTGAGTGGTGAAGTGAAAGTTATTATTGAAAGCCAGATCTTTCCAGCCCTCTTGTGCAAGCCCCGCCCCCCATGGGTGACGCCAGGGCCCCAATTCTGGCAGTGGCCAGAGAGTTCAGGCTGGATCTCCGTTTCCTTGCATCTTATTGTCCTTTCACACTGTGGCTTTCCTCCTCTCTTGCAGGAGTGCCTTCCTGGATCCGTCCCCTTCCGGGCTGTCCAGTGCTCCCTCTACGACGGCAAGCCTGTCCTGGGCAGCCAGACACCTTACCAATGGGTCCCCTTCCATGGAGGTGGGCTCAGCCTGGGGAGATCTCAGTCCAAAGCCCAAGGGGAGGTTTTGGGGTTTCCCCCTCTTGTGCTGTCCTTTAAGGAGTAGGGGAACAAATCTTCCCATTTCCATTTCATAGTCTCACAACACTCACACATCTATCTATCCTCACAAAAATTTGGCAGGATTTTAGTGCAAATTTCTCGTAAGATATATATATACCCAATCAAGCAATTCCCCCTATTATACAATGTATTTCTACATGGTATTTTCATGAATATATTCATCTTAATTCACATTTCCCCTCCTACAAAATATGCATTTTGGGTTTGGAGAGGGTTGTCGAGAAATGGCATTGAAAAATTCAAATTAGCTGCATTCCAGTTCATTTTATTGCTCTGGTGAGTGTGAATTGGGGGCAAGTGGGTGTTTTCCCCTGATAGTACTCATTAACAACAACAACAACTATTACTATTACTATTACTATTACTATTACTATTACTATTACTATTACTGGGTGGCTCCCAACAAATTATAAAACCACAGTAAAACACAACACATAAAAAACTTTCCGATACAGGTCTGCCTTCAGATGTGTTTGGAAAGTCATGTAATAGGTTACCGTATTTTTTGCTCTATAGGATGCACCATAGGAGGGGGAGAACGGGGGGGGGGGATTCTTGTTCTCCCTCTCAAAAACAAGGTGTGTTCAAGAGCAGGTCGGGGAACAGCGCAAAGGCTGCACGCAGCCTTGCCGCTGCCCCCAAGCTTGTGGGGCTGGCGGTGGGGGGAAGCGCTGCTTTCCCCCACCGCCAACCTCAAAGATCCCTGAAGCCTTTGGAGCGCAGCTTCGAGGACAGCCTTTCAGGCCTCCGCAGGGCAGTGGGGTGCCTTCACCCCGCCGCCCTGCGGAGATTTTCCGCAGCCATCCTGAAGCTGCTTCGGGCTGTAGGCAGCTGTCCGCAAGCCTGCAGAGCCCGGCGGGAACTCCCGCCGGGCTCCGCAGGCCTGTGGAGAGCTGCCCGAAGCCAGGGGTGCACAGCACCGCGCTCCCCGGGCTTCGGGCTGCAGGCAGCTATCCGCAAGCCTGCGGAGCCCAGAGGGAGTTCCTGCCGGGCTCCTCAGGCTTGTGGATAGCTTCCTGAAGCCTGGAGAGCGCACCGACCCCTCTCGCTCTCCAGGCTTCAGAGAAAGCCTGCATTCGCTCCATAGGATGCACACACTTTTCCCCTTCATTTTTGGAGGGGGAAAAGTGTGTCCTATAGAGTGAAAAATATGGTATCTCCTTGACATCAGATGGGAGGGCGTTCCACAGGGTGGGCGTGGGCGCCACCACCAAGAAGGCCCTCTGCCTGGTTCTCTGCAACTTCACTTCTCACAGTGAGGGAACTGCCAGAAGACCCTTGGAGCTGACCCCCTTCCTCCTCTTCCCTTTTTGCCAGCCCCCAACCTCTGCGACCTGAACTGCCTGGCTGTAGGGCACAATTTCTACTACACCTTTGGGAGGGTCCTGGATGGGACCCGCTGCAGCCCAGACTCTCGGGACCTCTGCATCAGTGGCCGTTGTTTGGTAAGTCCCGTCAGATTTAGGTCAGGGCCTGAGGCGGACCCCAAAAGCTAAAACAAGAATAGGCTGAAAGCAGATTAAAACTCACTTCAACTTTCCAAACATGCAGGTAGACTTGTCTAAACAGGAATGTTTCTCAGCAGGATCCCAAAAGCATCCAGGGAAGGCACCTGCCTGATATCAATAGTCAGGGAGTTCCAAAGTGTAGGTGCTGCCACCCTAATGTGGAAAATGGGTCTTATGTGGTACCAGTAACAGGACAGTCAGGTGGGCACATAAGGGGTGCACAGGGGTGCTAGCTGGGGGGGATCCCTTTGGGGTATCCAGCGTCCAGGGTCATTTTATGCTCTGATTGCTTCCTGAATAGTAATCATCATCATCATCATCATCATCATTTTTATTTATTTATTATTTATACCCCGCCCATCTGGCTGAGTTTCCCCAGCCACTCTGTGCTAGACTTCTGCTGGAGATGCACAGATTTATCAAATCCCCCACCCCCAATCTGGTGCCTGATGCTCCCCCCTCTTGGTCTCCCTTCCAGAGAGCCGGCTGCGATGGGCTGCTGGGCTCAGAGTCTCAGGCGGATGCCTGCGGGGTCTGCGGAGGCAGGAACGAGTCGTGCGTCCTGGTGCACCGTGTCTTCCGGGCAGCCTTTCCCAGCTCTGGTGATTCAATGCCCTGACGTTCTCCGTGGGTGAATGCTTTGGCTTTTGGCTTTTCATGCTCTTCCTCCTCACCCCAAGCACCTCCTCCCCCTCCCCTCCCCAGCACCTTCCCCGCTTTGGGCAAACGCACATGCCACTTTGTCAGGGATTGAAGTCAGCAGAACGGAAGTGGTTGCCCCAGAGCAACAACAAAGAAAAGAGGTGTCCTTTTTTGCAGCTAGGAAAGTGCAGACAAAATGGTGAGGTAACCAGCCTCCTATAACCAACAGGCTTAAGTCTAATCAACACACTTGAAGGGGGTAATACCACAGAGTCCACTGTCTTGCCACACTTAGCTAGGACCACTTCCACTCCCCTTGGGAGGAGCTCAGGTCTCCATCCTTCTGAGAAGCTCAAAGTGCAAAGAGGTTTCAGCTGGTTGCTCCAGCTCTCACAAGCCACTCTTGAGTTCCCCTGCCAACAGTGTAGGAACTTATTTTATTTATATATATATATATATATATATATATATCCAAAATAGAGAAATAGAATAAGAAAAAAAGAAAGAAAAAGAATAAACTTAGATCAAAATATCATACAAATTCCACATATCGAGATTCCTTTAATCTCCTGACTTCCCCCATTCCATCCATCCATCTTAATTCTACTTTCAACTGCATAGCAATACTTTTCCAATTTTTCATCTTCCTAAGTTATCTGTACTTTCTATTACATTATAAGTGTATTTAGAATCCTGCTAATGTTTTAACCTGTTTGCAATGATTTTGTATATACATTATAAACTTTTCCCATTCTTTTTAAAATTTCTTGTCTTCTTGGTTCCTGAGCTTCCCAGTTAATTTTGCCATTCCAGCATAATCCATCAACTTGATTTGCCATTCTTCTTTGGTTGGGGTTGTCTCTTCCTTCCATCTCTGGGCTAGCAAAAACCAAGTGGCCATTGTAGCATACACAAACAGTTTCCTCTGATCTTTTGGGATCTCGGTACCTATAATTCCTAGCAGAAAAGCTTCCATTTTTTTAGGAAAGGTTATTTTAAACATTTTTTTCATTTCATTATATATCATTTCCCAGAATTTCTTGATTACAATTCCACCGCATATGATAAAAGGTAACCTCTTTTTCTTTACATTTCCAGCATATATTGGTACAGTACTTGTTCTATATATTTCTACTAATTTTACTGGGGTTAAGTACCACCAATACATCTTTTAAGGAAATATAGAGAGAAGGCTTGGTAATATTCTAAGTTCTGGGGCATATACTGTTCTCCACTCTCTCTTGATTCTTGCCATAAAAATCTTTGAGTCTATGCACATGCTGACCACAAATAGAATGTTAGATTGTTCCTACCCTGTTTTCGTTTTGGTACAGCCCCCAAACTGCTTCGGGATTGACCTCCTCTTCAGCTTGTCTTAAATTAGCTCAACTGTTCCGTAAAATAATAGTTCTCTGGTTAGCTTTATGGAGTGTTATTTCTTTAGTTTAAGACCTCGATTCTTCGGATTAACTTTGGTTTCAGATTAACCTTAAATGCTCCAAGGTCTCAATAACCAGGTATTTGAGCTCATCATTATTCAGTGGAGATTCCCCCGCCTGGTCATTCTGGGATCGGGCTTTCTTACCTGGGGGAAGAATCGCTGTTGTTAGCGTCCGAGGTCTCCTTCCTCCCGGTCTGGGTTTAGGAACCCGCTTTGATACTGCAGCTGATCCTTACAGGTTCAAGCAACCCTCCTGAACCCTCGGGGAGGGGGCGTAAAGCCCTACAGCCCCCGTTTCACCCCACTGGTGAGTGTGCGTCTCACAGAGAATGCGGGACGCACGTACGAAGTCGACCTGTGGTGAACTGGAAGTCCTAACTCTGGTTACTTATACTAACATGCTCTCAAAACTATAAAATGGTTAGAGCAGCTGCCTTGCCCTGCCTCACAGGTTGGTGGCCATCTTGAAAGTCACTAGGACAGATTTTGCAACCTACCTGCATACTAATTGTGCCAGGACTGAAGCTCCCCATACTTTAAAATTTGATTTTCTTATTATATGATTCTGAAAACCTTTATGTCCTTTCATTTTATCATACCATAAATACTGTATGCATGCCATCCAAATCTATTATCATGTCCTTCTAGATCTAACACATCTCCATTTTTCAATATCATCCATTCCCAGGTCCAGCAGATGCAAGATGCCTCATAGTACAATCTCAAATCTGGCAGGGTGAAACCTCCTCTCTCTCTCTCATATCAGATAACAATTTATATTTTATTCTTGCTTTCTTCCCTTGCCAGATGTATCTAGAAATATATTCTTGCCATTCTTTGAAGCATCCAGCACTGCTTATCACTGGGATTGATTGAAATAGAAACAACATTCTTGGCAATACATTCATTTTAACCACTGAAATTCTCCCCCTTAACGATAAATTCATTCTTTACCAAATTTCTAAATTCCCTTTTATTTCTTTCCATGTAACAATTTAGGAACTTTCACCACTTGTTACTGCCTGTGCCACTTTCATGACCTTTGGAGAGTTAGTAAGTAAATCAACTTTTAACTCACCAAAGGGAACTTGGGAACTCACTGAGAAGGGCATAATTTGAAGGAATCACAGCCCACATTTCCATGCTTTACTTTGCTGCGTAGTTTATGATTTTAAATCTATGCATGGGTCCCCTCACCAAAGAGAACTTGCCCCAAACTTGGATCTTGGCAGCCAGGGAATTCTCCTCCTACATAGATTTTGATCCAACAGGAATTCACTGAAAAGCATGAGATCACAAAATAGCAGAATTGTAAGGGTCCCTGGGGGTCATCCAGCCCAACCCCCTGCAGGGCAGCAATCTCAGCTAGAGCATCTCTGACAGGTGTCCATCCAACTGACATTTCAAGTAGTATGTCTGAGGAAGCCCTCTGTCCAGCGCTGCACGTCACACTCTGAGCCTCCCCCCCCAAAAAAAACATGCAGTTCCCCTTCACCCCCTGGCTGCTTCCCCCTGGGCAGCCCCCTCCCCCTCCCTCCCCAGTGGTCTCTCTCCCCCCCCCCCCCCGCACTTGACCCGCTCTCCTCTGATTGCTTCACAGGTTACTTTGGCTACCAGAATGTCACTCAGATCCCGGCAGGCGCCAGACACATCAAGGTGACAGACAGCAGCCGCAATTACCTCGGTAGGAGGGGCTGCTGGGCAGGTTCCTATTCCCACCCCCATGCCTGTTGCTGACCCCTTGTGGTGGTGGGGGCCCCAAGATCCTACCAACTGCCTATTTTGAAACTGCACTTTTACAAAATGGACACACATTCAGGAACCCTGGCAGGTGGCCACCCATCTTCCATTTAAAAACCTCTCATGAATCCTAGAAGCATTGCAAGGGGCCCCCAAGGGTCAACTAGCCCAACCCCCTGTGATGCAGGAATTGCAGCAAAAGCATCCCTGACAGAGGGACACCCAACTTCTCTTTAAAAGCCTCCAAGGAAGGAGAGCCCACCACCTTCCAAGAGAGTTTGGCTGACGAACAGCTACTTTCTGCACAAACACCCCTCTTGAGCTCCAAGGACAGTGGCATTGCCCTGAGGGGCCACCCCAAGCAGGACCTGCCTGTGGTAGCTCCCCACGCCTCCTCTGAAACTGGAGGCACCCAGAGGCTCCCTTGGGGGTTCTGGGGTGGTTGGCTGGGGAGGAGGGGGCCAGCCAAAAACTCCCCCAAAAGCTTCCCCCAAACGTTCTTCCTTCCCCTCCCCAGCTCTGATGACGGCAAACCAGCGCTACGTCATCAACGGTGACTGGGCCATTGACTGGCCAGGGACGTACGAGGCAGCAGGCACCCAAGTCCGCTACACTCGCACAGCGGACGCTCACGAGAGCCTTGAGGCAGCCGGACCCACCCAGGAGGACTTGCTGGTCATGGTGAGATGAGCCAGGGAATTGTGTGGGGGTTTTCCACCTGGGTGCAAAGGATATTAACTGGGTCTCGCCCATGCACCCAATGCCTGTTTCTTGCCTCAGGTCCTTTTTCAGGAGCCCAACGAGGGCATTGAGTTCCAGTTCTGGCTCCCGAAAGAGCACTTCCACCCTATCCAGAGTGACGCCAGCCCCCTTCGCCAGCCCCAGACCAGGGAAGTCGGGGATGGCTCACCAAGGGAGCACCCAGCCATCCTGCCAGCCCCGCCCTCTCAAAACGACATCGCCAGGAAGACGCCTCAGCGGGAGGGAATGCCCTTGCCAGCCAAAGTGCCCCCAGGGAGCTCAGGTATCCTCAATTCTATCTCTCTCCCCCCCATTCTCTGTCCATCTCTCCTTCCTTCACCCCCACAATAGTTTCAGGGTGCAGGAGTGGAGTGCTCTTAGAAAGAAACATTTTCTTGTTGGAAATCTAGGAGATTTGAGGGATTTGGTAGCATTTGTTCCAAGGTACCCACCCATGCAGACCCTGATCCCATGTCTGCCGTCCCCTTGCTTTCCCCCTCCTCCAGCTCCAATGTCCTGTTTTCATAGAATCATAGAACTGTAGAGTTGGAAGAGACCCCAAGGGTCATCTAGCCCAACCCCCAGCGATGGAGGAATGACTGAGCTACCCAAGTGCCCTGGGTGACCTTGGGGGCCAGTCCCTGCCTCTCTCTGTCTTGCCTACCTCACAGGGCTGGTGTGGGATTTAAATGAGAAGGGGGGTCAGGGCCACAGGAGCCTCCTGGAGCTGCTTGGAGGAAGAGGTGGATAGAAGTGCCATGAAATGAATAAATTTCTCCACAGAGCTTTCAGCAGCTCGCACCCTCCAGGCACCCTGGGAGCCTTGGGCTGCTCCCACCCCATAATTTGAGGTGGGATTCCTGGCTCTCAGCATGCGCAGGCAGCTCCCCAGCTTGTGAGTTCAGTAGTGCAACATTTTGCCACAGAACCCACAAAGCCCAGGCTGGTTTTGGCAGCCTTTGATGTCGCAGGAAGATTCCTCCAAGGCAGAGCCACCTCTTCTCCCCCCAACCCAGCAAAAGAAAAGCCTGAGGAGTAGGAGAAGCCCCTGACTAGAACCCCAGGCACTGGGAACTGTAGCTCAGCGCTGTGCAAACTACAGTTCCCAGGATTCTTTGGGGGCGGGGGTGGGTGGGCTTGATTGTGTGCATGCCTCTCGCCTGGAACTGGATTTCCAGCCCACATGCAACTCTCCAAATCCCACCAGCCACCAATTCTCGGCCGGACCTACTTCGCAGGGCTTTTGCCAGAGCCCCAGACGCCGCCCCGCACTTGTAGGGGGAAAGAGGGCAGGGTTGAAGTGCAGGAAGGCGGTCAGTGCCCCCCCTTTCCCCCCACAAAATGCTTTCTTCTCATCCTGCAGGGCTGTGCGGGGCATGCGACTCTCCCAGGGGAAAATCCCAGCGCATCCACCACTACTGCAACAGCGACTTTGGTACGTGGCCCCTCCGCATGGAAGGGAACCTCAAGGGTCATCTAGTCCAAACTGCCGCAGTCTCCCTCCTCCCTCGAGGGCCAAGGTGGGGAGGAGCGTAGAGGGTCCCATGCCAAGGAACCCCCACCCCCTTTCCTGTTCCCCCCGGGTGGAGAGGGGAGCTGGATGAGGAGAGCCCTTCCCCTGGGGGGCCGCCGCAGGAGAGCCCCCTCCTGACCTCCTTTCTCCCCTGCCTACACAGTCTTCCGCGCCCGAATCCTCTCCAAGCGCCGGGTGGGGCAGGAGACGCGCTACGACGTGCAGGTGTTGCACACCTACCGCAACCGCTTCCCCGTCGTGCGCCGCGAGTTCGTCTGGGTGCCCGACGCCTGCGACTGCCCGCTGCTGGCCGAGCAGCGCGAGTACGTCCTGATGGCCCGGCGCCACGTCAACTACGAGCACACCCTCAACCGCCTGCTGCTGCCCCGGGGCGGCTACGCCCGGCCCTGGACGCCCCGCGAGGACCTGCAGCTCAGGGACGTCCCCAAGCACTGCTCCCGGGGTGGGACCCCGCCCTAAGGTGGGGGTCCCCGTCTCTGCCGCGTCCTCCGGGTGCGCCACACGGATCTTTCGCGGCTGCCATCTGCGCACGAGGGCGAATTCAAGGGAAGGGAGACTCTTCCTCTCTCACAACGCGATTGGCCGGGGAGATCTGGGCTCGAGCGCTTTTGCCTTCATTCAGTCCCAGGGGGGTGGGATTCCGCGTCTTCCTAACAGTTGCTCCTAGGATCCCCTTCCCTGCCATGCTCAGGTTTCAACTCTGCGCGGAAAAGATTGGAAGATTCAGGGGGGACAAAAGAAAGGTCTTCTTCTCACAGAGGGGGTTGTGGTAAGCTGTGGAACTCCCTGCATTAGGAAGCAGTGGCAGCCGCTCATCTGCTCTGAAAGAGAATTCACGACAGATGCAGCTACTGGCACAGTGGGTTGCCCCCAATGGCTATGCTCTCCTTCCTCTTGCCAAAATCAGGAGGCCAAGATCGCCTGGGCACTGGTGGCCTGACTTGCACTTCCACCCATCTCCCGGACACATTAAGCCACAGCGCCCCCATGGCTGACTCTGCCCAAGATCTCAGAGGACGCTGCCTGCAAGAGGACTCTGGGGCATATACAGAGTCCCTCTGGCCTCGTAAGCTCAGTCTTCATTTCTGCTCCTCGAAACCAGTAAAGGTATTCTACAGTCTGACATGCTGCATTGATTCATTCATTGATTGTGTTTATATCTCCTGGGAGCGTAACATGGTGCACATGGCAAAACCACACTGGGATATCGGCTGAGAGGCAGTGCCTGGCCTCCAAGGCCACCTAGGGAGCTTTCTATGGGCGAGGTAGGAGGATTTGAACTTAGGTCTCACAGGTCCCAATCCAACACTCTGGCTCTCTAATGACACACATAAACTTCCCAAGCCACCCTCAAACTAGCTCCAGCAAAGCAAACATTTGACACAGCCTTTACACATGCACAGACGCCAACTTGTGAGCAGGAGTGATGGGCAGTGATTGCAGATGAGGACAGCAAGGGGTGACTTACAATGCAGCAGTGGGGAGAAGAGGGTGTGTGTGGAAAGGACCTTGGTGCTGATGTGTCCATGGCCTCAGGGGAAGGCAGCTCACTCCACACTCCCCAAACCATCCTGCCTCACCCTCCATTTATCCAGGCTACAGGCAGCCTATGGCTCCCTCTCCTGGACAATTGTGGTGCAGCAATTATGGTGGGGTTAGTATTTTGCAGGAAGGAGTCCAATGCCAAATTTAGGTTTGTTTGACTGCTCTGTTGCCCTCAGAAGAAGGTATTTTCTCCTCCTCTGGAGGTCTTTAAGCAGAGGTTGGATGGCCATCTGTTAGGGATTCCATTGCTGTGATTCCTGCATTGCAGGGGGTTGGAAAAGAAGTCCCTCAGGGTCCCTGGGGAGGTGCATTGCAAAGCGGGAGGCAGCCCGATGATTTACTTGGAGAACTTGCAAACGCTCTGTAGCCTAGTCCAGGTGAGGGAGAGCAGTAAATGCAGCTAATAAATAGGATATCTTCACAGGTAGGAGGAGCATAGGGACCCCCACAATGGGGGCAGTTTTGGGGACCCCCATCTCCACCACATTCCCTTCCACGTGGGCCACCTGCCCAGATTCCTCCCCCCCTCCAGCTGTGCTTTCAGGCAAGGAAACAGAAGTTGGAGGGATTTGCTGCAAAATGACCCCCATGCAGCCCCCACCCCTACCTTGGCCCTGACACACCACAATCTGGATCAGGACTGAAACCCGATGGCCACATCAGTATCACTGCCATCTCACACATCTCCAACATCCTGACTTTGTTTCACTCATTTCCCCCAAACTCGCTGATTGATCCCATCAATGTGCTGGTTGGCAACTTGCATTTATTCTTATTATGTTCAAGTTCCTCTCCCTGTCATTTGAAATCAGCTCAGAGAGGGAGCAGAGAGGCAGCTTTGCCAGGAACACGAGCGCTGGCCAGTAGGTGGTGTGCAGCTCTGCCTCCGCCATACAAAGGGGGGAGGCCCAGTCCCACCGAGCCCCCTCTGCAGGAGCAGGCTATCTGCACTCCACTCCTTCTGTGGGGCTTCACCACAGATGGCTGGATACCCAAACGGTCTCTTTCGTTCCAAAATGAAGGAGAGAAAAAGAACAGGGCAGCCGACTTTTCCCGCTCTCCGTCTCCCACACTGCTGCCTTGGAGGGTGTTGGCATACCGCGTCATGCGCAAATGTCAAATCTCCGCACGGAGGCTGTCCCGTGGATGGGCAGCGGGCAGGGGAGCTTGCTGTCCACCTCCTGGCACATCTCCAGGTAAGGGTCCAAGAGAACCATGTTGGGGAGTGCAGCGTTGCCCTGTCTCTGGCCCAGGAGATAGATCCTGCCATTGGCTGCGCTGCACCCTGTGAAGAACTGTCGCGCCAGGCACTCCTCCTCCACTCGTGTCCACTCTCCCGAGTCCACATCAAAGCGGAAGGCGCCCCCTCCCACGGTGTAGATGGCCCCATTCAGAGCCACAACGCAGAGGTCATACCTGGGGATGGAGAGAGGAGAGCGTCAGGCAGGTGCCTACACCTCAGGAGGCATGGGGAGGTGACCGCCAGGAGGCAGCTGATCCCAAGGCAGATCTTCCTTCTCCTCCTCCTGTTCCTGACGCAAATCTTCCCCTGCCTCTGGTGGGGAGTGGGGTGTGTGCCATTTGGGGAGATGCCTCAGGTGCCCAAATGTTTTGGGCTTGCCTGCCTGGAGGTGTCCCAGGTGCAAAGCAGCTCTTGACATCCCTCAGCCTAGGCAGTCGCGAGTTTACTGCTGCATTTAGAAGGAGACTGGGCTCCCTTTGGGAATGGGGAGGAAGAGCCAAATTTGATGGAGAAATGGGGGAATGGATAGTGTGAGGGATGATTGGCAAATCTGCAGACGGACAGCAGGTGCCTCCAAGTTCTGAAGGCGCATCCTGGCTCAGAAGAGGCCGTCTTGGCCCAGGGTCAAGGGGGGGAGGCTGTCACAATCAGGGTGAAAGCCCCAAAGCGCAGGCGCCCATTGCAGGTCTCTGGGGCAGAGGCAGGTGGGGAAGGCATCAGCGAGAGGACAACAACTGCAGAGTTTGATTATTTTCTGTTAAATTATTTTGGTTATCTTAACATTTTCTATTTCGATTATTAAAGTTAAGATTTTTCTTTTGAATTTTCAAATTGCCAGAAGGAGGCATACCAGGTGCCATCCAACCACCTTAGGGGCTCTGCTCTGGATTTGTGGAGGGTTATGAAGATATTCCACGTATTGCATTCAGAGAGCTGAAAATACAGTACAGTGGAACCTCAGGTTAAGAATTTAATTCATTCTGGAGGTCCGTTCTTAGCCTGAAACTGTTTTTAACCTGAAGCTAATGGGACCTCCCTGCTGCCACTGTGTCGCCGCTGCACGATTTCTGTTCTCAACCTGAAGCAAGGTTCTTAACCCGAGGTAATATTTCTGGGTTAGCGGAGTCTGTAACCTGAAGTGTATGTAACCTGAAGTGTATGTAACCTGAAGCATATGTTACATTCCCATCTGACAACCAATGGGCCTCTTTGGTTTCAGATACGAGTACGTGGATAGATGAGTTTAAACATGAGCAACCACAGCTGCGAGGGGGCCATGAAAATTTGTATCCTGGGCTTTTTGGACTTGTCTACCCCATTTACTAGGGACACGGGTGGCGCTGTGGGTTATACCACAGAGCCTAGGACTTGCTGATCAGAAGGTCGTTGCTCGGTCCCTGCTCCTGCCAACCTAGCAGCTTGAAAGCACGTCCAAGTGCAAGTAGATAAATAGGTGCTGCTCCGGCGGGAAGGTAAACGGCGTTTCCGTGCGCTGCTCTAGTTCGCCAGAAGCGGCTTAGTCATGCTGGACACATGACCCGGAAGCTATACGCTGGCTCCCTTGGTCAGTAAAGCGAGATGAGCGCCGCAACCCCAGAGTCGGTCACGACTGGACCTATTGGCCAGAGGTCCCTTTACCTTTACCCCATTTACTATCTGAAAACAAAACGGCGCATTGGTTGCCAGATGTGAATTATTTTCCAGATTAACAACACAGTGCAGGATGAGGACCAGAGTTTTCCTTCCCAATGAGCTTCCTTCCCAGGAGGACGAGCTCCACCGGCCCCTCACTTCTCTCTACAGCATGGGTGTCAAATATAAGGTCCGCGGGCCAAATCTGGCCCGCCAGACCTCGTCATGTGGCCCGTGTAGCCGCCGCCGGCCGCCAGCTTTCACCTTTTATTCTCGCTCTTTTTTTTTTGACACAAGAAAGCCACCTCTTCAGCACATGCGCGGCAGCCTACAAGCCAGAGAACGTCTGCCCTCTAGCGGCGCCGACCGTTCTACACAGGAAACCTCCACTTTACATGCATTCAGGAAACTTCCACTTGTTTTTATATTGAGCGCATGCCATCCTGTGATGTGACAGATCCAATGGCTGCCTGAACCCTTCTCTCCTGTACTGTAAGTCCTACAGATACAACCGGACCTTTGAGGGTGACCAAACTGCTGATGCAGCCCCCAATGAATTTGAGTTTGACACCCCTGCTCTACAGCATGTGCAGAAATTGCCTGCTTGTCCGTTGGATCCCCTCTTGGTCATGTCCGCTCTGCCCACCAAAGCCTGTCTTCACATGCAGGAGAAGCCTAGGAGAAGCTTCTAGGAGCCACAGGTGGGAGCTGAGTGCGGGGGGGGGGGGGACGGGACCCAAGGTGGACACACTACTCCAGAAGGAGCAGGATGTGCCCCCCACCTCTAACATCCCAACCTCCAGAGCCGCCTCACCTAGGGAGAGGCGAGAAGGAGACCACATCCCAGATGTCCGTTTCCACGTCCAGCCGCTGGACAGCATGGCAGACATCTCCATTCTCGTCCAGGCCACAGATGACGTAGACACGAGTCCCCACACTAACCGCCCCGGCCCTCTCCACGGGGTGGGCCAGGGGGCTGGTGCTCTCCCAGGAAGAGTCTGTGGGCGCCAGGCGCTCCACCTCAGGCGTGACAGCCCCCTCCTCAGTGCTGCCACCCATCACGTAGAGGTGGAAGCCCACCCCCACAGCACAGTGGCTGTGGCGTGCCGTCTTCATGGCCGGGCCATCCAGCCAGTTGTCGTCCCAGCTGTTGTAGATCAGCACCCAGCCCACGCTGCACCAGGAGAACTCCTCGCGGAAGTAGCCGCCCGTCACAAAGAGGAAGTTGCCTGTGGAGAGAGCGCAAGAGATGCCGTTTCCCCTTCCACCGCGGACCCACCACACAGAGAGGCTTCGCTTCCACTGCACATTGCCTCCTGATGAAAGCAAAGCAGTTCGTCTCCAAGGGGTGATATTTCACATCCTGCATCTGTTTCGGTGTGAAGCAAAAGCAACAAGGATGAGGTGGGGACAACCAACTGCTTACATAGAACTGGGGGACAATGGCTATTTCTGCCCCCATTTCCATTGGGGTTCCCTGATGCCCCAAAGAGGTATGAGACAGGGCGAATTGAGGCTGAGGGAGACATGGCCAGGAAATAAACATCTATTGGAAGGCAGCCCAAGACAGGGAGTTTGGAGACTTCTGCGTTTTAGCATTTTGTTGGAAGCCACCCAGAGTGGCCGGGGTAACCCAGTTACAGGAGCATCATCGTTATCGTTATTATTATTTCTGGGTCTAAACGGTTTCTGGTGCAACAGGACACTGTCACAGAAACCAGAGCACACAGAAATGTCGTTTACCTTCCTGCCACAGTGGTACCCATTTACTGTATCTACTTGCACCAGCATGCTTTTGGACTGCTAGGTTGGCAGGAGCTGGGACAGAGCAACAGGACCCCATCACAGGGATTCGAACTGCTGACCTTCTGTTTGGCAAGCCCAAGAGGCTGAGTGGTTTAGACCGCAGCACCACCCACATCAGGCAAGGCCATGGCACAGCAGTACACTTTGTAGAAGCTTTCCCCCCCAGGCTTCTTGCAAAGCAGGAAGCAATTCTAAAGAAAAGGGAACCTCTGAGCATGTGCAGGGTGCAGCCAAACCTCCTGGCACCAGGTAGCCACAGCTGGCACTCTCTCCCACCCTAGCATTCCACTAGATGCAAACTTCAAGGTGAAACCCTCTGCCCGCCCACACCAACCCAGAGGGCACCAAAGCAGAGAGCAGACTCTCAATGGCATGGGGAAAATGCCAGCCACCTGCGGGCTGCTCACACTCTGTGCAAGCTCAGAAGCCAGAAGAGTTACCGATGGCAGCCACAGCATACTGGGTGAGGTTCTTGCGTCGGAGGGGCGCCCGGGTCTGCCACACCTCCGTCTTCGGTTGGAATTGGAAAAGCTCCTGCTGCTCTTGGTCGTGTTTGCCAGCCAGGACAAAGAGGACCTCATGGCTGCGCCCCACACAAGGTGAGAGGCCTGCCTGTCTCCAGCTGGCAGGCAGGCAAGCATCCAGCTTTTGCAGCAGCCGTCCCGAGGTGTCCTGCCCTGGGGGGCTCTTGCATCGCCGCACCAGCCGCTCCAGGAAGGGCAGGCTCAGGAAGGGTCCGCGGATGAGGCCTGCCAGCTCCAGGAAGACTGCTTCCCGCCCAGCAGGGTCGGCAGTCGCCCACTGCAGCAGCGCCTCAAAGGCTGCCTCCTCGCGGCTCACAAAGAGATCGTCACTCCGCAGCAGCACCCGCAGCGTCTCTGCAGGGGCCTCCATGAACTCCTCGCCGGAAGCCACTTCGGCCCAGTGTGAGAGCACCACGGAGAGTGCAGCTGCCTGCAGGTGGGCGCAGGAGAAGCATTGCGCGTAGGCCAGGAAACCAAGGCAGTTGGAGACGTGCAGCTCCCTCTCCAGAAATGCCTCACAGAGCCGCTTGGCGCAGTCCAGCTGCAGGAAGTCAGCTGCCTCCAGCAGCTCTGTGACATTGTTGCGGTCAAGGAGGAGGCTGCCCGTCTGTGTGAAGGCCAGCAGGGCCTGGAAGGCAGTGGGGTCCAGGCCCTGGATCCGGATCCGAGGGGCTGTGCGCTCTCGTGTGCCCCCAAAGAACATGGCCTCGAAGTAGCGACTGTAGCGGGCCAAGGCCCAGCGCTCGACAGGGAACTGCCTGTCGCCCACCTCCAGGACCACGTGGCCTCCTGACTGGGCCCCAGAAGACGCCCCCTCCAGGCCAGCCATGTTCACTGGGTGCAAGCAGGCCACACTTTGGGCTGCGCAGGAGGGCTTTGGCCAGGCAGCCAAGACGGATATAGCAACAACTCAGCCCCTAAAAATAGATCCCTCCCTTCTGGCTCCCTCAGCTGCCCAGGCAGCTAGTGAGGCGTTGTCAGGATGTAAGAAGAGCTGCTGGATCAGGCCAAGCCCAACGTCCTTCTTTCCCTGCTGGGACCAAGAGAGACTGCCTCTGCACCTGGGGGTTCCACAAGAATGTCAGAAGAGTGTGGCTGCCAGACCATGTCACAGGTGCCCCAAAGAACCTAGGGATCCTCTGAAACTGGATATTCCACTGCAGCATTGGAAAAGCCTGGCTGCTGGATCAGGTCCATCTATCCCAGCCTCCTCTTCCCATAGTGGCCAACTAGGTGGGAAACCCGTAAGCAGGATCCAAGCAAGAGAGCAGCTCTCCCCTCCTGTGATTTCCAGCAACTGGTATTCAGAAGCATTGCTGCCTTGTCTGGATTCCTGGGTTCTTAGGGAAGCTTGACCACTGCAAAGACAGGAGGCTGGGCTAGATGGGCCTGATCCAGCAGGCTCTTCGGATGTCTTCATTCCTGGGGTGCACACTCACTCCTCGTAGGTCTCCTTGCTGTGCTACTGACGTCTGCAACTAAAGAAGCCAAGTAAAGGGAAGTGCTGCTTGAGCAGAGAATGAAGTAGTTGCTACATTTTCATTGTGGCTGCATGTCAGGTATCTACACTCAATTCAAAGAGATTGGTGATAGGTTAAAGATGGCTCCCATCCTCTCCCAAATAAACTTGCTTTGTCGTTCCGAGTTTTGATATCACATTTCAAAGCAGAAGAGTCTAACAAATTCTAGGTCAGTTTTGGATAGCGTTTTATTCATGGATTTTCAGGAATTCTCCTAAAAAGGAAAGAGTCACCGCCTGGAAATTAAGAGGAGTTGGACACAGGTGTCATTACAGTTCTTGACATTTGGCAAAGCGCTTGACCCCTCCTGGGCAGACAACCATCCTGGAGAAAGGAAGGCAGACACCATTAACCCAAAGGGGAAATGGGCAGTCCCCTCCAAAGCTCTGAGAACAGAACAGCAAGCCAATGTAGGAACAGCTGTGGCCTTTGCCAAAGAGGTAAAAGGAACAACAACAAAAAACCTCATCTTCCTGTGTAATATTTTACATAAACACAGCAAGCTATTTCAGTGGCTCTAGACTAGAGTCAAAAGTTCACAGCAAAACAAGGTTATTTTCTGAAATAGTTTTCAGGGCATCTCCTGACAAAACGCCTTCTTCCTTGTGAGACATAGTGTCAAAATGGGGGGGGGGTAACTAAAACGCAGTAACAACCACCTTACATAAGTTAACAAGGTCCTTTGCCAGTATAAACATAGCATACAAAAATATGTTCCCCTTGCAAGAAAGTCCATTCTTGTCAGCGGGGGCTGGCCCTCCGAGTCCTCTCAAGATTTTAGCTGCAGAAAGAGCCCAGAGTGGCTTAGCCGTCTTGCTGCTGAATGAAGGGGTTGGGAATGGCTTCCATCCCATCCTGGGGACAGATGAGGACCACTGAGGTCCCTCGGCAGACCACCAGTCCCAGCTGACGGGTGTCCTCTGTGAGCTTGTATTGGTCATCTGGATCTGCAAAGGAAAAAGCCCAGAAAGAGCTACAACACTGGGTCCTGCCAGCTATCCTGCTCTCAAGCCCTGGGGGTGCTTTTCTGCACCAAAGTCAGCGCCTGGAACTCAGACCTGGGAGCCAGGTGGCAGCCAGAGACAGGAGCTGAGGCTCAACATCCCTCAGCAAGACAAGGGCCCCCTGGGATCAGCTGTGGCAGCTGCGCTAGGCTGTATCCCACTCAGAACTACAGAAATTACTGGGCCCAAGCCAGCTGTGCCCTTGAATCTCAGTGGGTCTACTCTGAGTAGGAGCAGGTGGAGAACAGAACAACCTGTGACTGGACAGGTATCCTTGATGATTGTTAGCCATGGGTGATACACAGAACCAGCCCAGTTAGTTGGGAGGCTTTGTTCTCCTCTGTCTGTTGGGGCATCTAGTTGGTCACTACAGAAAAGGGGGAGCAGGACCATGGCCTGATCCTGCAGAGGATGGGGAAAATTCATGGAGAAGAGCCTGCTCCTTTCCTGTCACCTGCTTGCTGTGGGGGGTGTTAGAATTCCTGCTCCATGATTGCAGTCATGGGATTGTTGTCTATCACATGACAGTGTGTTTTGACTCCACAGAGTGGGAAGTGATGAAGACAGGATGCTTGTGTTACTGTGTTCCGTGAAGTGGGACTATTGTCCTTTGTTCTTTTCTCTTTGCTGTCTGATGCTAGAGAAAGAGGAAGCCATGTTGCAATGCTCCGTGTGTGTTTATATGTAAATAAATTAGATTAGCCAACATGCTGAATTGCTGAGGTCTGTCCTGCGTATGCTGCGATAACTCTACGGATCCATAAGTGTGCCGATGTCTGTTGGCATCGGTCGCTGTGATGTTTGGGCTGAAGAAAGCTTATGAAGCTCTCGAATGATCAACCAGGAGGGAGGGAACATGCCAGTCGGGTGTAGGCTGAACTCCTGACAGGGGGGTCATGGGGTCTTAAACGCACCTCTCATATACTCAATGGTCCCATCCAGCACCAGGTTTAGAAGGGGGTCAAATCCTTTCAAGACACCGCTAGCTGTGGGAAAACAAGGAAAAACAGTCAGGAGCCGTTGGGAACCACGCCAAGGCTGAACGCAGAAAGCTGTGATGTTACAGTTACATTCTGCATATTACAGTGGTGATTCCCTAGCAAGCAGGATTAGGCCAGGGACGATGCACACCAGCGATGTAATCTGGCCGCAAAGGAGAACAGATCCGTCCTCAGACCTGAATCATGAAGAGGCGGTGACAGGCACAGTGTCGGGTCCCCAATAGCAGAGGTGCTATGGAGACTCTGCTTACCTTCCCGGCCACCCTGGAACTTCACACGGATGGTTTTATCAATGTACTTAGACAGATCCAATATACTTTCTTTCTTCTTCTTCTCTTTGTCCTAAATCAAGGTGGGAGAAATGGGGGCTCAGGTGAACTCAGTTTCCAGCTTGTTTTAAAGTAAATTGGGGGAATCAAACAGTCATCATTTTAGCCCACTGAGGGCTCAGGTTTAACCCCCTCCCCATGGCATCGCCGGGTTGGGCTGCGAATGCTCCCTGCTTAAAATGCTGGAGGGCAGCTGCCAGTCGACAGTACTGAGCTAGCTGGGACAGAGGAAGCGGGTGTTCATCAGGACTGACCAGCCAGTGAGTGGGGCCAGAGCCGAAGCCAACACTTTCTGATTTCCTCCCTGTCCTCCTTGCCACATTGTGCCAGGGCCAAAAGCCTTCCTGCACTGGGCCACTTCTCATCCTGCCTGCCTTGGGAAACTCCCACCAAGTGGGTGCACCAAAGGGAGGAGGCCCAGGCAAGAGACGCCTCCGCACGGTGTCTCCTCCTGACCTTAAAACAACCCTGCCGGCTTTGCCCAGCTGCTCTGAACACAGGAGGAGTCCAGGGTGTTCAGACTGGAGAGCCGGTCTGCTGCTGCTCCAGAGGCTTCGGCAGGACTTCCTGGGAGGTTCTCAAGGAGAGTCTGGATCTGGTCGCCTCTCAGCGTTTCTTCAGCTGCTGCGATTCCTGCCTCGTCGGCGGTTCTGCTGGATGACCCCTGGGGGCCCCCCAACTCTGCGGCTCTATTCCGCCTGCGTCCTCGCTGGCCGGCAGCGGCTCTTCCAAGGGCCCGAGATCTCCAGCCCCCGGGCCTCGGCCTGCGACACCTGCTCTTCCCCGCACGAGCAGATGAGCCGCGATGGAGCCTCCCGCTCCAGGCGCAGCCTATCCGGCCCGCTGGATAATGGCGGGCCTCGCCTGCATGACGTCAGCGCCTCATTCGCCCACCTGGTCGTTGCGCCGCCTGCATCAAGCTGCATACATTCCCTCTCCCCTCCGCTCTACTCACCGCCATCTTGCTCTCCACAGGCATCCCGCTTCCGCGCCACTTCCGCCCGCTTTCAAACAGGCCCCGCCTCACCGCTCCTCCAATGGTAGCGGCAAGAAACCAACCCGCGAGCCCCGCCTCTTCCTGCCGGCGCTGCCTTGCCACTCTAGGCCTCGGGCTCCCGACTCCACTCCTTTGTCGCCCTAAGAGCGAGAGGGAGGCGGGGATTTCGATAGCCTATTTCCGTCCCAGACCGGAAGTGCCGCCCGCCGCGAGCGGGGACCGGGCTGGAGCGGCGGCCCTGAGGGCGCCAAGGTACCTCTCGGCGCTTTTTAAACGTCCCTGTCTATAACGTGGTTGCGTGACTCTCCGCCCCCCCATCCCTATGCGCCGAGAGAAAGAGAGCGCGAGGGAGAGAGCGGCTTCCTTTCCGGGTTGCTGGGTAACCGGGCGCTCACTTCCGGTGTGTACCGGAAGCAGAACCTCCTCCCTCCCCTCTCGCCCCCCCCCCCGGGTTCCAGGGAGGACAAAAGGCGGCGATGGCGGTGGCGGCGGCTTCTCTGGGGCGGAGAGCCCTGCTCGGGTCGTGGCTGCTCCTGGCGGTCCAGGTGAGGAGGAGGAAGAGGAGGCTCTTCTCATGCAGAGGGCGGGGCTCCTCCTCTCCAGTCCTCCCTCGGGTCCGAAGGCGGGGTTGGGGCTCGGCTCTTCGGCTGCCCTTCTTCCACAGTGGGAGGCGGGGCTTCTTCCCGGGGGGGGGGCGTCTCAGTTGCCCCCTCCGTGAAATGGGCCGAGGCCCCGCCGCCTCGCTCTCCGCGACGCCCCAGAGGCGTAGGAAGCGGGCCATTTCCACCTGGGGCGCTAGGGACCCCCGCGGGTCTTCCAGCCCAACCCCCTGCAAGCCAGGAATCTCTTGGCCCGGGATCCCGAGATTGGCTTCGCATGCTGCACCACTTCCCTTGGAGCAAAGCGGAGCGCTAGTCCTCTAGCTAATGCACAAGGCGGCTTAGAAAGCCAAGTTTCTTAGAGCCTGGTGCTGATAACGGCAAGGTTGCAGGTTTGATCCCCGCTTCGACAGCGTCATATTCCTGTGCTGCAGAGGGTTGGACTAGATGATCCTCAGGGTCCCTTGCAACTCCATGAAAACATTTGTGCAGGAAGCTGGTTTGCTGTGCTCAGTCTTTGGGTGTGGAGCCAGGGCGCTCTGCCCTGCTGAGCTGCAGGACCTTTCCCTTTGAAACAAAGAGGGCTGCTAGTCCCCAGCTCAGCATCACCTCCGCACAGGCTGGCAGCCAATGGCTCTCCAGGAAGGACTGATTCTGGATCCTGCATGCACAGCAAGCATGCCATCATTGGGATGCAGCCCTTCCCTGCTGTTGGTGAGGTAGCTTTTGGGGTTTGAGGGTCATTTTTTGTTAGGTCCCCAGCAGTAATGGGCTTAGGAGTTGCTGTGTGGAAAAGTCTGCTGGCAAATGCTTTGACCAGGAGGGAGGGAAGTGTGAAACATATTCAGAGAGAGAGAGAGAAATAGGACATAGCGCTTGGGTGTTGACAAGTGTATGAACTGACTTGCTGCCCCAATGATGCAGGTTGGGCTGTGCCCTGCGCCTTGGTGATGGTGCTGCTGCTGCTGTCACAGCCTCAGTGCACTAGGAAGAGGTCTGCAGGGTCAGCCCAAATGGGTTGCTCAGCCCACAAATCTTGTTTCTGCGCTGGCAGAAGGTGAGCACAGCCGCTTTCTCCAGGAGACGCCCCAGGGAGGTTCCTTGGGCAAGGAGAGAACCTATTTTTGTCCCTTGCCCTCTTACTTAATAATTTATTAAAACTATATACCGTTGTTTCATAAACTTATACCACAGTGGTTTGTGACAATATAAATGGAACCAAATAGCATCAAAAAAAGTTAAAAACTAGATAAAAGCAAAAATAAAAACACCTAATCTTTGTCTTGGGTGGGGGAAGACACTCTGTTTAAAATTGTTGTTCCTGTGAATTCTTAGCTAGCCTAGTGGCCCTCCTGGGTCATGAGAATGCTGCCATGGCCACCCATCCTGGGTACACCTTCCCAGGAAAGGTGGTGGTGGGACTTAATCTTGTGGGGGAAAGCTGGCCTTTTTGCTGCAATGAACTTAATTTGCCTTTTTGCATTTAGCAACTGGTAGGGATCCCCCATCCAGCTGTTTGGGGGTGCCAGCATGTGCTGCCCTCACCTGTAGCTAAACAGCCTCTTCTGCAAAACAAAAACCTCATTCAGGACATTCAAAGTCCTTTGCAGCTGCTGTTGTGACCCTCTTGGCAAGTAGATACTTTGCTAGAGTGAGGAGAGAACTGGTGATATCCCAGCTGGCGCCAGGTAAGGTGTGGTCGAAGAACTGAGCCGCCTCAAAGAATCTCAGGAGAGAAGGGTGTGATAGCAACCACCACAAAGTTACGCATCCCAAAGGGCCCCGTTCCCCCCCCCCGGTTGTTGGAGAGCAGCCAGTGGGTGGAGTATTGAAGCCCCCTGAGAGACAGGATCGTGCACCTCGGGAGCAGTGACTGCAGAAATGGCATGCCTTGGAAGACCCCAGCGGGATGGGGCCTTGCCCTCAAGGGATTCCCTGCAGCATCCAGCTCTGGAGAGCCAGGCTTTGTTGCTTGTGGTGCTTTTGGGAGTGACTTTCTGACTCTCCCTTCCTCCAGATGGAGACGAAGACCTGAGCCCTCTAATCTTACACCCACAGCAGTTGAGTGGCTGGTTCTTCCCTAGTGAAGGAGAGATAGATTCCCAGCCCAAGTTGCCAACTCCGGTCACGATGTCCTTGCACGCCCCCCTGTTGGCTGACGGGGGGTCTGCCCATGAATCCTGGTGGACAGCAGTGTGGGAAGTTTCAAAAGCATCCTGCATCCAGATCGTGTGGGCACCTGGGAGCCTGCAAAGTTGATGGGAAGTTGGAGTGATGTGCAACACCCCCTCGCTTTCCTCTTGCTGCCTAGTTCTGGCCCCTTTTGGGTTTTCATTCAGTCCTGTGCGGAGAGTTTTCTCCCTCGTAACACTAGGACTTGTGGGCCTCCCATGAAGCTGAATGTTGGAAAATTCAGGCAGGTGAAAGAGAGGACTTATTCACACCATCTGTAGAACTCCCTTACCTAGGAGCTAGTGATGGCCACCAAACTTAGATGACCTTGAAAGAGGATTAGACAAATTCATGGAGGAGAATAAGGTTATAAATGGCTGTTAGCCAACCTCCGGGGTTGGAGGCAGAAATGCTTCTTCATCCCAGTTGCTGGAAGCCACAAAAGAGGGCTCTTGTGCTTGAATCTTGCTTGCTGGTTTCCCTTTGGCCTTTGGAGGCTTTTCTTTCATTCTTATGGGAGGTGAGCCCGGATGCTGCCAGAGTGATGGGAAGCAAGTCTTCTCCCTCTGTTTTCCAGGTCTCCTGTGAGTTTGGCATGGTCCGCGTCTTCTCCGAGAAGGGGAGTTCCAAGGGGAAGGACTACTGCATTCTCTTCAACTCCCAATGGGCTCATCTGCCCCATGACCTGGGCAAGGCGGTGAGTGGCTCCTGTGGCACCTCAGCTGGCAGGGTGGCACCTGCCCTGCTTATCATCACTGTTTACATCTCTAGCCCATCCTTGGTCAAGTTAATGGATTAGTCACAGAAAGTCATAGAAGCATAGAGTTGGGAGAGACTGCAAGAGTCATCTAGTCCAGAGGTTTTCAACCTTTTTGAGCCCACAGTTCCCTTGACCAACTACATTCTTTCTGCAGCACCCCTGTGGGGCTCAGGAGCCCAGTTGTGTCACCCCTTGCCTGCTGAGCGGCAACCTCTCACCCTTTATCGAACACCCTCCCTTATGGAGTGTTCCCTCAGCCCCCTCTGCTCGGGAGTCCTCTGGGCAGAAACAGCTGCCGCCCCTGGTCTCTGAGCTGCCCCCCCCCGCCCCACAAGGAAGCACCCCCTAGCCAGCCCCAGAGGCACCATTCACCTGGGGAACTTGTTGCCAGAGCTGCTGCAGCAAACAGCTGTCCATTTTTTGGGAGACAGGGATGCAAGAGGGCATCATAGGAAGGAGGAAAGGCACCCCTAACCATCCTTCAAGGCACCCCAGGGTGCCACAGCACACAGGTTGAAAGCCAGCCCCTCGAGGTCCCTTCCAACTTGGTAACTCTGAGATTAAGAGTCACATGCAGTGCCACACATAAACTTTGAAAACCTTTTGTGTGTTTGTGTAAACGTATTATTATTTTGTTTTGTCAGAGAACAATTATAACAAGAGACGAAAATTGAAAGGTGAGAAACCAAACTACAAAGCAGCCACGTAGGATGAGTCCCATTGCCCACTGGTTAAAGTAACAAAGTCCAAGTGAAGACTATCACAATGTTATCAGATTATTAAGCCTAGTTCAAGATTTGCATGGCTGGGGATGAGGGTTGCCTTGAAAATGATGGTACTGTTGTACATGCATAATAAAGGAATGCCAAATCATATTGAAAGTGTCTGAAGATGCTAGTCCTCACTGAAATCTCAAATTACACGTGATATACCAGAGAGGTGCCAAGCACATAGTGTAAGAGTTAGGATTGTTTTCCATTAAGTTGCAATGACTATTCGATCTGCCAAAATCCTATATGGGACCAATTCTTCTGGCAATCTATCATAAAAACAGTTCAGTAGCATTAATTTTGGACAAAAAACAGTAGTGATCATTTCGGTCAAATTCAATTTCTCCCTTGTAGTTCTTGGCACACGTGCTTCCTGATGTGGCAGGAGCTGGTCCTTCAAGGATTGGGCTCCTAAGTCATTTAGGAGTTTGTAGGCTAGCACCAACTCCATGAATCAGAGCACCCTCCCCTTGAGCCTCAGCTGGCGCCTGCTTCGTGATCATTTTGGCCCTGGGGTGAATCACCTTTCTTTGCTCAGGCCTGTTGGAGCTGCTTTGTTGCATTTTGGGCATTCTGAGCTTCCTTTGTTGTTCCTCTGAAGGCGAGGAGCAGCTTAGAGGGCTCCATTTTCCTCTCCTCATGTTCTCCTCTTCCTCCTTTCCTCCTCCAGTCTCTGCTGCAGCTGCAGGACCAGACGGTCTCCGTCCTGTGTGCTCCTTCAGACGTTCCCGACGGCGGCTTCAGCAGCACCATCCCCATGGTCATGCGGGGCAACTGCACCTTCTATGAGAAAGTCCGACTGGCCCAGATCAACGGGGCAAGGGGGCTGCTGATCGTCAGTCGAGAGAGGCTGGTGAGTCCCTGGGGAGGGGCGGGGAGAGAAGGCGACACTTCTTCCTGCTACCAGCCTGGCGGGAATTAGGGCATTCTTTCCTCTTTCCCCCAAGGAGCTCCAGGTGGTGCTCATGCGTCTCCCCGCTCTCCATATTATCCTCACAACAGCCCTGTGCAGAAGGCTAGGTTGAGAGTTGGCAGCTGGCCCAGGCTTCATGACTGAGTGGGAACATTTGAACCCAAGCCCCCCTCACCTGACACTCTACCTGCTAGGCCACACCGACTCCTCAGCACAGAGGCCCATCCTTTATTATTACAAATATGTAGATGTATGGTTACATCTCAAGCCCACCTTTTCCCCTAATGGGACCCATTTCTTCTTCTTCTTCTTTGTACCCGCCCACCTGGTTGAGTTTCCCCAGCCACTCTGGGCAGATCCCAACAGAATATTAAAAACACAATAAAACATTAAAATCTTCCCGATACAGGGCTGCCTTCAGATGTTGTGTAGTTATCTCCTTGACATCTGACAGCAGGGTGTCCTACAGGGTGGGCGCCACAACTCAATAGGCCCTCTGCCTGGCTCCCCGTTGTTGTTTAGTCGTTTAGTCGTGTCCGACTCTTCGTGACCCCCTGGACCAGAGCACGCCAGGCACTTCTGTCTTCCAGTGCCTCCCGCAGTTTTGTTTTTTTTTTAAAATTGATATTTATTAAGTTTTCAAAGAATAACAACAAAAATTTCCAAAAAATTTTGAAAATACAAAAAACAAAAATAGTACATAAACAAAAAAGAAAAGAAAACCCAGCCGCAAAGAAAAAAAAGAAAAACAGAAAAACAAAAATATAAAGTCCTTTACAATCTCTATTGACTTCCTTTCTAGACTTCCTCCTCCTCCCTCTCTTGTTTCTTAATTTTTAATTTTTACAGCAAATCCTTTCTGTTTTTTCATAACAATCTGTCATTACGTTTCCTTATTCTATTTTCCCTCTTGTCATATAAAAACTTTAAAACTCATAGCTTATATTCAATATTTACCAAATTCTTACATCATTACCTTTTAACGAATCATTTACCAATCCTTACTTAAGCCATGTAATTTCATTCAACATCCTTCAAACATTTGTAAACATTCCAATATTAAAAAATAAAAAAGAAAAAGTAATAAGTCAAATTCAGTCCAGCCAGCTTCCAACCTCCCCTCCCCTGGACCCGGGATTGTCAGTCCTTTTAACCTCGATAATCCAGCTCCTTAACCTGGTTGTCTCGTATCCGAGGCCCTCAAGTCTCTTTCTTGCCCCTTTCGCCACTCTTGTTGATGATTCCCTTCCAGTCGTGGATACTCCAGCAAGAAAATGCTTTTGACTCTTTGCAGCAAGTCCATCCCAAACCCATTGCCCAAGCCAGACAGCAGATAATACCACTTCAAATTTCCACAAAGCTTGGAGACTTCGGCTACTCCAATCCTCTGATAGCCCTTCACTAGACTCGGAAGGTCCAAATAACCATATAGAGGGGGGTCGATCCATCCCCCCATTTCCAAATCTGACCACATTTCATCTTTCCGAATCTGGTTTGTCCCAAGTTCATTTGTCAAGTTCAAAGGCTGATCTTGCCCGTCCAAAGGTCCCTCCATCTCTGAAGCCTCCGTCACTACAGCAGGTTCATATGCTTGTATAGCCTTTAACTGAATTTCATTTGTTTGCTGCTGTGCTCTGGTAACTTCCATCATCAAGGTCGTCTCCTGACGCATCTGGTCCAGCTGGGCACTTAGTTTTGAAAAACCTTCCAGGAACAATTGTTCAAGCCTTTGTACTAGCATTGTCCTTCAAGGTCAAAGAAAATTCCTTCCCACGACAATAGTCCAATAGTCCTTCTCTTTTAAACTCTCTGCGTTGCAATTTCACTAAATTCCACTAGATGGAATTTTTTTTTTTTTAAAGGAATAAAAGCAACAGCAACAATCTTTCTTTTCCAGAAACACTTTATCCAAAATTTCCCCTTCCAAATTCAAGAGGCAACAGTAGAATCAAAATGTTACCCTTCTTTTAACTAACTGTCGAGCTGGATAAACTTCAAAACGTCAATTCTGACAGCCCGCTCCTGGTTCAGGGCGGTGGAAAATTGCTTTATTTTAAACTCACTTCCGCAGGATTGAAAAGTCCAAATACAACCCCCTTCTTCTCCTGCAGTCAAAGGGGGTTCAGAAATCTTAGATGTTGAATTCTAGTTCTCTCAGAATTTAATTTTCAAGCTTTAGTATATTTTGTCTTTGCTTTCTTCACGTAACAAAAGAACGGAAGGCTGACTTCCTGTTTAGACCTTCGCGTTCCGAGTCCCAATTAAGTTCAATTTCAAGTCCAATATTATTTGTTTATTCACCAGTCTTAAAAGTAGTTCAACTCTTCCAAGATCAGGTACTCACGGATAGATGTTTTAGATGCCAAATTGTCCAGGAAAAAGGCAGCGCTCTCCGATAACGGCAGTGCGGCTTTGCTGCACGGAGGAAGCAGTCGACTCACAGCACCACGCACCTCCCACTCCGGAGCCCGTTACCGGGCTCCTGTACACGGGGCGAGAGCGCTCGCGGTGCCCGCCGAGTCCCACGGCCACAGGCTTCTTCCGCCTGTGGTTTTTGAGGGTCCCCGCTGCGCCGTAGCGGCAGGACCCAAGCCTCCGTGCAGCGGGTTCCCTTCAGTCCGAAGGGAATTCCGCCATTTTCCGGAGGCGCCACCCCGGAAGTCCGCCTCCCGCAGTTTGGTCAAACTCATGCTGGTAGCTTCGCGAAACTATCCAGCCACTGGCTCCCCGTGGCTTCACTTAATTGTAGTGAGGGAACCCCCAGAAGATCTCAGTGTCTGGGCTGGATGGTGGGGGTGGAGATACTCCTTCAGGTCTACAGGGCTGAGGCCACTTAGGGCTTGAAAGGTCAGCACCAACACTTTGAATTGTGCTCAGAATCTACTCAAGCACCCTCTTACTTCCGTGCCTCAGATGAGAGCGAAGGCAGGAGCTTTCTGCTGCCCCCAGGCATTCTGCCTCTGAAGCCGGAGGCTCCATTAGCTGCCATGGCCTGAGGCTTGTGGCTAGGACCCCTGCCCACCCCCTGCACTATTCCTTCTGCCCTTCTCACCTCCCCTGCCCAGTCAGGTTGCAATTGCTTTTATATATAATAATAATAATAATAATAATAATAATAATAATAATTTATTATTTGTACCCTGCCCATCTGGCTGGGTTTCCCCAGCCACTCTGGGCGGCTTCCGTAGAAACCAAAAATACAGTAAAATATCACAGATTAAAAACTTCCCTGAACAGGGCTGCCTTAAGATGTCTTCTAAATGACAGGTAGTTATCGCTTTGACATCTGATGGGAGGGCGTTCCACAGGGCGGGCGCCACTACCGAGAAGGCCCTCTGCGTGGTTCCCTGTAGCTTTGCTATATATATAGATAGATTTTTTAATGGTAAATGCAATACTCACAAACACAAAACAAACCTATTATACATACAGCTACTTAATACCTAAAAAAGAAAAAAATTAAACATACAATAACAAAAAAATCAACTTAAATTACAAAATAAACTAAACATGAATACATAAATCTTGACTCCCCTCCACCCGTGTGTGACTTCCTTTATTTCTTTTCTTCTTTTCGCTGTGCTATCAGTATTATTTTTAACTACCTCCTCTAATGTCCATTTCTTCTTCGTCTTTTACTCTATAAATTTCATTCATTGTGTATTGATATATTTATACCAGAATTATACCAGAACTCCTTCACACAGATCCACTCATCTACCAGTTTTTGTTTTTTTTAAAAAATAATATTTATTAAAGTTTCACAGAAAAGGAATCACATTAATAAAAAAGGAAAATTTAAGAATAAAAGGAAAATACACAATACAAAATACAAAAAGGAAAAAGAAAAAACAATTAAAAACAATTCCGTCTTTTCATAACTTCTTTTACATTTACTAGTTTCCCGGACCTCCTCATACCTCCCTCTTTTGTATTCCAATTCAGTTTGTTAGTCCAGCAATTTCTTTCCCTCCTTTTTAGTCCCAATCCTTAATCCTAATATATTATAACATTAAGTTTTTACCTATTAAGAACCAATTTTTCCGTTCTTTTAACCTTTTTAATCCTAATCCTTAATCTTGATATATTTATAACTTTAAAACCTGTACAGCTAGAAGCCACTTAGCTTCAATCCAACATCACTCATCTACCAGTTTTTGATCTGATTGTCTTCTTCTCACTGCTATAAGTCTTGCTAGTTCTATGTATTCACAAAATTTTATTTGCCATTCTCTTATTGAGTTTTTTTTTTTTCTTCCTTCAAATTATTTGCTATAATAATTCTGGCAGCAGCAGTTGCATATAAGAAAACTTTTTTCCTAGCAGCAGGAATATCAGTCAATATAATTCCCAAGAGGAAGGCCTCTGGTTTTTTATTACATGATATTTTAACCATTTAAAAAAATTTCTCTTGGATGTTACTCCAAAATTGTTTGATATACATGTACTCCCACCACATATGATACGTTGTTCCTATTTCTGTTTTGCATCTCCAGCACAAATTAGATTTTGATTTATAAATTTTTGCCAATTTGACCAGAGTTACCGTACTTTTTGCCCTATAGGATGTACTTTTTCCCCTCCAAAAATGAAGGGGAAATGTGTGTGCATCCTGTGGGGCGAATGCAGGCTTTCGCTGAAGCCTGGAGAGCGAGAGGCGTCGGTGCGCACCGACCCCTCTCGCTCTCCAGGCTTTGGGAAGCTATCCGCCAGCCTTGGGAGCCCAGCGGGAGTTGCCGCCGGGCTCGCAAGGCTTGCGGATAGCAGCCTGTTCTGGGGGCTCTGGCTTCCCCTGCCCCAGCCCCGCAGCTGGGGGGGGGGAAATATATTTTTTTTATTCATTCCCCCCCCCCCAAAAAAAAATGAGGTGCGCCCTATGGGCCAGTGCGCCCTATAGGGCGAAAAATACGGTAAATACCACTGATACATCATTTTCATTATATTTTCTCTGATTGTGAAGCAAGCTATGAACTTGATGTCATTTCTCCATAATTTCTCCCATTGGTTTAATCGGATCCTGTGGCCTTTGTCTCTGGCCCACTTAATCATAACTTCCTTCACCTCTTCATCTTTTAATTCCCATTCTAATGACAAATTGTATATTTTATATAATACCTTTTTGGGGGTTTTTTAGTAATTCTGTTTGTAATTTTGATTATTCTTTGCCAAATCCAATGATTTTATCCTTCTTGAATAGGTGATCAATTTGGTAGTATTGTAGCCATGTGTTACAATACTGGCTGAGTGCTTCATAAAAACCTCTTATGAAGGCTTTACCTGCATCCCATATCGTTTCTTTTTAATACCTGAGGAGACAAATTCTTGGCCTAGTTTCTTATTTTCTAAAGCCCTTCCTCAGGTTGCAATTGCATCTCCCATCCCTGGCCTGGCAGGCATTCTGCCCCCTCCTGGGCATTCAGCTCCCTCTCTGCCTTGTCCTTGGCTGTGCGGTTCTACTCATCTGATTTTCCTTTTTAATTTTCTTGCTTTCTGCATGACATCCCTTCTTCTGAGATTAATGTCTCCCTTAAAAATCTTTTCTGAACAATTAAGAGTTCTAAGGAAGCCGTTCATCTCTTCTTCTGGGGCTGGGAGGCGCCCTCCCCCCGCCTGCTGCTGCTCTTGTGATGCGTTTTGCCCCAAATGCGCAGCAGCCATTGATGCGCTAGGCTGGGGATGAGTCATGTGAGCTGGGTGGCCTGGGGAAAACAGCGGAGGATTGGGGCCTGCATGCACTTCTGAGTTTGACACACCATTTGGCTTTGGGGATGGGCAGGCTGGGAGGGTGGGGTGTGTGTGGTATCACTTTGCTCTTCCCCCTCATTCCCTCCAGGTCCCGCCGGCCGGCAACCGCAGTCAATATGAGGAGATCGACATCCCAGTGGCTCTGCTGAGCTACGCGGACATGCTGGATATTGGCAGGGTGAGACCCCGTCCGCGTTCCCAGTCAGGGTCACAGGGGCATTGGGGGCAGCACTGCTTTTGGGGCCCCCAAGGCCAGTCACACACTGGCATTTCCTGGAGGACGTCCTGTTCCCCGGAGGGTAGCTCTTTCCTGGGGCAACTCTTTTTTAGGGTCAGCTGAGCTCCCTTCTCTCTCTCCCTCTTCCTCAGAGCTTTGGGCCCTCGGTCAAGGTGGCCATGTATGCCCCCAACGAGCCAGTCTTGGACTACAACATGGTGATCATCTTCGTGATGGCTGTGGGGACGGTGGCCGTCGGAGGCTACTGGGCAGGGAGCAGGGATGTCAAGAAGTGAGTTGGGGCAGGGGGCCAGTAGAAGCCCCTAAGGGTCATCCAGCCCAGCTCCCTGCAGTGCCATGGGGTTCATCCTGCATTCTTGGCTGTTCAGAGCTGCTCTCTCTGGAATCAAAACATGGGGGACCTCTGAAGAAGCTGCCACCTGCTAAGTCCATACACCAGCCCCTGGGAATACATAGAAGGTGTTTGGTGAGGTCAAGGCAGCACAGGATCCAGGATTCGTAGGATTCCTTGCATCCATGCCCAATCATTGAGCTCTTGGAGGGAGTCACTGCTAGGTGTTCCTCTCATGACTTCTCAAATAGCCTGATAGGTTGCCTCCTCTATGCGTTTCCCATAGAGCCATTGGCTACCATCCACATCTCATGGCTGCAAATGATTTCGTGAAGCGTGGAGACAGGCCCTGCTTTGCTGGGGGGGGGAGGGGAGAGAGGCCGGCAGCCCTGAGCATCATTTTAGGGTTGCTGAGCCCTCGTAGGATGCCTCCCCTCTTGTCGGTTGGCCCCTCCATGAGTGGTGCAGTACCAGCAAGCGCCTCCAGCCTCGGATGACCTCGTCTCGTCTCCCTTGCAGGCGGTACATGAAGCACAAACGGGATGACGGAGTGGAGAAGCACGAGGACGAGACAGTGGACGTCACCCCCATCATGATCTGCGTCTTTGTGGTCATGTGCTGCTCAATGCTCGTCCTGCTCTATTACTTCTACGACCACCTAGGTACTTGCACTGGCTTCTCGGTGCTGTTCAGCCTCTTTCCAGCCCCTTGTCTTCATTCATCTTTCCTTGTCCCCTTTCCCCCCTGCAGTGTATGCCATCATTGGGATTTTCTGCCTGGCGGCTTCCATCGGCCTCTACAGCTGCCTCTCCCCGTTTGTCCGAAGGTTTCCTCTGGGGAAATGCAGGTAGGAGGCAGAAGACAGTCTTGCTTTGCCACCTTTGGCTAAGTGGCCCTGGCACATGAAGCTTGCAGGGGCCAGTGGACTGGGTTCAAATCCTGCCTGGCCATAGACACCCCCCCCCCCCCGTGGAAAGAATCAGGTTATCAGAGCATGAATGCTAGTGGGGGGCTGGACAGAACCCCAAACCCTCCTCCTTTGGGACTTGGGAGCAGTTGTGCTTTATCCTTCCCTCTCTGATATATTTTTATTTTCCTGGCTGCAAAATATTAATGTGTGTGGGCTGTTGGTTTTTGTTGCTGCTGGTCTTGTTTAGCAGCCAGTATCTAGGAAACAAGCTCTGAATTCTTAAATGCATTAGATGGGCAAGACGTGGATCTCTTGCTTCTCCTTGTACATGTGGGGCAGGGCGGGATCCCCTCTTCCGTGGCTCTCTGGGCTCCCTCCCGACTCTCAGCTGACTCATCTGGACAAGAAAAGGGACCTTGTTGTTGCAGAAAGGTCCTCACTTCCACTGCAGAAAGATGAAAGCAATGAAAGACAGTGCCTCATCAGATCTCGCCCCTGGCAATCAGGCAGAAAACCCACCCTGTGCGTTTTGCAAGTGCACAAATGCCCTTTCCAAGAGCAGTTGACTTGTGGGGTTTTGAATCGGTGCAAGGCAGGTCTGGCTGTATTTGCTTCCTTCTGCGGGGATCTCTGAGATCTTTTTGCCTTTTTCTTGCACAGGTCAGACAAAGAGAGTGGGGGGGGGGCTGTTCTGAGCTACATAGAAGAGCTGAAAGTCCTGCCCCAGGACAAAAAATGAAGGGCATGAACCCTGAGCGCAGCCATTTATTATTATTTATTAAATGCGTGTATTGCCCTATATCTGCAGACGTCAGAGCTGTGCACCTGTTTGTGGGGGCTCCTGGATTTGGCCCCCAACCCCTTTCCCCTTGGTTTTCAAAAGCCTCCACACCAAGCGTGGGGGGAGGGGGGTTGAGTGGGTGGCACTGAGCAACTTAAGAGGAAGGAAGGTTGTCTTTTTTAAGCATCCCTGAGCCCATAGAATAGAAAAAAATAGTCCGTCTGCTGAGTTTGGTGACCTTGGCTTGGTGACCTTGACTGACAGCAGCTCTCGGGCCGTGGCCTCGGGCAGGGAAGGCTTTTCCCCAGCACCTCCTCCCCTGGAGACTCTGCCCGTGGGCATGGAGCACCTGCTTGGCATGCAGAAGGTGCCAGGCTCCCCAGTAGTAGCATCTCCAACTCAGGCTGAGCAAAGACTCCTTCCCTGGAGACCTGCTGCTGCCGCCAGCCTGTGGGGGCAGATCTGGGCTCGATGGAACAGGCCTGACTCGGCGTCAGGCAGCTCTCTGGGGTGGAGGCTCCAAGAGGTCCCTCTCCCACTTGCCAAGTGGGGTGCAGGCCTCTCACCCCGCCTCTTGTCCTCAGGGTCCCTGACAACAACCTGCCCTACTTCCACAAGCGCCCCCAAGTGCGCATGTTGCTCCTGGCTGTCTTCTGCGTTGCTGTCAGCCTGGTCTGGGGCATCTTCCGCAATGAGGACCAGTGAGTGATGCAGTGCTTTTCGTGCTCTCCCCTTGGTGGTGGGGGGGGCACCTGTCCCTTCGAAGAGCCCCTTGCTCCCCCCACATGCTATTTTGCACCCCTCAGCTGCATCAGTTGCTCCAGAAAGCAACTTCCTCCTCTGCTCTTCCCCTTCTCCAGCTCTGCAGTGTCCTCTTGGGCACAGGGCGAAATGGGACGTGTCGCAGGGCGGAGGGAATGTCCAGAACCCCCCACCCCAGCTGGCCATGGGGACTCTTTCTTGAGAGGAAGTGGGATGGGGGGAGGAAGGGCGACCGGAGAGAACCCAAGGGGAAGTGGCTTGACCCTGTTGGAGGGGGTCGGGCTATTTGCCCTCTGCCCTGAGCCAAGGCCATTCCTCCCCAGGTGGGCCTGGATTCTGCAGGACGCCCTGGGAGTTGCCTTCTGCCTTTACATGCTCAAGACCATCCGCTTGCCCACCTTCAAGGTAAGGCCTTGGGGGGGGGACTCATCCCCAGGACGGTGGGGAGGGAGGCTGACATGGGCCTCCTGGCTTGGCCTGAGGCTACCTCTCAATGTACTCTGTGACTCAAGAGCCAGAAGAAAGCCAACCTGGGTGAGGCAGAATCAACAGTGAGCCTCTGGGAATGACACCCCTCCCTTTCCCTCCTGCCCCCCAGGGCTGCACGCTGCTCCTCCTGGTCCTCTTTGTCTACGACGTCTTCTTCGTTTTCATCACGCCATACTTGACGAAGGTGCATAATTGGCCTGACAGGGTGGGCATTGCAAATGGGGGTGCGGGGCTGATCGGGAGGAGTCAGAGTTGGGCTGGGTTTTTCCGCTGGGGCCATCGGAAGCCCCTTCTCGATTCTCCGATGGGGACTCTTTCCCCAGAGAGGCTCGCCTGATGCCCTCATTGCATGTCTTCAGGCACCAGGCAAAAACATTCGTCTTCCCCCAGGCCTCTTTCTTTTTTTGTCCTCTTGCCCCTCCTCACATTTTCCTTCCAGACAGGAGAGAGCATCATGGTGGAAGTGGCTGCTGGCCCGACAGACTCCGCCACTCACGAAAAGGTGAGGGGCTGCCAGAGGGTCCCGGGTTTGGGTAGGGGGAGATGGCCTCTTCCTGGTGGACAAAATGGAGGCGATGCAGGATGAGCCTGGGAGAAGGCCAGAGGCTGTGAGGGGTCGGGGGGGTCATGGTCCAAACACGTAGTGGGTCCAGGATATCCCCACCCCGTCGGATCTAGACCCAGACTGGCCCAGAGACTCCTCAGCCATGAGGGAAGAGGTGTCGGGAAGCACCCCCGGAGAGCAGGCAGGTTCAGTTTTGGGTTCTGGTCAGGCCTGAGAAGAGGCACTTCTGGGGTTCCTCCATCTTTCTCCTTGGGCGCAGGGCGCTTTCCCCATGCCTGGGGGGGCTTTGGGTTGTGCCATCCCCTGTCGCCCCCTCCTTGCCCCAAATGCCAGATACCCTCCTCTGTGGGGCAAGGGCTTGTGGGAGCTTTGGCCCCATTTGGGACAGCAGAGGGGCTTCTTGTTGACCTGGATGGACCCCCTTCCCCCGGCAGCTTCCGATGGTGCTGAAGGTGCCCCGACTCAACTTCTCTCCGCTGGCACTGTGTGACCGACCCTTCTCCCTCCTGGGATTCGGGGACATTCTGGTTCCAGGTAGGCCCTCTCCCTTCCCACCTTGCTGGGGGGCGAGGTGTCTTTGGGGCTGAGCCCCCGCTCGGCCTGCAGAAGGCAAAGAAGAGCCCCTCAGCCTGGCCCTAAGAGAAGGACTGGCAGAGGAGAGGGCAGGGTCCCTTGGGGCTGGTCCAGTGGGGATGCTGCCCTCTCCCTTGAGGCAGCTCAAGGGAACAGCTGCTCCTGAAGGCAGTCTACCTTTGAGGGCCAGGCCAGAGGGACACAGCCTCCCTGCTGCTCCACTTGGGGGATGCTATGGGGGGGGGGCTCCAGGGAGTGTCCCTGCTTGGCCTTGTCACTCCTTCCCTTGCCTCAGGCTCCCTCCTCTTTCCTCCCCAGGGCTCCTGGTGGCCTACTGCCATCGCTTTGACATCCAAGTCCAGTCCTCCCGGGTCTATTTTGTCGCTTGCACCATTGGTATGTCTGGCTCCCCCCCCCCCAATCCTTGCCAACACCTGCCTCCTCCTCCACCCTTGGGAAGCCCAGCAGTCCCTTCTTCTTACCTCTCACCCCACCCTGGACTGGCGGAGTTCATTTATGTGCCACGTTCCTGCCATGAGCTGTGCTGAAAGCAGCTGTGCAGAGCCTCAGACTGCAGAGCCTGCCAGTAAATTCAGCGACAGCGCCGCCTTTCAGCTCTTGTCCTGAGAAGTGGCTCTCTTGTGGGTGGATCAGGTCCCTTGGGAGCCCTCTGGGTGCAGCCCATCTCCATGTGTGCAACAGGACTGACAGTGTTAGTGCAGTCTGGAAAGGATCCCTGCATTGTTTTGCCCCTAGCAGCAAGTTTTCTCCCAGCAACGGGGTTCCCATAGCATCCGACTTCTTTATTAGGCTCTGAAGGAGAGAAGGGTGGTGACTGTTATAGGCTGGGTGATCATTGATCTAACATCCACAATCAGCTTGTCATTCTTCTCGTGATATCGGTTCCATAATTTTTGACCTGGCAATATATCACAAATCATGATGTGGGTGTATGCATAGCATAGCTATGCAAAAAATACTGATGCCGGAAAAACTGTAAAGCCAGCCGAAGCCTCTCCGTAGCTCCATCCTCATTTCAGACATCATAACACATCAGTCTGTCACAATATTTAGCTGGTGATATATCACAAAATTGAAAGCCAAATATTGCCCAGCCCTAACTGCTCCTCTGTCCAGATGGCTGAAGAGCAGAGAGGAGGAACGATTCTCTGTGCTGAGTTTTCCTGCCTTTTCCATTATAATTTATTATGTTCCATAAATCCTTGAAGCAGAGCTGGAAGGGGCAGAGGTGTTTATTCCCATGTGAGAATTTACCCACAGATGAGATGAGAAAGACAGGGGGGCACTTTCTGGGTGACTGCCAGCTGAAAAGGAGCCCCCGCCTTCTCTCCCCTGTCTCCCACTGCAGCCTACGGCCTGGGCCTCCTGGTGACATTTGTGGCGCTCGCTCTGATGCAGAAGGGGCAGCCGGCGCTGCTGTACCTGGTGCCGTCCACACTCCTCACCAGCTTCGTGGTGGCGCTCTGGCGCAAGGAGCTGCCCATGTTCTGGACGGGCAGCGGATTTGCGGTGAATACCACTTTGATATGAGTCTCCTCCAGAAAAGGCCAGTGTTAGGATAAAAGCCCCCTAACTAGAATTAAAGTTGAGTAAAACTCTTGTTGGCATTATCCTCCACCCCCCAAAAGGGAGTTTTTTGGAAGTGGCTTTTGCAGACCTCCCTCCTCCCCCAAAAGGAGGCCACCATTCATGGCTGGGGGTGAGGGAGGATGGCACATGCGGGGGGGGGGGGGCAGAGAAGCCACAGATGGCCAGCTTTCCTCCCCACATGTTGTGATTCCTGCATTGCATGCAGTTGGACTAGACGACCCTCAGGGTCCCTTTCCAGCTCCACAGTTCTTCTCCGTCACTCGGGCGGGAGGCAGAGGGCTGCCGTCTTGGAAAGGGGCAAGAGGCGTTCATGGGTGTTGCTGGATCAGGCCTGAGGGCTCCCCCTGCGCCCAGCTGGACGCCCCCAAGGGAAGCCCGCAAGCAGGAGCCCTTCCGCCTTCCAGAGTCCAGCTGCCTCTGTAGTGCCACCGCCCAGGGCTCCCATGTGGGGAGAGTTGCTGCCGTCACACGGGGGGAGGGGGCTTACTCTGGGGGGCGGGACTGAATGCTCAGCTGGGTGGGCCTGGGGCAGGATCCAGCCACTGGACTCCTCAGATGCCCTCAAAAGGCTGGTGTCAGGCTTGGAAGTGGAGATGGGGCTGGCCTGGGTGAACTGCATGAGCTCAGGCCTATCCTGGCAGCCCCCCTGGTTCCATTTGGGCCAGTCTAGAGGGGAGCTGGACACTCCTGGGGGTCCTGGGCTGGATGAGGGGAGCGTCTGTACAAAAGCACGGCTGTGTTGTAGTTACCCTTCTCTCTCTCTCTCTCCCCTCCCCCTCCCCTGTAATGTGGGGCTGCTCCTGCTTACAGAAAGACCTACCTCAGCCCCCCTTGGTGATCTCCCCAGTCAGCTGCCCCGCGGCCCCCAAGGAGGAGGCTTCTCCGTCGTCTCGCCCAGAAGCCAAGGACCAACCAGCCACCCCGACTCCCGTGGAAGAGATGGTCGGTGGCGGCAGCCCCGCAGACGATGGAGGAGAGGCGTCTGGCTCTGCCCCCTTCCTGGGAGAGGAGCAGGAGGAGGCGGTAGCTGCACAGACTGAGCCCACAGAGGCTTCCCCACAGCCGCCCCATATAGAAAAGCCTGGCGCTTGGGAGGACGGGATCAAGAGCTCCTCTGACTAGGAGACCGCTTTCGCCCCCATCCCTCCCTCCCTTCCCCATCACAGACTAACTTGAGACTAACTATGAGACGGACTCTGCTGCCTTTCGCACCCAGCACCGATGCGCACCACGTCCCTTTGGCCATCGAGCGCCGGGAAACTGCGTGCGAAGAAGAGGACAGGCGCTTCTCTTCTGGCATCCCCCCCTTCCCCAAATATGGTGCTTAATGAAGGTCCCGGTTAGAATTTCAGCGATAGTTTAAAAGCAAAATAGCAGACGCCTTTCCCTTCCTGTTTCATGATGCTGTGATAGTATTCAGATAACTTTTCCTAGGAAAATATAGACAGTATTTTGAGCTGGGGGGGGGGGACGGATTGTGCTGGCGTTGCTTTAGGATCACTGGGTGGTGAAGAGATGAGGGGACCCCCACCCCGCTTCCTGCTTCTTTTCTGGCCGTGTCTGGGCTGGATTCTGTTGCTTCCAAAAGAGCTTCTCTCTCCCCCCCCCCAAGGATCTCTGGTTTCTGCCATTCGCTTTGCTTCATTTGCCCTCCCATCGCACACTTTGGCTGCAAAGGTGCCAAGGAGCAAAGGCCCCTGGGAAGGGTCTGCTCCACCTTCCTTTGGGGGCACCACCTCAGAGCTTGTGCTGTGGGGGGCGCTGGTCTGCTCTGGAGCTGCTCTGGGAATCTTCTGCGTGGGACACCCCCCCTCTCCCACCTTTGGCAACAGGGCAGCCCAGCCCTGGGGGATGAGGGGGCTGATCCTGTGTGGACACCCCCTCCCTCCTATCTGGGTCTCTTTTGGGGGGGCCCTTTCCCCTCTGTGGGTCTTTCTGTGTATCTCTCCCCCCTCCTATTATATCGTGTCGCTTGTTGGTGACCCTTTTTTTGTTTTCTGGACTCAGACGCAGCAGCTCTGCCACATCTCCCAGCTTCTGCAGAGCACATCTCGGGGGGCTGCAGCCACCACCTCCCCCTTCCTGGGTCTGGAGGGGAGGGCTTCCTTCCCCTCCCCTTTTGCTTGTGCAGAATGATGGACGCTTGTCTTAGACACTGCAGGATTATGCCTTAATTTAAGCCATTTTATAAATAACGTATATGGGACTTTTATTTTACAAAAGCCGGTTGGGAGAATAAACTTGACAAAGCATCAGTCGTGGACACAGTCCGGGCTCCGGAGTCTGTTTGTTCACCCCCTCCATCCCACCTGGGGGGCTTCTGGTTCTTGAAGCTCCTCTCAGCATCTCCTAGGGAGGTGGAGGGGGTGGTCTAGGCTGCTGGGACACCCCCAGGCGCCACGCAGGCAGAGGCCCCCTCTCCCGCGTCAGGCAGGGAGGGGACGTTGGCCTCTGCAAATGGGAGGGGGTGGAGTTTCCCCACAAGGGCAAGTGGTCTTAGTGCGTTGGCCTTTGGGACCCCTGCCCACTCAATTCCCCCCTGCCTTGACTGGCAAAGGGGAGCTGCATTTTTTATTTTAACTGTTGGCCAAATTTGTCTATCGACCTGTACCTGTAGATCGCAGGGCTGTTCACAATATAAAATTGCCATTTAAACAAAGTATAGAATAGAAATGAGAACAAAGACAACCTAATAATCCCTGGAAGTCACAGGAGAGGAGTGGCTCTGATCCTGCTGGCAGGGTTCCCATTGAAGCACCTGGTCGGCCGCTGGGTGAGGCAGGACCCCCCTTGGCCTCATCCAGCAGCTGCCTCTTCTGCTGGGATTCCCCATGGCAGCGTCTTCTCTGGGCCCCATTTATTCCTGCTCAGGAAGCCCTGAATTCAACAACAAAAAATTTCACTGGGGCAAAAATGGCGAGTAGGCATTCTATTGTGGCAACCACAGCCCAGGTTTAAGGGGGAACCCCGGAGAAAGATCCCGTCCGTCCCAGGGAGGGTGCTACGTGACTGCAGCTGTCCTTTGGTACACGCTGTGCTCCCCGTCCCACCGCCACCTCTCAAATCTGGCTCTAGGTAGCAGCTCCGCACAGCTGAGCTCTCTTCTTGGGTTACTGCCTGGCTTTTGAAAGGGATGTTCAGGGCAGCCCCACTGTTACCGCCATGGCCCAGGGGAGCCCTGAAACCAGAAATGCCAGTTTTGAAGGAGAAGGAAGGATGGCAGGCTTTGAAAACGTGTGATCCAGGGAGGGGGAAATGGCAACACTCAGCTAGGGACTTGTCTGCCATCTTCCACTTCCTCTTTCAGGACTAGCTGCTTATCAGAGCCGTGGAGCACAGTGTTGTTTGCAGGTGGGGTGTCCGCAGGAGATTTGGAAAGAAGCCAGCATTGATACAGGTTTCTGGAGAAACAAATCACTGCACCCCAAAATGCACTTCTGAGAGCTTCCCTCTTGTTTCACAGATGAAAGCTGTGACCCAGGCTTGCAGGTTTGTGAGTTCCTGGACAAGGATGTGGTGACGTCCTTTGGCCCTGGGGAGAGAACTATGTTGCCAGCAGAAGGTTCCACATTCAGACAGCAGCACCTTCAGCCACTTCTCCCATGCCAGGAAATTGCTTATTTGCAGAAGCATGGCTTTCTTTTTTGTGAGGTTTTCCCCCGATCCTGGCCTAGTGCATCCAGGGGGGCCCTTCCCCCCTCTGGGGGGGGGCAATTCTGTCTTGCTCCCAGTGTTCAGCTATTGGTGCTACAACTCCTCAGGCAGCCTCCTGGGCTCCTCGGGGCTGCCGGGCCCCTTTGCTGGCAGCGAAATGGAGATGGACAATGGGTGGCCTGGCAGGGCGCCCAGAGAGGGTGGAGGGGAGGCTCCCATCCCAGCCAGTTCAAAGGCTCCACTGGTGGAACCTGAATGTGACTCATCTCAGCTGCAGAGAATCAAAGGCTGCCGGATGACAATGATCTCTTGTTCTCATCCATAATGATAAGCAGGTAACACAGGTGGCCTCTGTCTCTGCTCTGGCAGCAAGAGGCTCTTCGGGGGGGGGGCAACATCCTCCTCCCTCTGCACCAGCTGATGCCTACTTGCTCAACACCATCTTTTTCACAATGACCCTTCTCCATCCATGACAGGGCGGTTCTCCATCTTCTGATCAAATCAGCAGCTCACCCCACACTTCCCAGGGCATTCCACTTTCCAAACTGGTTTTCGCGGTTTCTTTAAAGGACAGATAAAGGGAATTGGCGCTGCTCAAGTGACAGGTGCTTCAGGTTGCTTGCATTGTGCCCAGTTGTGCTTGGATTCCTCTGCAAAATAGCAGCATCCTGGAGGCTGGAGACCCTGACTCAGCTCCAGCCATAGTAAGAAAAGGAAGGGGATCAACCAGTTGGTTCTGACCTACAGTATTTTGGCAATCCCTTGTAGCCAAGGAAGATTGTTTTCCATGAACATGGTTTTAACAGTGAGTCTGTGAGTGACTGTGGAAGCCAGTTCTGGATCCACAGGTCCTTCCACAGTGGGGACATTGGTTTCCGGGCAGGAGTTGTTCATGGTGAGGGTTTGCCATGCATGCTTTCCTCTTAACATGTTTCTCCCTTTTGTCCTGAGTTCGAGTGTCTTCAAAGTCCATGACACCTTTGGTCAAGGCTGTTCTCCAATTGGAGCTCTCGCAGGCCGATGTTTCTCAATCATCCATGCTTATACTGCATTATTTTTAAAAAAAAGATTTGCTATGAGAAAGTCTTTAAACCTTTATTGTTGAGACTTCCGGAGGTGGCGCCATCGGCAATGGCGGATTCCCTCTAGCTTTGAGGGAGTAGCTCCGCGGAAATCGGGTCTTGCCGCTACGGCGAAGCGGGGACCCCTTCGAAAACCACAGGCGGGTGAAGCCTGTGACCGTGGGACTCGGCGGGCACCTTTAGCACCCCCCCAATCTGCGAGGGAACCCTGAAAATAGTTCCGGAGCGAAACGGGGAGTCTGGCGCGGTGCTGAGAGTCAACTGCTTCTTCCGTGGAGTGAAGCCGCGCAGCTGTTGCCGGAGAGCGCTGACCTTTTCCCTGTGACAATTCGGCTAATAAACAACTACCCGTGAGTAGGTTAAGTTTGAAGACCAGGGAATTTAAGGGGGGAAAAAGGACTAATTTGGCACTGAAGTGGGAAGGTGTAAACAGGAAGTCCGCCTTCCTTTTCTGTAAATAGATCAAAGCAAAGACTGTCTAAGCTAAGACCCTGAAAATTGTTTTGAAAAAGACTCAAATCTTACTTCAATAAAAAGAGAACTCCCTCCCTGTGGTGCGGGAGAGGGGAGGGAGAAGGGAAAGTATCTTTTTCCCGCAAAAAAAGAAGAGAGAAAGGGAACAAAGACCATCACTTAATGCCTGGGAACGGACTGTCAAGGGACAATGGAACTGCCGTATTGTGAAACGCGCTGTTAAAGGATAATGCAACTTTGTGACAGCTAGCACTGTAAGAGGGATACTTTGATTCTGAAGGGTCTCTCCTGATTTGAAACTGTTGTTCTTTTTGGCTAAAGGGGGGATTTCTGAAAGTTGGAAAAGTTATTTTATTGTTACAAGTTGGAACTGTTACTGTGTCCCCCTAGAGGAACTTTGAAATTGCTACAATTGGCCAGGGAATTTTCCACTCTAAACTGGCCACACTAAGGGGGAATTTTCCACTACAAACAAGTAATCGTGGGACTGACCTTGATCCTTAGATAAAGTGTTATGGCAGACTTGACTCAGGAAAAAACAACAAGATCTGGTAAAATTAGACTGCAGCAGCGTAGACAGTCAGCACCCGGCCTCCCTGCCCCACCAGGGGAAGATTTAGCCCAGGTGGTGTCTAAAGGAATGGCAGCTGAAGAGGGCTTAGGTTCAGCTCTAGATAAAATTTTTGAATCTTTGGAAAAGTTGAGCAAACAAGTTGCTGAAGCGACAACTAAAATTGACCAAAACACTTCAAGCATCAATAACTTGGGGCAGAAGGTGAACTCAAATACAGAATCTATTGAGAAACTGCTGCAGGAATCTACTTCGAATCGAAAAATAGCTGAAGAAGCCAAGGAAAAAACATTGGCTGTAGAGGAAAAGATAAAAGAAAAGATACCACCGATATGTAGGCAGCTGGAGGATCACAAGTCATTGCTGTCTATGATCGAATTAAAAGAAAAACAGATAAATCTAAGGATCAGGGCTGTACCTGAACTTGAGAACGACAATTTGAGCGACTTTCTTACGCAGGAATTTGCAGACTTTTGGAACTTAGACTCAGATAAGTTAGATTTCAAGATAGTAAGTGCTTTCAGACTTGGAAGAGGGGGGGAGAAAGAACAGGGTGAGAGACTGTTTGATTACCCTCCGATCAAGAGAGGAGAGAGACAGAATATTGAGTCTGCACTTCCAGAAGACCTTGGAAATAAAGGAATCGAGAGTGGAGATTAGGACATTCCTAAACATCTTTTGGATCTTAGGTCCAACTACGGAGATTTGGTGGCCCTGCTAAGAGGAAACAGAACCATTTTTAGGTGGGAATTCCCCCAAGGCCTATCTTTTACTTTTAAAGGGAAAAAGTTTAAAATTAAATGGGCACAAGATGTTGGACATAATATTATGTTTGCTGACTGGGAACAGTTGTGGACCACAGGTATGAAATTTACGGCATGCAATGCCCTAAGAGAGAATATTATGAAAATGATATACAGGTGGTACATGACACCAGTCAAGCTTGCAAAAATCTATCATTTGCCCGATAATAAATGTTGGAAATGTAAAGAAAACGAAGGTACATTCTTTCACCTTTGGTGGACGTGCCCAAAGATTAAGGCTTTCTGGGAGATGATCTATAATGAATTGAAAAAGGTATTTAAATATACCTTTCTAAAGAAACCAGAGGCCTTCCTGTTGGGCATAGTCGGCCAATTGGTGCCAAAGAAGGATAGAACTTTCTTTATGTATGCCACAACAGCAGCAAGAATACTTATTGCAAAGTATTGGAAGACACAAGACCTACCCACTCTGGAAGAATGGCAGATGAAGGTGATGGACTATATGGAATTGGCGGAAATGACTGGCAGAATCCGAGACCAGGGAGAAAAGTCGGTGGAAGAAGATTGGAAAAAGTTCAAAGACTATTTACAGAAATATTGTAAAATTGATGAATGTTAGAATGATGTTGGATAGAAACTAAGTAGTTTTTAGCTGTAATGTTATAAGGGAATATGAAAAAATGGACTATTAATAGGTAAAAATTTAATGTTACAATACTTTAAGATCGAAGACTAGGATAAACAAAAAGGGGAGGGATTTGCTAAACCAACAATTGAAGTGGAATACAGAAAAGGGAGGCGTGAGGAGGTCTGGGAAACAAGCAAATGAAAGATAAGTGATTGAAAGACTGAATTGTTTTTAACTATTTTTATTTTGTATTTTTCTTTTTCTATTTTGTAATATTTTGAAAATCCTAATAAATACCTTATAAAAAATAAATAAACCTTTATTGTTGAACACCACAGCATTACACTTTCCATTTTTAAGTTCGGAATAGAGTAGTTGCTTTGGAAGACAATAATCAGGCATCCGCACAACATGACCAGTCCAGCAAAGTTGACGCTGAAGAATCATTGCTAGTGATCTTTGCTTCTTCCAGTACACTGGCATTAGTTTGCCTGTCTTCCTAAGTGATGTGTCAATTTTTTCAGAGACACTGTTGATGGGATCTTTCGAGGAGTTGGAGATGGCACTTATAAGTGGTCCATGTTTCATAAGCATACAGTAAGGTTGGTAGTACAATAGCTTTGTAAACAAGCATTTTGGTTTCCCCTCGAATGTCCCGGTCCTCAAGTGCTCTGCACTTTAATCAGGAGAAAGCTGTACTCGCCAAGTTTAGGCGAAGCTGGATTTTGGCTTCAATGTCAGCCCTTGTGGAAATATAACTGCCCAGATCGGAGAAGTGATTGACACTTTTCAACGTTACACCATTGAGTTGGATTTGTGGTGCTGCAGAGGGGTTGTTTTGTAGTTGTTGGTGCAGCACTTTGGGTTTTTGGATGCTGAGCGATGAGCCAAGCTTTTTGTAAGCTTCTGCGAAGATACTTAGGATGGTTTGGAGGTTGTCTTCTCAGTATGCATCATCATGTTTCCTGCTTGGCAGGGGGTTGGACTCGATGGCCCTTGTGGTCTCTTCCAACTCTATGATTCTATGATTCTATGATCATCAGCATATTGAAGCTCTATAACAGAAGTTATGGTAACCTTACTCTTTGCTTTCAGCCTTCTCAAGTTAAAGAGCTTTTCATCTGTTCAATATACCGTATTGGCCTGAATATAACCCTTACTTTTTTCTGAAATTCTGACTGCGAAAAGGTAAAGTGCAGCTTATATTCACGACGTTACAGTATGCAGCCAGGAGTGCGGGGCAAACAGTGCCAGCAGCTCAGCAAAGCGGCTCCCACCCCGTTCGTAGTCCCCCAGAGAAGGGAGAGAGCGAGGAAGGGGAAAGGCTGCCGGCAACACAACATGACGCCCCACCCCCAGTATGCAGCCAGGAGCAGTGAGGAATGGAGCGGCTTATATTTGGGTCCCCCCCCTTTTTTATTCCCCCCCTCCAATTTTAAAGGTGTGGCTTATATTCGAGTGCGGCTTATATTCGGGCCAATACGGTATGATTTTTATTCTCCTGGGGAGTTTCCCTTTGACAAAGTGTAGGATCATGGCAATTAAAATAATAAATAGAGCTGGAGTGATAACACAACCCTGTTTAAAACCTGATCCTACTGTGAATTGTTCACTTTGAGAGTCATTGTTATCTGTGAATCTTGCTGTCATATCATGGAGGAGCCAAAGGATGTTCACAAATTTATTTTCAGAAGGACAGTCCATAGGGCAGTGTGATTTACAGTATTGAAGGCCTTAGTCAGGTCAATAAACACCATATATGGGGGTTGGTTTTGCTCTTTGCATTTTTCTTGAAGCTGTCAAGTGGTGAAAATCATGTCCACTGTCCCCCTAGAAGGTCTAAAACCATTTTGGGATTCAGGAAGGGTCGCCTCGGATATTGTTAAGAGACGGTTTGCTAAAATCCTTGCAAAAATTTTGCAAGCTGCAGAGATATGCCTCAATAGTTTCCACAATCAGTTCTGTCTCCTTTTTTAAAGAGATTGATAATATTGGCATCCCTAAAGTCTGCTGAGATCTCTTCTCCCATATTTTTTCGATGAGCATGTGAAGTTGTTGTGTAAGTTCTATTCCACCCACTTTGAAGACTTGGGCAGGTATCCCATCAGGTCCGCTGGCTTTGTTGTTTTTCATTTGGTTAATAGCTGTACACAACTCTCCCAGATTTGGAGATACTGCAAGCTCATCTCTAAATTTTTTTTTGCAGAATTTTTGAGAGGACCTCAGCAGCTACAGGGGAGTTGCGGTTAAGGAAAGGTTGGTAATGTTCTTTCCAGCGCAGTGCAATAGCTTCCTTATCTTTTAGAAGTGTGGTACTGTCTGCTGGGCGTAGGGGGCATATGCCATGATTTATTGGCCCATAGATGGTCTTTATGGTTTTAAAGAAATTGTGCATCATGAGTGTCGGCTAAGCACTCTTGAGCTTTTTTATCCACCAGGTGTTTTTTCAGTTGTCTGGTTCTTTGAACCTCAGCCTTAGCATTGTTTTTTTTCTTAGTGGCACAGTTTCTATCTCTTTGCCAGATCTGAAAGGCCTTCCTTTTCTTGTCGATAATGTGTTCAATCTCATCGTCATTCTCATCAAACCAGTCCTGGTGTTTCTTGGTTTGGTAACCAATAGTTTGTTCACAGGCTGCAATAATGGATGTTTTTAGCTTGGTCCGGTGTTCCTCAGTTTTATCTGGGAAATCTGAAAGCAGATGGTCTTTATGGGTTGTGTGGAAACAATCCTGCTTAATGGGATCTTGAAGGGCTTGAGTGTTCATTTTGCGTCTTGGTTTCCTTCCTTGAAGCCTGTATTGAGGTATAATATTGATAGCTATTGTGGAGTGTATTAATCTGTGATCTGTCTAGCAGTTGTCAGCATTCATCATAGCCCTGGTAAGGAGCACATCATGGCAATCTTCAGCTTGGACAATTAAATAGTCTAAGAGGTGCCAGTGGTTTGACTGAGAATGCCTCCATGATGTTTTTAAATTATTATTTTTTGTCGAAAGAGTGTGTTGGCAATAACAAGGTTGTGTGCTGCACATATTGTCAAAAGTAAGATTCCGTTCTGGTTGCTGTTGCCAATTCCTTCTTTCCCAATAGTCCCAGGCCACAGATCAAAATCTCGCCCAACTCTTGCATTAAAATCACCCAGGAGGGTAATTTTATCCTCCTTAGGCATCTCGGATAGGATGGTATGCAGCTGAGAGTAATTTTTTTCTTTAATGTTTTCGTCAGCATCCAGTGTTGGTGCATAAGCGCTTAGAATAGTTGCCTGCTGGTTTTTGGTGAGTTTTATTCAAAGAGTTGAAAGTCACTCATTAATGCTGGTAGGGACTTCTGACAAGAGCTTTACAAGATCATTTTTGATAGCAAAGCCTGCTCCATGTATTTAGAAGAAAGTGTACCCTCCTTTTTCTTCCTTCAGTTGTCCCTCACCTGCTTTTTGAGTTTCTTGAAGTGCTGCAATATTGATGTTAAAACATTGCAGCTCTCGTGCAATGATAGCAGTTCTGCGTTTGAGATGCTCATTATCTGTATATTCCATGTTCCAAAGTTCAATTGTCTTTTATAACCTCTGGGTGGTGACCTCACTGGGCGCAGTAATCCAGTCAGGGAAAAAGGGAGGCAGACTATGTTTAGGGCACCTTTTCTAGCCCCTCCTCCTTTTTGGGGTGAGCAGAGTTGGTCCTAAATAGGGCTGCTCAGTTGTGCATAAAGCTGCCAAGCTGCTCAACTGTCTCATTCCTTAAGGTTCATGACTTGGGGCTTCCAGACTTCACAGTCCTGCCCTCGTTACCATTTGCCAATCGCCATGGGACTTTTGGGGTTTGGGTTTGGGATGAGTTTTTGGAAGATGCCTGTGTGTGAATTTGTTTTATGTGTGTAGATCAGTGCACACTGACCAACGCACAGTAAGGCTCTGTTCTGATGGCATGAGGATCATGACGACCTCTGCTGCAGCCTCCATCTGCCTTCACAACCTTTGTAACATACCACTTGTTATCTTCTGCCTGTTCTGCCATTGAGGACTTCTTGGATCATGCTTTATCTAGCTCCTTCCCTTTGACCTTACTGCCTTGGGTGACCCTGCTGGGAGTATGAGACTCCTGACGGCTGCACTCACAAGGGTCCTAGGAATGTGCAAGCCCACTCCCCACGACAAGGTGATGATATAGTGAGTGAGTGGGTGCTGATACGAAGTGCAGGGCAGGGCAGCCCCCAGTCCACACATGATGCAGGCAAAGACTTGAAGGGGTTTTTTTTGCAATCAAGTGGACTATAACTCTCCTGAAATAGAATTATAGGAGAGAAAGATTCTAGTCATCATGGTTCTGAACAAAGAACTGGTTGAAACAAGAACCTAGGATGCTGCCTTGGTCCAAGCCAGACCACAGGGTCCATCTAGCTCAGCATTGTCTATGCTGGTAAGATAGCTCAGTCAGTAGAGCGTAAGTCTCTTAATCTCAGGGTCATGGTTTCGAGCCCCATGTTGGGCAAAAGATTTCTGCATTGCAGGGGGTTGGACTGGATGACCTTTGGTGCTCCCTTCCAACTCCACAGTTCTAGCATTCATTGACTGGCAGAGGCTCTCCAGGGTTTCCCAGCCTGACCTGGAGATGCCAGTGGGGACTGAAACTGGGACCTTCTGTAGTGGCTCCTTCCCCGCCCCACCCATCCTTTCGCAAACTCCATTCCTATCCCCAAAATGAAGCACTCAAGAATCTTCAGCCTTCCCTTGAGGGAAAACTGTCCCTCCATCCTCCTTGAGCATGGGAAATTCCATAATCAATGCTCAGGAGAACAAAGATGTTTTGGAAGCAGCAGCTGCAGCAGCCCCATGGACTTTGGGCTCTGCAGATGGCATCCCACATGGCCAGGCACTGCCAGGGAAGGATCCTCACCTGGGGTCTGCTGCTCTGCTCCTTTTGGCCTGTACCTTTAAGCTCCCCCACCCACACCTTCCTCCCCCCTCCTCCTCCTCTCACCTTCCCTGCCCAACAAAACCTCCCCTCCAGAGCCAGAGACAGAGGGGAGCGGATGGAGCATGGCTGGTGGCTGCAGCCAGGTGAGCTCTGCTGAAACGACCGCCCTGGGCCAGGCAGGTGAGTCCCCGACCTGAGGGCGCCCTTCCTCACTCCCTTAAAGACCACCCTTGGGTACTGTGGAGGCTCATGGGGGTGGGGGGAGGGGCGGTGCGCCCAAGAGAGACAGAAATGTACGGCAAGGACCTCTGGTTGATTTCCCCTTCGAGGAAAAGTTGCAACCTTGGGGGGCTTTTCAGCTGAAAGGAAAGGCGAGGAAGCAGAGGCAGGAGAGAAGTGCCTCAGAATCTGGTGGTTCTCAAACTTTTCTCTCTGGGCCACTTTCAGAATAACAATTTGCTCGCGCCACAGAAATTATTTCTGCTTAGTTTTGTTTTCCAGCGTATCAACTAGCAGTGCTTGATTTATAACCTAGAACGCAACTTCTTTATAACATGATCATGGCATATCCAGAAAGTAAAAAAACAACGTGGCTACATAAGAACAAGAACCTTTCCCCAAATGCAGTTATAAACCAGCCTCTTACAGGTGTGCTTTAAGTGTGAATACAAACTCAGTGTGAGCTTCCTTTGGCTAGGCAATCTCACTTATATCAGGTCTAATTTGAGACTAGCAAGCTCTCCTCTTTTCAACACAAAGAAGCCTTTCTCATCTCTGACCTTGCGTATTTGTCAGAATTGGAAATTCTTGTTTCCAGCAATATGCTGCGGAGAATTGTGGAAGAATAGTCAATGCTTTTGACAAGAGGCATGGATCCTGTTTCTCTCTGTAGAGCCAAACAAAATTATTTTGATACCGTCGTACACAGAAAAGTTTCAGTGTTTCTTGGCTTGGCCTGGAATCTTCCTGTCACACTTGCCATCCTCTCGTGCCACACCCTGGGAGAACCGCTGGCATGACACGATGCCTGGCATGGAGACTCAGGACAGGCAAAAGGAAGTCTTTCTTCACACAACGATGGCCACCAACTTCTGACACTCAGACAGATTCATGGGACCTAAGGCTATTGGTGGCTACTAGCCAGGAGGACTCTAAGTGCCAAAGCCAGTGGAATCCCAGTTTCTGGAAATCGTAGCTGGGGGGGGGGAGAGTTACTGCTCTTGGGGGCTTCCCAGAAGAGGTAACTGGTTGGCCAGTGACTGTGAAAACGGTGCACGAACAGAGGGGCCTCCTGTGGCCTGATCCAGCTGTTGGTGGTGGCTTCAGACGTTTCATCAGAAGCCAGGAATTGTTTCCGTTGCCTTAGAAGGATCTCGCCTTCCCAAAAGCTTGAAGGATGGTTGCAAGAGAGAACAGTGGGTGGATCGTCAAACTCTACTGTTCTTGATGGCAAATCAGGAAACTAACATTTTGAGACAGAGAAAGACGGTGCTTTGCTCCAGTCCAGGACAGTTTCCAAAAGGGCAGCCAAGCTAGTCAGCCTCATTGCAAACAATGTTTGTTTGCTGGTTGACTTTATATCCAGCTCTTCCTGCCAAGACCCACCACTTAAAAACAAAAACCTTCCTGAACGTCACAATGTTCTAAAAGTTCAAAATATCCTTCCATCTATTCTTGCAAGCCACACATGGGGTTTTTTGCTGCGCTCAGGCCTTGCTTGGGGGCTTCTTCCCCTTGGAGGGCACCGGGTGGCCACTGTGTGTAAAAATAGGGTGCTGGAGCAGCCGACCCCACTTTGGGGCTGATCCAGCTGCTTGCTGCTTCTGCAGGGCTCTCCTGACATCCTTGTGACCCTGACTCTGGACTCATCTTGGACCAGGAGCTATTACCTTACCTAGTAGGGTAAAGTCCATCAAGGTAATGGACTCAGTACCTGAAGGGTCAGGAAGAAGCCCCTGGACGTGGGGGAAGAATCTGAGCACAGATCAGGGTCCACAAAACTTGCTGTGCTGATGCAAAAACAGCTGAGCCATATAGCTGGCCAGGAGGAATTTTAGCAAGGGGAGGCAAAAGGCCAGAGTTGGGGTGTGACTGTAGATTATGAATTGGGACAGGGGCTCCCACCTGGTGGGGATGCATGCAGGCACACTCATTTGCACGTTAAACTACTAGCGACCCCCTTATCTTTTTTTTCAACATGGAAAGCTGCCAGGCCCCTGGGCTATGAGGCTCAATATTGCCCACACAGGCTGGCAGCAGCAGCTCTTCAGGGCGGGTCTCTGCCAACCTTTCCTAGAGCTGCTGCTGACGATCAAAGCTCAGCTATTATAGCCCTTCTTGCTGTGCTTTGATGGCAAATCTGCTGGACAGATTCTTCAGTGACAAGAGTTGGCTCAGTTGGTAGAGCATTAAACTCTTAATCTCAGGGTTGTGGGTTTGATCCCCAAGTTGAGCAATTACTGTTGGTATTAATAATAATAATACCCCGCCCATCTGGCTGGGTTTCCTCAGCCACTCTGGGCGGCTCCCAACAGAATATATATAAAAGCAACAAAGCATTAAACATGAAACGCTTCCCTAAACAAGGCTGTCTTCATATGTCTTCTAAAAGTCAGATAGTTGTTTATTTCCTTGACAGCTGATGGGAGGGCATTCCACGGGGCGGGTGTCACCACTGAGAAGGCCCCCTGCCTGGTTCCCTGTAGCTTCATTTCTCGCAGGGAGGAAACTGCCAGAAGGCCCTCAGAGCTGGGCTGAAGATGCTCCTTCAGGTATACTGGGCGGAGACAAAAGATTATTGCCTTGCAGAGGATTGGACTACATGACCCTTGGGAACTCCTTCTAGGAGTTGGTCCCTCCCACTCTGCAGAGGTTAGATCTCTTGTGTGAGGAAGTGGGGGGCACTGTGGCTGAAATGGTCTGAGTGCAGAGACACCTCCCATGCCTCCTGGCAGTGGCAAGTTGGTTTTCATGAAGGGATGCTTTGCTGCCCAAAGGGCTTTTCAAACCCAGGAGGGCCATGGCTGTTTGGCAGTCAGTGCAGGGAGCGTACGCCAAGAAGTGCCTCCAGCGCCCCTTGCAGGGGCATCGCCAGCCCCACCTGGCAGATCTGGAGGATGGAGGCAAAAACAAGAGCGGGGCTGCCCACTCCGGCCCTCTGGCCAGCCTTCACATGCCAAGCAGTCTGCTCTGGCCGAAACTGCCGCTTCTCAGAAAGCACAAAGGCTTTGTTCTCTGGGGAGATCCCTGGCAGGGCTGGGCAGAGAAATCAGAGAGGCCTTTCTTCTGGCGCTGATGGAGCTAAACCTGGGGGAGGCCAAGAGGCCTGCACACAGAGAGGGCTGTTTCACTACCAGAGTTCCAGACGGTGCCCAGGGATCCTCTGCACTTACTTTGCAGGTGCCAGAGGATGTTTGAGCACTTCCATTTGCCTGCCCTCCCAGACCCTCCAAGTGCCCCTATTTTCCAGGGACATCCCAGATATACAGACGCCGTCCTGGTTTCTGATTTGATCCTGGGATATCCCGCTTTTCCTTAGGACGTCCCTATTTTCAACAGAGAAATGTTGGAGGGTATGATTAGTTATGTGAGCCCTGAGCCAAGGAGATAATACAACCTTTAGAAAACATTTGAAGGCAGCCCTGTCTAGAGATGTTTTTTAAATGTTTAATGTCTTATTATGTTTTTATATATGTTGAAAGACCGCTCGGTGTGGCTGGGCCAGGCCAGTCAGATAGGCGGGTATTGTTGCTGTTGTTATGGAATAGGATGTCCCTAATAAGAATAAGAATAAATAATAATTTATTACTCATACCCCGCCCATCTGTCTGGGTTTCCCCAGCAACTCTGGGCGGCTCCCTACAGTATATTAAAAACACGATAAAACATTAAAAATCTCCCTAAACAGGGCTGCCTTCAGATGTTTCATTGGAGGCTATGCCCTCCCAGCCTTCCCCAAGTTTCCCCTGGGGGCTCTGATTCCTTCTGATCCCCCCCCCCATCTCACATTGGGTCCCTCCCCTTAGATGCAGGAAACTGTGGGTGAGGAGGGTCCGCTTTCCAAATTCTCGACAGCTCCTCAATCTCACACTCAAGAAAAGGCCATTCTCCTCGTAGTGTTAAACTCTGGAACTCCCTCCCACAGGAGACAAGGATGGCACCAATCTGGCTGTCTTTAAAAGAGGAACTGGACAAGTTCATGGAGGAGGAGAGGGCTCTGGGGGGCTCCTGAGTGCCCGTTGCTGGAAACCGCAGGAGGGGAGAGTTGCTCTTGTGCTTGGCTCCTGCTTGCAGATTTCCCTTTGGGCACCTGGTCAGCCACTGTGAGAACAGGATACTGGGCTAGACAGGCCCCCTTTGGCCTCATCCAGCAGCCAGGCTCTTCTGATGTCCTTATGTAACATCTGAACTTCCAGGTCTTTCAGGGTATTTGGCTGCTGTGGCTGGTGGCTGGATGGGCCCCCTTTGGCCTGATCCAGCAAGCTTGTCATGTGTTGGAGGCAGGGGTGCCAACTTGAGTAAAATATTGTGGGTACCCAGGTAAGCCCCTCCCCACATGATGCAGTGTGTGCACACCATCTGAGTAGGAATGCCCATCCACTTTGTGGGGGCCCAGCTCCCTGAAATATTCTATTGTGGGGGCTGAAGCCCCCACAGCCCCTAGGAGTTGGAGGCTCTCCCAAGGATTAGTCCCCAACTGCAGTTGTCTGTTTGTGTCATTTAGTTGAAAGCAGCCCCCCCATGAAATCCCAGTATCTTCCCAGAAGTAGAAGCATTTCCCCAACCCTTTCACAATGAAAGTGCAGGATAACAACCCCACAGTTTCCGAAGAAGGGAATTCTTCTCAGCCCCAAGTAACGGCTGCAGCAGCCAATGATCAGGACGGCTTTCGTTCCATTTCTCCTTTGCTTTCCACAAGAAATGGCTCAAGGAGAATTGTTCCTCGGCTGCCTTGTCAGGGGCCCCAATCCCAAGGCTCCCCATCCCCAGGCGGCACCTGCAGATTCTCCCAGGGACAAGAGAAGGGCTGAACCGAAGGGCTGAGCACCAAGCGGCTCATTGAGATGCAACCAGGTCAGCACCGCATCTTCTGATATTGAGTCAGAATCTCCTTTCTTGTAACTTGAAGCCAATAGTTCAGGTCCTCCCTTCCAGAGCAGCAGAAAACAAACTTGCTCCCTCTTCCATGGAACAGCCCTTTAGATATTTGAAGATTGCTCTCCTATCTCCTCTCAGACTCCTCTACGCTAAACATACCCAGCTCCTCCAACCATTCCTCATAAGGCTTGGTTTCCAGATCCTTGGTCATCTTGGTCGCCCTCCTGTGCACACCTTCCCGCTTGTCAACATCCTTCTTAAATTGTGGTGCCCAGAACTGGACACAGGACTCCAGGTGTGGTCTGACCAAGGCAGAATAGAGCGGCACTATGACTTCCCTTGATCTGGACACTACAGTGGTGCCTCGGGTTACATATGCTTCAGGTTACATATGCTTCAGGTTACAGACTCCGCTAACCCAGAAATAGTGCTTCAAGTTAAAAACTTTGCTTCAGGATGAGAACAGAAACTGCTCCGGCGGCACGGCAGCAGCAGGAGGCCCTGTTAGCTAAAGTGGTGCTTCAGGTTAAGAACAGTTTCAGGTTAAGTACGGACCTCCGGAACGAATAAAGTACTTAACCCGAGGTACCACTGTATTCTGCATATGCAGCCTAGAGTAATGTTAGGGCTTTTTTTTGCTGCTGCATCACCCTGTGGACTCATGTGGTCCACTTTAGACCCCAGGATCCTTTCCACATGTCTTACTGGCATGTGTCCAAAACGGGAAGGGGAAGGTGGACCTAAGTGGGAGGGACACAGTGTCTAACCAAATCTTCCAGAAATCTGAATACTTGAAATCTGAAAGGGTCAAGAATCCCTTGCCAAAGCCATTTTAGCCCGTTTTCTTCCCCCAATGTAGAACTTCTGCAGTCTGCAGGACAAGCATGGAGCCGCCAGTAGTCCCTGCTGGGAAACCAGTGCTGGGGGGAGAGAAGTGCCGCCCTGTTGCTGGGGGAGGCAGCACTCGCTGCAGGCTGACCCTGGTCTCCATCCTCCTGGGTGCCATCACGGCCAGCTGTGGTGGGATCCTGATGGGTGAGTCCATCCCTGCGGAAATTTGATTCATTTCTCAAACTTGCCTTACTTTCTTAAATTTGTGTACCCTGTTTCCCTTCTTTGTCAGGCGTTTACACCTGAATTCATTGCAATATCTCATTAGCATTACAGTCATACCTCGGGTTACAGACGCTTCAGGTTGCGTTTTTTCGGGTTATGGACGCGCTGAAACCTGGAAGTACTGGAGCGGGTTACTTCCGGGTTTTGGCAGTCGCACATGCACAGAAGCGCCGAATCACAACCTGCGCGTGTGCAGACCCTGCGGGTTGCGAATGCTGTGGGTTGCAAACTTGCCTCCAGCATGGATCGCAACCCAAGTGTCCACTGTACTTCATTCATTTTGTAATGTTTATGTGCTGCTTGGCAGCCTGTCCAACAGGTGCAGATTGGGGTGCTTCTGTCCCGGCTTCTGCCCCCCCCCAACGCTGGTGCTTTTACACCAACCCACCCTGTGCCTCTTCCTCTCTGCAGCCTTCCTGGTGAAGCAGGAGTTCCTGGCAGATCACCTGGTGGAGCTGCAGGGCCTCCGTTATGAGAGCAGCCTGCAGTGCCCGAGCTCCAACTATCGCCGCACCTTGACCCCCGTCCTGGAGAGGCTGGTGAGGGCAGAGAGAAGAGCCCCTGTGGGGCGTGGGTGGATGTGTGGTTCTGCAGATGAATCCTCCCCCATAAGCACTGGAGGAGCTGGGGGTTTGGGGTGGCCATGGCAGGCTTTGATTTCTGATCCCTTCAAGGCAGGAGCAATACGGGATTTAGGGGGCTGCAGGCGAGGCAACACAAAATTGAAAACATCAATCACTGATAAGATCCATGTGGGGGCGCCAAATTTTGGCCTTGCACAGGGCGCCATATCACCACTCTTTCCTGCTGGGGGTGCAGGGGGGAGGTTCGCTGACAGTGGGGAGCCAGCTGTAAATCACACTTAGCAAGCTGGAGTTCATGCTCTCTTAGCAAAAACAGAAGTGTCAGGCCTAATGAACACAGCAGCTCACCTCTGGTAGGTCTTGCTCCCATGAAGCGGTTGCTGAGGCTAAAGGTCCCCATCTCCCCACATCTATCTAAGTATCCTCCACCCCAGGGTTTCTCCCAAGCAATCAGAGACTGTATCTGCATGCAGCCAACCTCTCCCCTGCCCTCTTCATGCCTCTTCTTGTTCTGGGAGAACAGCGGGGAGGAGAGCTTGTTGGCACAGGAGTGGGAGACCCCTCCTGACTTCCCAGCCAGACTCCTCTCTGCCTCTTGGCCTCCTTCCTCTCCTGTTTCAGCTTCTGCCTCCGATTCTGTACTCCTCTCTGCCACAGACTCTCCCCGCTCACAAAGCCCTGTTACCTCTACCTCGTCTTCTCCCTCTTCTACCTCGTCCTCGTCCCCCCAGGCTCTGGGCCTTCTTTCTTGGGGGTTCCCCCAGCTGGTTCCTCCCACCATTCCTCTGCGTTCAACCAGTTCATGACAGTCACCCGTTTGCCCCCCCCCCTTTTCTGTCCTGTCTCAGTTTAAAAGCAGCTTTCAGAACTCAGCCCTGGAAGGGACCTGTGACAGGTGCTCCGTCTTGCAATACAGGTAGGCTAAGCCATGGAGTGTGCCCTGCCCTGCCCTGCCCTGGTGCTGCAGGTGAGGGGAAGCAGCCTGGCCCCCACCTCCTGCGCTTGTGTCTCCACTTGGCAGGAAGGGCAATGCCAGCATCCTGGTCCACTTCCGCCTATGGTTCTCCTCGCAGCCGCTCAGCCCAGACGCAGAAGAGCAGGCGCTGGAGAGGGGCCTGGCAGCTGCGCTGGGCAATGGAGGAATCACCCTGCCCTCCTACGGCACCATCTGGGCAGCCTCTCTCACAGGTAGCATGGCATCATCCCTCGCCCATCATCCAGGGGTAGGGAGGGCAGGCATGCAGGTGGCCTCGCCTTCTTCTCATCACCCCCCTGTGAGGTAGGCTAGGATGCAAGCAAGATCAGTCCCTGCCTGAGTGCAGAAATTCAGATAGGGGCCTCCTAATCCTCCTGCCAGTCACTGCAACCTTCTCACCCTGGGGGCGAGATGGCAGCTTTTGCATCTCAACAAGGAAGGTGAGGGGAGAGCTGAGGCTTCCTCATTGGATGGTAGCCAAAAGGTTTGGCCAGAGGGAGCTTAGAAAATCTTTGCACTCTGTGTAGGGGGAGCCGTGGCAATGAATGCGGGGGCTTTGTCCACACACACACACACACACACACACACACCTGTCCTCATCATGATATTGTTAAATATTTGTATACTGCCCTATACTTGTTGATCTCAGGGCAGTGCACAAGATAAAGTTACAATATAAAAACACAGAATACATGATAAAAGTAAAAATCAAGACTACCCAGTAATCTCCCCTTAAGCACAAGTTGTCCCCCAAAGGAACCCAGGAACTACAGTTTGCCTCTCATGGAGGTACAACCCCAGCCCCCTTAAATTACAGCTCCCAGGATTGGGGGGGGGGCAGGGAGCCATGGGTCCAGAGCCCTGTGGGTTCAAGAGACTTGCTGGGGATTTCAGGAGAGGAGGGGTCCCAGTTCTGGGCCAGAGTGGCCTCCATGGGGAGCATTTGGGCTTTTGGAGACCAGCCCCCATTCTTCACCCCCCCCCCTCTCTCACAGGGCTGAGCAGCGACTCCCCTTCAGGAACAGGACTGAAATCAGGTAGGCTTTTTTTAACATTTTGTGAGCTCAGGGCGTGGGTGGAGAGCAAAACAGTTTTATTCTCTGCAAAGCCCATGGGCTTCCGGTCATGCTGGCTCTGCGGGAAGCAGACGGCCAGTTGCTGGGCATCTTAAGCAGGCAGGAGGACCTGCTTGGGGATTCCCATGGCAAGGCGAGGTCCAGCTTCCACAGGGCTCCCCCGAGGACCTTGACCCTCCCCAAAGAGCAGCTGCCTCGGGGGAAAGAGGCTGGGACCCATCCTGCTACCACCCTTGCAGGCACCTGCCCAGGGACAGTCTTCACCTGCCACAGCGGCCAGTGTGTGCCACGTGAGAACGTGGAGTGCGATGACCGGAGTGACTGCCTGGACGGGTCCGATGAGGCAGAGTGCGGTGGGTCCTAGTCTTCTCCTTCCTCTCCTTCCTCCTTTGCCCCTCCTTCTTCTAGGGGTGCTGGGACATTCCCATCCAGGGGTGGTCTCCCCTGGGTCTCTCTCTTCATTCCATATCCTGGCGGGGATTTCCCCCACGTGGTTTCAAGGGTGAAGCAAAGGGGCCTCTATGGTGGTTGCATTAAACCAGGGGTCAGCAAGGTTTATCTTGCCTGGGCCAGATTGGTCCTGCAGAGATCCCTCTGTGGGCTGGATCGTGCGTGTGCATGAGCACATGCACCCACAATTTTCGGCATCTGCACATGCGCAGATGCAATTTTCGGCACTGTGGAAGCGAGTCGCTGCACCGTGCTGCGCCAGTTTAGCGCAGCATGTGAGCGGGCAGCTCGTGGACCTGTCAAACGACCTCTGCAGGCTGCTTCTGGCCAATGGGCCTTAGGTTGCTGACCCCTGCATTAAACAATTAAATGTGCCAAAAGGAAGGCGTTAAGATGAACACTGGAAGTGGCAGGTGGGAGCTGCCATCTCAGAAACGGACTCCCCCTCCAGGAGAATGCTTCTTACTGCCTGCTGCTGGCACCTCCTTGTATCAATGAACATAAGAACAGCCCTTTGAAAGCCGTCCAAGCTGGTGGCCGTAGTCCATGGTTTCACCAAGTGAAGGATTTTCTTTCTCTGGGTTCTGAATCCCTCTGCTTACTGCTGCCACCTGGGGGCAGATAATTGTACCTGCAGCCTCTTTTTAACCATTCTGCTGCCACCTGGTGGCATGTTGGAGTTACTGCAGACCATTTCTACCCCTGAGTGGGGACTGCTGACCCCCCCCCCCTTGTATCTTGCAGACTGTGGGTCTCGGCCGGCCATACAGGCAGCCAACCGGATTGTCGGGGGATCGGAGGCCACTCGGGGGGAGTTCCCCTGGCAAGTCAGCCTGCGGGAGAACAACGAGCACTTCTGTGGGGCCACAATCCTGGCTGCCAAGTGGCTGGTGTCTGCAGCACACTGCTTCAACGAGTAAGCCCGGCCGGACCCATTTCCTTGCTTTTCCCGCAAGAGACTGAGTGCACCATGCCTTGCTGGGTTGTGGCAAGTGGGCAGCTCTCTGGTGCTGAGAACCTTGCAGGGTTAGGGAAAGAGACTGGAGGTGGGTGGGTGGCACGTAGGGCAGCTGCTGGGTCTCAGGCCTTTGGTGTGTCAGGGGCTCACCCTGCATGCAAAGACAGACTCCGATGGACAGAGCAGATGAGACCGAGTGTGGGTCCAGCAGCCAAGAAGGCAGGTTCTGCCTGTGCCGGTGAGGGAAGTGTGGCTATTCAACCAATAACATTATTAACAAGTCATGGTGCTTTTAATAAACACATTCCAGATATATTTGTATTTATCCACACAGTATCTGCAAGAGCTGCCATCTCCTATCCATTGTTCAAAGTGGCCCATGTCAAAATCTCCCCATTGAATCAATATCAGTCTATTGGCAGACGGAAGGGTGCAAGGAGTCCATTGATGGGCCCTGAAGCTCTCCTGCTGCCAACAGGTTCCAGGATCCGGGCACCTGGACGGCCCATGCAGGCACCGTCTGGCTGAGCGGCAGCGAGAGCAGTGCAGTGAAGACTGGTGTGAGCCACATCCTCAAGCACCCCTCCTATGACACAGACACGGCCGACTATGATGTGGCGCTGCTGGCGCTCTCTGAGCCTTTGCCCTTCGGCAAGTACGTCCAGCCCGCCTGCCTGCCGGCCTCCAGCCATATCTTCCCCTCTGGCAAGAAGTGCTCCATCTCCGGCTGGGGTTACCTCAAGGAGGACTTTTGTAAGCACAACCTTTGGCGAGGAAAAAGTGGAAGAAGGAGTGGGGGCCACGGCTCGGCCGAACCTACCTCCCAGGGCTCCTGTGGAGAGGGGGGTGGTGTGGCTCAGGCAGGGCTACTACAGGGGGCAAAAGGGGCTGAGCTCTGCACTGAATTGGGCAACTGTCCCCCTGAGGGATCCATCTGAGGAGGAGCTCTCCTTGGCTTCACAGACAGCATTGTACGGTGGGTAGTTTTGCCACAGGCAGGGAGGTAAAGGTGAGCCTTGCTGTGGTTGAGCACTCCAGCCTCGGTTGTTCCCTCAGTGTGCTGCTCCCTACTGGGGGGCAGGTGGGGACCTTAAGGTTGCTTTTCTGCACAAAGGTTGAGGTTGCTGCTGCTCCACCTCCTTCCCCACCTCCTCTTCCCTCTCGTTGCCCCTGGCTAGCTTCACCCAAAGGAACATTGTTTGGGGCAGGAGGAACTGAGCACCCCCATTTCTCTGTTAATCCTGAGATACCAGCCAACCCTTAGCACAGATTTGGTTTGATTTAAGATTGTTCTTCTGCTTTCCCAGCAAGAAATGTGGAGCTCGCAATAGCAGCAGCATTTTAAAAAGCGAGTGAACAGACATTGCAATTACTATAAGGGAAAGCACAGCAACATTTTGAAAAGAGCAGCAGCAACAAGTTCATCAGAAGAATTACACACAGGTCCAGTTATCCAAACTCTCCTTCAGACAAAAAATTTTTTTAAAAATCCTTGTTCAAACGTGACAAATTCATACCAAAACCTCACCATACAAGCTGTGGATTCAAATATCCAAACAGCCAGGGCTGCATTTTGTACTTCAAGGAAACAAGCAGCCTTAAAGAATCCTGACTTCTTTTGTTTTGCTTGTCCACAGCAGCCGTTCCATCAGAAAATATGGTGTGGATTTGAAGAGAGCATTTCCTGCTTCCTTGTTTGCCTTTTGCAAAGTTTCAGGATTTCCCCCTGGGGTTTCTAATAATTTTTGGGTCAAAATTAGAAATGAATTCATAGGAACTGATGAAAATGATTGCCTTGTTATGCAAATGCAGACCTAGCAAATGATTTAGTGAGAATGCTTTGCATTCTGATGGTGGGACCTGTGTGGAATGCAATTCAACAATCCCATGGCCATTCAGTTCAGTGCCTGCCCCTCAGCTGCCCTGCCCTGGAGAGCTCAGGGTGCCTGGAACTGGCAGGAGGAGTTCCTGTCAGGATGCGTCCACCTGAATTGCCCTCAGGCCTTGCCACTGGGCTCCACCTTCTCTCTCTCCTCAGTGGTGAAGCCGGAGCTGCTGCAGAAGGCCGTGGTGGAGCTGTTGGACCAGACACTATGCGCCAGCCTGTACAGCAACGCCCTCACCGACCGGATGCTGTGTGCCGGCTACCTGGAGGGCAAAGTTGACTCCTGCCAGGTATGGCCAGAAGCAGCCTCTGGGAGAGGGCGTGTCTGCTTGCAGCGGGAGCTCCGGGAGGAGGCCTCTGGCATGCCACAGTGCCCTTCTTCTCTCCTCTTCTCACCTACAGGGGGATTCTGGGGGCCCACTGGTCTGTGAGGAGCCCTCAGGCCGCTTCTTCCTGGCCGGAATCGTCAGCTGGGGCATCGGCTGTGCGGAGGCCAAGCGCCCAGGGGTCTATGCCCGGGTCACCAGGCTGCGGAACTGGATCCATGACACCATGGCCACGTTCACGGCCCCACCAGGCCTCACCCTCCCCTCGACGGCCTCCACCACCCTCCTCCCTCTGGCGTCCACCAAGGGCACCACCACTGGCAAACCCCTACCCAGCCCCACCACGACCGGGGGCAGGCCAGCTGCCACAGTACCACGGCCCCAAGGTAGAGAGCCCCCAGCCATGAACAGGGCCCAGCTGGACTCCTCCTGGGGCTTGGGGCACAGCTGTTGCAGCTCACCCTTCTTTTTCTTTGTGCAGAGTGCGGCCGCCGGCCCGGCTTCTCCAAGCCCATCAAGATTGTGGGGGGCCTGGATGCTTCCCGCGGGGAGGTCCCCTGGCAGGTCAGCCTGAAGGAGGGGCTGCACCACTTCTGTGGGGCCACCATCATCGGGGAACGGTGGCTCCTTTCAGCTGCCCACTGCTTCAACCAGTAAGTAGGGAGAAAGGTGGTTGCCTCAGGTCCAAATTGTAGAGTTCGAAGGGGACCCCCAGGAGCCACCCAGGCCAACCCCCTGCAATGTAGGAACTGCCGCTAAAGAATCCCAGACAACACTAAGGTTGCAGGTTTGATCCCCGTTTGGGACAGTTGCCTCTTCCTACATTGCAGGGGGTTGGCATAGAGGAGCAGGGTCCCTTCCAGCTGTACAGTTCTGGGATTCCATGCCTGCCTGGGATTCCACTCCCTGCTTAAAAGGAGGAAGAAGGGTGCCCCACTTTCCAATCAGCACCCTCCACTCTCTGGAATTGGGAAATGGAACCTGGGAACGTCTGCAAATGGGGACTCAGGTGCCGTAATGGTTGTAGCTTCGTGTGGCACCTTAAGGGCAATTGATGTCACCAATCCGCACTATCAGTTGGCACTGGGGGACACCAAACCACCCATTTCCCCAGAACCAGGAGAAATTCCACCCACAGCAAGAGGGTCCTGGGTTGGGCGGAGGAGGCTTAGTGGGCAATTTCCGATTGCTTGAAAGCTGTGGGGACTTTCAGTCTTGGCAACTGATTTTCATGCAGTGAGACCACTGGGATCCTGCTCAGCCAAGTCTGTGGAGGTTGTGTTTTTGCAAAGAAAGAGTTCTCTCCAACTTTGAACTGGCTGATTATTGACTGACAGGCTGTTGTGACTCAGGAGGAGAGGAAGGAGCTGGGTGGGGGAGAGACCCCTTTGTGGGCATGGTGACCCCCAGAGATGAGCCCCCCCCCATTCACCCACCTGCCCCTGGCCTGGCCGCCACTAATGGTCTGTCTGCGCCTGTGTCTCGTTTCTGCCCGTGCTGGTAGCACCAAGGTGGAGTACCTGACAGCCTTTGCAGGCACCACCTGGCTGTCGGCGGCAGATAGCAGCTCTGTGAAGGTGAGCATAAGGCAGGTGGTGCTGCACCCGTCCTACAACCCGGCCCTGCTGGACTTTGACGTGGCCGTCCTGGAGCTGGAGCGCCCCCTCCCCTTCGGCAAGGTCATCCAGCCCATCTGCCTCCCTCTGGCCGTCCACAAGTTCCCCGTGGGCAGGAAGTGCATGATCTCCGGCTGGGGGAGCCTCCAGGAAGGCAATGGTAAGCACTTCCCCCTCCCCCTTGCAGGGAGTGCAGGAGCCAAGGAGGCAGGCCGTTGGATCCATCTAGCTCCCTGCAGTCTACACTGACTGGTAGCAGCAGTTTCAAGCAGGGAGCCTTTTCCAAACCCTGCTTGGAGATGCTGCAGAGGACAAATAGCTCAGTGGGTGGAGCATGAGACTCTGAATCTCAGGTTCATGGGTTTGAGCCGCATATTGGGCAAAAGATTCCTGCATTGCACAGAATTGCACTAGATGACCCTCAGGGTCCCTTCCTCCCACAACTGAACCTTTCTGCATGCAAATCAGGCTGCTGAGCTAGTAGGGAAAGGATACAGTGGTGCCTCGCAAGACGAAATTAATCCGTTCCGCAAGAGTCTTCGTCTAGCGGTTTTTTCGTCTTGCGAAGCAAGCCCATTGACGGATTAGCGCTATTAGCGCTATCAGCTGTTTAGCGGCTATTAAAGGCTTAAAGGCTTAGGGGATTAGCTGCTAAAAGGCTATTAAAGGCTATTAAAGGCTTAGCAGATTAGATAAAGGGGGAAAAGCGAAAAAAATCTCAAGACTCGCAAGGTATTTTCGTCTTGCGAAGCAAGCCCATAGGGGAATTCGTCCTGCGAAGCAACTTCAAAACGGAAAACCCTTTCGTCTAGCGGTTTTTCCGTCTTGCGAGGCATTCGTCTTGCGGGGCACCACTGTATTCCAGAATGTTCAGCTTTAAAAACAACACACGCACTTTTGTATGTGGATCCTCCATGTGCAGGAGCAGTCTACCCGGGCTGTTTCACAGAATTGTAGAGTTGGAAGAGGTTCTGAGGCATGCCACTAGTCCAGCCCATTGCAATGCAGGAATCTCAACTCAAGCATCCCTGACAGATCCCTGCTCAAAAACCTCCACCGCCTTCCAAGGGAGTCTGTTCCACCATCAAATGGCTCATGTCTTCAAAATGTTCTTCCTAATGTTTAGTCAGAATTGCCTTCCTTGCAAGCTGAACCTGTAAGTTCGAGTCCTGCCCCTCAGAGCTGCAGAAAACAAACTGGCTCCACCTTCCATGTGGCAGCCCTTCAGATATTTGAAGATGGCCACCCCCATATTTCTTTTCTTCCCTCTTCCTTTCATGGGTGTCCTGGAAACTTCCCTCCAGGAGCTACTGGACACTGCTCTGCCCCCTGGCCTGACCTTCGCTCCTCCCCTCCCTGCAGCCTCCAAGCCAGAGACCCTCCAGAGAGCCTCTGTGGGAATAATTGACCAGAAAACCTGCAATGTCCTCTACAACTTCTCCCTGACAGAGCAGATGATCTGTGCTGGGTTCCTGGATGGAAAGGTTGACTCCTGTCAGGTGAGGGTGACTGAGGGTGGCCAGCCTGGGATGCCCCATTCCTACTCAGCTTCCAAAGTGCACCTGATCACAGAGCTGGGTGCTCATTGGAAGGCCCCTGTTTTGAAGTGTAACGTTCCCCCTGCAGAGCAGGCCACTCTGGTTAAAAGGACCTTCTTTGGGGGCCCCAGGGCTCTTTTTCCAGACACACTAGGGGCCACTTTGCCTCTGGGACTTGGTGAGTCTAACCCTGTGAGACTCCAGAGGGAGCTTCTCCTGTCTGGGAAGCTTTGTTAGCCCTTGCTGAGCTGGTTGCTCCCATCTCTCCCCGCAGGGCGACTCGGGAGGGCCCCTGGCCTGTGAGGAGACGCCAGGCGTGTTCTACCTGGCGGGACTGGTCAGTTGGGGGGTCGGCTGTGCGCAGGCCAGGAGACCCGGTGTCTACTCCCGCATCACCAAGCTCAAGGCCTGGATCCTGGAAACGATCTCACCATGCCCTAGCACCACAACCAAGGCCGCGACCACATCCAGCACCACAACCAAGGCCACAACCAGTGGCAGCGCCTCCTCACCCTCCCCCAGCCTGTCTTTGGCTAGTCAAAGGACCACCCAGGCCAGCCTCAGGGTCACCCCCAGCACAGCCAGGCCACCAACCAACACCCCGAGAGCCACCCAGTTCGCAGGTACATGGCGAGGACACGAATGGGCAGAGGCTGAGCATATAAATAATAAATTATTGTGATTATTAGCAGGGTGCCAGGTGAAGGCTGATGCCCTCAGGAGCCTGCCCTTCAAGGCAGGGGGTGCAGGACACTGCAGGGGTCATCTTTCTTACTGTGAGAGACTAAACATGGCCGCTGCCCCACTGGGAAGCCTCTCCTTTGGGCTGGGCCTGTCACTGTGCCCAGCCCTTTTGTGGCCCACACAGCTGTGCCCAGCGAGCTGGGGGACCCCTGTGCAGGCCAAGAGGGTGGAGGGTCTCAGCTCCCCCATTAACTTGCTCCCCACCCTCCCTGCCCCCAGCTGTGCCCTGCACCCCATCCACCTTCAAGTGCTCTGGCAAAGTCTGCATTGGGAAAGCAAACCCTGAATGTGACGGCGTCATGGACTGCAGCAACGGCAGGGACGAGGCCAACTGCAGTAAGTGACCTCCCCTCTCCCCTAGTCCACATTTAGCTCTGCTCACCCCCAACCAGACGGTGGGGGGGGGGGCAAGCAACGTGGCGGGGGGCTCACAAGGGTGTCCTCTCAGCCTGCTTCTCTTCCCACCCACCTAGACTGTGGCTCGACCTCAGCTTTGGCCTTCAGCAAGATCGTGGGGGGCAGTGGCGCAGCACGAGGGGAGTGGCCGTGGCAAGCGAGCCTGTGGCTGCGGAGGAAGGAGCACAAGTGTGGGGCGGTGGTGGTGGCTGACCGCTGGCTTCTCTCGGCTGCCCACTGCTTCGATGTGTGAGTTGGGGGGCTGGGATGAGCGCTGGGGGTGGGGAGAGGTGGCATGTGAGTCGGGGGGGGGAGGAAGGGGGTCTTTCTGCAGCCATTGCTCCCCTGCTCCAGGAACAAGCTCCTTGCTGGTGAAGAAGAGGACCCCATCCTCTGTGCCTCCCCAAGCCAGCAATGTTTTCATGGCACAGGAGGGCACTGCCAGACCTCCCTCCCTCCCTTTCCTGTGAGCCCCCAACCAAGGCCAGTCCACTCAAGAGGTGAGATGAGGCAACTGCCTCAGGTGGCAGGATCCATTGGGGCAGCAGGTGCAGTCTCCAAGGAATGCACCAAGGTGAAGGGGAGGGGCTGCTGGTCTCCTCCCACCCTTGTTCCTGATGTAGATCTTTACTCCTGGCTGCGAAGTGGAGGGAGCCACTGGGTGGTTCTCCTCAGGGGCCAAAATGTCTTGGGCCAGCCCTGCCCCCCCTTTTCCCTGGAGACTGGGGAGACGGGGCAGGCCTTGGGCTGGCCAAGGGTCCCAGGTGCACCGTCCTTCTCAGCTACAGCGACCCCAAGATGTGGGTGGCCGTCCTGGGGACACCCTTCCTGAGCGGCCTGGACGGGCGGGTGGAGAAGGTGTTCCAGATCCACAAGCACCCCTTCTACAACATCTACACACTGGATTATGATGTGGCGCTGCTGGAGCTGGCCTCCCCGCTGAGCTTCACCAGCACCGTCAAGCCTATCTGCCTGCCAGACCACGCCCACCTCTTCGGCCAGGATGCCCGCTGCGTCATCACCGGCTGGGGCTCCACCAAGGAGGGAGGTAGGAGGGAACCTCTTCCCGGCTGGGTGGGGGAGCGCCCCAAAGAGGCAGCTCTGGCCCTCGGACCACTCCGGCTTCCCTCAAAACCCAGGCAGCCAAGCAGCCTCGGATCAGCTGGCTGGCTCTATGGGGTGCCCACAGGCAAAGGGCAGGATTGGGCCCTGGGCCTTCCTCGCTGTGAGTCTCCTGCCCCCTCTCGCTGCCGGAAAGCCCAATTCCACTCTGCCCTCCCCTGCAGGGCTGATGGCGAGGCAGCTGCAGAAGGCGGCCGTCAACCTCATCGCGGAGCAGGACTGCCGCCGCTTCTACCCCGTCCAGATCAGCAGCCGGATGGTCTGCGCCGGGTTCCTGCAGGGGTCCGTTGACAGCTGCTCTGTGAGTCTTGGGCGCCTCTTCCGGAGGGCTCACACCACCTCCCCCTCAGCCCTGACTGCACCAGGTGGGATGGGAGGGAAGCCCACAGCTGGCCAGAAATGGCTGGAGCTGGGGGTGCTTATGAGAGGGGAGGAGGGAGAGAAGGCAGTTTGCAGGGCCTGGGGGGTCCCCTTGCCCCAGAGCTCCGTCCCCGCTCCCAAGGACACTCAGTGCCTTCTCCCTCCTCTGCAGGGTGATGCCGGCGGCCCCCTGGCCTGCAAAGAGGCTTCGGGAAGGTGGTTCCTGGCGGGCATCACCAGCTGGGGCTACGGCTGCGCCCGCCCTTACTTCCCGGGGGTCTACGCCCGAGTGACAGCCGTGCGGGGCTGGATTGCGCAGAACCTCAAGGCGTGACTCAGGGAAGAGGCAGGGAAGTGGGGCCTGGCCGGGAGATGGAAAAGCAACTCTCCTTTGGAAGACCCTATGCCTTTAACCAACAGAAGCACTTTTAGAACATGTTTTCTCTGAATAAAGAGGCTCGCCTGCCTCACTTGGACTTCACAAAAAGGGCAGGATGAAGTTCCCCCTTCCTCTCCTGGCCTGTTCACTCTATCACCCCATGATCTCTGGCCATGACCCTTGTGGAAGGAGGGCAGGTGACCCCGAGCCGCCTCTTGGGAACACAGGCCGAAGGACGGATGGACAGACAGGGATCCTTGCCTCAGGAAGAAAGCGTTTCCCTTGGACAGTCTGGCCAGAGACACTGCCTCGACTTCCCTTCCCGCCGTAGCTTGGCCCCTGGGTGGGGGGGCTCTGCCTTGTGCCGAAGGGCTGGATGTGGGGTGGCCTCAAGCCTTCTCTGTGCAAAGTGAGCAAGAGAAGCGCTCGGAGGAGGCCAGAGCAACGGACAATTAAACAAACCCCTTTGTGGAGTTTGGTGTGTGCTGGGGATTTTGTGCTACGCAAACAAAGATTCTTTCTCCCAGGTACCCTTAAAAACAAAGCCAGCCCCAAAATCTGCAGAAACGGGGTGGGAATGTCTCCCTTGCTATCCACAGAGACCACACCCCCTCCCCACTTTCACAAAAAGCAGCACGAGGCCTTGGGCTCAACTGGAAGAGGCTCCCTGGGCCTCCACCTAAATGCTCCCCTGTGCAAGAGGGGAAAGGTCCCTTCTTGTAGAAATCCAGCATGTCAGGGAGAAGCGGCCAAGCGTCTGTTTTCAGAGGGCAGGGCTTCTTTCTCAGCACAGTTTGGTTCAGGCCTGCCCTATCTCCTGCCCCCAACCTAACTTTGTTCATTCCCCGTGCACCACCGGCTCCGAGTTCTGCAAGATCCAGCAGGGTGATGCCTGCATCCCTTCATCTGGCTTGGTCTGGGGGCAAGGGCACCTCGCCCACTACACAAGCCCTGGGGGTGACTCAGCCAAGCAGTGAGCGGTGCCCCTGTAAGCCCTCCCTGTCATGGCACTGTGCCCAGGTGTGGGGCTGACTAGGACCCAGTTATCCTAAAGCAGGGGTGCCCAAACTTTTTTCAAAGAGGGCCAGATTTGATTACGTGAACATGAGTGAGGGCTGACCAAAATTGTTGAGTTTTTTAAAGGTTGCAGTTGTTGAACTTTTGGGGAATCAAAGTTGTTGAGCTTTTTTAAGAATTTGACCCCAAGAAATAAACTGCCACTGGGTCCGGATTGAGCCCCCAAAATGGACTTTAATTAGAAGCAGCCCATGTTGAGTCAGGGGCACACCTGCAATTTGCGGGACACTGCGGAGACCCCACTCTCAGGCACAAGTAACGGGGGAAGCCCCCCCCCCGCTAATTCAGGCCTCAGGCTGGTTCTCCCGGCTTCTCTTCATCCCCCTAGCTTGGCCCCCTCTACCTAAAGCTTGCTTCCCCTTCTCAGCACAGGCCCACAGGAAGTCAACTTGGGGGGCTGGGAAGGCAGGGGCACAGGTCAGTCACAGAATGGTAGCCTCGGAAGGCGGCCTCGAGCGTCATCTAGTCCAACCCGCTGCAATGGGTTTGCTTTCCGTAGGACGGAGCGAGGGCGCCCCCTGCTGGGCCGGGGCTTAGGCTCGTTCTCCCCCGAGGGTAAATCTGGATCAAACGGGGCGAGGGGCGGCCGAATTCTGAATGCCCCGATGCCCCCTAGACCCCCCGAAAGCCGAGGCCTGGAAGCGCCTCGCCAAGTCCTCCGGGGCGCGCGCTCGGCTGTGCTCTTTTCGGTGCTTGGGGGAAGCCGCCCCGCGACTCCGGCGTCGGTCCCGAGGGGGCTCGGAGGGACTCGCGAGCGACGGCGCGGCGGCTCCGGGGCGCGCTCAGCCGGGCCGCCGCGCGCCCCCGCTGCAGCTGCCCGGCGCGGAGCGCGACGCGGAGTGCCACGCCGGGCGGGCGCAGCGGAGCAGGCCGGGCTTGGAGGCGCCGGCGGGGCGCAGCCGCCCAGGTAGGGCCGAGCCGGGCGGGGGCGGGAAGCTCTCGGTCTGCTCGGGGCGCAGGAGGGCGAGCGGGAGAGGGGGAGCCGGCGGGTCTCCTGGAAGGAAGCGAGGCGGCGGCGGCGGCGGGGGATGCAGCCCCTTCCCCAGCAACAGGCGCTCCTCGAAGTGAGGCCACAGCTCGGGGCTCGGACAGGGCCTGGAAGCGGCGGCTCCGGCTCTTGGGACCGGAGCAGCGGACTCAGCACGCGGCCCGGAGGAGAAAAGCCCCGGTGCGGCGAGAGCGGGGAGCGTGGTGCCTTGTCCGGGCCTGGCTTTGTGCCGGCTCCTCGTTCGCAGGCGCTCGGAGAGCTGCTTTCCCGGCTGATCGGTGAGGGGTCCCAGGGACCTCAGTCGGGAATCGGCGTCCCTGCGACTTGGTGAGGCCTCCTTGGTCCCCCGGTCGAGCAACGCAGATCTGGCGCTCATTGCTCCTGCTCTTTTTCGATGGTGCAATCCTGAGCAGCGTCGCCGCGCTTCAAAGGGGGCGCTCATCTGATGAGGAGAGGCGACTGCGCAACCGCAGGGAGGAAAGGGCCGCCTGCCCGCGCCTCTGCTTGGAGGCGTCCCGGGGATTTGCGAGGGGAGATGAAGGGTGCTGGCCGAAGTGGGCCTCCTTTGGCCTCATTCGGTTGCTGCAGGGCTCTTCTGGTCTTCCAGATTCTCCCTGCCATTTGTTCAGACCGAGGACCCTCTTGCCTCCTTTGAGCGCTTCCGCCCCCTCCCCTTGCAAATACTTGGTCTTTTCTCTCCCTGCACACAGATGGTTGTTCTCTGCGGCGTCTCGTGCGCTCCAATGCACATGGTGTGATGGGGGGAGGGGGGGGGAGAGGAGAGACAGAACTCCTGGGTCCTGCTCCTGACTCATCTTGAGCAAGTCTGTGCTGCGGACGTGAAAGGGGAGCTCTCCCCTTGTGCTGGGGGTGAGCGCGCACACGCACACACTTTTCTTCAGTAACGGTTTCTAATCTGTGTGGAATTGTGCACTGAGGGGGTCACAGCTGGGCACAATCTGCCCTGATCCAGACTCGCCCAATATCATCAACATGGTGCTTGCTTGCATGCTTGTCTCCCTAAGCCCCACTGTGTTCCCTAGGCCGTTCTTGGAATTGTGACCTCTGTTACATGCAGACACCTTCCAGGAGCCACAGGTGAGAGCTGAGAGCAGGGGGGGGGGGCAAAAGTGGACAATAACCCCCAAAAGGAGCAGGACGTGCCCCTCCCTATACAGCCCATAACCCCTCTCCTGCAGTATATCAGTCATCCTGAACTGCCTGCCACAAGCCTCTTGGTGATTGTGGTGTTTTCTGCAATTAGAATAACTTGAACTAGGAAGTCATCAGACCCTCTGGTCGAGTTTGAATTGCTGATGTTCATGGGTCCTGGTGGCTTCCCTTCTTCATTTAAGACTGAATTTTGAAGGACCCAAAACAGTTAGTACACCAGGAAGTGCCATAAAACAGGCCACAAGTGTGCTTAGCAGTTGTTGTTTTTGGAGGGGTTGGTGCATGTGTGAGAGTCCCTGTGAATCCCTGTGAGTTATAAAGAGCTGCAAGACAGTCCTGTGAGGCATGCAAATTGTGAATTAGGGCACAGATGGTTCCCTCCAAGTTTCATTTTAAGATGCCTTGATAAAGATATTTATGGCTGCTTTTTTATTCTGCATCTATACATACCTTCCAACCTACCTACCCACCCCCCCACATTCTAACTGAAGGCTGGAACAGATGTTTGGTTTCCTGTTCCCCAGTGGAGAATATTTGTGCCTTCTGGCCTTTTGGGAGATGCTGCTGCTGTCACTGTTCTTGCTCAGGGTCTTCGTTTCCTGCCTCTTTGATGGCCTTACCTGGCCAAGTGCTTCCTCTGGCTTCCTTTCCACATCCAGTGGTCCTGGACTAGCACCTTCCAGTGTTGAGGGCTGCCAACCTGCTCTAATGGTGAGAAGATGGCCTTGGGTTTGTTTCTCATTTGGCAACTTGTCCAGCTTTCCAGGTTATTTTGGCAGCTTCCTTTGGAAACTGATTCTGCTGAAATGAGCAAGCACTTCTCTTCCAGGAGAGCTTGTTGACTCCAAGCCTGAGTGTTACTGTTGGTGATAAGATGCTGCATTTGGTGTGCAAAGAGCTGTTCAGGATGCTGTGTGTGGCTTCAGCACCCCTTCCTCAGAGCTACTGCTCTGGTGGAGATTGGGAGAACCCATGGCGGAGTTGGGGCAGGGAAACCCTCCAGAGCCCTCACTGCAGATTGCTTGAGTTGTGTCTGATCTCCAAGGAAGTGCCGTGAGCAGCCTTCCTTTGCCCCCTTAGGCTTTTGCTACAGAGACGGCCTCTTCTCCTCTGATTCCTGTCACCTCCTCCCTGAGATGCTTTGTGGCTTTTTTGTTTGGATCGCTAGCTGTCAACACCCCAGCATCGTTTTTTGCTCGCTAATCGCTTCTGGACACATTTCCCATTGCTGAGAAGTTCCCTTTTAATTTGTAAGCCTGGAAAGAGACAGGCCTGTCTGGATGAAGTTGTGTTTGGTATTTAGAAGCAGGAGAGAGTGAGGGCTTGAGTGGATCCATGCGGTGAGGTCTTTTCATGGCTGGTTTGTGCTCCTCGCAGTCTGGAGGACTTGCTTCTGCTTTTTGGGAAATCTTTTGGTCTGGTCTGGAGAAATGAGGCAATGCAGAGGCAAGCCTGTTCTAGGACCCCCGCAGTGGGCAGCTTTAGGGGGCTCCTCTGTACGGAAGCCGGCTTGCAGCTCTGGGGCCACAAAGGAGGAGGAGGCCATTTCCTGCTTGTTTGTACTTCATTCTGCCTTAGAATAATAGAATTGTAGAATTGGGAGGGACTGCAAGAGTCATCTAGTCCACTCTCTACAATGCAGAAATCACAGCTAAAGCATCCAAATCAGGGGGGCATTCTGCTTTGCATGCAGGAGATCCCAGGTTCAATCCTGATGGTGAGATTTCCAGTGCTGAAAACCAGCAGAGCTGCTGCTGGTCAGTTTTAGCAGTGCTGAGCAAGATGGACTTGGAATAAGGCCACTTCCGTTATTCCTAAGAGCCATGGGCAACACCAGTGAACCGCACCCAGGTCTGGCAGCTGGTGGGGGAGAGGGATAAAGGAGACCACAGTGGTGGACACCATCTGAGTGAGGGTCTCCCTAGACTAGTTCAGCCCCCACTGATGGGGGATATCTCAGGTGGCCAAGGAACCAAGGAGTGGGGAGAACACCAGCTCCTTCCTGGTTCAGAACCAAGACCCACTTTGCCCAGCACTTGCCTTGGCAGAAATCATGGTGGGCCAAAGGAAGATGGCTTGCTTTGTTGTTGGTTCGCCATGAAGTTTTAAGCTCTCCCTGAATTGGGAGGCTCTTGTTTCAGCTGACATCAGCACTGGCTGACCTGCTTGCCCCATGAATTTGTCTTGCACTTTTTAAAGACCTCTATGCTTTTGTTGGGTGGCGCTGTGGGTTAAACCACAGAGCCTAGGACTTGCCGATCAGAAGGTCGGCAGTTTGAATCCCCACGATGGGGTGAGCTCCCGTTGCTCGGTCCCTGCTCCTGCCAACCTAGCAGCTCGAAAGCACGCCAAAGTGCAAGTAGATAAATAGGTACCGCTCCGGCGGGAAGGTAAACGGTGTTTCCGTGCGCTGCTCTGGTTCGCCAGAAGCGGCTTAGTCATGCTGGCCACATGACCCGGAAGCTGTACGTCGGCTCCCTCGACCTATGCTTTTGTCCAAGTATTGTGTCTTTTAAAAAAATGTATTCTGAAAAATAAGAAGTCTGGGAAGAGACCAGCAAGTGTTTGCAAGAAAAGTGTCTTGGAAGTGGGGGAGATGGAAACATACTAGATTTCATATTGACTCAATATCTCTTTCAAATCTCCGCTTAGAGCAGCAGGGAAGGCATCACATCAGGTGAAAGTGCTGCAAAGAAGGGGAGGGGAGGGATGGGATGGATGGCTCAGCTGAGAACATCAATTTGACTTCTGGCCATGACTGCCTAAGCTTTATGGGAGGCTATTTTTAAAGTGTTTATCTGCAGTTTACCTCTTCTGACAAAACAAATACAGTGGTACCTCAGGTTAAGTACTTAATTCATTCCAGAGGTCCGTTCTTAACCTGAAACTGTTCTTAACCCGAAGCACCACTTTAGCTAATGGGGCCTCCTGCTTCTGCCATGCCGCCGCCGCTCGATTTCTGTTCTCATCCTGAAGCAAAGTTCTTAACCCGAGGTACTATTTCTGGGTTAGTGGAGTCTGTAACCTGAAGTGTATGTCACCTGAAGCGTATGTAGCACTGTACTTCAGCATGGCAGTTTCCCAAAGTGTTGCCCTGCTAGCCATGACAAAGAGCTCTGAGTTACTTGTGAACCTCACCTTGTTTTCTCTCTGAGAGGCTTTGATCCCCAGCCTGGTCTACCGGGAGCAAGTGGGACCTGGATGCTGTGCATGGGCAGCTTCCTTTTCTTCATGGGCCAAGTGGAGATGTTGGTTAATGGTGTACCTCACCAGGTTGTTGGAAGGGCAAATGTGATAGAGATTGCAAGCTCTCCTTTCAGCCTAGTGCTTGCAAACTGTTGCTCAGAATCCTTTCTCCACTGCTAAAGCAAAAACCAACCATTTTGCAACCCAGGCTTTGGCACCCAATCCCAAATGGCAAAGAGTTTCCTTCCTTCACAGAGCACAAGGTACCAATTCAATGGTGTCCCTCAAGGGTCTCCCCTTGGGTGACTTCTCTGAATCCGTGAGCCATCTAGCACCCAGCCATGCCTTTGGGCCCCCACTCTCAGGAGCATCTCTCCCACCATCACCTGAGCAGAGGCCCCAAAGACCCCTTAGAGGTGCTGCTTCCACTGTTCCATCCACCCCACTCGTACCATTTTGGGAATAGGCAGCTGCCAGTCTCTGTGTGGGAGGAGGGCAGAGACACCTCCTTTCTCAGCCTTTGAAACAGGAGGTGCCAGTTTCCGGCATGCAAAAGATGCAGGAGTCCCCGTGGGACACAGAGGCCCCCCCCCTGCGCCTGCATGCAGGTGCCCATCTGGCCCACAGCTGCACCCCCAGCAGGCAGGCCGGCAGGCCACAGCCATGCCTGTGGCTCTGGAACAGGACCAATGAACTTACTTTCTTTTCTCAAGGGGGACTTAGCTGCTCCCCAAAATCCACGTTTTGCCGGGCTTCTGCCCCTCTTAAGTCCGGGCCCTGGATTCCCACTGTCTTGGCATGTGGGGTCCTTAGTCTCAGGATGCCAACCCTCCCCCCTCACTGACCCATGGAAGGAACGGTGTCCGCCCCCCACCCCATGCGTGGTATTCTCATCCAAGGGCTAAGGACCTTCTTGTTAGAATTCCTGCTTCATGATTGCAGTCATGGGATTGTTGTCTTTTTTTTTTAAAAAAAATAATTTTTATTAAAGTTTCAATCAAAAATTAAACAACAAACAGAAACAAACAAAAAAAACATAAAAAGATACACAAATACACAATACAAATCCCAAAAAGAAAATAAAAAAACACACGAAGAACAAGAATCAACAAAAAAAACCCCCATAACAATTAAAAACAATATCTCTTTTCCATTTCCGTCTTTGAATTTACTTATTTTCTGGACTTCCTCATACCTCCCTCTTTTGTATTCCAATCCAAATTGTTTGTCCAGCAATTTCTTTTCCACTTTTTTTTTTATCCCAATCTTTAATTTTAATATAATATATAACTTCAACTTCTTTAAACCTAATCTTTGATCTTAATGTAATATAACATTGAAATTTTCCCTCTTAATTGTCAAGTTCCATTTCCTTAACCATCTTTAAACCTAATCTTTAATCTTAGTCTATCATTAACTTTAACCTGTTCAGCTGGAAACCACTTATATTCAGTCCAACATCTCTAACATTCTTTAATTTTACAATGTTTCTGAAGATAGTCTTTGAATTTCTTCCAGTCTTCCTCCATTGACTCTTCTCCCTGGTCACGGATTCTGCCAGTCATTTCCGCCAATTCCATATAGTCCATAAGTTTCATCTGCCATTCCTCCAGCGTGGGAAGTTCTTGTGTCTTCCAATACTTTGCGATGAGTATTCTTGCTGCTGTTGTTGCATACATAAAGAAAGTTCTATCCTTTTTTAACACCATTTGGCCGACTATGCCCAGGAGAAAGGCCTCTGGTTTCTTCAAGAAGGTATATTTAAATACCTTTTTTAGTTCATTATATATCATTTCCCAGAAAGCCTTAATCTTTGGGCACGTCCACCAAAGGTGAAAAAATGTACCTTCAATTTCTTTACATTTCCAACATTTGTTATCGGGCAAGTGATAAATTTTCGCAAGCTTGACTGGGGTTATGTACCACCTATATATCATTTTCATAATATTCTCTCTTAAGGCATTACATGCCGTAAATTTCATACCTGTGGTCCACAACTGTTCCCAGTCAGCAAACATAATGTTATGTCCAATGTCCTGTGCCCATTTAATCATAGCCGATTTTACCGTTTCCTCCTGAGTATTCCATTTCAGCAGCAAGTTATACATTCTTGACAAATTCTTAGTATTGGGTTCTAACAGTTCTGTTTCTAATTTAGATCTTTCCACCTGGAAGCCAATTTTCTTGTCCAATTTAAATGCCTCCATTATCTGAAAATAATGAAGCCAGTCTCGCACTTTGTTTTTTAATTTTTCAAAACTCTGCAATTTCAGTCTATCTCCGTCTTGTTCCAAAATTTCCCAATATTTCGGCCATTTGACCTCCATATTGACCTTTCTCAAGGCTTTCGCTTCCATTGGTGACAGCCACCTTGGGGTTTTGTTTTCTAACAAGTCCTTATATCTTATCCAAACATTAAATAGCGCTTTCCTCACAATATGGTTTCTAAATGCTTTATGTGCTTTGACCTTATCATACCATAGATATGCATGCCCATGGGATTGTTGTCTATCACATGACGGTGTATGTTTTTACTCCACAGTGTGGGAAGTGACGGAGACAGGATGTTTGTGTTACTGTGTTCCAGTGCTCTGTGTGTGTTTATATGTAAATAAGGTAAAGGTAAAGGGACCCCTGACCATTGGTCCAGTCGTGACCGACTCTGGGGTTACGGCGCTCATCTCGCTTTATTGGCTGAGGAAGCCGGTGTACAGCTTCCAGGTTATGTGGCCAGCATGACTAAGCCGCTTCTGGCGAACCAGAGCAGCGCACAGAAATGCCGTTTACCTTCCTGCCAGAGTGGTACCTATTTATCTACTTGCACTTTGACGTGCTTTCGAACTGCTAGGTTGGCAGGAGCAAGGACCGAGCAACGGGAGTTCACCCTGTTGCGGGGATTCGAACCGCCGACCTTCTGATTGGCAAGTCCTAGGCTCTGTGGTTTAACCCACAGCGCCACCCGCGTCCCTGTAAATAAAGTAGATTGCCAAAATGCTGAGTTGTTGAGGTCTGTTACGCAGACTGCAAGAACTCTGCAGATCCCTAAGTGTGCCGATGTCTGTTGGCATCAGTCGTTGTGATGTTCGGGCAGAAGAAAGCTTTTGAAGCTCCCGAACGATCGACCAGGAGGGAGGGAACATGCCAGTCAGGCATGTGTCTCTGCCAGGGTCCTACTCGAGAGTAGAATGAGCTCCTCACACTTCTGCCCTCCTGCCCTCCCTTTGCCCAACAGCCAGGCCTCTAGCCTGCACCGGCACAGCCTCCCCCACTGCCTTCTCTCCGCCTTTCTGTTCTGATCACATCAGTGCACTTTAAAAGCACTTCCTTTGGGGCCCCACAAAGACGCCCCCCCAGGCCTGAGCAGAGCAGCTCTCCCACGCTGGAACACTGCCTGTCAAGTTGCATTTCTTACAGATTCCAGCAAGGTGAAAGGGCAGGCAGGCAGACAGATCAGCTGCTTTGCAGGAGCCGGAGGTGGGCAGAGGGGCTCCTGCCCCCTCTCACAGAGCATGGGTCCTGCCACCACATCTCCTCTCTCGGCAGTTTGTGGCAGCAGGTACAGGGAAGAGGCCCTGGGTCTGCTGCCAAACAAGCATCCCCTTTCTTTTCCTTCCTTCCTTCCCTGCCACACTGAGCCTGTCAAGCTGACGCCCACCTGAAGAAACGCTTCTGAAAAACCAGATATACTTTCTGTCACTGGATGATGCTATTCTGGTCTCCATTTCCCCTTCCATGTTCCCCTCACAGGCTGAGGGATGGCAGGGGGCTCCTCCTCCTCCTACCCGGAGTCAAGTCTTTGCAGGACCAGAACCAGCTAGCATTATGCCAAGCAGTTTGGAGCAGCCCAGAGATGTTCATGATGAGCAGCCCTTGGGGGCAGGCTGAGTCAGGCAAGAGTTTTGCCTTGACTCCTGAAAGACCAGCAAAGCTTTGGAAGGGCATCACTTCAGGGGCTTGAATTGCAAGACTGAAGTCCTATCATCCGCTGCCTGAATCAGGATAGCAGGTTTTATTCCAGTTTTTGGATGTTAATTAGCTAGATGGTTTGTGAATGGTGACAGATTGTATTTTTTGTATGTCAGTTCCTTTTAATTTCTTCCTTCATGCTACACCTATGTGTATACACCCTGGAATCCTTTGCACTCCCAAGTATTTTACATTTATTTGCAGTAAATAAATGTATGAAACAAATACTTGCCAGCTGTCAGAAAACCTTCATCCCCGCCAAAAGCTGATTTGTTAAACTGGTTGGTCTTTCAGGTACTGGTGTGGAAATGTCAGCATTGCTCTGGCTTATCTGGTCAGCGCTGAGGATGTGCAGGGGGTGCTGAGACTGGGGTGGGGGGCCCTGCAGGTGCCCCATAGCCCCATGGTTGGGATGGAGCCTCCGTGGCTCCTGGTGCTTTTGCTGCAATAGACCAACATGACTACCCCTCTGGAAAATGGTGGGTGTGAACTCTGGGAGGTTCACTTCATTCACTGCAAGCCTTGCAAGGCAATAGTGTCCCCCTCCCCAAGGCTCTGACAAATACAAAAACCCACTGACAAATACCCACTGACAAATACCCCTTCCTCTTGGTTCATGTGGGAACCAATGACACTGCAAGCAATAGCCTCCAGAAGATCAAAAGAGACTACGAGGCTCTGGGCAGGAAATTGAAGCAATTAAATGCACAAATTGTCATCTCATCTGTCCTCCCAGTTGAACGACGTGGCCCAGGGAGAGAGGGAAAAATAGTGGAAGTGAACAGCTGGCTTCGCAAATGGTGTAAACAGGAACGGTTTGGATTCTTAGATCACGGACTGCAGTTTCTTGAAGATGGACTTCTGGCAAGCGATGGGCTGCACCTCACAACGGTTGGGAGAAATGTTTTTGCCAAAAATCTCAGAAACCTCATCAGGAGGGCTTTAAACTGACTAATGTGGGGGAGGGAGACAGTGCTCCTGAAGGTAGGAGTCTATCAATTGATGAAGATGATCATCCAAATGTCATAGACCAAATGGAACAAACAGCACGCAGACCTAGTGGTGGGAGGAAAAAATCCTTAAATAAGAGACACGGGGGAATGATTAATGGACTTCAGTGTCTGTACACTAATGCGCAAAGCATGGGAAATAAACAAGATGAGCTTGAGCTCTTGGTACAGCAAACTAAATATGACATAATAGGCATCACTGAAACCTGGTGGGATAAGTCCCACGATTGGAATGTAATAATCGAGGGATACAATCTATTTCAGAGAAACAGACCAGACAAGAAAGGAGGAGGAGTGGCGTTATATGTCAGGGATGTGTATACCTGTGAAGAGATCCAAGATTTAGAACCTCAAAGCCAAAGTGAGAGCATTTGGGTCAAAATTAAGGGAGAGAAGAATAACAGTGACCTCATTGTGGGAGTTTACTATAGATCCCCAAGCCAAACGGAAGACATAGATGATGCCTTCCTGGAATAGATGGCCAAGCATGCAAAAGGAAGGGAGATAGTAGTAATGGGGGACTTCAATTACCCGGATATTTGTTGGATGTCAAACTCAGCCAAGAGCATAAGGTCAAACAGATTCCTCACTGGCCTTGCAGACAACTTCATTGTCCAGAAAGTGGGAGAAGCAACAAGAGGAACAGCCATTTTAGATCTGGTCCTAACCAATGTTGATGACCTGGTTAGTGGGGTAGAAGTGGAAGGATCATTAGGCGCGAGTGATCATGCTCTTCTGAAGTTTACTATACAGCGGAAAGGAGCAGCCAAGCATACTAGGACTCAATTTCTTGACTTTAAGAAAGCCGACTTCATAAAACTTAGGGAAGTGCTGGGTGAGATCCCATGGACAGTAATACTAAAAGGAAAGGGAGTTCATGATGGCTGGGAGTTTGTTAAGAGGAGATAATAAAAGCACAACGTCAGGCAATACCAATGAGACGGAAACATGGAAGGTGCCTAAAGAAGCCAGGGTGGCTATCTAAAGAACTTTTAACTGAGTTAAGATTAAAAAAAGGATGTGTACAAAAAATGGAAAAGGGGGGAAACCACCAAAGAGGAATTCAAACAAATAGCCAGCACGTGTAGACACAAAGTCAGAAAAGCTAAAGCACAGAATGAATTCAGGCTTGCTAGAGAGGTTAAAAGCAACAAAAAGGCTTTTATGGGTATGTTCGTAGCAAAAGGAAGAACAAAGAAACAGTGGGGTCACTCAGAGGAGAAGATGGTGAAATGCAAACAGGGGACACAGAAAGGGCTGAACTCCTCGATGCCTTCTTTGCCTCAGTCTTCTCCGATAAAGATAAATGCCCAACCTGAAGAATTTGGAGCAAATGATTCAGCAAAGGAAACACAGCCCAGAATAACTAAGGAGATAGTACAAGAATACTTGGCTAGTTTAGATGTATTCAAGTCTCCAGGGCCAGACGAACTGCATCCAAGAGTTTTAAAAGAACTGGCAGATGTGATCTCAGAACCACTGGCAGTCATCTTTGAGAATTCCTGGAGAACAGGCGAAGTCCCGGCAGACTGGAGGAGGGCAAATGTTGTCCCTATTTTCAAAAAGGGGAAAAGAGAGGACCCAAATAATTACCGCCCAGTCAGTCTGACATCAATACCAGGGAAGATTCTGGAGCAGATCATTAAGCAAACAGTCTGTGAGCACCTAGAAAGGAATGCTGTGATCACCAATAGTCAGCATGGATTTCTGAAAAATAAGTCATGTCAGACTAACCTGATCTCGTTTTTGACAGAATTACAAGCCTGGTAGATGAAGGGAACGCAGTGGATGTAGCCTACCTTGATTTCAGCAAGGCATTTGACAAGGTGCCCCATGATATTCTTGTAAAGAAGCTGGTAAAATGCGGTCTTGACTATGCTACCACTCAGTGGATTTGTAACTGGCTGACTGACCGAACCCAAAGGGTGCTCATCAATGGTTCCTCTTCATCCTGGAGAAGAGTGACTAGTGGGGTGCCACAGGGTTCTGTCTTGGGCCCGGTCTTATTCAACATCTTTATCAACGACTTGGATGATGGACTCAAGGGCATCCTGATCAAATTTGCAGATGACACCAAACTGGGAGGGGTGGCTAACAGCCCAGAGGACAGGATCACACTTCAAAACGACCTTGACAGATTAGAGAACTGGGCCAAAACAAACAAGATGAATTTTAACAGGGAGAAATGTAAAGTATTGCACTTGGGCAAAAAAAGGAGAGGCACAAATACAAGATGGGTGACACCTGGCTTGAGAGCAGTACATGTGAAAAGGATCTAGGAGTCTTGGTTGACCACAAACTTGACATGAGCCAACAGTGTGACGCGGCAGCTAAAAAGCCAATGCAATTCTGGGCTGCATCAATAGGAGTATAGCATCTAGATCAAGGGAAGTAATAGTGCCACTGTATTCTGCTCTGGTCAGACCTCACCTGGAGTACTGTGTCCAGTTCTGGGCACCACAGTTCAAGAAGGACACTGACAAACTGGAACGGGTCCAGAGGAGGGCAACCAAAATGGTCAAAGGCCTGGAAACGATGCCTTATGAAGAACAGCTAAGGGAACTGGGCATGTTTAGCCTGGAGAAGAGGAGGTTAAGGGGTGATATGATAGCCATGTTCAAATATATAAAAGGATGTCACCTAGAGGAGGGAGAAAGGTTGTTTTCTGCTGCTCCAGAGAAGCGGACACGGAGCAATGGATCCAAACTACAAGAAAGAAGATTCCACCTAAACATTAGGAAGAACTTCCTGACAGTAAGAGCTGTTTGACAGTGGAATTTGCTGCCAAGGAGTGTGGTGGAGTCTCCTTCTTTGGAGGTCTTTAAGCAGAGGCTTGACAACCATATGTCAGGAGTGCTCTGATGGTGTTTCCTGCTTGGCAGGGGGTTGGACTCGATGGCCCTTGTGGTCTCTTCCAACTCTATGATTCTATGATTCTATGGCCTGTGCTATTCCTTGGGAGAGGCAGTTCAGCTGCCTTCTTTCCAGTGATGGAGGGGACTTGAGCAGTGGCCTTAGGACTGGCCCAACCACTCCAGGGGGTAGTCCAAAGAGCCAGCCCACCTGTCCAGCCCATTCATCTCCTTGGCTGGACCCCTGAATCAGGTCTTTCTGATGCAAAGCCCACCTGGGACTTGCTGGGGGGGAAGCACAGCTGAAGCAGACATTTTCTGGCAGGGCGGATGGTGGTGGCAGTGGAAGGAGAGTCCAGAGTTGGTATCAGAGATCCTCCCCATAAAGCAATTAGGCTTGGATTCCCTAAGGGAGATGGGGAGGGATGTTGGTGTGTGTGTGTGTGTGTGTGTGTGTGTGTGTGATGAGGCAGAAGCCATGGCTCTGTGATTCATTGTGATGCCTCTTACTCCACCTTTGATTGCAGGTTGGGTATTAACTGCCACCTCCAGATGAATGTTCCCAGAGGAAGCGGTGGCAGGAGAGACAGTTTTCAGGTGGGAGCTGAAATGTGGAAAGCAGGCAGGGAACCAGCGGTGCCTCTTTGAAGCACTGGAAGCAAGAGGTAGAAAATGGAGCTGAGCAAGACAAGCCGAGCCACAGGCCTTGGCAGTGATGGGCTTCCAAGGGCTCAGGCAGTCCTTGGGTCGTGATGCATCCAGGTGCCTCTCGCAGGTGTGTGCAATGTGTGTGGAGCTGTGACTATTGTGGCCATGATCTGTGTAGTCCTCTGCCTCCCCACAACCCCCCCCCCCCAAATGCTCTGACTGGTGGCTCAGACCTTTATCTGACGAGATGGTGGAGCCAGGAGAGGCCGATCCCCGAGGGTCTTCTGTGGGGTCAGCTGCTGTCCTCTGAGGGGCTTGGCTGTGATACCTGCCATGGTTGCAGCAACTGCCCTTTTCTCCCTTTCTTTTTTGTAATTGACTTTATAGTTACCCATGCCTTGTGGTTGCTGCTTGTCTTTTTTTACGCTGTAAGTCTCTTTGGATCAGCGATCCTCAGAAACAGCCTAGAAATGGCTTGGAGAAAGACATGGGGACAGCTTGAGCTTGGTGGGAGCAGCCCAAACCTTCTCCCATCTTGCTCTTGGAGTTGCAAAACATCCATGGAGGCACAGCTGCCGGCAGGCCTGTGGAAAAGCACGCTGCCTCGAGTATCAGGAGCTGTAAACTGCTTCCTCCTGGCTCTCCTCTGGGCTCCCTGCCTCACTTGGAGACGGCAGCTAGCAGGCCACCAGCAGCCAATGTTCTTTGGGGACAAGAAAAGAGCTCCGGCCTGTGCAGCAGGGGAAGAAACTGCTCCCCCCCGCCATCCCACCACGGCTGCCAGGAAATTGCAAGGATGGCTTGGGACACCAGGAGTGGCTCCTCTTGCTTGAAGAGAGACCTGGAAATCCAGAATGTGTTTTTGCACCCTGTTCCCTCAGTAATAATTCCCAGTTCAGGGCTTAGAGCACTTGCTGTGGGGGTAGCAGGAAAGCAGTTTGTGGGGTGGGCCGAATGAGGCTTGCTGTGGGGGGGTGTGAACCATTCATTATCTCAGGCCAGCTCTCTGCCTCCAGGGATTAGTCTTATTCTGGATGGCTGAGACTCGCCATTTGACCTGGGGTGGGCTTTCGGAGACTGGGCCCTGCTGAGTTGTGGGCCTTGGCTGCTGTTGAGTTGCAGTGCTGGGTGTGGGGTGGGCAGGACTCCCTATCCATGGGTGTTTGCAAGGGGAGGACAAAGGCTGCTTCTTTTCACTAACATCCGATGTGTGCAAAGCTGCGCCAGGACCTTTGCCCTGACCTGGATTTGCTGCGCTCCTTTTTGGCTTTTGATGCAGGATCAGGTCAGTGCAGTGAGAGCAGAATCTTGCACTGCAGGAAGAGGAAAAAGGTGGAAGCTGTGCAGGAGGCTTGGCCCCCAGTGGCTGCACACCCAAGGCCCAAACTGCAGAGTTTAACAGTTAGACTGGCTGGGACTTCTTGAAGACCCCTCCCCGCCCCATGGCAGGAGACCCTTGCCAGGGTCCCACAATTCTGTGGTGCCTTTAGCATGAGCTAATGATCAATAATCTTTTTGAGCCTGCAGAGTATTCAGTGTTGCAGGCAAAGTTAGTAAATGTGCCACGCTTAATGTGCTGCTTCCCTGACTCAAGCAACAGCAACCAGCTGCCTGGTTCTTGTCATCCGGGTGGTCATAAAGGCCAGGGAGTCCAACTCTAGGGCCTAGGCATAATTTGTACTGCTTTATGTAAAATCACTGCTTTGAGAGTGTAGTTGAACAGCATCTAGAGGACCACAGAGCCATTCCTCCCCCTTGCTCCAATTAGTTCTTACTGGAGGTTTTTTGTTTTTTTAAAATATTTTATTAAGGATTTTCTTGTTTTACAGAAGTGTAGTGCCTCGTGTATTTTTTTTCATGTAACATTTTTACAAATCCGTTTCATTTGTTGAGGCATTAGGGGGAGAAGAAAAAAGAAAGAAAAAAGAAAGGGGGGTGGAGAGAGGGAAGATGGATGGGGGCGGGGGCGGGTGGTGGTGTTTCTATTATGTTTAATGTATGTAGAGTTTGGTGTCAGCGTTGCTTGTGTTGTTCACTTGTGTTCCTTTGGTGGTGAGAGAGGTTGGGGTTGGCCCAGGGTGTGGTTGTTTGTTTGTGATTGGCTGTGGTGGTCTTTGTTTTCGTGTGTGAGTGAGGTGGGTGGGTGTTTTGGATCAGGTTAGCCATATTGATTTGTATGCTGTTGGTGGATTATTGTCATTGTCCTGTTGGGCTGTGTATGTGATAATGGGAGCCATACCGGGGTGAAGGCGTCTTCTTCTGTTTGTCCCCGTGTCAGTTTCAGTTTATTAGTTAATTTTTCTAGTAGGGCTGTTTCCCATACTATTTGGTACCATTGGTCCATGCTTACTCCTGACAGGTCTCTCCAGTGTCTGGTTATGGTGTTTCTGGCTGCTGAAAGTAGGTGGGTTATGAGTTCTTTGTGGTGTAAATGGGCATTGTTGTCTTGGAAGATGTTTAGTAGGGCCAATTCTGGGGTGATGTCTATTACTTGCTTAGTTATTTTACATATTTCTTGTATGGCTGTTGTCCAGAATAGTTGGATTTTGGGACACTCCCACCACATGTGGAGGTATGTGCCTGTGGAGGTGCACCCTCTCCAGCATTTTGGTGAGGTTCTGGGCGTATTAGCGCTAGTTTTCTTGGTGTTAGGTACCACCAGCAGGTGAGTTTCAGTGTGAGTTCTTTTCTTTTCGTTGATATGGATTTAAAGGGGGGTTTAGACCACATTCTGGTCCATTGAGTGGGGTTAATCTCATAGCCTATGTCATTCTCCCATTGTTTTTTGATTGCGTCTAGGGGATTTGCGGGATTTTGGAGTAGTATTTTGTATATTGCGGATACTGTCCCTTTACCGTTTCCCTTTGTTGTTAGGAGGAGGTTTTCGAAGGTTGTCAGGGGCCTAGTTGCTGCTGATTTTACTGTTGGGTTGTTTAAGAGGGCATGTAGTTGGTGTTGTGTTAACCAGGGCATTTGGGTGTCTTCTAGTTTGTCTTGTATTTCTTGTGTTGACAAGGGTTTGTTATTTTTATAAAAGTCTATTAGGCGATATAAGCCTTTGGTTCGCCAGGTTTTTATCTTGAGGTTTTGTGCTGCATGGTGGAATAATGGGTGGTACGCCAGAGGATTAGTGGGGATGGGGTTGGAGATAGTTTGCCTATTTGTGTTTTCCATGCTTTGAGCATGGTCTGTGTGTACCTGTTAAGTGTTGTGGGAATTTTCTTTAGTTTGTTTGGGAGGAGTGGGTATGTTGTGGTGCAGGTGTTTTCAATTGTGTCCCTCTCTAGGTGTACCCATTGTTTTGTCTCATCTTCTAGTATATATGGGATTATGTGGCGTATTTGGTTGACATTGTAATATGCTTCTATGTTGGGGATTCCCCATCCTTCTTCTGAGGTGGGGAGGTGCAGGTATTTGGGGCTTATTCTTGGTTTTTTATGTGAGAAGATGAAAGAGTGTAGTTTTCTCTGCCAACTGCGAAGTTGGGTTGAGGGGATCCAGATTGGGAGGGTTTGGAATAGGTAGGTTAGTTTTGGGAGTGTGATCATTTTGATCATGGCTATTTTGTCTGAGAGAGTGAAGTTCATGTTATTCCATCTCTTTAGGTCTTTGTTAATTTGTCGCCACAGAGGCTTGTAGTTGTGGAGGTACAATTTATTGAGGTTTCTGGTTATTTGTACCCCTAGGTATCTGAACTTGGTGTGGCAAAGTTTTATTTTGGTGACCTTCGTGAGTTCTTTTTGGGTGTGAGGAGGGGTGTTGAAGCACATAGCTTCTGACTTTGTAAAATTTACCTGTAGGCCCGACACCATTGCAAATGTGTTGAGTTCTCTGATTAGGGAGGTTGCTGTGCTTATGGGGTCTGGTGTTGTGACCATTAGGTCATCTGCAAAGAGCCCTAATTTATAGGTTCTGCCTTTTATTTCCACTCCCTTGATGTCTGTGGCTGCTCGGATGCGGATTGCTAGGGGTTCCAGAGCCAGGATAAATAAGAAGGGAGACAGTGGGCATCCTTGTTTCGTGCCTCTTTGGATAGCTATAGTGTTAGAATCCATATTGTTAGTTCTGCATTTTGCTGAGGCTTGGGAGTATATTTGTTTGAGGATTTGTAGGAAGTTGGGGCCAAATTTCATGTTAGTTAGTACTGCTAATGTGTATTTCCACTCAAAGCAATCAAAGGCTTTGAGGATGTCTAGGGACATAATTGTCAATGGGAGTTTGGTTGCCTTGCTGTGTTCGATCAGGTTCAGTAGTTTCCTGATGGGGTCTGTTATATTGCGGCCAGGGACAAAGCCAGTCTGGTCTGGGGCTATTAACTTGTGTAGGAAGATTTTTAGGCGGTTGGCCAAGATTGATGTGAATATCTTGTAGTCTTGGTTTATTAATGAGATTGTGCGGTATGATTCTACTTTGAGACTGTCTTTTAGTGGTTTTGGGATGGAGACTATCTTGGAGTGGGTCCAGGTTTTGGGGATGGGGCCCCCTTTTATGATGTCGTTGAATAGGCGGGTCATGTAGGGCATCAAGGGTTCTTTGAATTTCTTATAGAATTCTGCTGTGAAGCCGTCTGGGCCTGGGGCTTTGTGTGGTTTCAGGTTTTTGAGGACCGCATCTATTTCCTCTGGGGTGATAGGGCTGTCCATGAATTCCTGTTCCTCATCAGTTAGGGTAGGCATGGTCAGTCCTGCTAGAAATATTCTGATTTCCTTCTCTGGTGGGTTATGGGAGGTGTATAGGTTGGAGTAGAATTCTGCAAATTCTGAGGTTATTTCTTCGGGGGAGAATGTTATGTTGCCGTCTTTTTTGGTGATGCAGTGTATTCTTGTTTTGAGTGCTTTTTCCTACATCTATTTGCTAGTAATCTGGAGTTTTTCCCTCCATGTTCGTAGAAACGTTGTTTAGAGTATAGAATGTTGATCATTGTTTTGTTAATTTCTAGGGAGTCTAGTTCTCTCCTTTTTTGTTCTATAAATTTGAGGAGTTTTTTAGATCCTGTTTGTTTGTAGTGTGATGAGAGGGCTGTGATATCTTGTTCTATTTTGCTAATTTTTGAGGAGGTTTGTTTTTTAAGGAATGTTTTATCTTTTATGCAAGCTCCTCTGGTGACCGCTTTCATTGCGTCCCATAGGAGGGGGGTTGTTATATTGTTTACATCGTTTTCTTTGAAGTAGTTTTGGAGGGTTTTTGTGAGACTCTCTCTAATTTGTTTGTTTGTAGTTAGGATGGGACTGAAGGACCATGATGGGGTGGTTTGTGTTCCTTCTCCTATTTTAACAATGACTTCTACTGGGGCGTGGTCTGTGATTTTAATGTTACCTATGTTTGTTGATTCTACTGAGGGGATCAGACCCTGTGTGAGTAGAATGCTGTCCAGTCTGGACACTGTATCATGGCGTCCCGATTGGAATGTATGGCTGATGTCTCCCGGGTTTTGCTCACCCCAAATGTCGTAGAGACCCCTTTTTTTAAGCATTTTTAGTAACTTGTAAGAGTTCCTGGTTGTTGGGGGTTTCCTTCGGAGGAAGGTTGCCCATGGGGTTGTGGGGTGGATATCTTTCAGGGATATACCTTTCATATTTAGATTGAGGTCCCCTCCTAGGATTGCTTCCCCTTCAGAGAAGGAGAGGAATTTGTTTAGTGTCTTCTGGAAGAATTCTAATTGTTTCGTGTTTGGGGCATATATGGAGCCGATTGTCAGTTTGATTTTGCCATCTAGTGTCCCTTTAGCGAAAATGAATCTGCCTTTTTGTCCTTGAGGACTGTTGTGGCAGTGAAGTTCAGGTCTCTACTGAGTATTATGGCTACACCACGAGCTTTCCCTGAGCCTCGTGCGACCCACTGTTGACTGAAGCGGGGGGTCGCTCAGGAGTTTGCTGCCTTTGGGTGGGTTGTGTATTTCTTGTAGGAAGGTGATGTGTGGTTTCATGGTGTTTATGTATGAGGTGATGCGTTTTCTTTTGATGGGGTTTCCCAGCCCCCTCACGTTTAATGTAATTGCTTTTAGGTTAGCCATCTTGCTTATCTATTATGTGGGGCGATTCCCTGCCAACCCGTTCGGGTTGTCTTGTGTCTCTCTCTTCGTGTTGTTTAAAGAACCAGTGGGGTTGCGCTGACCTAGGGTGTGGTGGGTGGGGGGCTAATGGGATTAGAGTAAGATTTGGGTTAAAGAGTAGGGGGTAAGTTGTAGAGAGTTTCCTATATGTAGTCATATAGGTGTTTGTTTGGGGTATTTTGGGCCATCTGGCATTTAGCCAGTTGGTCCTAGGTCTCAGCTGGTGTGGAAGGCCGTGTTCAAGGACAGGCCATCCCCCCTGTTGTTTGCGATAGGGGGTGATCAGTGAGACAGTGTGAAGTGACTTTGTAACGTCGCTGTCAGGTATAAGGTTCATAAGCAATGTTGCCAATGTTATGAGCAACATTGTTGGTGTGTTGGGGTGGGGATGTGGGTGCTGGTACGCTCTGGTGCCACCATAGTGCTGGTTGGGTATCAGATTTTAGCCTGATTGTGGGTTGTGTTATTCAGGTTGGAGGAGTTGTTTTTCCCTAGTATGGAGTATGGGGATGTTGAAGGTGTGGGTGATGGGGAATGTGGTTGAGGTCGTCTGGACTGGTGTTGGGGTGGGGATTCCTGTGGGGGTGCGGGGCTGGGGGGATGTTGATGGTGTTAACTAAATCTATGTTTTTTTGGGGGGGGAGAGGGGGAAAGGGGGGGGGAAATCACCAGTCCTTCAGTTTGTGGTTTTTCCTGGTTGCTTCATTCAGCTGGGGTTGTTGTTGTTGTTGTAGGGTTGTCCATCTGCGATGAATTGGTTTGGTTAATCTTGGTCTGGTTTCTTGCGTCGTATGGCCGGCGGGACGGTTCTGAGCATGATGCTTGCCTGTATTGGTTTGCCTTGTTGTGCCGCTTCTGTTGTTTCTTTTTCTTCTGTACCGTCGTCCAGTTGTTTGCTGTTGTTTCCTCGTGGTTGGGGCTGTCACTTGGTGGGTTTGTCGGTTGCCATTCCGGTGGGAGGTCGAGTTCAAGGTTCTTTAGTATTTGCAGGGCCTCAGGTATGTTGGTAGCCATGTGCTGTGTTGTATTGGTTGTTACAATGAGGCGGAAGGGGAAGCCCCATCGGTATTTGATCCCTGCTTGTTGGAGACGCTGGGTGCATGGGCGCAGGCTTTTCCTCCGGTTTAGGGTATCCTGAGATAGGTCCTGTAAGGCCAGAATGGGGGTTTCTCCATATCGAAGGTTGGTTGAGTTTCTGAGGTGGTTCCATACCTCTTCCTTCTTTTTGTAGCGTGTGAAGCATACAATGATGTCTCTTGGGGGGGCGCTGGGTTTTGGCATCGGTTTTAGGGCTCTGTGAGCCCTCTCCAAGTCATCTGCCTCAAGTTTCAGGCTTGGGATTGTGTTTTTCAGCCAGCGTATAATTAGGCCTGCTGGGCTTTTCTCCTCTGTTTTTTCAGGAAAGTTGCGGAAGTGGATGTTACAACGTCTATTGCGGTCTTCAAGGTCGGCTTGCTTAATTTTCATCTCTCTGTGTTCTGCTTCCATTTGGTTTACCAGTTCGTCCAGTTTCTTGTTCACACGTGCGTTCTCCTCCCGGTATTGCTCTATTATTCTTTCTTGCATTTGGTTCTTGTTCTCTAGAGCTTCCACTTTGGAGGTTAGATTGTTGATTAGTACCTGCATGGGAGCCATTGTGGCCTTCAGTGTTTCTTCTAATCGTGCTTCTAATCTTGCTTCCATTTCCCTCAGATCTCGTTTCGTTATTGGGTGGTCATCATCTTGAAGGGGAGTTACCATCTTAGCATTGTTTGCCATCTCCCTGGTTGGTGTCATCTCGGTCTCCCTGATGGTTTTGGTTTGAGGTTGGCTTGGCGTCCTCTTGGGGTAGGGCGTGTGGTGGTTAGGAGTTGTGGCAGTGGTGATTCCTGGGTATTGTTGGGTTGCTGAGCTGATCAGGCTTTGTTGGCTGGTGGCTTTTACAGAGCGTTTGGATTAGGTGGTCATTTGTGTCACTTCTAGCCTGTGTTTTAAGAACTCTAGGGCTTTTGTAGATGCCTCAGCAGTGCCGCCGAGGCGGGGGGGGGGGCAGGTAAGCAGAGATGGATAGACTAACGGACAGACAGTTCATATAAAGGGAGGGGGGTTAGCAGGTAGAGATGCAAGAGATTAGAGGGGTGGGGCCAGGGGAAATATGTGTTTAGGAGGGGGTTGTATATGCCCCAAAGGGGTATTGGGGTCCAGTTAAGGTGGAAGTTGGGGTTGGGAGTGCGCTCAGAAACAGAGACAGACAAATAGGCTATATGTAAAGGGTGGAGGGAGAAAAAAGGGAAGAAGAAGAAGAAAGAAAGAAGAAGGGGGGAGGCAGGGGGAGAGGGAGAGTGGAGTAAACGAGAAGAGAGAGAGCGAGACAAACAGAGAGTTGAAAGAGAGAGGAGAGACAGTACAGTAATATCAGCGGTATTAGAATGCAGCAGTAGTTTTAGCTATAGTATGAGGGGGGCAAATTATGATAGGGTGATATGAATGTGTGTATGTGTTTCCTTTAGGGGAAGGGGGGATGGAGAGAGGGAGGAGGGAGAGAAAAGGAGAGGAGGAGGGGGAAGGGTGGGAAAAGGAAGGAGAAGAAAAGAGAGGGGGAGAGGGGAGGGAGGGAGGGTGAGCTGCTGCAATGGTATGGGGGAAAGTCTTATTTTAAAAGAGGGGGTGGGGGGGGAAAGGGCTCGCCTCTCAAAAACAAACTGACGAACAGACTAAAAAGGGGGGGTTGATTTTAAAAAATAAAAGGGATAGAAAACAAAATTGGGGATGAAAAATGAAAGGTGGGATAAAAGGAAAAAATGAGGAGGGGTGAAGAGAGAGAGGGGAGAGCAAAAGGAGAGAAAATAAAAAGGGGGAAGTTGAGGGGAGAGTATCAATAGCAATAGCAGTGATATGGAGGAAATTTTTGTTTTAAAAGAGAGTGGTGGTCGTAGCTGGGGGCGAAAGATTCCCCCCCTCAAGAACAAGCCAACAAGTAGAAAAGAAAGGGCTTTAAAAAGAGAAAGAGGGGGGAAATAATAATAATAATAATTGTATGGGGTTTTTTAAAAATAATAATAATAATAATAATAATAATAATATTTCCCCCTAATTATTGTTATTATTTTTTGTTTGTAAAAAAGTAATTAAAAATGTACGGGTAAAAGATAAAAATGAGAATTAAAGGTAAAAAAAAAAGGGGTTGTCTTTAGATAGATAGATAGATAGATAGAGCTTTTTATTTTATTTTATTTTTAAAAAATGAGTAAAGTATAGGTAAAAGAGGATAGGTAAAAGAGAGTGGAAAGTCTGGGGCTTTCCCAGGAAATCGTTCTTACTGGAGTTCATGAAATTTTGGCATGTTTGCTTTCTACCTTTGGAGACTTTGCAGTCAAAAGGTGGGTGATAAATTTTATTTTAGTAGTCAAGCAGAGTATTCCAGAAGGAAATGGAGCACAGAAGCTGCTGAGCTTGGCTCCCAAATTCACCCCCTCCTAAGTACAAACCTTTCTGCCCCTTGGACCCCCTCCTTGCAAGTTGATGGCTCTGTTGGGGCAGGCTCTTCTCCTGACCAGAGGTACCTGCTGAGGCTATATCAGCCATCGCCTATATATGTGTTATCCAGCACAGATAACAATTCTTAGGGAAACTGGCAACATTTTGTTGCATTCTGGGAATGAGAAGCAAACCTCTCTTTAAAGGTGCCAGTAGCCACCTCTAGCTCTGGGTAGGGAGGCCCTTTTGACCCCACATCCTGGAAGGATGTGCTTGCCCACAAAGGAAAGTAGCCATGGGGCTTGGCTGAGTTGGGGAACATGGCCTGCCAGGGCCAAGATCTCCGTCCAGGTCTCTCAAAGTGGCCACCTTTGTGCTGCCTGCTTCCATCACTCCAGAAGTACCAAGGTGGCATCTGCCTGGAAGGCTTTGTGGTTTTGTGTGTGTGAAGTCTTACAACAAGCGGAAAGGAGAGCGCTCAGTATCCTACTCTTGGTCAGTAAGGCACAGCTTCTCTGAGAGGCACATGAGCACACACACACACCCTTCCATTTAAGCAGCAACTCAGAAGCAGTGTCTTAAATTGGCTGGGCACTCCTGTCAGAGAGGACCCCACCACTAGCCCTTGCTTAAACCTTCCTCTATTTCCCCCTTTCTGTAATGTGGGTCAGGGTTATGTTACCCCCATATTGCAGAGGGAAGGGCTGAACCCACAGCCACCTAGCGACAGAACCAAGATGAGAACTGGGGGCTTCCTGATGTAGCAGAGCAGAGAAAAACTTAAGGAAGCATTTTTGTAAAAAGCACATGCCTAATTTGAAGGGCTGTTGTGTCTTTGCAGGTTTTCAAAACCCAGCGACAAGTAGGCCACTGGAAGCCTAGTTCTCCTCCCACCCTACCCTTCAAACATCCTGATCAATATGGATCTCTGGTGCCTCAGTGATGGTTCCAGTTTGAAGCTGCAGAGCTTTCTTATCAGAGTGGTGGTGGGAAGAAGCAGTGCCTGCATCCCTCGCTCCCAAAAGGCTTGTCCTGATTTCAGTCAGCCTTTTCCCATGGCGCTGTCTCCAAAGCATAAATCTGAGGCTGGCTCTTGCATGGATTTATGCAAATCCTCCTCTAACTTCTCAGTCTGCTGCCTTTGTTCCTTACTGGATGTTGGCAGACATTGGCTGCCTCCCCCACCCCACCCCCAAGCATGGAAAATAAGCACAGAGTTGTCTTACTTTCCTTTGTTTTTATAGTGACTGGATAAATGATTGTGATGCATAGGAAAAAGAAAGGCACCCTCTCCCTCATCTGGCTTTAGGGCTCCTCTGTAGGTGGTCAAGCGGATAAAAGGTTTGGTCAGTTCAGCGGTGAGTGTTTTCAGAAGACAGGTGTTGGATGCTCAGGCTGGCTTGCAAAGCAAATTCCTCCTCTCACATAAGTGGTGGAAGCTGATTGCATTTGCTATCGGGCAATTTGCACAACCCAGTTAGGGTGGCTAGTGGGGTGCATGTGGAGAAAGAGGCCCATGCGCCAAATACGTCTCCATGCGCCTGGGCTGGGGGTGGTACGTGATGAGCATGCTGGTGGTGCTTCTTCCGCCCTGTGCTCTGGCTGGGCAAATCCTGCATGACAGGGAGCTGTCTGCCTGAGAGCCCCTCTGCCTTAACTCATAATTCCATGCAGACTCCATTTCACAAGCCTGTCCATGGCTGCTTCAGCCCATTCGCTCCACGGAGCTCAACCTGCTTTGCTGACCTGGCAACACATTCCTATTTTATGTATCAGTTCCAGGCATGATAAACCTCCCAGGCAGAACATCTGTTCTCGCCTGCAGCTTGTAGAGTCATTTGAGGGCTTTGCTATCTTCCTTTTAGTGATGCGGGGGGGGGGGGGGCAGCTCACAGACCCGGAGAATGATACTTTGTGATGGCAAAGAGGCATGTATCTTTTGTGGGCCAGACGTGGAAGTGTCCTACATGCAAAACATCTCTGATTTCATTTTTTTAAAAAAACCAATTCAGAAATCTTCCCAACACATCTCTCCTTCCTTCCCTTCTGTCATCCTGCTTTCCTAAGATGAAAACTTCCACTTGGAGAATGCAACAAAAGGTGAGTCTTCCTGTGTGCCAATCCTGCACTTCCTTCCCTAAAAGGTGTTGAACCTCTCAAAGCGAAAAGTGTGCAACATCAGATTTCAAAGGGGACAGGAGGGAGGGAAATTGGAGGCTTCCATTGGGTGGAGCTGAAAGGTCTGCCTGGTCCTTGAATGCCTATGTTTCTCCAAGCATCGCCACCTGGGTGTGTTGGAGACAAGTTCAATGAACTGCCTGATTTTTATATTTTCAGTCAAGGTGGGCGCAGCCAATGCTCTTCCTCTGACCCAGCAGTTTTTGATGCTGCCTTTACTTGGCAAAGTCTCTTCTCATGATGATAAGAGGCCAGAAGCCTCCACCAGTTTGTTGTTTCTGCTTAACAACAAGCAGAAATAAGAGCTCACTACTATTGCAACCATTTCATTTATCCTGATGAAAGGGTTACCTAAAACTGGCTTTTGATTGCATTGTTTGGATGAACAAAGCCGATCTGCAAATGTTTCTTTCGATTTTCATGGAGAAAGCAACTTCTTCGGCGATCACTCATAGCCGAGTGAGTCCATAAGTGACAGTGGAGGCCAATTCTGGATCCACATGTCCTTCTAAAGTGGGGACATTGGTTTCTGGGTCCGAGTTGATTACGGTGTGGGTTTGCCAAGCGTGTCTTCTTCTTAGCCTGTTTCTCCCTTTCGTCCTGAATTCAAGTGTCTTCAAAGTCTATGACACCTTTGGTAAAGGCTGTTGTCCAACTGGAGCACTCGCAGGCCAGTGTTTCCCAATTGTCGGTGTTCATTCTACATGTTTTAAGATTTGCCTTGAGTCTTTAAACCTCTTTTGTTGAACACCAGCATTATACTTTCCATTTTTAAGTTCAGAATAGAGTAGTTGCTTTGGAAGACGATCATCAGGCATCCGCACAACACGGCCAGTCCAACGAAGCTGATGTTGAAGAATCATTGCTTTGATGCTGGTGATCTTTGCTTCTTCCAGCACACTGGCATTAGTTTGCCTGTCTTCGCAAGTGATGTGTAAAAAATTTTTGAGACACTGTTGATGGAATCTTTCAAGAAGTTGGAGATGGCGTTTATAAGTTTCATGTTTCACTAGCACACAGTAAGGTTGGTAGTACAATAGCTTTGTTTGTAAATAAGCATTTTGGTTTCCCTGCAAATGTCCCTCAAGCACTCTGCACTTCAATCAGAAGAAAACTGCACTTGCAGAGCTCTGGCAATGCTGGATTTTGGCATCAGTGTCGGCCCTTGTGGAAAAGTAACTGCCCAGGTAGGAGAAGTGATTGACGTTTTCCAATGTTACACCGTTGAGTTGGATTTCTGGCGCTGCAGAGGGGTTGTTTTGTGCTTGTTGGTGCAGCACTTTGGTTTTTTGGATATTGAGCGATAGGCCAAGCTTTTCATAAGCGTCTGCAAAGATATTTAGGATGGTCATCCTCTGAGTGTGCACACACTATGTTGTCATCAGCATATTGAAGCTCTATGACAGAAGTTATGGTAACCTTACTCTTTGCTTTCAGCCTACTCAAGAGCTTTCCATCTGTTTGATATATGATTTCTACCCCAGTGAGGAGTTTCCCTTCAACAATGTGTAGGATCATGGCAATGAAGATAAAAAATAAAGTTGGGGCAATAATACAACCCTGTTTAACACTTGATCTCACTGTGAATTGTTCACTGAGAGCCATTGTTATCTTCAGTTGTTGCTGTCATATTATCATGGAGAAGCTGAAAGATGTTCACAAATTTATCTGGGCAGCCGATTTTCAGCCGGGCACGCATGGGCTGGATCCAGGCTTGCAGGGTCTGCTCTGCAGTTTAATCTTTCTTTGCCTCACTGTGGGCAACAGAAGGATTTTAAACTGACCAAGCAAGAGTCACAGACTCCTGATTTTCTAACAGTTACAGCATCATTGCTCATCCAGAACACCTGCCCTTTTGCTTGGATGAATTTGGGGCTGCTTGATCTGTAAATTGTTTTTTCAGCAAGGCTGGTTTTGTTTGGAATAATAGGTTTGGGTTGGTTTCCATGACCTGTTTGTACCTGGATATGATCATAGAGAAAGCTGACTGCATGGGATTTGGGTCTGGTGTGAGACTGGCCTTCTGTGAATCTAGGGTGGTATATCGGTGAGGGGTGGGGGTGTAATTGCATGGCATTTGCCTTGTAAGTATCCCAGGGGACAGCAGGCACTCAAATGGGCCATCCACAGAAACTTGTTGGTCACAGAGTGATGCACCAGGTAAAAATGCCTGCCTCTTCCTTCTACCCACCCAGTGCTCACCTGGTGGGAGAAGGTGCCTGTTGCTCTATCATCACAGACCCACAACCCCTGGTTGCTAAGCAACTCTGACACCTCTGGACCTTTTGCTGCCAGCGTAATTTAATTCTCTTCCTCCTCCATTTCTAAATCAGAAAGGGGAGGGGAAGCATCTCTCCATCAAAATGAAGATACCATCTATGCTCACTAGACCAGCCTATTTCTGCAGTCAGGCTCAGCTGTGAGCGAATGCAACAAAGGCCTTCTGAGCATGTGCATGTTTGGGGTTCTAGGACAAAGGGTTGGGGTGGAGAGCATCAACCCCCGGCATCTCTAGGTAGGGCTGAGAATGTTTCCAGCATTGGCTGCAGCTCCAGCACATCTCATTCTGGAAACGGTTTTTTGTTTTTTGTTTACTTTTGACAAAAAAAAGGTGAGAGTTGTGTAAAATTAGGCAGATGGGGTTTCTGAGAGGGGGTTTCTCCAAACCCCACCTGGAGGTGCTGTTGGGGATTGAACCCAGGACCTTCTGCATACAAAGCAGGTGACCTGCTTCTGAACCAGACTCTTCCCTAAGGGATAGGGTTGGCCTAGGGATCTGTGCTGAGCAAGAAGGTTGCTGCAGCTGCCACGAGTTGCCAGTTGTTCCCTGTCTATCAGCGGGAGGAAGAGGTGGCAGGGATCTCCATAGCTCTGCTTCCTGGTTGTGGCTTGGTGTGGTTTCCAAGGCACCCTCTTGTGGTGGTTGTTATTAAGCACTGGGGGACTTCAGATAGAAAGCCAGTGTGCATTGGTTGCTCTCCTGAAGCAAGAGGAGCCTTAATAACAGCTGGGTAATGAGGTTATCAGAAACCGCAGCAGATGTGTCAGAGGAGCTCCCCCGCCCTGCTTGGTTTCCAGAGCAAATCACCCCCAGGGTGCTTCCCTCATTAGCCAGAAAGGGACTGGCAATCTATTTTGGAAGGGAAGCCCGGGGCAGAGAGACCCACTTAATTTGTCAGTTGCTGGATTTCTCTGCCGGAATCTGCCGTCTGATGCTGTAGCCTGGCCACAGAATCAAAGGCCCAGGCGTGAGGTGTCACAGGAAGATGCCTCTCTCTTTGTGCCCCAGAGCAGCTCTGAAGCTCCTTCAATCCCTGCCAGGTTCTCTCCTGGCCACTCAGACCCACTGGAAATCTGACTGGAAATGGGGCACATCATTCAGTGTGTTATAAAGAAGCAATTGATATCCTGGGCTCAGAACTTAAAAAAGTATTTAATAATATCTTTGAAGGGGGGAAAGCCCCAGACACTTGGAAACTAGCGGAAATAGTAGTGATTGAAAAACTGCAAAAGGACCCTACAGAGGTCATACAGACCAATTAGCCTATTAAATCAAGACTATAAGATATTTACAAAGATCCTGGCAAGGCGACTGGAAAAGGTACTACCTAAAATAATTAAGGAAGATCAATATGGATTTGTTAAGGGAAGATACATAGGCCATCCTATAAGAAATGTGTTAAACGAATTAACAAGCAGGTTAAAAGGAAAATTGGTGGTCTTAAAATTGGATTTGTATAAGGCCTTCTTATGGAATATTATGCGGGAGGTAGGATTAGGAGAGAACTTTGTGGAAGCAATCCAGGAATTGTTTAGAGAAGGGAAGGCTGTGGTCAGAGTGAATGAGGGGGTTTCAGATCAATTCAATATACAAAGAGGAGTTAAACAAGGATGTTCACTCTCACCACTACTGTTTGCATTGGGTATGGAGTACTTGGCAGATAGAATACGAAACTCAGTAAGGATAAAAGGATATAAGAAAGGAAAGGAAGAAATAAAGTTAAATATGTATGTAGATGATATCTTATTATTATTTACAAACCCCTTAGAGGGTGTAAGAGAATTTATGATAATCTTGAAGGACTTTAAAGAGGAGTCGGGATTGGGAGTAAATCTGGAGAACTCTTAAATTTTATTTTGGGATGTAAATAAAGAGGAGAAGAAGGAAATTGCAAAAATGACAAAGATGGATATCAATAGGAAAAAAATTAAATACTTGGGGGTAAATATTATTAAAAATATTGCTAAGATTCCAGATGTAAATTACAAAGAAGCGTGGAGGAAGATCAAGAAGGACATAAAATCATGGGAAAATAAGAATTTATCAATTCTAGGTAGGATTAGAGCAGTTAAAATCTTTCTGGTACTGAAATTTTTATATTTATTTCAAGTAATTACACTGCCCATTAGGAAAATATGGTTCAAAACATGGAATAAGGTATTTAAAAATTGGATTTTTGGAAGCAAAAGAGTTAGAACCCCAGACATAGTAAATTATTCATCTCAAGAAGAGATGGGATGGGGAATACCGAACTTAGAATTTTATTATGAAACATTCCAATTGAAAAATCTAATAGATATTGGATATAAGGATCGGATTAAATGGATAAGGCTGGAGAATGAAATAAATGAAGGAATAGGAAGAGAAGGGATATTTAATAGAGATATTAATACGGCTTTTAAGAAGAAAATAGGACCAAGGAAAACTGCGTTAGGAATTTGGAAGAATTGGAAAACAAAATGGATGCCAACATACTCAAGGTGGACACCATTAAAATATATGCAGGAGAGTCAAAGGGAACCGGGTTGGTGGAAGAAATTAGAAGATCAGGGATTTTATAAATTAAAAGATATGTTTGATGAAGAAGGGAATTTAATTACAAAAAAAGTTTTTTTAGAAAAAATAGGAAAACAATATTGGCTGAAAGTGCAAGGACTTTATGATTTAATAAAAACGGAAAGAATAGAGGAAACGATGAGGACAGAAATGAAAATAGATATGGTGCTGAATAAAAGACAAATAACGGAGAAAGGGATAGCAGGGGTGTTATATAAACTGATGATAAGCGACAAAGAAAGAATGATAAGGATAATCCAGATTAAATGGGAGCAGGAAGGTACGATCCTTCCAAACACGGCTCAAGAACTGATGAAGAATATAAACAATATTAAAATAGAAAAGTATAAAGAATTAAGTAGAAATTTTTTATTAAAATGGTATAGAACTCCGGCACAAATGGCGTATATAGTGAAAGGGTTTAGTCCCAAATGCTGGCATTGTGGTCAGGAAAAAGGACTATACTGTATTCACACATGTGGAATATTGGCAAAAGGTTATAAAGGTAATTTCTGGACTATTTCAAATAAACATAGAAGTTAATAGGGATTTGTTATTTTCAGGAATACTGGGAAATAACAAAGTAAAGAGTAATAAGCAAGAGTTGTACAAGATTATGATTCTAGCTGGAATGGCAGTTATTGCTTTGGGATGGAAAGAAAAGGCCAAATGGAATATGGAAAAATGGAATGATTATGTTTTTGAATACGTACAGTCAGAAATATTCGCACAGATAGTGGTAGAGGATAGATGGGAAAGTAAATGCCAAAGAATCACAAATAAATGGGCATTTTACAGGAACTGGATAGAAAGAGGGGAAGCCAACCCTAACATACAAGCTCGAATGAACAGACTGTGTACAAGGATAAAGATATGAAGAAGGAAGGCCTGACAGGGTGGGGAGGGCTGGAGTGGGAAGGGAGGGGAAAGAAAAACGAAAAGAAAAAAAGAAAAAGTAAACCGGATGGTATTTTGAATTGATTTTGTTATGTAAGCCTTTTTTTCAGAAACCATATATATTAATGTTATGTAGTTAGGCATTGTAGTATGAATGAATTTTGTTCTGCATTCTTTGTTTTATAGAATATATATAATAATGATATGTTACTAAGCAAATTTAATAAAACAGAAAGAAGAAAAAAAAATCATTCAGCGTGTTAGGGGTGTCCTGTTCAAACATTCCCTGTCCACAAGGATGTTTTCCTCACTTTGTAGTCTGTTATTGTGGTCTTGGACCCTCTCATCTCCCCTTGACTTTTGCTCATGGGAGGAGGGAGAAGGAACATGACTTGCTGAGGCTGGCTGGGATGGGAGCGGGGAGACAGCCTCCAAGACTGTGAGCCTCAGTGCCTGTGGCCAAGGATGGCTTGGCTGTTCTTTGGTGGCTCTTTGCCATTCCCCCAAGGAGTCTGCACTCCACTTGGTGTGACGCTGCTTTGGCTTTCTGGGCATCAAAAACACATGCACATGGATATCCACCTTGTGACCTCACACAGCTGAAGTTTCCGGCTTGTTTCTCTACAGTCATGAGGGCTGGGAAATTGGTGAATTTCTAAATGTTCTTTGTGAAATGCAAACGCTGAGTTTCTCAAGGTGCTAAATTCTGGTCCAGGCCCCAGACAAAGCACAGTGGGTGATGACAATAATGGTATTTGTACATTGGACTCTTCCCTGTTCCCAAAGATTCAAGCATGCACGGCTGTGCCTAGGTGGACACTTGCTCCCTGCTCTGCACACGTTGCAAGAGCTGCTTATTCTCTCTGCCGAAGAACCTGCTGGGCTCCCTTCCAATGGTCTCCATTACAAGGAGAGCGTAATGAGGGACCTCTCTGCCTTCCCTCTGTCCTGCCATGTGCCAAGTTCTGGTGTCTGCATAATGGATGAACTGCCGTAACTCTACTCCAGCTTCCGCCATCACCACTTCAGCCAAGAGTTTGTTGGCACACCAAGGTGAGGTGTTGGGAGAGATCCACCCTTCAATTTCTTCCCTTCCAGACTCAGCAGAAACAGAAGGCAACTATTTATCGTAGGACCCCTCCTAGCCATCACTGCCTTGCTCTGAGTTCCTGGTCTCCTATGCACAGTGGGCTTTGTGGGGCGGGGCTCTAGGGGGCAAGTGCTGATGTTTGCAAGGCCACCTCAGGCTGCAGCCAAGCCCAGCATTTCAGGGTTACAAATGAGGGAGCCTTCCCTTGCCTGGCCTTGTCAATCTGTCTCTCCTCCTTGCTGCTGCTTCAGCTAAAGTGCTTGAGATGACAGATCTTTATGATTCATTCCCCTGACCTGCCACTGCTTCTGGTTTTAGTGCTGATCCCTCCTGAAATGTGTCTCTTTAGAAGACGTCACCTACTCTGTGTATATTCATTGCAATAAACTGTTAAATTTCTACTGCTGTAGAGTTCAGATCTAATGTGCAAGCAGCCAGTGTAGCAGATGGCCAGCATCAAGTTGGCAAAGGTGTGTGTGATGGGGAGAGACCTAAGAAGTGCTGCAAGATGACTGCTCTTGAGGGGCCTGTGGCATCCCTTCAAGGAATGTGTCCCACCACATTTGACTGGAAAGGATCATCGACCCATCAGTGGTCCGGACCATATGGGGAGCAGCTGCTGTTTGGGCCTCCCAGGAACTGGGGCTCAATTTCCCATCAAAATGATTTCCCTGGGTTTGTCACAGCATGAGAACAAGGTGCTACAAGGCAGGAGGGATGTCAGACATCCAGAATACAAAGCTGTCTTGTGTGGAGGCCCCTGCCAGGCCAGAGCAGCCCACAGCTACATCCTCGGTGCTTCTGCCCCAGGCACCTGCCATGCTTGGACCCAGCTTCCATGTTTCTGGCAGTAAATGGAGAAAAGTGGTCCAGGATGAGGAAGAAGCACTGATGTCTGAGCTAAGTTCTGGGTCACCCCAGAGGAATCCTGTGTTTCGCTTTGCACAGCCATGGAACAGCTACATGAAGAAGCAATGGCTCAGTTTTCTTTTCTGAAACAATCTCCAGGCCGTGCCCATTAATTTCAATGGGCCTACTCAGAGTAGGACTAACACTATACATTTAGCATTAAGAGCCTGACAATCGGAATCCCCCGTTCCTTCCACTCCTGACTCCATGAAACTTTCTTATTTTCAGCAGCACAATCTGGAACGTGTGTGTTGCGAACCGTTCCTCTTGTTCAACAAGTGGGAGTCGTCCTAACCTACTCCAAAATCACCCGGTAAATCCAGACCGCCCAGCCCCTGCTCACAAACGCAGAGTCCATATTACAGGGGGTGTGTGTGACACTTCTGGGGCACAAGAACGTCGGAAGCGCTTACGGGATCAGGCCAAAGAGGGGTCACCTGGTCCAGCATCCTGTTCTCATAGGGGCCAACCAGATGCTCGCAAGGGAATCCCTCCTGTGGTTTCCAGCAAATGGTGTTTGGAAGTTTTGCTGCCTCAAACTGTGGATGTAGGGCAGAGACAACTGTGGCAAGAAGCCCTCGATAACCCTCTTTCCCCTCCCTGAATTTATCCATCCAGATTGGTGGCTATCGCTGCCTCCTGTGGGAGGGAGTTAGTGCCAGAGTTTAACTCTGAGCTGCCTGCTCCGCGGGGGGCGTGGCGTGGATCTGTACCGTTCGCCGCTTTGATCCGGCGCCTTTTGCGGAGAGCACAAGACGGGCACGTCGCCTTGCGGGAGCCGAGGAGAGGCACCTGGTTCAGTCCCGCGGGGCGCGCTTCTCTTGCGAGCCCCCCCAGCCCCCTCCCGCTGCCCCCGCCGCGCTTCTCCGCCCCCGCCCCTTCTCCTCGCTGTCAGCAGCCGTCTGTGTCTGATTCGAGAGGAGAACCGAGGCGAGGCGAGGCGAGGCGGCTGCAGCCAGCGACCCCGGACCCGCCTGCAGAAGCAACCCCCTCCGCCGCCCGCCCCGGGGCTACCAGAGGCCCCCTCGGCGTCGGCTGGGGACAGAGAGCGCGCCTGCTCTTCCGTGCGTGCCGCTGCCCCGTTGGAAGGGCGGCGGCGGAGCGGCAAGCCGGGGTGCGCGCCATGAGCCCCTGCCTTGGGGTTCAGGGGCCAGTGGTGGAACCAGGGAGCGGCCCCCGCCCCAGGGCCTGGCCGCGAACCCCCCGCGGATGCCCGGCAGGAGCTAAGGTGAGCGGATGCGAGGCGGCGGACCCACAGGTGGTGCGGCGCTTTCCCCGGGTTGCTGGGCGCGGGAAGAGGCTGCGCTCCTGGCCGCAGGTCCGAGGCCCGGCTGCTGCCCGCCTCTCGCGGCCGGAGGGAGTTGCGCTGCCGCCGCCGGCGCCCGCCCGCCCGCAAGGAGCCAGCCACTCGCTGCCCGCCAGGCTCCTCTCTGGCCGGCCTGCCAGCTGGGCTCATCCTCCTTGCCAGCGCAGGCGGCGGGCTCTGCTCCCGGGGGACCTTCCGACGGGGACCCGCAAAGGAGCGCAGCAAAGGGGCACAAGCAAAGGGCACGTCCCGGCGCCGTGGTCGGGCCCTTCGCTCCGCTGCCGCTCGCCTTCGCCTTTCACAACAGCCCCGCAGGGGAGCCCAGGCTGCGAGGTCAACCCAGCGAGAACTCTCCGAGGCTTCTCTCGGGCCCCGGACCAGCCCTCCAGCGCCGCCACGGCCGGTCTCTGGAGTCCGTTGCCAGGCCACGGAGGGCCAGCAGCCAAGCCTGACAAGCGCAGAAGATAGAGGCTGGGGGGGGGGGGCACGGCGTTTGGCCCCCTCCCTCCGCCCCGGGATCAGGAGCAGCCTGGCCGAAGGCAGGCGGACCGTCCCCCTCTTTTAGCTTTTAATCAGCGGAGGCTTTGCAAAGAATCCCCGCCGCCCGCAAAGCCCCTTCCCAGAGCAGCCGGCCTCCTAATTCAATTCTCTCGCCTTGTTTAGCCGTAATGTGAGCTGCGGAATGTCCTACCCAAAGAAAGGGGGACGCGGTTGCTTTTTCCATTAAATATGACCCAGGGAGGTATTTGTGGTGTGTCAAAAAGAAGGCTAAGGAGACAGAGAGGGAGTGGAGGGAGCTAGAGACAGGACGCCCCCGAAGAGTTGGAGCTGTCAATGGGGTGCTGCCTCATTGTGTGCATGAGAGGAGGAGGCAGCTGGAGGGGACAGGAGCCCGTCCCCAGTTTGGGCGGGGGAGGGGGCTTTCCAGGGAGCCCAAGGGCCTGGCTGGGGCTCTGCTCTGAGGCTTCCCAGTGGGGAAAGGAGCAGACTTGAGCGCTTGGACAAAGGAAAGTTTGCTGCTCCAGGAAGCAGCCTGGCTCCATCTCCCTGCTTCTGGTTTTCTTTTTCACTGCTTTGCTCAGCTGTATGACAAATGGAACAAATAAGCTAAATACTTTTTAATGGGACCCGAGGGCACCATTAAGAAGAGTGTGTGTTACAGTGACAGAGGAGGAATTTGAGAAGGAAACTGCTAGCAATATAAAACCAAATAATTAAAAGAAACATTAAATACATAAGAAGCAACAGTACTCTAAAATGGCAGCGGAGGAGGAGCTGCAGGGGAAGCAAAGCAAATTCCGTACATAGAATCATAGAGTTGGAAGAGACCACAAGGGCCATCGAGTCCAACCCCCTGCCAAGCAGGAAACACCATCAGAGCACTCCTGACATATGGTTGTCAAGCCTCTGCTTAAAGACCTCCAAAGAAGGAGACTCCACCACACTCCTTGGCAGCAAATTCCACTGTCAAACAGCTCTTACTGTCAGGAAGTTCTTCCTAATGTTTAGGTGGAATCTTCTTTCTTGTAGTTTGGATCCATTGCTCCGTGTCCGCTTCTCTGGAGCAGCAGAAAACAACCTTTCTCCCTCCTCTATGTGACATCCTTTTATATATTTGAACATGGCTATCATGTCGCCCCTTAACCTCCTCTTCTCCAGGCTAAACATGCCCAGCTCCCTTAGCCGTTCCTCATAAGGCATCGTTTCCAGGCCTTTGACCATTTTGGTTGCCCTCCTCTGGACCCGTTCCAGTTTGTCAGTGTCCTTCTTGAACTGTGGTGCCCAGAACTGGACACAGTACTCCAGGTGAGGTCTGACCAGAGCAGAATACAGTGGCACTATTACTTCCCTTGATCTAGATGCTATACTCCTATTGATGCAGCCCAGAATTGCATTGGCTTTTTAGCTGCCGTGTCACACTGTTGGCTCATGTCAAGTTTGTGGTCAACCAAGACTCCTAGATCCTTTTCACATGTACTGCTCTCAAGCCAGGTGTCACCCATCTTGTATTTGTGCCTCTCCTTTTTTTGCCCAAGTGCAATACTTTACATTTCTCCCTGTTAAAATTCATCTTGTTTGTTTTGGCCCAGTTCTCTAATCTGTCAAGGTCGTTTTGAAGTGTGATCCTGTCCTCTGGGCTGTTAGCCACCCCTCCCAGTTTGGTGTCATCTGCAAATTTGATCAGGATGCCCTTGAGTCCATCATCCAAGTCGTTGATAAAGATGTTGAATAAGACCGGGCCCAAGACAGAACCCTGTGGCACCCCACTAGTCACTCTTCTCCAGGATGAAGAGGAACCATTGATGAGCACCCTTTGGGTTCGGTCAGTCAGCCAGTTACAAATCCACTGAGTGGTAGCATAGTCAAGACCGCATTTTACCAGCTTCTTTACAAGAATATCATGGGGCACCTTGTCAAATGCCTTGCTGAAATCAAGGTAGGCTACATCCACTGCGTTCCCTTCATCTACCAGGCTTGTAATTCTGTCAAAAACGAGATCAGGTTAGTCTGACATGACTTATTTTTCAGAAATCCATGCTGACTATTGGTGATCACAGCATTCCTTTCTAGGTGCTCACAGACTGTTTGCTTAATGATCTGCTCCAGAATCTTCCCTGGTATTGATGTCAGACTGACTGGGCGGTAATTATTTGGGTCCTCTCTTTTCCCCTTTTAGAAAATAGGGACAACATTTGCCCTCCTCCAGTCTGCCGGGACTTCACCTGTTCTCCAGGAATTCTCAAAGATGACTGCCAGTGGTTCTGAGATCACATCTGCCAGTTCTTTTAATATTCTTGGATGCAGTTCATCTGGCCCTGGAGACTTGAATACATCTAAACTAGCCAAGTATTCTTGTACTATCTCCTTAAGTTATTCTGGGCTGTGTTTCCTTTGCTGAATCATTTGCTCCAAATTCTTCAGGTCGGGCATTGTTTTCTTTATCGGAGAAGACTGAGGCAAAGAAGGCATTGAGGAGTTCAGCCCTTTCTGTGTCCCCTGTTTGCATTTCACCATCTTCTCCTCTGAGTGACCCCACTGTTTCTTTGTTCTTCCTTTTGCTACGAACATACCCATAAAAGCCTTTTGTTGCTTTTAACCTCTCTAGCAAGCCTGAGTTCATTCTGTGCTTTAGCTTTTCTGACTTTGTGTCTACACGTGCTGGCTATTTGTTTGAATTCCTCTTTGGTGGTTTCCCCTTTTCCATTTTTGTACACATCCTTTGTTAATCTTAACTCAGTTAAAAGTTCTTTAGATAGCCACCCTGGCTTCTTTAGGCACCTTCCATGTTTCCGTCTCATTGGTATTGCCTGACGTTGTGCTTTTATTATCTCCCTCTTAACAAACTCCCAGCCATCATGAACTCCCTTTCCTTTTAGTATTACTGTCCATGGGATCTCACCCAGCACTTCCCTAAGTTTTATGAAGTCGGCTTTCTTAAAGTCAAGAAATTGAGTCCTAGTATGCTTGGCTGCTCCTTTCCGCTGTATAGTAAACTTCAGAAGAGCATGATCACTCGCGCCTAATGATCCTTCCACTTCTACCCCACTAACCAGGTCATCAACATTGGTTAGGACCAGATCTAAAATGGCTGTTCCTCTTGTTGCTTCTCCCACTTTCTGGACAATGAAGTTGTCTGCAAGGCCAGTGAGGAATCTGTTTGACCTTATGCTCTTGGCTGAATTTGACATCCAACAAATATCCGGTTAATTGAAGTCCCCCATTACTACTATCTCCCTTCCTTTTGCATGCTTGGCCATCTGTTCCAGGAAGGCATCATCTATGTCTTCCGTTTGGCTTGGGGATCTATAGTAAACTCCCACAATGAGGTCACCGTTATTCTTCTCTCCCTTAATTTTGATCCAAATGCTCTCACTTTGGCTTTGAGGTTCTAAATCTTGGATCTCTTCACAGGTATACACATCCCTGACATATAATGCCACTCCTCCTCCTTTCTTGTCTGGTCTGTTTCTCTGAAATAGATTGTATCCCTCGATTATTACATTCCAATCGTGGGACTTATCCCACCAGGTTTCAGTGATGCCTATTATGTCATATTTAGTTTGCTGTACCAAGAGCTCAAGCTCATCTTGTTTATTTCCCATGCTTTGCGCATTAGTGTACAGACATTGAAGTCCATTAATCATTTCCCCGTGTCTCTTATTTAAGGATTTTTTCCTCCCACCACTAGGTCTGCGTGCTGTTTGTTCCATTTGGTCTATGACATTTGGATGATCATCTTCATCAATTGATAGACTCCTACCTTCAGGAGCACTGTCTCCCTCCCCCACATTAGTCAGTTTAAAGCCCTCCTGATGAGGTTTCTGAGATTTTGGCAAAAACATTTCTCCCAACCGTTGTGAGGTGCAGCCCATCGCTTGCCAGAAGTCCATCTTCAAGAAACTGCAGTCCGTGATCTAAGAATCCAAACCGTTCCTGTTTACACCATTTGCGAAGCCAGCTGTTCACTTCCACTATTTTTCCTCTCTCCCTGGGCCACGTCGTTCAACTGGGAGGACAGATGAGATGACAATTTGTGCATTTAATTGCTTCAATTTCCTGCCCAGAGCCTCGTAGTCTCTTTTGATCTTCTGGAGGCTATTGCTTGCAGTGTCATTGGTTCCCACATGAACCAAGAGGAAGGGGTATTTGTCAGTGGGTTTTTGTATTTGTCAGAGCCTTGGGGAGGGGGACACTATTGCCTTGCAAGGCTTGCAGTGAATGAAGTGAACCTCCCAGAGTTCACACCCACCATTTTCCAGAGGGGTAGTCATGTTGGTCTATTGCAGCAAAGCACCAGGAGCCACGGAGGCTCCATCCCAACCATGGGGCTATGGGGCACCTGCAGGGCCCCCCACCCCAGTCTCAGCACCCCCTGCACATCCTCAGCGCTGACCAGATAAGCCAGAGCAATGCTGACATTTCCACACCAGTACCTGAAAGACCAACCAGTTTAACAAATCAGCTTTTGGCGGGGGATGAAGGTTTTCTGACAGCTGGCAAGTATTTGTTTCATACATTTATTTACTGCAAATAAATGTAAAATACTTGGGAGTGCAAAGGATTCCAGGGTGTATACACATAGGTGTAGCATGAAGGAAGAAATTAAAAGGAACTGACATACAAAAAATACAATCTGTCACCATTCACAAACCATCTAGCTAATTAACATCCAAAAACTGGAATAAAACCTGCTATCCTGATTCAGGCAGCGGATGATAGGACTTCAGTCTTGCAATTCAAGCCCCTGAAGTGATGCCCTTCCAAAGCTTTGCTGGTCTTTCAGGAGTCAAGGCAAAACTCTTGCCTGACTCAGCCTGCCCCCAAGGGCTGCTCATCATGAACATCTCTGGGCTGCTCCAAACTGCTTGGCATAATGCTAGCTGGTTCTGGTCCTGCAAAGACTTGACTCCGGGTAGGAGGAGGAGGAGCCCCCTGCCATCCCTCAGCCTGTGAGGGGAACATGGAAGGGGAAATGGAGACCAGAATAGCATCATCCAGTGACAGAAAGTATATCTGGTTTTTCAGAAGCGTTTCTTCAGGTGGGCGTCAGCTTGACAGGCTCAGTGTGGCAGGGAAGGAAGGAAGGAAAAGAAAGGGGATGCTTGTTTGGTAGCAGACCCAGGGCCTCTTCCCTGTACCTGCTGCCACAAACTGCCGAGAGAGGAGATGTGGTGGCAGGACCCATGCTCTGTGAGAGGGGGCAATATTTACAATATTTACAATATTTCTTATGCTGTTACAGAGCTTCTCTAAATGCCACTAGCGTTATTCCATTATCACTTATACATTCCCAGTATTCAACTAATTTTCCCCAGTCCTCGATGAACTTTTGATCTCGTAGATATCTGATCTTCCCAGTCAGTTTATCAAGTTCTGCGTAGTCTATCAGCTTCATTCTCCACTCCTCCAACGTTGGTATTTGTTCTTGTTTCCATTTCTGGGCCAGTAATATTCTTGCCGCGGGCCTCCTACTTCTTTGAGTCACGTTTCTCCATATATCTGGCTCCTGTGTTGGTGAACTAGCCTCCTTCTCAGGGGAGTCCCCTGTCTCCTCCTTGGTGGAGACGGTGTGCTCTGTTGCTTCCAAGAAGAGCTCCAGCTCTCTAATTCTTTGGAGCGTAGCTACACATTCCTCCAGTTGCTGGACTTTGTCTTCTAAGAGGGCAATCAACATGCAATTGCTGCAGGTAAAGCTGCCTGCAACCTTTGGCAAGATGGCAAACATTGCGCAGGAACCGCAGGCGACTGCAGCTGTTCCCTCCCCCTCCAGCTTGAGAACGTGTCGTTGGGGGTGGCTACAGCGGTCCTCCATCATAAAAAGCGTGAAGACAGGACAAATACCCCCCCCCAAAAAACCCCTAGGTCTCCCCCAACAAACGTTTGAGACTAGCTCCCCTAAATCTAAAAGATGGATCAAACATCCATCTTTGATTCAAGAGACGGGGGGGGGGGGTGTCTCCACAAATGCAGCACCCGGGTCCCAGATGGTGGCCACAGGAATAATGCCAGGAACCATCACTGCTTGCCCAAGGGGCTTTTGCTGCTTGCAAGGTCCTCCAGAACCCAAATCATAGTGCGAGAGGCAAGACCCTTCCCGTCCCAGAACTCCAAGGGGGGGGGGGCAATGAAAGCAACAGCTTCCAGTCTCAGCCAAGAATGTGAGAGTCCCTGGCTAGGAGTTGAAGGGGTGATCAAAGGGTGACTTTCTAGAACTTGAGCCCACTTTTGTTTCCTTCCAGCAAAGATCCAGGGGGCACAACCCCCCCCCCATCATTCACTTGCTGGATAAAGGCCTGCATTACCAGGTGCTATGAGGGCCCAGGGGTGCGCTCCTTCAGGCACCACAGCCCATTCCACCTGGAGTGCAGCCCCCTTGGCAGCATTTGGGACCTGAGCCCCTCTGGATGACAAATGCAGGATGCCTTCCTGGTCCTCACTCTCCACCTTTAGGATAGACGAGGGCTTCAACAGGGAGGGAATCCCAGGGAGGGAGGGCTCACAGAGGCTCGCTCCAGATCTGGGAACTGCTGAGCCACATCCTCTTCCTCCACTTAAGCCTAGCCTATCAAGCTAGCTGACATTCACCCTGCCTTGGAAAGGGTGGACCCACCTTGGGATTCCTTCCAGGAAGTCAGCAAAATGTAAGCACAAGGCTGCACTTAAGAAGCAGGAAGGACATCTGTACCTAGTGGGGGGTTCGCTTTGTTTTTGCGACAGAAAATTTTGCTTAGGTGCATTCCCTTGCTTTCTCCCTCCCTGCTCCTCCCCCACCAGATACTTGGTGCAGATAAAAGGCAGAAGAGCCTGTGGGGCTGAGAAGCCTCCCCAACTGCCCCCCCCCGCTCAAATTCCAGCCCCTCTTCCTGCTGGGCAGGAAGCCCCTAAGGGCCTTTTCTTGCCTGGACACCAAGAGAAATGTTAATATGAATTAAAAGGCAGAAAAGCACATTCTGTTGGAAGCAAAGTGTTGTTGACCCCGGAGGACCAATTCTCTTGAACATATTACATGCTTGGAGAGCTCAAAACCAAGAGTAGAACAGATGAGCAGGCTGTGGGTGAGGAGAAGGAGGAGGAAATGAGGTTGGGGGGGGGGAATTTCCCTATTACCAGAAAAGCAAATAGACACCTCCTTTGTTCAAGAATAATGCTTTGCCTTTGGGGATCCTTCGATTTGAGTCCTTCTGAGGCGGCCCCTGGGATCATCTTCGCTGTCTGGCAAAGTACGCAAGGCAGTCACTGAGGATGTGTCCACAAAACAAATTGAATCTGCCTTTGAACCTGTTCTGACTGCCATGGCTCCTAACCAAAGAAGTGGCTGTTCTGCAAAAGGGCAGCTAAGTACGGTACTCTGATGGGAGGACTGTGCTAATGACACCCCTTCCTGCAATTCCTCTTTAAAGCATCTCCAGAGCATTAGTTTCATGGGACAGCAGCCAACCTCAATTCAAATGCAGATCCAGGATCCTTTCATTGGCCATAATGACCTGGGCATGTATGTTTATTGTCCCATTGTTGTTGTTTAGTTGTATCTGACTCTTCATGACCCCATGGACCAGAGCACGCCAGGCACTCCTCTCATCTACTGCCTCCTGCAGTTTGGTCAAACTCATGCTGGTAGCTTCGAGAACACTATCCAACCATCTCATCCTCTGTCGTCCCCTTCTCCTTGTGCTCTCCATTTTTCCCAACATCAGGGTCTTTTCCAGGGAATCTTCTCTTCTCATGAGGTGGCCAAAGTATTGGAGTATCAGCTTCATGATCTGTCCTTCCAGTGAGCACTCAGGGCTGATTTCCTTAAGAATGGATAGGTTTGATCTTCTTGCAGTCCATGGGACTCTCAAGAGTCTCCTCCAGCACCATAATTCAAAAGCATCAATTCTTTGGTGATCAGCCTTCTTTATGGTCCAGCTCTCACTTCCATATATCACTACTGGGAAAACCATAGCTTTAACTATACGGACCTTTGTCGGCAAGGTGATGTCTCTGCTTTTTAAGATGCTGTCTAGGTTTGTCATTGCTTTTCTCCCAAGAAGCAGGCGTCTTTTAATTTCGTGGCTGCTGTCACCATCTGCAGTGATCATGGAGCCCAAGAAAGTAAAATCTCTCACTGCCTCCATTTCTTCCCCTTCTATTTGCCAGGAGGTGATGGGACCAGAAATGCAGTGTTTGTGGCAACTACCCTGGTTGGAGCTCAGAAAATTAGTCATAAGATTTATTTTAAAGACTAATATTCATGGCTCTAGCAGCCAAATCATCTGCAGAGGAATTCTCCAGCTGCCAGTCTGTATTTGCAACACTTTTTACCATTCCTAGGAAAACACAGTTGTGTGGGGTGGTAGAGGGAGATTTGGCAGCTTAAATGCAGGCAATGAAGGAAAGAGAAAGATATTGTGAGTCGTTAACAACCCCCCACACTGTCTGACAACAACTAAGGCCCAAGTGCACAACACCAAGCTCTTCCCCACCATCCTTCAGCCACATCAGAGGGTAGAGGCAGGAAGCCAGTCACCTTGGGGCAAGTGCATAACATCTAGTTGCTCCTGGCCCTTGACACACACACCCCGTCTCGTGTTCCTGGGCTCTTCTTGACCCCCCCCCCTTAGAAGTCTCTCCCATCTCTGATGCTCTTGCTGGGAGATCTCCAATTAAACTTTTTATTGCATTAGCCATAGGCCATGGCATCATTCAGAAGGAGAACGAAACACACACACACACACACACCAATAACCATAAAAATATTCGGGCACTGATATACAATAAAACCATGGTCATGGCTACTAAAATTATTTGTTGCATTAAATGGAATAGAATAGCAGAAGATTCTCAGCTAAGATGTGCCAAATTAAATATCCGAATCCCCTTTGCAGTTGATCACTATTGTGTCTAGTTCCTTCCTCCTGATCTTCTTAGCTGCCAGCACATAAAGTGCTGCTTTATAAGTAACAAAGTCGTTGGTGTCACTCAGCAGCCATTTCACCCTTTCCAACCTATTCAAATGTCTTCCATTCGTAAACAGGTTTTATAAATCGGTCTCTTGGGTCTATGTATAACGGGCACTGCAATAAATAATGGCACAGGTCCTCGACGCAGGGTTGTCCATATGGATAGAATCTCTCTTCATAATGTACTTTGCCGTACCACCCATCCAACACCACCAAGGGCATCGATTGGAATCGTAGTTCTGTAAAAGCGATTCTTAGTACACCAAGTGGGAACTTTGTCAGGTATCTGGCTCAGGCATGCTCGGTTTTGATAAGTGGAAACCATGGTGAGCTCTTGGTAGAAGCAATCATGGTTAGATTGCTTTCTGCATCGGACCTAAGGAGACAGTCTCTTAAGTGCCTCTTATCCATCTTCGTGGTCACCTGAAGATTTGTAATTGATATTGGGACAAGAGGCATTGGATGCCAACCTTCCAGCATTTGGTCTGTTCCCGTCCTGTGTAAGACATAGCGGGGAATCTCTCCTCTGAAAGAGACTGAAGTCTTTTCACATAATTTAGGCAAATTTAGGCAATTCTAGCCTGCATTGTTGTCACGTCAGCTTCAGCACGAAGAAGAGCAGCAGCTGGGGTCCCATTGGGGAGTGAGAACACTTTCTTGAGGAATTCGTTATGCACTATTTCTAAGGCTTTGTTAGCCTTTAGGTCCATGCCCCATATCGCTACTCCATGGAGCATCTGGGAAACCACTTTGCTGGCAAAATTTTCAGCACAGGTTCTAGTAACTGGCCACAAGCTTTCTGCGCTTTGAGTTTTGTAGCCTCAATGTGCCCCTTCCACAATAGCGTCTCAGTGAAGAGAACTCCCAGATATCTGAAGGAGTGTGTTTGCTCCAGATCCTGCTGATCCATCATATCATTTATGTAAAAGTTGAAGAGTGTGGGAGCCAATATGCAGTGCTGGGAGATCAGTTCCTGTCCTTTGATTTTACATTAGAGGACCACTGAGGAAGAGAGAGACTTTTCTAGGTTAACTCAGTGAGATTCTTTGGGAAGGGGCCCTCCCTTCTGCCACCCGGACTGCACTTGAGTCAGAACCACCTGAGTCCCCTCTGCTTCCCACCCTCAAGACCTCAGTGTACACTAAGTTATTATATAAGAAAGGGAGGAGGAAATTAAATGGCTGCAAAACAAATTCCTGCTTCTCTTCCCCTCCCTGAAAAGGGAAGAAAAAATGAGTCCAATTTATTTTTAGCTGCCTAAAGAGGGGGCTTTGCATTATTATTCCTCAAGGGTGAGCTGCTGCTGCTGCTGCTGCTGCTGCTCTTGCTGCTATAAATCCATAATCTACAAAGAATGGATTCTGCAATCACCAGTTTTTTAAATGTGAAATCTGCCAAGGATATTTTGTGATCTGCAGGAAAAGGAAAATCCTCTTTGCTACATGTAAACGTGCAAGTGCTTGGTTGTGTTCTGGAGAGGGGGCAAGATGGAGGGGGGGGGCTCTTCAACACGCAGGTGGGCATCCCAGTTATGGTGTGTGTGTCTCTCTCTCTCACACACACCTGCAAAGTCTTTGCTTCTTCCAGAAGAGCAAAGCCAGCATCATACAGCGGCTGTGTGTGTAAGCTAGGTTGCTTGTACAGGGCACAAGCAAAGGAAAGGAGGGTCTCTGCCCCAAGGCACCTCCCATCTTCTCTGCTCTGCCTGTGGGGAGAGTGGCTGTCACCCCAAGGCCATGGCACACCCATATGCAAAGGGACTTGCAGAACAGGGCAAGGGCAGCTCCCCTCTCGAGAGCCCGGGGGTGGGGTGGCTTCTTCCTCAAAGGAAGTGAAACTGGTAGGCTAAAGAAGGCTCTTCTCTTCTCACCTGGGCCTCATGCGCACTTTAGTTTTAATGATTCGTATTACTCAGCTTGGTCTCATCCCCACCAACTCACCTGCCTTTCCTTGCTCCTCCATGGCCTGTTTGCTGCTATGTGTCTCAGTAGCCAAGGGGGGCAGAGGGGCAACTGCCCCCTAGATCAAGTGAAACAAAAGAAATATTTCACTGCCCAATCCCATTGGTTCTGCCACCCACCAGAAAAGTCCTGCCCCACCTAAGTAAGTCCTGCCTCCCATAACAAAAATCCTGGCTATGCCAATGGCCTTGGTGCAGCTGCCGGGGGGGGGGGGCAGGGGCTCCCATGGCAGAGGCCTGCCAGAGCAGCTGCATCTATGTCTGTAACTCCCTCCTCTCCCTCTCTCTTGCAGGTGTGTGGGAAGGTGGTAGGATGCCCGTAGGACCATGCACTGCACCATGACATGCTGCTGCTGTTTTCTGGTTTTGGTTTTTCACTGTGTCCTCCTGAGTACAGCCTCAGTGGCGGCTTGCCCAGCACGCTGTGACTGCATCCCCCAGATCAAGTCCGTCAGCTGCCACCGCAAGCGCCTCACCGCAATCCCTGAGGGGATTCCCACGGAGACCAAGATCTTGGAGCTTAACAAGAACCGCATCCGCTGCCTGAACTCGGGGGACCTGTCCCCATTTCCACTATTGGAGGAGCTGGACTTCAGTGAGAACATCATTGCCAGTGTAGAGCCGGGTGCCTTCAGCAACCTCCTGAACCTGCAGGTCTTGCGCCTTCGTGGCAACCAGCTCAAGCTGCTCTCCCCGGGCGTCTTCACCAAGCTCTCCAACCTCACCGTCCTGGACATCAGCGAGAACAAGATTGTCATCCTCCTGGACTACACATTTCAAGACCTGAGGAGCCTCAGGATCCTGGACCTTGGGGACAATGACCTGGTTTATGTCTCTCGGAAGGCCTTCTCCGGCCTCCTGGGCCTACAGCAGCTGACAATAGAAAAATGCAACCTGACAGACATCTCTGCAGAGTCGCTCTCTCGCCTCCAGAACCTACAGGCCCTCCGGCTCAGGCACCTGAGCATTGCCACAGTGGAAGACCAAAACTTCAAAAAGCTTTGCAACCTCTGGCAGCTAGAAATTGACAACTGGCCATTCCTGGAGGACATATCACCAAATGGCTTCCAAGGACTCAACCTCACCTCACTCTCAATCACGTACACAAACATCACTGCTGTCCCAACAGCTGCCTTGAGGAACCTGGGGCATCTAATGTACCTGAACCTCTCCTACAACCCCATCAGCACAGTCCCCAAGGGCGCCTTCCGGGACCTCATCCGGCTCAGAGAGCTCCACATGGTGGGTGCCTTGTTGGCCTTGGTAGAGCCCCAGGCGCTGTATGGCTTGAGGCAAATCCGCCTTCTCAATCTCTCCAACAATTTCTTGTCCACTTTGGAGGAAAGCAGCTTCCACTCTGTCAACACTCTGGAGACACTCAGGGTGGACCGGAACCCCTTAGTCTGCGACTGCCGCCTCCTCTGGATCCTCCAGCGCCGAAAGACACTCAACTTCAACGGCCAACCGCCAATGTGTTCCTCACCACCCGAGATCCAGGGTGACGCCCTGCGCGACTTCCCAGACTCTGTGCTCTTTGAGTACTTCACCTGCCAAAAGCCAAAAATCAGGGACCGGAAGCTCCAGCACATCACTGCTTACGAAGGGCAGGCTGTGTCCTTCCTGTGCCAGGCGGACGGAGAGCCCACCCCCTCCATCGTCTGGGTTTCTCCTCAGCATCGGATGATCACTACCAGGAGCACTGGGCGAGTTGCCGTCTTGCCCAGTGGGACGCTGGAGATCCGCTACACACAAGTCCAAGACAGTGGGACCTACATCTGCATCGCCAGCAATGCCGGTGGCAACGACACATACTTTGCCACGCTGACCATCAAGGGGCACTTGGCCAACGGAGCCCTTTATGCAAACCGGACCCTGCACCTCAGTGACTTCAACGACACTTTGCACAACAGCACACAGGTCTTCTTGAAGTTCACACTTGACCTCAAGACTATCCTGGTGTCCACTGCCATGGGGTGCATCACCTTCCTGGGTGTGGTGCTCTTCTGCTTCCTCCTCCTCTTTGTCTGGAGTCGAGGCCGTGGGCAGCACAAGAACCACTTCTCTGTGGAGTACTCTTTCCGCAAGGTGGACGGCCCAACCACAGCGGCTGGGCAAGGGGGCGCCAGGAAGTTCAACATGAAGATGATCTGAACTGCTGGCAGGCTGGGAGGGGGGCCCTGCTGGGAACACCCGCAAGGCGAACCAAGTGGGCTGTGGGTGCTGCTGCCCCTCCTCTGCCATCAGTTCAGTTCAACTTCAAGGGCTTAGACCAGGCAAGCAGTGACCGTGCTGAGGGACCTCTGTCACACCACACTTGCCAAGGGTGCCATGAACCTAGTGGCAGCATTGCCCATCGTGGCTGGCCCAGGGCCAGCACCCAGCAAGGTGGGGAAGACCCTGGCACCCTGGCAGAGCCTGCTGCTGCCACCAGAGCCTCCTGATGCGGCTCGGCCAGGTGGTAGCAGCACCGGACAGAGCTCCAGCTCGCCTGGAAAGCACCAAGTGGCCACCTAGCACCGCCCTGGTCCTGATGCTCGCACGTGGATGGGAGCGGCATCATTAGCAGGGTGGGTTTGGTTAGCACCATCCACATGCCGAGTGAGCTGGGAGCTCCTCCACTCAGTGCCACAGCCTGCACTGTTCACTGGCAGGCACTGCACTGCATGCGACTTCCCCCGGGCTGAAGGGCAGCCCTGGCCAGGGGCTTCTGCCTCTCTCTTTTTCTCCCTGTCTCTGGGCTTCTATCCCCCATGGACAACGTGCTCCACGCAAACAACACAGGGGGCTGTTCAGGTCTTTTTGCTGTAGCTGACTTTTGTCCTTTTTTTCATCAACTATGCATCTTTCAAGTAACGGGAGCATTACTCTTGGGCTTTAAAGAACCTCGCCTCTCTCTCATTTTTCTAAGTGATATATTTGGAAATCTCTGTTGAGCTGAGTGCTTGTTTTTAAACCATTTATATGCACGCCTAACAGGCATCTTCCTGTGCGGCTGAGGACTCCCTGTGCAGGGAGGGAAGAGGGAGACCAACCCACCTTTGCCCGCCAGACCAGAGCCAGCAAGGTGGAGGCTATGCTGGGGGAGACGCAGTGCCTTGTAAGAACCCTGTCTAACATTTTTAATAATAATGAGGAGTATGTTGGCAGACAACTGCCCTCTGTGCTGAGACCCTCCTCAACAAAGCAATAACCTGCTTCTTCCACTTGGCTGGCTAGGATAGGGCCCAGTACACGGACCCAAGAAGGCTGAGCTCCTGCACTGTCCTGCACTCTCCCCAAGGGAGAGCCAAGCTTTGAGTGTGTAGATGAGAGAGAGAGAGAGAGAGAGAGAGAGAGAGAGAGAGAGAGAGAGATGTAAAGTGAAATGTAGGCTGCCCTCTTCTTTTCATTGAATAAGGCTAGAAGCCACTTGGAGGAGTGTTAGCTGGTTTAGTGGGGGAAGGTACACTCTGGACAGAAAGAATCCATTGCCACCTTTGAGCCCCACCAAGGGCCCCACTACAAGTCCTGGTGGCTTGAGGTGGACTCTGAGGAAGGCCAAGGGTGGCTGGACCAAGGCCAAGGCAGAGCAAGGGGTTGAGCTGCCCCAGTTAGGGATGTGTACAAAGTGCTTTCTGCCATCCCTACAACCTTCCTGTGAAGTGGGCAAGGTTGCAAGAAGGTGGCTGGCCCAGGGCCCTGATGGATGTGTTCTGGGGCTGATTCTCCCAAATAGGCACAGCCCCATGGCAGGTTCCAGTTGGGTCACCTTCCCCTTCCCCTCCTTGGCTGGCAGATCCCAGCTGCAAAAGAAGCCTGAGCAGTCAGGAGCTGCTGGCGCCTTACAACAAATCCCAAGAACAGGGTTCCTTTTGCGCCTTCCCTGCCTGCCGCACAGGAGAGGAGAATCTTCCGAGGCTCTGCCTGCCAAGGGAAGTGGTGTGTGTGTGTGGTTGCACATCCATCCACGCATGAGCTAGAAGATTATGCTTGTTGATGATAATGTATTATTTCTGCTAAACGAGGTTTTGGCTGACATATTTACTGGCATCTGTTTTGGTTTCCAATGAAAACACCAACTGGCAGGGAAGACTGGGATTGTCCTGACAACAGGAAATTAGTATTTTAGAGAGCAAGGCAGGTCAGCGATGGAGAAGTGCGCATTTGCTTGCTGGGATGGTGCTGACTGGACCTTCCAGGGCAAGAGATGTGGAGGCGTCTGTCAGCCAGAACTCCTCAGAGATGCTGCTGGATCAATGCTAATAAAATAGAGGGAAGGCTGCCACTCAGTTCCGCTCCGTCTGTTCCTCCTCCCACCACCTGGTCTGCTCTAAAGGGTAGCACAAGGCGTGAAACTTGGGGTCGGGACAGTGTGCCACTGAAGGGCATGCTGAAAAGACAGAAGCCTGGCTAGAGAAAGATTTTGCAGGGGAAATTCAGCCTGCTCCCCGTGACCTCTTGGCAATAGAGACCGCTCCAAGCTCTCAGGTGTGTTTGCCTGGCCCTCGAACATTTGGCCCTCTTCCTCTCACCCACCTGTAAAATGGCAACAGCAGCTAATGCATGTAGCTATTTTGAGGGCCAACACAAGTGTGACTAGGAGTGCTGAGTACATAGCTAAATCCTGGCTTGTGGACTGCCAAGCGGAGAGTCCAAAAGTGGCTTCCTTTGCAGTGCTGGCCCGAGGGCACTGAGCAGCCATGGACTGTATGTGTCTGGAGGCACCTTAAAGATCAAGATTTAGTGCGGCATGAGTTTCCATAGACCAATTAATTTATGACATTTATTTATTGCCTGGCCAGGGAGGTCCAAGCTGTGTACATGTTTCTCCCCACACCAATTTTATCCTCACCAACACTGCGAAAGTAGGCTAGGCTCAGAGGTGGAGTTTGGCCAAGCGGGCTGAAACTGTATCTGCCTAGTCTGTGGCTCTTTAAACACCACACAACGTTGGCTCTTGGCGTCTAGAGACCACTTGCATCAGACGACAAAGATTTGAGCTGCAATAATGTGTTTGACAAAAGGGGGGGGGAGCAGTCAGCTTTGGGCAGAGTAGCCTTTGGCTCTCTGGATCTCTGTCTTGGAGGCCATGAAGAAATCTATTGTCAGTACCCACTCCATCCCCCTCTGCATCTTCTGGACTCTTCTCCACCGCACCCTGCTCACTTCAAAAACAACTTCTCCAACAGTCCCAATCACTTGGCCCTTCCTTCCATTTTGGTGGAATAACACTGGACAGAGATGTAAGATCTTACACAGGGAAGGGGCAAGGGGGAAATCACAACCATGAAACTATTTCATCCTTCCCCCCGGCCAAGAAGTAGGAAAGGAGCCCAGCACTGATTTTGAGGGTGGATGAAATTTGCTGGAGTTTGGGGTGGTGGATGCTCAAAAAGCCAAGAGTGGGAAAGTCATTCACTGTCCCCATGGAATACCTTGTTTATACAGAATGTGCACATTTTTTAATATGTATGACTGCATGTACAATACAGCAATGTATCACATAATCACCTCCGTCTCCTGTTTGTTTTATGCTTTGGTGCCTCTTCTCAGTTATATGATGAGAACAGAATCCTTTGCACAATCTGAGCCCTTTTGTGGAAGTGGGAGTCTCTCTCAGTCAGCCATGTGGGCTTGTATAAGCTGTGCTGGCTGAGAGATCTAAATGCTATTTATTATTTAGGCAGATTCACAGCACCTGAGCCAGGCCTTCCTCTGCTAGCACGTTTTACAAGAAGAATACCAGCCACCACCAAGCACACAGGCTGTGTGTTTTTGCATGTCTATGTGAAAGGATCAGACCCTGCCTATGGGGTGGGTGGGTGTGGAGAGGAGAGAAGGAAGGTGGGTTCCTGATGCAATTCCCTGCTACAGACATTCCTGTGAATACCCCCTGGCACCCCCCTCTTTGGATGCCACTTCTCTCTCTCGCACGCACGCACACACACACAACCTTTGCTGAATGGCAGTGGATCTGGAGCCTCCATGCCTTCTGTGAGGCAAGGGCACCATCCAGAGGATGACGATGGGAAGCCAGCAGAGTCTGGGCACCTTACAAATGTCTTATGTAGGAACATCGGAGGCCTGGAGTCCAATGCCAACTTGCCCTATGTGTGTCTGAGGAAGTGGGCTCTGGCCCATGAAAGCTTCTGCCTTGATAAATTGCCTCTTTAATAGGAGGCACGTGAACTTTGTGCTCCTTTTGTTGCCCCTTGTCTGACAGGGGCTTCAGCTGCTCCCTCTGCCTCCCCAGTCAGTAAGAGAGGCCTTTGTCCCAACTGTTGGCAAGGGCGAGGGAGAAAGGCTCAACTGAAAGCTGGTTTCAGAAAACACAGGCAGGTGGGACTGGAGCAGCTTGGGTCTCTGGCCTCCCTGGGCTCTGCCCAGGGGCCTCTCGCAGCAGCACAGGCAGGATTATTTCTTCACAGCTGCCCAGAGCACACAGCCCTGGTCACAGAATCCCAAACTTGAGGTAATTTTCTTTCTTTCTTTTTTTTAAATAATTTTTATTAAGGTTTTAAACAAAGAAAAAAGAAAAACAACACACACAAAGAACAATAACAATAAAAACACAAAACATAACAATTAAAAACAAACTCTCTTTTCCATTTCCAATTTTAAATTACTTATTTTCTGGACTTCCTCATACCTCCCTCTTTTGTATTCCAATCCACATTATTTATCCAGCACTTTTTTTAATCCCAATCTTTAATTTAATAAAATATTAAAATATATAACTTCACTTTTTTAAACCTAATCCTTACTCTTAATGTCATATAGCTTTAAATTTTTCCCTTTTATTATCAAATTTCCATTTCTTTAAACATCTTTAATCTTAATCTTTAATCTTAATCTATCCTTATCTTTAACCTGTACAGCTGGAAACCACTTATTTTCAATCCAACATCACTCTAACATTCCTTAATTTTGCAGTGTTTCTGAAGATAGTCTTTGAATTTCTTCCAGTCTTCCTCCATCGACTCTTCTCCCTGGTCACGGATTCTGCCAGTCATTTCCGCCAATTCCATGTAGTCCATAAGTTTCATCTGCCATTCCTCCAGCGTGGGAAGTTCTTGTGTCTTCCAATACTTTGCGATGAGTATTCTTGCTGCTGTTGTTGCATACATAAAGAAAGTTCTCTCCTTTTTAACACCATTTGGCCCACTATGCCCAGGAGAAAGGCCTCTGGTTTCTTGGGGAAGGTATACTTAAATACCTTTTTAATTCATTATATATCATTTCCCAGAAAACCTTAATCTTTGGGCACGTCCACCAAAGGTGAAAAAATGTACCTTCAATTTCTTTACATTTCCAACATTTGTTATCGGGCAAGTGATAAATTTTCGCAAGCTTGACTGGGGTTATGTACCACCTATATATCATTTTCATAATATTCTCTCTTAAGGCATTACATGCCGTAAATTTCATACCTGTGGTCCATAACTGTTCCCAGTCAGCAAACATGATGTTATGTCCAACGTCCTGTGCCCATTTAATCATAGCCGATTTTACCGTTTCATCCTGAGTATTCCATTTCAGCAGCAAGTTATACATTCTTGACAAATTCTTAGTTTTGGGTTCTAACAATTCTGTTTCTAATTTGGATCTTTCCACCTGGAAGCCAATTTTCCTGTCCAATTTAAATGCCTCCATTATCTGATAATAATGAAGCCAGTCTCGCACTTTGTTTTTTAATTTTTCAAAACTCTGCAATTTCAGTCTATCTCCGTCTTGTTCCAAAATTTCCCAATATTTCGGCCATTTGACCTCCATATTGACCTTTTTCAAGGCTTCCAAACTTGAGGTAATTTTCACAGTGGGAAGGGGCGCAACGAGTCCCCATCTATGGTTTAAGCCACATGCAGATGCTGCACAGAAGCATAGAAGCTGTCAGTCAAGGACCCAGGTACTGACTTTTGTGCCATGGAAACAGGAAGCCCTGTCTGGTTTCATGTCTGGTGATCACTTCCAGCTCAGCCTTCATACACCCAACTACACCCCACAGTTTTTCAGCCCCAAAGCTCAGAACCCCAGCTGCCTCTGTGTGCAGCAGCCACCACAAGGCTCAAGGAGCCTCTGCTGCCCAGACAGGCTGCTATTTACAAAGAATGGCACGTGGTCAGGTGCTGGAGCGGGGGGCCAGCAAGTGGAGAATGTTGGCTATTTGCAGGTTAGTAGTGCGGCAGAGAGCTTGCTGGGGAGACCATGCATGACAAGGAACTAAAAAATAACTTTAACAAGGTTTTAATAACAAAAACAAAAACTCCTTTTACACTAAAGATAACAACAACAAACCAGACCCAACCACCAACCCATCCCCCAAGGTGATGAGAGAGCTAGGTGCTGCTCTTTATATACTATACCCAACTACACAGCTTGATTAACACAACTCAGCAGCACCTGCTATGTTTCACAGCTGCAAGACTGGGTCCCGTTATTTGCCCTGGCCCTGGCCCTGAAAGATATACACAACTTGTGAAACAATAATGAACCTTTACATTTTACAGTGACCATTCAACAGAGAAAGCAGAGAGGGCAAAGGCTCTGCGTCACTCCCCAGAGAGGAGTGGGGCCAGCACTGAGGACAGCCTGCCTCTTGCACTGGGCTGGAGCTGCAAGCCCTCGACTTCTGTTCCATACAGGACTCCGCCCCAGTCACCCTTAGCAGCCTTGAACCTTGCTGGCCTGATCTTTGGACAAATGTGTGCTCCAACTTAAAATAAGGCTGCTCAAGAGGCTGTGATGGTTTGGCATCATTCAGCTTTGATAAGACACTGAGCCAAGGAGGTTTAGCCAGTGTTAGCCCTACTCTGAGTAGACCCATTGGAAATAATGGACATGACTATGGTCCATTAATTTCAATGGTGGGTACAAGCCAAAGCACCAAACTGCAGAGGAAAGCCTGGATGGGACCTGAAGACAGGAGTAAATTAGCTTAGAAGGAAGGCAAGGGATGGCAGAGGGACCAGGAGGACAGGAAAGTGCCTCAGGGCGTGTGGCTGGAGAAAGGGGGCTGCATCTCCCTTCCTTGCAAACCGCACCCAGTGAAACTGAATGTTGGGGGATTCAGGGCAGATATATTGCAGCACATGGGCATAGTCAGGATTTTTGCGGGGGGGGGGTGTTACTTGGTTGGGAGGACTTTTGTTAGGGGTGATTGGTTAATTAGTTAAGTATTTCTATTGTTTTACTGTACTTGATGAGGTGGGACAGCTGCCCCCCTGCCCTTTGCACATGTTGCAGCCCCCCTGTCCTGTGCACATGCTGCAGCACATGGTGAAATGCTAGAATTTGCTTCTCCAACAGCCAGAAATGACCAGGAGCAATTTGGAGAACTGCTTTAAGCTGTGCTTTGGCAAATCCAAAAGGCTACCAATGCCTCCTGGCCACAAGGGTTGACGCCATCCGGGGCCAAAGGCAGCTGCACAAAGATTACAGGGATTTATATAAGTTGAGTGGGGGGAGAGTTGATGCTGCTACGCTGCTATGTTTGTGTGCATCTAGTTGGCCCCAGTGGCACTCTCAATGTTGGACTAGTTGGGGGGGGGCACCTTTGATGTCCAGCTGCAGATGCCCCCCCCCCAAGAAAGCTCCCTCACCCCTGATAGCCTAGGAAAAGCAGGTGTGGAGCCAACTGTCAAGCAGGGAGGCCAAATGCTGGCATGGAAAGCAGAGGCAAGCGGATGTCTTTGCTTGGCCCAGCATGGCAGGAAGCCGCCACCGAAGGCTACTTCCTCATGGAGGAGCCCAATTGCGGGACAGTGAGCCTGGTCCCCACCAGGAACCACCCACCCCGGTGCAGCCGGTGAAACTGTTGCACAATTTGCACACCAAGACAAGCCAACCCGTGGCATAAGCCTGCCTTGCCCAGGAGAAACAGAAAGCGGCTCTTGCAGACTTTGGGGTGGGGGAACAGGCCTAGGTTGGCCCTGTGACAGGTTGGTGCCCATCAGGCACCATGTGGAATTTTGCTGCGCACTCAGCTCCCTTTTGCTGTCTTGAAGCAGCAGATGGAGGTTTGGCAGGCAAAACTGTGGGGATGGACTCTGGGGGTGCTGTCCTCTGCACAAGACCAGAGGGACCTTTTGCACACCACTCCTCTTGGGGACATGCCTGCTCTGCCAGGTCTCTTTTCAATCAGTAATCTCCAAGGCAACATGATGACCAAATGCAAAGATATGATATCAATATACACTCTTTATATAATAGGAAATAAAACCAAATAAACATGTCTTATAAGTCTCTAAAAGTCTTTGAAGACTATGCAAGTCTCTGAAAGAAGCGACGTATCAGATTCTTATCTGGTGAAAACAGGCTGTACAGCTTAGTTTATGAAAGTTTTCACCAGATAAGGTTTTATGTTTTCAAGAGAATCCATTAAGAGTGATATTTTGTGACTTTCAGAGATTCATAAGTTTTCTGTTTATGTGATTTCATACTATATAAAGAGTGTATATTGATATTGTATCATTGTCTTTGGTCATCGTGTTGCCTTGGAGATTACTATTATTTGCAACATGGGGGTTAAATTGTTAGGTCTCTTTTCAGGGCAGGTTGGCAAGCAGAGCCGGCATTCACCATGCACTGCTCTCCTTGGCAAATGCAACCCAAGCGCCTCTGTCCCCAGGACTTCTTCTTTCGGGGGACCTGTACAAACTCCTTGACAAGAGGGCAGATCCTGGACCAAGGAGCTCCCTCTGCTCCTCAGTGTCACACCCACCAAGCGCTAGGCGGCTCCGCCCGTCCTCCCCAAGCTAAAGTGGGTGAGCCTGAGGGATTCAGAAGCCGCAGGGCGGAGGAAATAGAATAATAATAATAAATTAATTTCATTTATACCCCGCCCTCCCGGGCCAGAGCCGGGCTCAGGACGGCTAACACCAGTAAAATTACAGTAAAAACATAATAGGAAAAAACAAACCAATTTAAAAAACAGGTTAAAATGCAATTTTAAAAGTAGCCCATGGAAGGTGTCTATAGAATTTGTGCTGTTAAAGCGGAAAGGGGCCATCGCAAGAGCTGCTGAAATTTTGGGAGGATGAATAATCACCATGGAATGGTCTCGGGGGTGGGGTGCACATTTCCATTTATTTCTTGTTATTACTTTGCTAAACAAACAAACAAACAAACAAACAAACATAAAAGGAAGCGGAGGCGGCGCCGTCCCCGCGAGCTCCCGCCCTCCTCTCCGCTGGGCCAGACGCGGCCTCGGGAGACCCTCCCTCCTCCTTGCGAGCTCCACGGGTCAAGCGGGATCGGGGCCGCCATTCCCGCCTCGCCTGCGGAGCCTCCTTTGGGCGGAAGAGCCGCGGCTGCTCCGCAGGGGATTCTATGAGCGGCTCCCCCAGGAAAGTCCGCCGGATTCTCTCCTCGGCCCCAGGCCAGCTCCCTCACCAGGAGGCTGGATAGGAGGCCCCTCCAGCGGAGCCCGTGCCTGAGGGACAACGTGGAGAAGGCGCCCAAAGAGGAGGCACGGGAGGAGGAGCCAGCCTCGCTCGCTCTTTCCGGGGAAGGCGGGAAACTTCATCTCCACCAACAGACCACTTTCATTGCGCCATAACGTGTCTCTTAAACTTACGTACCCAAACAAACAAACGCGTTTCGAGGCGAGCGCGCGAGGAGAAAACACACAAAACCGCCTCCAGGCGACAAAATGGCGGCTGCGAGGGCCATGAGGGAGAGGACTACGTTCCCCAGGGTGCTTTGCGGAAGGCCCGCGAAGCTCCGCCGCCGCCTCCGATTGGCCCGGGCGGAGGACTCGATTTCCCGTGGTGCACCGCATGAGGCGGTGACTCCTCCGAGCTTGGCGCGCGGGCCCGCCATTTTGTGCTGCCCTCGCTCTCGCCTTCCCGCCCAGTGCCGGGCGGATTGAATGAGGAGTCGCCGCCATGTCCTCCTCTCCGCCTTCGGCCGCCCCTCCGGCCCCCTCCCCGGGCACCCCCAGAGCGCCGCCGCCGCCGCCGGCCGGAACCCCTCTGTCGCCGACGCGCATCTCGCGGCTGCAGGAGAAGGAGGAGCTGCGGCACCTCAACGACCGCCTGGCCCACTACATCGAGCGGGTGCGCGCCCTCGAGCTCGAGAACGACCGGCTGCTGCTGCGCGTCTCCGAGAAGGAGGAGGTGGTCACGAGAGAGGTGCGCCGCGGAGGGAGGAGGGGCGGCCTACCTGGCCGGGCTGTTGTGCGAGAGAGTCCCGCCCCTCTGGCGGCCCACCTCGCGGGGCTGTCGCGCCTCGGGAGGGGTTCGCGAGGGCGACCTCGGCCATCCAGCGGGTCGCGACAGCCCGGCGGTGGGGGCGAGAAGAGCCGCCGCCCCGGCAGCCTCCCTTCGCCACGCCAGGCGGCTCTCCGTTGCTGGCGAGGTCGCCCCGAGGGCATCTAGCTCACCCCGGGAGTCCCAGGAGCAGAAGGGGCGGATCCTTCTGGCGGTTTCCGGGGGGGGGGGCGTGGGTGTGCATGTGTGCTGTCCTCGGGGATCGCAGGATCTCCCCTCGCGTCGGTTTCTCCCCGCTGCCGGTCCCTCTCAGCCGCTCCCTCCCGGCTTCTTCCCGCCAGAGAAGCTGCTGCCTCTTGTTGCTCCGCTCCGCTCTTGCTCTTTTCTTCCCTCCTCCTGCCTCGGGGCTTGGGTGAGACAGCTGGTCGAAAGCTCTTGGGAGGCCCATCTTAACCCAGCGGCCTCCCAGAGCCTTTTCTGTGCTGGTCCCTTCAAAAAGTTCGGAAAGCCTGGTGGGAGAAGAAAAGAAGAAGCTGCTGCCTCCTTTGTCGGGAGGCATCTGTCATCGCCTGCATGCCCCTAGCTCAGCTGCTCCCTTGCTTCCTTCCCGCTTGAGCAGAGATGGGGACCCCATGGCCCTGCAGGTGGGGCTGGGCTTCCCGCTCCTCTGGCTGTGGACAAAGCCTTGTGGCAAAGTGTCCTGTTTCCTGGGGCAGCCTTGAGCTGTGCCATTTCAGAGCTTCAGTTCTGCTCAGGGATGTCCTTGGCCTCCCTTCCAGAGTGGCTGGAATATGGACAGCACGCTTGGTCTGCTTTTCCCAAGGCGTCCAAAGCGCCAAATAAGGACCCAATCCTATTGCTAGGGCAACATTTCTTTTTAGTGGTTGGCTGAGCGCTTCATGTTGCTTCTAATGACACTGAATCATTCTATGGGCAGGACCCCTCAAAATGGCAGAGTTGCTGAGAGGTAGGCTGTTCAGAAAGGAGCAGGAAAAAGCATTTCTGGAGAAATAGGGGCAGGAGGATGAAGATAATAGATGTTGCTGCTCAGGGAGGAGAAAGTGGCTCCCACACTGCTCTTCTGCTGTGGCCTTGGCCTCTTTTGCCCCTTTCCTGCTGTGGCCTGGGGGGGGCTCTTCTCCATGCTTTGGAGGGGGGCAAATGGCACCCACCCTTCTGCTGCTCTGTATATTCCCCAGAGGCAGGTGGGGGTACCTGATTCTCCCCTCTGTGCAGGTGACCGGCATCAAGGCCCTCTATGAGTCAGAGTTGGCGGATGCCCGGAGAGTTCTTGATGAGACGGCCAGAGAGAGGGCCAAGCTGCAGATTGAAATTGGGAAGCTGCGAGCAGAACTTGATGAGCTTGCCAAGAGGTAAGGGAAGCCATGCTGCCAGGATGCTTAGGAGTGAGCATGTCTGGGCCGGAACACGTGTTGCGCACTACCTACTGTGATGTGCTTGTCCCCGCCCACCAGCTGCAGGGGAAGGAAGCAGGGTGGAAAACCCTTTTCAGGCCACGAACCACCTTCTGAGGGAGCCGCCTGTGGTGGGAGGGGCTGGCCACCCACACATCAGAGATTGCTGCACACACATGTGCACACACTCCTTCCCCCACCCTTTGTGCAGGGAAGGCATTCTCACAGTGTGAGGATGCTTTCCACCCAGGGAGAGATTCTCAAGGGACACAGAGAGAGATCTGGAGGGCTGAATTTGGACCCCAGGCTGCAGGCTTCCCAAGGCTGGTCTTGAGGCTATCTGCTTTCCCTGCCTGCTGCTTTCCAGCAGGAAAGCATTCCCTCTCCTTAAATATTGTGGAAAGAATCTGGGGGGGGGGGGAGCAGGCTGGAGAAAAGGATGCTAAGAGCCCACCAGCCCACACATACACTGTTTTTTGCTCCAAATTACACCCCCACCCCAGGAGCTGCTTCCCTGCAGAAGGTGTGGCTCTCTGGAACTGTTTGCTGCACACCTTTTGCGTGTGACATGAAGTTAGGACCAAAGTTCTCACAAGCTCTTGGTGAGTTCGTTAGCCAGCCTTCATGCTGACATGGGGAATAGATTTGGGACCCAGTGGGTGCAGATCTCCGGGTTTTTTTCAGGAATCCACGTTGAATGAAACATTCTCTGCTTGGAGGTAAAGTTGCAAGACAATGGAGCATGGACGCTAGGGTTTATCCAGGGTTAGTGTTGCTTAGAGTAGACCCACTGAAAGTAAAAGACACGGCTGACTTTGGTCGTGGGTCTCCTCTGAATAAAACTGAGTTGCTGACAAACCATTGACTTCTCCCTGGTGTGTAAGTTTGGCTGCTCTGCTTGTGGCGAGTGCCATTTTTACTGTCCTGGATATGAGCTTTTAAAATCCTGCGCTCGCTCAGTGGTTTGCTGCTGCATCTGAAAGTGAAATTCTGCTCTGGTCAGCTGCCAGATGCTTAGCATATCAAGGTCTTGCTTTCTGCAAACCTGGAATGAGGCTCCAAATACTTTGCCCTCTGCCTTGCACTGCCTGCGACTCAGATCAGATATTGGTTGGAGGAAGAACGAGGTTTTCTGTGCTTAAAACAAAGAAACATGCACTTTAAAAATGATGCACATGTTACTTCCCAGGTCCTTCCAAGTCAGTCCTCTGATGGGATCCTGCCGTCCTTTTTTAAAAAAATAAGATTTTAATAATAGTTTTAAAAAATACATTAAGATAAAAGAACCTAATCTAAATAAGAACAAAACAGAAAGGGGAAAGAGATCACAGTGTCCTTTCTCAAAATCAACCCTTAACTCTTGTCTCACACAGAAAGTGAGCGGCCTTCCCAGCTCGCCCCTGAGAGCTTTCCTTCTCACAATCTTTTACCTGGTTTTAAAAAAATTTTTTAACCTGTTTTATTAAATTTGCTTTGTAACATAACGTTATTATATATATTCTATAAGACACAGAATATAAAACAAAATTCATACTACAGTGCATAACTACATAACGTTAATATATATGGTTTCTGAAAAAAGGCTTACATAACAAAATCAATTCAATCAATTTTTTTAAAAAAATAAAAAATTCCTCCAAACCCCCCCCCCCCCCAGTCAGGCCTTCCTTCTTCATCCATGTACACAGTCTGTTCATTCGAGCTTGTATGTTAGGGTTGGCTTCCCCCCTTACAGTTCCTGTAAAATGCCCATTTATTTGGGCATTTATTTATTATTTTTTGGCATTTATTTTCCGATCTATCCTCTACCACTATATGTGCAAATATTTCTGATTGTACGTATTTAAAAACATAATCATTCCATTTTTCCATATTCCATTTGGCCTTTTTTTTCCATCCCAAAGCAATAACTGCCATTCCAGCTAGAATCATAATCTTGTACAACTCTTGCTTATTACTTTTTACTTTGTTATTTCCCAGTATTCCCGAAAATAACAAATCCCTATTAACTTCTATGTTTATTTGAAATAATCCAAAAATTACCTTTATAACCTTTTGCCAATATTCCGTAATCAGATTACATTCCCACCACATGTGTGAATATAGTCCTTTTTCCTGACCACAATGCCGTCATTTGGGACTAAACCCTTTCACTATATACACCATTTGTGCCGGAGTTCTATACCATTTTAATAAAAAATTTCTACTTAATTCTTTATACTTTTCTATTTTAATATTTATATTCTTCATCAGTTCTTGGGCCTTGTTTGGGTGGCTCATACCTTCCTGCTCCCATTTAATCTGAATTATCCTTTTCATTCTTTGTCGCCTATCATCAGTTTATATAACACCCCTGCTATCCCTTTTTCCGTTATTTGTCTTTTGTTCAGCACCATATCTATTTTCATTTCTGTCCTCATTGTTTCCTCTGCTCTTTCTGTTTTTATTAAATCATAAAGTCCTTGCACTTTCTTTTTTTTTTTTAAATAATCTTTATTGCTTTTAAAACTTACAAGAAAAGAAAGAAGAAAATAGGCTAAAGAAAAAGACAAAATAGAGCAGAGAAGAAAAAAAAGAGAAAGAAAGGAAAAAACAATACAATACAATAAACAATACAAAACACAACCTTAACACACTAAACTAAACAAAGCAAAAGAACAACAATTTAAAAACATATCATACCATTTCATTACTCTATCTTTCATTCCCTTATTCCATCGACCTCCTCTCACCTCCCTTTTTGTATTCCACTTCTATTACTTGTTTCAGCAATTCCTTTCCATCTTTCTCTATTTTTATCATTATGAATATCTTAACATATTTTGTACCTTATTTTCCATTAATACTGAAATACTTATGCATACCTAGCTCCTTATAACATTTCTGCTAAAGCCATAAAATTTCATTCCAACAATTTTCTAGCACTCATTAAATTTACAATATTTCTATATATAAACTTTAAACTTTCCCAATCTTCTACCACCATCTCTTCTCCCTGGTCTCGGATTCTGCCAGTCATTTCCGTCCAGGTTCATCAACCTGGAGATCTTCTGTCCGAGGCTCTTAAATCTTTTCCAAGTCCCTTCTGTAGTTTTTCTTCATATTCTTTGATGCTGAGGGTGCTGAAGCGCAGGTCTTGGGGGGCCCCCAACCCAACCATGCCCCCATTCCCTCTCGACAGACCAACCAACTCTCCACAGCTTAAACCAGTGTCCATACAATATCTCAAATCATGTTTCAAGGCTCCCCCAGATCCAAAGGCCCCCACAACTCCAATCACCTCCTGACCCAGATTCAGGACCCAAAGGTCAGTAAATCTCTGCATGAAAGAGTCTATCCAACCTTCCTTCTTCAATCCAAACAGGGCTCCAATCTTCAAATTCTGACTTTTTCTATATTCATTCATAAAAGGCCTCCACTTATAGTCCTCAGTTTGCCTCTGTAAAACTGGGGCTTCCACTTGTATTATTTTAGGTTTAACAACATTAACATTCTCCTTCGTCTTCTCCCCAGTTTGTCCTGTCAAGGTAGGTTCCTGTGTCAAATCCTGAACAATTTCTGTATTAATGGTCACTTTTTGTTCCAAATTAATCACTTTTTGTCCCAAGTTCTCAAGTTTGGTATTCATAGCGTCCGTCTTCTTGTGGAGCTGTTCCAATGAATAGCTTATCTTACATAATACAGTCACTAAGGCTCCTTCTGTCAACATTCTTAAAGTCCAAGGTCGATCTCTATTTCACACAGTTCTTATCTTGCAACTGGAAAAACCCCAGCTCCACTCTTGTAACTGTTTCAAAAGCTCCCTCTAGAGGGAAACAGTCTCCACTTATATCAATCCTTTCAAACACAGTTTAAACCATAAAGATAGTTTCTTTTCCTACTTTTTAAACGCAGATGAGTACAATGAAAACAATATATTTCTCTTATTGCTAGCTGTTAAAAAACGTCACTCTTTCTGGCAGCCCGTTTCCAGGTTCGGAGCAGTGGTAATTTGGTTTTTCACTCTCTCCTGCAGGCTCACTAGGTCCAAAATTTCCCCCCTCTTCTCCTGCTTCCAAGGGGGGTTTAATAGTTTTAACTGATGGAGATTTAATCCTTTACAAAAATAAACTTTCCAAGGCTTTAACTTGCAACTTCTTTGCTTCAATCTGTTTACAAAAAAGGAAGGCGGACTTCCTGTTTAGAACCTTCCCGTTTCGATGCCAAATTAATGAATTTAAGGATCTAATTTTCCGTTCTACTCACGGGTAGTTGTTTAAAATCCAATTGTCCACAGGAAAAAGTCAGCGCTCTCCGGCAACAGCGATGCGGCTTCACTCCGTGAAAGAAGCAGTCAATTCGAAGCACCGCGCCACTCACCCCACTTCGCTCCGGATCCCCAAATCAGGGTTTCCCCGCGAGTAGGGGAGGCACAAAGGGTGCCAGCCGAATCCCAAGTTCACAGGCTTCTCCCGCCTGTGATTTCAGTGGGTCTCCGCCTTCGCCGTGGCGGTCAGACCCTAATTTCTGCGGAGCAAATTCCTCCCGATCGGAGGAACTCCGCCATTGCCTGGAGGCGCCAACCCGGAAGTCATCGTTTCCGTTTTTATTAAATCATAAAGTCCTTGCACTTTCAGCCAATATTGTTTTCCTATTTTTTCTAAAAAAACCTTTTTTTTGTAATTAAATTCCCTTCTTCATTGAACATATCTTTTAATTTGTAAAATCCCTGTTCTTCTAATTTCTTCCACCTTTGACCCTTGCATATATTTTAACAGCATCCACCTTGAGTATGTTGGCATGCATTTCATATTCCAGTTCTTCCAGATTCCTAACCCAGTTTTCCTTGGTCCTATTGTCTCTTAAAAGCCGTATTAATATCTCTATTAAATATCCCTTCTCTTCCTATTCCTTCATTTATTTCATTCTCCAGCCTTATCCATTTAATCCTATTCTTATATCCAATATCTATTAGATTTTTCAATTGGAACGTTTCATAGTAAAATTCTTAAGATCGGTATTCCCCATCCCATCTCTTCTTGAGATGAATAATTTACTATGTCTGAGGTTCTAACTCTTTTACTTCCAAAAATCCAATTTTTAAATACCTTATTCATGTTTTGAACCATATTTTCCTAATGGGTAGTGTAATTGCTTGAAATAAATATAATAATTTCGGTACCAGAAAGATTTTAACTGCTCTAATCCTACCTAGAATATATAAATTCTTAATTTTCCATGATTTTATATCCTTCTTGATCTTCCTCCACGCTTTTTTGTGATTTACATCTGAAATCCTTGCAATATTTTTAATAATATTTACCCCCAAGTATTTAATTTCCCCCCTATTGATATCCATTATTCTCATTTTTGCAATTTCCTTCTCTTTATTTACATTCCAAAATAAAATTTCAGACTTCTCCAGATTTACTCCCAATCCTGACTCCTCTTTAAAGTCCTTCAGGATTATCATAAGTTCTCTTACACCCTCTAAGGGACAGTCTTTGACCTTGGGAGGTCTTCCCTTCCCTGCTTCTCACTCAGGATCCTTCCACTATCCAGTAGGACCCTGCCTTCTCTTGGACAATGTACCCCACAAAGCAGGATCCTGACGTGTGTGGACTTATCGAGGTACGGTGGTACCTCAGGTTAAGAACCTTGCTTCAGGATGAGAACAGAAATCGTGCTCCGGCAGCGCAACGGCAACAGGAGGCCCCATTAGCTAAAGCGGTGCTTTAGGTTAAGAACGGACCTCCAGAATGAATTAAGTACTTAACCCGAGGTACCACTGTATATGCTCTATGTCCACACACCCAGAACAAGCTACTGAGGAATGACACTATTCTACCAGACGCAAAAGTCTGTAAAAGCATAAGGTCCGAGTGCTCTGGCCTCCATGGGGATGGGTGACCCACTGTGGCAGTCCAGGTGAGGGTGAGGTTTGGAAAGGTCTGGGAATCTGTTGGGTCGGCGACAGTTACTTTTCCCAGTAGCTAGGATCTCAAGGTTGATGTTACAGGTACTAGTTTCTGTGGAGGTCCCCTTTCCGGTGAAGCAGTGGCAAAGGGGTCCTTTGGTTGGACCTGTTAGGTGAGTATTGGTGAGTAAGGTTCAAAGCAGTTAAGTTCCAGGAGGCAATGTCTCCAGAGTGGTATTGTTCCAGCATTACAGCTACTGGTACTAGCAGAAGACTTTGTTGGAGGTGGCTGGGTGCGTGAGCGCAGATCCAACAGTTCTGGTAGGAGTTTCCTTAGCCACCTGACCAAGAAGTTGGATGTAGGAGTTCTGTTCCCAGGACGAAAGGAGGTCTTGCCCTAGGAAAGAAGGGTCAGCACCAAGTTGTCAAGATGCAGTGCCAATTGGGTGTAACGGGTCGGTGGTGTTCAGGAGGTGTCTGTCCTTAGCAATTCCCCCATACCTCAAAGGGCCAGCATTGTCCTACACAGGGGTGTGGGAGGGGCTTATGGGGTGGTACCAGCCCTCTAAGGACTCTGCCCCTTTCCAGTCCCGAGTAAGTCTGAGATTCCATAAGCAACAGAATCTTCTTAGGCAAAGTCCTTGCAGCTGAGGTTTCCTTAGTTCCTTATAAAGACATTGGAAGCCAATGATCAGATTTTCGGAGGGGTGGTGAGAATCTGTACAAGCGTGGGTAGCCCCTCCGGTTTCAACCTCGGTCCAATTTGGGTGTTTGGAGATCTCCCCCTGACCGTAAAGTAGATAGGTCCCGTTGGTGCACCTCAGGTGGTAATACTGATGGTCAAGGGTGAGAATGGCAGACCCCTGTATAAAGAGTTCCGAGTACTGGGTACTACTAAGTTTGGGTAGTAATGAGTGGCGCAACAGAGTTCGTGATTCAGAGTTCGAAGGCAAAGTCCCCCATTCAGTCAGGTTTGGATTTGTCCCCTGAATCTGATTAAAAGGCCGAGGATCAGTTCCATGTTCGATTAGCTGGCAAGGCAAGGAGAATGGAGTGGCGACTGGTAAACCGATGCAGCTGTCAAAATGAAGTGGTAAGCTGTCAAACAAGGGAAATGCAGCGGCGAGTTGTCAGAACAAAGCGGGGAAATGAAGCGGCAAGCTGTTACTGGCGTTTGAGGCGTAGCTTGATCGCAGTCGCGTCTGGGACAACTTCGGAGGTCCAGATGTGCTCGGAGGGGGTATCTGGTCTGGTCTGTAGGGCCCGATCCTGACCCCGATCTGGTCCGGTCTGTTGGGCCCGATCTTGACCCCAACCTGGTCCGGACTGTTCCTTCTCCTCGTCTATGTAGGAGGTTGCAGCAGGAGGCGGGGTGACAAAGGTGTCTTCTCCCTGGCTCTTCTGCACCTCCTGGGGTGGTTGGGCTGCCTTGCACCTCGTGTGGTGTAGCCAAGCGTTCTTTTCTCCAACCTTCACGGCAGTGGGTGAGGTAAGAAGCACTTGGAACGGACCCTCCCAAAATAGCTTCTGGTACACCTTTACCAGGCTCCAGTCCCCTGGGTGGAAGGGGTGTTCTGGGACGTTGATTCTGTCCCTCTACGGCAGCATACTTGTGGAGATGTTGCAACCATTTCTTAAGCTGAACAACATAATTAATAAGTTCTGCTTCCCCCACATCAAGTTATGAGAGGGGAAATAGCATGTTATAAACGGGAGACCTTGCCAACAAAGGTCCGTATAGTAAAAGCTATGGTTTTCCCAGTAGTGATGTATGGAAGTGAAAGCTGGACCATAAAGAAGGCTGATCGCCGAAGAATTGATGCTTTTGAATTATGGTGCTGAAGGAGTCTCCTCTTGAGAGTCCCATGGACTGCAAGAAGATCAAACCTCTCCATTGTTAAGGAAATCAGCCCTGAGTGCTCACTGGAAGGACAGATCATGAAGCTGAGACTCCAATACTTTGGCCACCTCATGAGAAAAGAAGATTCCCTGGAAAAGACCCTGATGTTGGGAAAGATGGAGGGCACAAGGAGAAGGGGACGACAGAGGAGAAGATGGTGGGACAGTGTTCTCGAAGCTACCAGCATGAGTTTGACCAAACTGTGGGAGGCAGTGGAAGACAGGAGTGCCTGGCGTACTCTGGTCCATGGGGTCACGAAGTCGGACACGGCTAAATGACTAAACAACAACAACAAAACAGGGGAGGGTCTCCCAAACAAGAGTTCAAATGGGGATAGTTTCAAAGGTCACGTGGGAGCGCTCCGAATAGTATGGAGAACTAGTGGGAGCGCATTAACCCATTTTAGTCCGGTGGTACTACAAAGGTTTTCCAGTTGAACCTTTACCTCCTGGTTCATGCACTCTACTTGCACTGATGAGGCTGGGTGGTAGGGTGTATGGAGCTCCCACTTTATCCCAAGAGCTCAGGCCACCTGTTGGATTACTTCTGCAGTAAAGTGGGTTCCTCTGTCGCTGTCCAGTTGATAGGGTACCCCATATCGGGGAATGATGTCCTGTAAAAGGGCCCTGGTGACTACTGAAGCGGTTGCTTTCCTGCAAGGGCTTGGCCCCCAGGTGAAGGTGAAGAGGAATTGACTTTCAGGGGCTAGAGGGATACTGAAGAATGCAGAACATAGATCAGCAGCGCTGTACAATGTGGTTCCTGCTTGGATGGCATTTAGGAGGGAATTTGGGTTGCCCAACAGCAGGTGGCGTATTACAAGTTGATTTAAGTTGAGTTAAGTAATTTTCTGCCAAGGAGGTTTACCAGGCTACTGGTTAGAAGGAAGGTGTGTTCCGCTAGGAAGGTTCCCAAAGTAACCTTTGCTGGGTGGGAGAGTGGACACGTGCAGGGTATCCCGTCCAGCCCCATAACCTTCCTGGTCTCCAATTCAGGTTCAAGGTGACTGAGGGTTGAGTATGTGGTTCCCGTATCCAGCAGCCATTCGTAGCGATGCCCATTGATCTCAATCGTGCAAATAGGGTCTTCAGGTGATAGTGCACGGATGGGGCAGATGGTTTGGGTTCACTCGGGATACCCCGCTAATTGTCAATAAAACTCTCCTCCCATCATTATATCGAAAGGAGGAGGTGGCAGATCTGGGAGTGGAGGTGCTTGTTGGTGATAGGGTGCAGCCGAATGGCCTCCGTATCCCTGAGTGGTATGAGGACAGGATGGGAAAGAGGCATAATTATTGCCTCTCATAGGGAGGAGATTTAAATTCCTGCCCCGGAAGTTTCCTGTGTTGAGGTATGGGCAGAACTTCTTTATGTGTCCCTCTTCTTGGCAACGATAGCAACCCCCTCCGGAAGGGCCTCAGGGTCTGTGTATACTAGGGGGTTCTCGTCCCTCCATCATCTGGTGCCCCTACCCCAGTAGGAAGTGGGTTCCATGCTCAGGGCTAGCACATGTTCGCTCTCCTGCTTGGGCTCTTTTTCTCTCGTCGCGGGTGTTAAAGATAGATTTTGCTATTGATAGATGGAATCTCGCTTATACTTTTTCCATTGTAGCCAATCTGCAGGTTGAGAGCCTTTCTAATATCTGTGTTGGCTTGATCTTTGAAGAAACCCTTCACTATGACTTCATGCTGGGATTTTTCTGGGTCTATTCATCCCCAAGTCTTAATAGCTGATACAAGCCTCGTATAATAGTCAGAGGGATGTTCATTTGGTCCTTGTAGGATGGATTGGACATTGGTCCAATTGACAGTATGCTGCCCAACAGCTTTTATACTGTCTAATATAGCCTTTTTTGGAGATATCTAAACACCAGATCCCATTTTCAGTGTTGTAGTCCCAGGTTGGCTCATTTCGCAGAACGTGAGTCATGAGTGCCTTCACCCCTTGGGGTCGGTTTGTCTGATAGTCTGGGAGTTCTAGTGCCTCTCCTGCCTTTGTTAGGATGTCTGCCTTCTCAGCTTCATTAAAGAGAGCGTTCAAGAGAACGTGAACGTCTGGCCACGTGGGTTTATGAGTGGAGAAAATGGTGCTCACTTGCCGGTGGCATTTATCTGGGTCATCTCTTAAGGAGGGCATTTGGTTTGACCAGGTGACTAGGTCTGCAGTATAAAAGGGGTGGTGTGTATATACCATTCAAGGAGGTCCGTTAGCTTCTAAAGGTGGGATTGGTAGTGCCTTTAGAAGCATCTGAACCGCTGACTGGCTAGAGGTTCCCGGTGGCTCAATTGGTTCTTCTCGTTGGATAAGGTTTTCTGGTGTGGTGCCCTTTTTTGCCTTGGTTTGTTGGCAAGTGAGTACCTTGCTGGTGCCCCCCTGCTCCTCCTCCCCTTTGCTCAGTGTCACTGTCTGAGTCATTGGTAGGGGCTGATGGTGCTGCCCCTTGGTAATAAAAGGGGATCAGAGCCTGTTCGATGGAGTCATCGGTCGGGAGTCCCTTGTGGGGGGGGAAGGTTTTTCTGGTTTTAGCAGGGTAGTTGTAGTGATGGAGCTTCGTGAGGAGCCTGAAGTATTCCTCTAACTGCCTCAAAGGCGGCTAGGTACTCTAGTTGGCGAGGTTTCTCTTCCATCAAGTGCTTTCTTGGGGAATTTAAGCGGTCCCTGTTAAAGGATCCATCCGGTGGCCAGTGCAGTTCGGGTTTCGCGGAGGCTATACCGGTGGGCCAGGACTCTCTGCATAGATCTTCTAACTTCTGCTTAGACTATGTCCCAGTATCAATTTCCAATAAGTTAGTACAAATTCAAGAGGGGAGTCAGGGTCCCTCTGGGATTGGGATGGCTTCCGTGAAGCCTTCCTCCTGGAGAGAGCCCACTCATGTTTGGAAGCTTGGGTACCCATTTCTTAATTCATGCGTGTCTAGGATAAAAAGGGGGAAAGAAAAGGGGGGTCGGTAAGGGCTCCAGTTAACCTGTATAGGGGTTTTCTCACTGATTCTTCTATCCTCCGTTAACTAGCAAGTTTCACAGGGTTTCCCTCGAGTCCTGAGCTATCTGGCCTCTTCCCCAGACCTTCGGCACTCATCTTTCCTTTTTCCTTATTCCCAGGGTGTTTTCTCACTCTGCCCTGTCCTGCCCAGTTCCTCCCAGGTTATCCCTCCTGGTAATCTACCTATCATTGCAAACTTAAGAAAAGGGACCTTACTGGATGCCTGCACCTTGCGGTGCCAGCTCTGGCAACCCCTGGATGGATTTTTGATCTGGAATACCCCCCCCCTTGCTTTCAGAAGCGGGCTCATGCACGAGACACGTTACATGGCACGACTGGTGCGGCTGGGGTTCAGACAGAAAAGGCAGTCCCTTCGAGCCCCTTGCTTTCAATAGGACACCCGTTTGCAGAGAGGTGGGTTTTTGAGCCAGTCCTCTCCGTCTTATTTTCAGGCTCCTAATGGGGCAGCTGGCTGGAAGTTCAGAAAAAGAGCTCCAGCCCCTTGCTTTCAATGAGATGCCCGTTGCAGTGAGGTGGGTTTTTGAGCCGGTCCTCTCCGTCTTACTTTTGGGCTCTCGATTGGTGCGGCTGGCTGGAGGTTTTAAGATAAAGAGATGGAGCTCAGAACTCCCCTCTCGAGTTGAGCAGTGGTCCATGGTCTCTCGCACAAACTGTACCAAGAGAAAGGTGAGGAAGAACGATAGATAAGAGGTCAGAGAATTCAGTTGCCAGGACATCACCACTCCCTTCCCAGCAGTGCATTGGATTTTAACCTATACTTGCGCGTCTTCTGTTGTGATCCCGGGATTGATGAATAAGCCAGCCGGATCTCCCTTTGCTCCCTGGTTTGGCCTCTCGAGGCTAATTGATTACCGCCCCTGAAGATGGCCAGGGGTCCAAAGGGATCTTCCCAGGCAAAAGGGGCCCGGTGCCAGATGAAGATTTCAGCCACACAGGAGAACCGCAGCCCCACATTGGGTGCCAAACTGTTATGGAAAAATCTAGGTGCGAGGCTTCTCAGCCATCTAGCTCGTCAGGCAGAGCCCTTGGGTCCCTGTGGAACAAAGAAGGAGCTCAGCCAACAACCGGAGCAAATTGGTGAAGATCCACATTTACTGAGCAACAGGTTCAAAAGGAGATTGAACCTCAAGGATGGGGTGACAAGGACTTTTTAAAACTTCACACTATCTCCCAAGATACAGTTCAAAAAACATCATCGCTATTATATCATCACTACATCAGAAAAGGGGAGGGTTAAACATGATTAACATATTGGGTACGAGGGGAAAACATGCAAATACAGGATATGTATTGAGAAGCACATTCTAAGTACCTACAATAAGAAAACAATAGGAACTTGGTTTGCAAGCCCGGAGGAAGGGCTTGGCCGGTGAATTTGGCATCAATAGGGTATTTCCTGTGTGTACGTGTTCTCTCACTTTGGGGTTTATGGCGAGTACCAGGTGGTTTCCAAGTCCTCGGATAATAAAGCAGATTGGCAGTGGAAGCCAAAGAATTGGTGAAACTAGTGATTTTCTATGAATTTCTATGTGTTTTTTAGGCTTTTAAATATGGTAGCTGTCCATTCAGAAATGACTGGTTATGCTGTATCAAGTTTGATTGGATTAACAAGGTTACAAGGTTTCAATAGATTCAGTCCATTGTTCTCTCAGCGGGGAGCTGTCAACAGCTTATCAGACGACCAGCAGGTTAAAGGTGTACAGGTCGGAGCTAAACATTACAAGCTAAGGGCCTTTGCAGATGATTTAGTACTTACTTTACAAGAGCCAGACACTAGTACAAAAAGGGTGTTGGAACTAATCCAAGAATTTGGCCAGGTAGCTGGATTTAAATTGAATAAACAAAAGACTAAAGTTCTGGAAAAAAATTTAACAGTCATGGAGAGGGAGAAGTTCCAGAATGAAACAGGTTTGACAGTGGTAAAGAAGGTGAAATACCTAGGGGTTTATTTGACATCTAAGAATATGAACCTGTATAAAGACAATTATGAAAAATGTTGGTCGGAAATTAAAAAAGATTTAGAAATATGGTCAAATTTGAAATTGTCAATGTTAGGCCGAATTGCAGTTATTAAGATGAATGTATTGCCTAGAATGCTATTCTTGTTCCAAACATTACAAATTCTAGACAAGATAGACTGTTTCAAGAGGTGGCAGAAGGATATTTCGAAATTTGTCTGGCAGGGCAAAAAGCCCAGAATAAAATTCAAAATATTGACGGATGCAAAAGAAAGAGGGGGGTTTGCCCTGCCGGACTTAAAACTGTATTATGAAGCAGCAGCTTTTTGCTGGCTGAAAGAATGGATGCTCCTCGAGAATACAGACATTTTGGACTTAGAAGGTTTTAATATTACATTTGGTTGGCATGCATATTTATGGTATGATAAAATTAAGGTGCATAGGGCCTTTAAAAATCATATTGTCAGGAAAGCATTATATAACGTTTGGATAAGATATAAAGATTTGGTGGAAAGTAAGACCCCTAGATGGTTGTCACCTTTGGAAGCTACGGCGTTGAAAAAGCTTAATATGGAAGCCGAATGGCTAAAGTATCGGGAAATTTTGGAACAAGATGGAGATAAGTTGAAGCTACAGAGCTATGAGAAATTGAAACCCAAAGTACGAGATTGGCTCCATTATTATCAAATAATGGAGGTGTATAAACAAGACAGGAAAATTGGCTTCCAGGTGGAGAAATCAAAATTAGAAACTGAACTGTTAGAACCCAATACTAAGAACTTGTCAAGAATGTATAATTTGCTGCTGAAATGGAATACACAAGATGAAATAGTTAAATCAGCTATGATTAAGTGGGCACAGGACATTGGTCATAACATTATGTTTGCTGACTGGGAATGGTTGTGGAACACCGGTATAAAATTTACGGCATGTAATGCCATAAAGGAAAATATTATGAAAATGATCTATAGGTGGTACATGACTCCAGTCAAGCTAGCAAAAATTTATCATTTGCCTGATAATAAATGTTGGAAGTGTAAAGAAACTGAAGGTACTTTTTATCACCTTTGGTGGACGTGCCCAAAGATTAAGGCTTTCTGGGAAATGATATATAATGAATTAAAAAAGGTACTTAAATGTACTTTCCTGAAGAAACCAGAGGCCCTTCTCTTGGGCATTGCCGGCCAATTGGTATCAAAGAAAGACAGAACTTTTTTTATGTATGCTACGACAGCAGCAAGAATACTTATCGCAAAGTATTGGAAGACAGAAGAACTACCCACCTTGGAAGAGTGGCAGATGAAGGTTATAGACTATATGACATTGGCTGAGATGACTGGCAGAATCCGTGAACAGGGGAAAGAGACGGTGGAAGAAGATTGGAAGAAATTTAAAATCTATCTAAAGAACTATCATAAAATTGAGGAATGTTAAAATGTCGAGGTTTGGAGAAAGAAAAGGAGATTACAGCGACATAAGATTAAGTTGAAGAAAAAAAAATAAGAAAAATATATTTGATAAAATTATTTAGAATTTGCTGAAATAATTTTGGAAATTGGGATGTAGGAAGGGGGGGTTTGGGGGAGTCAGAGAAGAGAGGGTTATGAAAAAAAGGTTATGAAACTATACATGTTTGTATGTCTTTTTATTTGTTTGTATTGTATAAAACATGTCTGTAAAATCAATAAAAAAATTATATAAAAAAAAAAGAGAGCAAATGAGGCGTGCAAGAGCTCGAGCTGAGCTGCTTCTGTAGAACCAAAGCGTTACATTGATTGGCTGGAGGCTGCATTTGGCGCGGTCTGATTGGTTAGAACGCATCCTCATGTAAATAGAATGTTCATTCACAAAATACACTGGCTGTTTATCCGATCTACTCATGGAAAGAATGGGGCGCAGGGAGGGAAAAGACACCATTATTTTCGGGGCTTGGGTTTCGTGTGGTGCTTGGTGCAATACAGTGAAGGGATTAGGGGGTCTCTGCAGGGCAGGGTGTCCTTGAAGTCATTGCCTCGAGCCCTCCAAAGTCATCCTTGGAAGTAAGACCTCATCAATATGCCCCCCCTTCCGTTCTGTAACAAATGTCTGTTGCAATCTTCAATGTCTGCTTGTTTGATTCTCATCTCTCTGCTTTCTATTTCCAGGTGGCTTACCAGTTCATCCAATTTCTTATTGATGCATGCGTTCTCCTCAGTATTGCTCTATTCTTTCTTGCATTTGGTTCTTGTTCTCTAGAGCTTTCATTTTGGAGGTTAGATTGTTGCTTAATATCTGCAGGGGAGCCACTGTGGCCTTCAGTGTTTCTGCTAATCTCACTTCCATTTCCATTAGTTGCTGGGTGGTCATCATCTTGAAGGGGTGTTGGGGTCTCAGCGCTATTTGCCATCTCCCTGGTTGGTGTCCTCTCAATCTCTCTAATGGTTTTGGTTTGAGTCTACTTGGCATCCTCTTGGAGTAGGGCGTGTTGCGGTTAGGAGTTGTGGTGGTGATGGTTCCTGGATGTTGTTGGGTTGCTGAGCTGAACAGGCGTTGTTGACTGGTGGCTTTTACAGAGCGTTTGGGTTAGGTGGCCGTTTGTGTCGAGTCTAGGCTGTGTTTTAAGAACTTCTCGGGTTCACGTGGTCACCTCAGCAGTGCCACCAGAGTGGGGGGTAGGTAAGCTGACAGGCGTGTAGACCAACAGACAGTCGCATAAAACGGGGTTGGGTTAACAGACAGAGATGCGAGAGACCAGAGGAGTGGGCCAAGGGAAAAGTGTGTTTGAGGGAGGTTATTTGTGGGTGCACCCATGTGTACACACCTGCACACTTATATATGCTAAAGGGATACTAGGGTCCAATGAAGGTGGAAGGCGGGGTTAAGAACAGGACCAGACAAAACAGAATATAGGCAAAGGGTGGAGGGAAAAGAGAAAGAAGAGAAAAGAGAGAAGAAACAAAGAAAAAGAAAAGGAGGGAAGAAGGGGAGATTAGAGTAAAATAAAAGGAAAAAGAAGAGAAAGTAGAGTAATAACAGTGGTTATAGATTGCAGTGATTTAGCTATAGTATGAGAGGGGAAAGTATACTACAGTGGTATGTGTGTAAGAGTATGTGTTTTCTTTAAAGAGAGGGGGGAAAGGGGGCGGGGATGTAGAGAGGGAGGGGGAGAGAGAAGGAAGAGGAGACATGGGAAGAAGAAGAGGGGGTGGGGAGGGAGAGGTAACTGTAGCTGTGGCAGTGGTGTGGGGGGAAAAATGTTTTAAAGGGGGGTGGGGGGGAGAAAGGGCTCCCCCTTCAAAAACAGACCGACACACAGGCTCTACTTCCTTTTTTTTATACTAATTTTTATTGATTTTCAAATATACATCTAATTCCATATCAAAATTTTTCACAAATTATCTCTTTTGGACTTCCTTCAGCTTCTCTGACAATCATCCATATTTAATTTTTGATCATACATTCCCTTATTTAGTATTGCCTTTAAGTATACCCTCCCAATCATATTTCATTTTGACAATACTCCTCAAATTTCACAGAACTTCTTGAAACCCCACCAGCGTTGTTTGCTCATCGCATATACTTTTCAGATACTCGACAAATTTCCCCAGTCCTCGATGAACTTTTGGTCACGTAGATATCTGATCTTCCCAGTTAATTTGTCCAGTTCTGCATAGTCCATCAGTTTCATTCTCCATTCTTCGAGCGTTGGTAATTCCTCCTGTTTCCATTTTTGGGCCAATAATATTCTTGCTGCTGTTACTGCGTATTGGAAAAGTTTACAGTCCTTTCTATGTATTTCATTTCCTACCATTCCTAAAAGAAAAGCCTCTGGTTTCTTTACAAATGTATATTTTAACATCTTTTTCAATTCATTATATATCGTCTCCCAGAAGCCTTTCACTTTCTTACAATCCCACCACATATGATAGAATGTCCCTTCTTTTTCTTTACATTTCCAGCATTTATTACATGTCTTAAACATTTTCACTAATTTTGCTGGTGTAATGTACCATCTGTATACCATTTTCATAACGCAGTACATATACCTTTAATGCAGTACATGCTGTGAATTTTAAATTTTCCTTCCATACCTTAACCCAGTCATCAAACTGTATATTATATCTAGATGTCCGCAAGCCTTCCGTGCCCGGCGGGAGGTCCCGCCGGGCGCGCAAGGCTTGGGGCGGCAGCCTGCAGCCCGAAGCACGGGGCGCACTGCAGAGCACGCCCCGTGCTTCGGGCAGATGTCCGCAAGCCTTGCGTGCCCAGCGGGAGCTCCCAGGCTCGCAAGGCTTGCGGATAGCAGCCTCTTCTGGGGTCGGGGGAAGCTCAGGCTTCCCCCGCCCCAGCCCCGCAGCTGGGGGGGGGAAATAATTTTTTTTTATTCATCCCCCCCCCAAAAAAACCCCCCCAAGGTGCATCCTATGAGCCAGTGCGCCCTATAGGGCGAAAAATACGGTAATTTCCAAATGTAGCCGTTCCCCACAAATCTAGGAGGTAGTTTTCCTGTCACCCTTTGTGTGCGTGTATATACGCACACGAAAGACACAGAGGTCATATGTTTGCTATGCAGGAACACTTCCCTTGCTGTCTGTCAGTTCGGCTCTGATTGCCAGAGGCAGAACGACCTGGTGCTGCAATGCTTTGAGGAGGTGCTCTGCCCATAGCCCCAGGGTGAGGAGGGGCCAGATCTTGCAGGAGTTTGTTACGACTCGGATGACAGTGGAAGCTGCTTTTGAGTCTTCCTTTCTTTCCTTCCTTAGCTACAAAAAGAAAGATGGGGAGTGGTCCACATCTCAGGGCCGCATCAAGGAGCTGGAAGTCCTCTTCCATCGGAGCGAAGCAGAACTCACGGCAACCCTGACAGAGAAGCGCAACCTGGAGGCGGAGGTGGCCGACCTGCGTGCACAGCTGGCCAAGGTAAAAGGGGGGGGTTACCACAGCAGAGGCAGAGAGCATCCTGAGAAGCAGCAGGGAAGGGGCCGTCTGCAGTCGCTCCATAGGCATCATCTTCATCCCTGGTTCCCGATTTCCTGATCCCAGAATAGCCTGGCTGCGGGTCAGCTGTGTGCAAGGGCCTCCCTTGTCTCTGGGCTGAGCTCCTGCTGCTTTGAGTCTCTTGCTGATGCTAAGATGCCAAAATGAAGTCCCGGCACCAGGTTCCTTGGCTCCAGTAGTCTGGCAGCGTGAGGAAGCCAGAGGCTGTTTCCCTCATGGCCTACTTGGAACCATGGGAGTCCTTGGCTGAGTCCTTGGGGTTGCCCCAAACTTGAACAAGGCCTAAGAAATGCTGGCGTTTCAGCACCTGCCTGTAGCCGAAGGAACACATTGGGAGGTTTCATCCCTCCCCCTCCCCCCACCATTTCTCACTCCAGGAGCTGTGTGGAAGCTGTTCCTCTCTGGACCAAATTATTCTTTGTCAGGTGCTGAAATTTGTCCTCCTGTTTGCTCTGATGGTGCTAATGTGCCACATGAGGCTCATCTTGGACGGGGGGGGGACAGGGCTTCTCTAGGAGTTGCTGACTGCTGGTGTTTTGGGGGTGGAGGCACACTATCTGGGACTCCCTCCGCCTACATGGTTGAACTCCTTCCACAAGGAGTACTCATAGTCAGTATTTGCATGTCTAAATTGGGAGGCCAGTCTGCGGCAGTGCTGCCAACAGCATAAGGTGCTGTGCTAAGTGCCTTCTCAGAGCCCCCAGCCACCCTGCTTGGTTGCATCCAGCAAGGCTGTGGAGGCCTTGGCTCTGAATGGGCTTGGAAAAGGCACAGTCAGAATTAGGCCCCTATGCAGCTGCTAGAACTGCATGTGTGAATTGAGGCTGACCATGTCTCGTGTTGAGCCAAGAGGTTGGGCAGGCAGTGGGAAGTGTGCAGGACCCATCTCCAGCACCACTCCCCTGGACATTTGGACACTTGCTCCCCTTTCACACTCTCTGCCTTCAATGCCTTTCCCAGTCAGAAGATGGTCATGCTGTGGCAAAGAAGCAGCTGGAGAAGGAGACTCTGATGCGGGTGGACCTGGAGAATCGCTGCCAGAGCCTGCAAGAGGAGCTTGACTTCAGGAAGAACATTTTTGAAGAGGTAGAACCTGCTGCTGCTGGGTTGCTTGGGCTGCGGCTGCCATTGGGTGGGGTGGGGTGAGTGGCAGGGAGGGAGAGGAGACAGGGCCCCCTTCTCCATCACGGTCCTGCTGGGATTGAGCTGTGAAGGAGAAGGGTCCCTTTGAGCATGCCAGGGAAAAGTAGCCACCTATCCTGCTGTTGGTGTTCCTCACATTTGTCCCCACCAGGAGCATTTTCCCTGATGCCTTTTTTGCTTTGGTCACCAGGGAGCAGGGTGTGCACCCAAGGAGCTTCATTCCTTTCCTCCAAGTCCCTCTCTTATGCTGGAGGCACTTGTGTGACCCTGTATTGGCGGTGGGGGAGCAGGAGTCCCTTCAGACCCCAGCTGGCAGCTCAGAGGTGCAAAGGGCAGGCTTGGTCCAGCACCCAGATCACTCCCCAGCCCAGATTTTGGGGCTGGATGTGAGGTGGGGACGGTGGCACCTGATGACTGGATTTCCTGGATGTCTGCAGTGGGTCATGCCCACCCTTGGGACCTGCTGCTTGGGGCTGGGAGGCAGGAGACCTCTCCTACCACCCAATTCCCTCTTGAGGTTTCTCTGCATTTTATGAATCTTCCTGGAATAGGCATTTGCCAGCACTCTCCACCCCGAATGGGCGTGAGAAAGTGAGTGTGATGATGTACCTCTCAGTCTTCCTGTTGTGTTTGGGCTGGTGTTTCCTGGACGGGGGCCTTGAGGAGTGGTCCTTGAGGGCCTTGGTTCCTGCAAGGGGTCTTGCGAGCCTGAGCCCTGGCCTGGGTTTGCTCCCCACTCTCAGGAGGTGCGGGAGACACGGAAGCGGCACGAGCGCCAGTTGGTGGAGGTGGATAGCAGCCGCCAGCAGGAGTGCGAGTCCAAACTCTCCCAGACGCTAGAAGACCTTCGCCGGCAGCATGACGAGCAGGTCCGGCTCTACAAGCTGGAGGTGGAGCAGACCTACCAGGCCAAGGTGAGGGAGGAGGCAGGTGCTGAGGGGGCTGGGAAAGGCTTGGCGTGGGAGGGGGCTGCTGTCCATTTGGCCTTGCACTCCTTCCACGTCGGTGGCCAGGAGTGCTTCTGGGCAGCTCTGTTCAAGGGGCTTCAGGAGCTCCCTCCTCCTGGAATCTGTTGCTCTCTGTGGTGTTCCTTGGCGTTGGGGGCGGGGGGGGGGGAGTGCCCAGTGCCTTGTACAGCAGATCTCCAGGCAGAAGAGCCCTGGGAGCAGCCTGACGCTTTCCTCCATCTCCCTTCAGCTGGAGAATGCCAAACTCTGCTCCGATCAGAACGACAAAGCTGCCAGTGCTGCTCGGGAGGAGCTGAAGGAGGCCCGCGTGAGGATTGAATCCCTCAGCTACCAGCTTTCAGGGCTGCAGAAGCAGGTGAGGTAAAGGGAGCCTCTCACACCCCCTTCTGCCTTCCAGTCCCAGCTCTGGACTGGCCGGGGCTGTCCTGGTCTCACAAAGCTACCTTGTACTACGTGTGCCCTTTTATACCTCGCGGAGAAGCTCCTGTGTTTATTTGTAGTAACTCCTTTCAGCTCAGGACAGTGTTTCTCGTATGGGATTGTTCAAGTGTTCCTTTCCAGTCGATTGTTTCTGAGCCAGGCCTTCCCTGTGGGGTTGGCCCTGCCCTTGGGCTGGGTGAGGGAGGGGGTGCTTGCACAGTGCTTTGGCCCTAGCCCCCCTTTCCTTTCACAGTGCCCTTCCACCCGGGAGGCTTTCTATCTCTGGGTCCCAGGCCAGTGCTATTCTTTCTCCTGCAGGCGAATGCCGCAGAAGACCGGATACGGGAGCTGGAGGAGCTGATGGCTGGTGAGCGAGAGAAGTTCCGGAAGATGCTGGACGCCAAGGAGAGGGAGATGACAGAGATGCGGGACCAGATGCAGCAGCAGCTGATGGAGTACCAGGAGCTCCTGGATGTCAAGCTGGCCCTGGACATGGAGATTAGTGCCTACCGGAAGCTCCTCGAAGGGGAAGAGGAGAGGTACGGAGGGAGGAAGCAGGGAGAGAGAGGAAGGAGCAGAGCGCACATGGGTGCTCCTCTGTGTTGGGCAGTGGCGCCAGCAGCTTGGTTCTTTGCCTGGATGGGCTGCAGGCCCTTCCCTCATAGCTCTTGCCCGCTGACCCTCGCCTGCCTTTCCCTGCCAGGCTGAAGCTGTCCCCCAGCCCCTCAGCCCGTATCACTGTCTCGCGGGCCACCTCCTCGTCCAGCAGCGGCATTTCCGCCACCCGCTCCTCCCGGGGGAAGCGGAAGCGCCTGGAAATAGCAGAGGAGCTCTCTGGCAGTGGCTCCAGCGGGTTGGGCACCAGGAGCAGCAGTGCCAGCAGTAGCAGCGCCTTCCAGACTTCCCAGCAGGCTTCTGCCAAGGGCAGCATCAGCATCGAGGACGTGGACCCAGAGGGGAAGTATGTTCAGCTGAAGAACCGCTCTGACAAGGTAGGCTGCAGGAAGAGAGGTCTTGGCTCAGAAGCACTGTTGGGGCCTTCAGGCTTCCCTCCTTGACTGGCCTGGCCCTGGGGCTGGTTTTGCTGCTCCCTGAGTCCCGCTGCTTCTCCCTCAGGATCAATCTCTTGGGAACTGGAGGCTGAAGAAAAAGATTGGCGAGGGAGAAGAGGTGGCTTACAAATTTACCCCAAAATATGTCCTCCGGGCTGGGCAGGCGGTCACAGTAAGTCATGGTTCTTTCCTCAGGAGAAAAGGCCTCCTCATTGGAAGGGAGGGTATTGGTTGCCCAGTATCCAGAGACCTCCTCACGCTCTGCCCGCTTCCGTGCCCGACGCAGAACCTCCTTGGTTGTTTCCTGCAGCCTGTGGAGAAAAGGCTCCCTGCGACTGGGGGGGTGGTCCCTGCAGGAAGCCCAGATGCCTCTGCCACTTGGAGGGCTGGCCATTGGGGTCAGCTTGGAGGGCTGCTCCCTCTGGCGTGGTGAAGGATCAAGGGTGCCCTGCCTGTGAATGAGGGAGTCTCTTTCTTGCTAGATCTGGGCAGCTGATGCTGGGGTGGCCCACAGCCCACCTTCTGTCCTTGTGTGGAAGCACCAGACCAGTTGGGGCACCGGGACCAGTGTCCGCACCTACCTGGTGAACTCTGATGGAGAGGTAGGTCCTCCGAAGGGGGGCACTGTGGGTGGGGGGGGGGGTGGAGGTGCTGGAGAAGCCAAATAGTGAAGAAAAGGTTGCCTTGCTTTTGATGCAAGGACATGACAAAGAAGCTGCCTTTGAGCATTCACTGAGCACCTGCTACACTCAACATGAGCTGCGTTTCTCCTACTTCTTCTCAGGAAGTTGCTGTGAGGAGTTTGACTCAGTCATCTGCTGTGCTGCAGGACAACGGGGAGGAAGATGAGGAGGCAGAGTTTGGGGAGGAAGACCTCTTTCACCAGCAGGTAGCTGGAAGAAAAAACACTTCCACCCACCCACCAAGGGTTGAATTGATTGGGGCCTGACTGCAGCCATGGCTTGGGGGTGGTTCCAAGGAGACAACGGGGTACCTTGGTCTCTCCCAAGGGGCAGCTGCGCGCGCTCTCTCTCTCTCTCTCTCTCTCACACACACACACACACAGCGAGGCTGAGCAGCTTAGGCCCAGCCTTTTAGTTATCAAAGGTTAAGGAGTTGGGAGTTGACTCTGCTCAAGAAAGGAAAGTGAAGAAATTGGCCAAGTCAGGAGTCTCTTCCTCCCTGGGGTGGCAGAGGGAGCGTTCCTGGGTCCTGACTCACTTTGAAAAGGGGAGGACTTGTGAGGGTAGATTCTGGGAGGGAGGGACTCCCAGCTGCTCATCTCTGCTGTGGGTGGTGCCCAGGAGCTGCTCTTCTTTCCTTCCTGCACCCAACTGGCTGTGGCACACACACCCTGCCTCTCTCTAGGGTGGTCGGTCCCCAAGTGGTAGAAGCTGCTAAGAGGACAGCTAGGCTGAGCTCTATCCAAGTTGCCTCTCTGATCTTTAGCCAGGGCAGGAGAGAGGGTTCTGCCGGGGCCACCTGGGGAGCTTCCTGATGCCCCTCCTTCCTTCTCTATCTCCAGGGGGATCCCAGGACCACCTCCAGGGGCTGCACCGTCATGTGAGAGGAAGGGAAACCGTCTCTGCTCGTCTTTTCTCCTTTTTTTGCTCTGCCCAGGGACTCTGCCCAGAGTCACTGAAACTATTTTTATACATTGCATATGATCACTCCTTTTTTTCTTTCTTTCTTGGAGATGGTTCCTTAGTAAACTTCTTAAAGAGAGAACTTGAATCAGCCAGAACTGCCACCATCTTTTGAAGATTTGCTTTCCCTTTACAATGCCTGTGGTCTACTTTGTTGTCTTACTTGCAAGCCAAAGAGTGATGCAGCTCCAGGAGTTTCCAGGGAAGAGAAAGCATGGCTGAAGTTGTCACTCTGGAGTGGACAGTCTGCTTCTGTGGCCCTCCTGTTCTTGTACTGGGGGGAGGTGGTCAAGCGGTGACCCTGGGTGTAAGCCTGCCTGTGCCCTCAGGGGCAACCCCAGTGGTTGTGCAGATAAAACCAGGTGGCAAATGTGAGGATTAATGATATTTTCATGCCATTGACCCTAGATGTGCCTCAGAAAGCCTGGAGCTCCTAGAACAGAATGACTCTTGCAACAGTTTGGGCAGCTCTGTGGAGCATGGAGGTCTCAGAAGCTGAGATGAAGTGAGAAGCACTGATTTAAGGCAAGGCTTGTTTGAAGTCATTGCAGAACTTCCTCTGCCTAAGTTCTGCTGCCATGCTTTCAAGCAGGGAACAATCCTAACCATGTCTGCTCGGAAGTAGGTCTTGTTGATTTCAGTGGGGCTTACTCCCCAAGTGAGGTTAAGATTGCTGCTTCCTTGCGGAATGACCCTAGAAACAGGGTTGTATCAAATCAAGTCAAAGGCCCACTGAATCCAATGGATGCAACTCACTTGAAGGCCAGCCCTTACGAAGTCTAGATTTTGTGGGAACTGTTTCTGCCCTCAAAATCCAGAGTTGAGCCCTCACACAAGACGTGTTGGATGCTGAGATTCCGCTTGGAGGTCTGTGTTGCTCCATCCTCTGCAGTAAAAAACCAGAAGCGACTTGTCTGCTTGTCTTGCCACTGGAGACCAGTGGTGGGTGGGGATGTGGGACATCTTCTGCCGAGTCCCTCTTCCTTGCAGCTCGCTCCACACTGCCCAGAGGGGGCAGAGGCAAGCTCAGTGTTGCACTGTGAGCAGTGTTGCCCCATGCCTCAATGGGTCCCTCCCATTGGGCAGCCTTGCAAGTTCCAGGGTGCTTTGTTTGGAAGGGGAGCTTAGGGAAGATGCTGCCGCTGCTTACTCTGCCCTGATCTGCACCACCTCCCAGAGTGAGAGGACAAGGTATGGGCAGGTAGGTGATAAGTATTTGGAGCAGGTGGGCAGCGACCCCCTCCTAGGGCAGCTCAGCTTCTCCCCACCCCACCCTTGGTCTTGCAGAATCCTTGGCACAGCTGTTCTCCACCAAAGAAGCTGCCTTGGCTGAGCAGCACCTGTCCAAAGGTGGTGTGTGATGTTCTCCCGGCAGCCCTGGATCCCCTTGAGGGGCAAGCAGGGCTGCGTCTGGGGCAGAGTTAGTGGCGCCAGCAAGCAGCATATCCCATTTGCAGCAGTGAGGGGTCGGAGCTCCTGCCACCCACTCCTGGGACCCCAGGGCTCTGGCTCAGCCCATGATGCTTTTAGTGGCACGTGTACAGAGAGGAGATACAGCCCTGCAGATATTCTGGTTCATAGGGTCTTGTGGGGAGGGTGGGAGGGTTGCCGGGCAAGGCTTTGGTGCAGAGCAAGTTGGGTGGGAACGGATGGGTTGGGGAACAAAATATTCTACTTTATATTTAAAAATAAAAACAAAAAAACCAGAGGTGCTAATATTCCACGGGTATTTTAATGATGCCACGTGGTAGAGAAGCATATTAGATTTAGAAGTTGAACTCTGTTTCATGGAGCCACTTGTGGAAAGCATTCCTTTTGGAAGTATGGCTTCTGCCTCCCCCTCTACCGCATGACGCTCCTTCTGCTCAGCTTGACCAGGGGGCTGAGGGTGTTTGCCATAGACATTGCTCTCTTGTCCCTCTGAATTCTGTTTCTCAGGTCCGGCTTACAAGCTTCTTGGCCACCTGCTGTGCTCACAGCTGCTCTTCCAAGGCCAGTCTCCTTGTTCCTGTGAATACTAAAGATGTGAAGGTGCAAATGTACTACTGGGCTAAGCAGGCTGCTCTTCTTGTGCTGGCCTGAGCCAGAGGGGAGGAGGAGGGGGGTTCCTGACTGCTCTGCAAAGCTGAGCCAGGGACCTGAGCAGAGTCCCCAAGTGCTGCTGTTTGCCATGCACTTAGGGTGGCCACCGGCTGTGGAGGGCACCCTCCTCTTGGTCTCCCTGACCCCCCTCCCAAACCGCCGTTCCAGAACAGTTGCTGTGAAAATGCCAAGGCCAGTGTCAACCACTCCTTGCACTGTCTCCCTCGGGCTCAGGCTGTGTCAGGGAGTGCAGAACCAGAACCAGGAGCTGAGCGCTGTGAAAAGCCTTCAAAGGGCTGAGCCCAGCAGCGTCCAGCCTTTACGATCAGGACGACCTTGGCTAGGGTCCCACAAGGTTGATGTCCCTCACCTCACTTTGAGCCGTGTTCAGCCCGGATGGATCTCGTCCCACCAATCCAGTGGTCCCCAAATCCCACTTTCTGTCTCTAGGTGGGAGCCCATCTGAGAGGCCAGTTCCCTCCTGGCCTCAGTTTCCACTCTGTTTGCTCCCACTGGGGAGTGGAGGTGTTGGGCTGCAACCTGAGAGACAGAATGTTTGGGGGCGGGGTTGCCCTTAGAAAAAGCAAATTTATATTTTCTCTGAGCTGTTATTCACATATGGTTATTAGAAAATTTTAATGCTGCCTTGAAACGCTAAAGTCTAGAGAGCAAACCCTTACAAAGATGTGGAAAACCTCTGGGTTGCTTGCTGGGGGATGGGGGTGAGTCTTTGCTTCTCACCATAGCAGTAGGATGACTGAGCATGTTTCCACTTCCTGATGTCTTGGGCAGACTGCTCTGTGGGCGAAACACACCTGCCTGCCCCATTCCCTGTCAATTGACACTAAATCCACAAGCAATAAGCTATTTGAAACTCTAAAGAAGTGTTGCAAACTTTGCCTCTCTTCATTCAGAAAGGATTTCCTTATTATAACTTTTATTTTTGTAGAGTGAATTTCTGACTTGCAGGTTTTGTTCATGAAGCAGCTGTTCTGCATGGTGGCAGGAAAGACTTGGAGTGCACGCTGCGGAAGAGACGGCGTTGGCATTGCCCATCCTTTGGAGGAAACGGATCTAGACGTTAGCATTTCAAATTTGTTTTGCTTTATTATGGATATGCATGCCAAATTCTGTCTTTTTCAAGGATTTGTAATATACCTTTTCTGACTGGAAACCTTTTGTACGAAACACTCCAATAAATGTTTTGCATTTTTACCTGGTGTCATTGTGGTAAACTCCTGTGAGGCAAAGGTTTTACTAGTATAGGTTATGATGTTAGGGAAGCTGAGCCTCAGAGAGACGGGCTAACTCACAGCCACCAAATGTCTTTGTGGCTTCAAACTGCTGTACCAAAAGCCAATTTATCCACAAAGGAGTGGTGAGCAAGAAAGGTTTCTGTCCAGCTTGGATGGGTTTGAGTGGCAAGGGTTTACCATGCGCACGTAGGAATATCCCTGGCCAGCAGAGCAGCATTGCATGCAAACTGGTTCTGTGCGCACTGTTCTTCAGCCTGATTCAGCAACAAGGGGAGCACATGATCCAGCAGTCTGGAAATTGAGGTGATTAGGACTAGAAATACTGTTATGCTGTCAGTACAAGGATTTAAACACAACCCCCTTGTCCCTTAGAAATCAATGTTTGGGGTTCCCCCAGTCCTCTAACAGATTGATATTTCTGCAGCAACATCTTTGCCACTAGTAGAAGAAATTGTAACTTGTTTCAAACTTTGAATAGTTTTGTCTTAGGCTTATGCTTAGGGTTAGGCTTAGAGTTAGGGTGAGGACCAGGGCTAGAGGTAGGGTGAGGTAGGGTTAGGGCTCTCATTAGGGTTGGAAGAAGAAGAAGAGTTTGGATTTGATATCCCACTTTATCACTACCCTAAGGAGTCTCAAAGCGGCTAACAATATCCTTTCTCTTCCTCCCCCACAACAAGCACTCTGTGAGGCTGAGAGACTTCAGAGAAGTGTGACTAGCCCAAGGTCACCAAGCAGCTGCATGTGAAGGAGCGGGGAAGCGAACCCAGTTCACCAGATTACGAGACTACCACTCTTAACCACTACACCACACTGGCTCGCCACTGGTTGGACGTGGAGCTAGGGCTGCCCAGTAGGGTTGGGGTCAAGGTGAAGGTTAGTTTAGGGCTAGGGTTACGGATAGGGATAGGGTTAGAGCTAGGGCTTTAGAGGTTTAGAGTTCGTGTTAGTGTTACGGTCAGGGCTATGGTTAAGGTTAAGGTTTGCTTTAGGGTTAGGGCAAAGGCAAGGGGCTAGGGCTAGAAGTAGGTTTAGAGCAGGGGTAAGTAACTAAGGCCCATGGGCCACAAGCGGCCCACGGGGCTTAACTGGCCCCCGAGCTGCCCCCGAACCAAGCCACCCGCTCAGCGAGTCCCCGCATGCTGCGCAAACCAGCGCGGCATGGGTACTCACTTCTGCAGTGCGAAAATCATGTCTGTTTAAGGTTGGGGTTAGGGATAGGAATAGGGATAGAGCATTTAGAGTTGACTGCCCAGCAAAGCATTCGGCAGAGAGCCTACAGTAGGGGTGCCCAAAGAGGGCTGGATTTCATGAAGGAAAAATGCATGAGGGCCGACCAAAATTGTTGACACCTCAAATTCAGGAGACTAATGGTGCAAGACGCTTTGTTGGAGCATCTAGAGATAGCTGTTCATTTTGGTAATAAATCCTCCTTTTTAATCACCTACGCTTACTGTGTGATCAAGCTGGGAAGCGGGACTCCTGACACTGATGCCACAGAAAGAATACAGTTTGCCAAGAGAGCAAAAGGTTGAAAATTCTGCTCCATCACCCGCTGCTGCCGCCACAATAAAAGTGACAGCTGCAGTGCGCTCCATGGAGGCTGAACTTTCCTCCACCCAGGCACCCTCTGTCCCCCATGCAGCCTCTTGGGGGGAAAGGTGCTGCTGGTGTCCTCTCCCCCTTAGGGAGGAAATGGCAGGAGCTGCTCTCTAGGGTCTCCAGGGGTCTGCACCCGCCTCGCATGATTCAGAGTGGACCCCTTACCTACAAAAGATGAGGCCCTTGAGTCCCCCTTCAACCAAAAGATGAGGGTGATTTGATTCTCCCACTTCTTCCCGATGGAAATCTTCACTCCTGCCTTGTTTCCTGGTGGGGAGGTGCCATCTTGTGGTTCACCTCAGGTGCCAAAATGTCTTGGGTCATTTCATTCCTGGTGAGAGGGACACGAAGTGGCTGTTCCTCTCAAAACACTTGTTTGCTTTCTTTTGGTTTATTTCACTTCGTTTTGTGTTAACGCTAAATGAAGTGAAATAAGCTCAAACAAAGCTTATTTGTCTTCTTTCTATGCATGTTGACCCAAAACCACATTTTGCTTTTTTTGGGCTTGCTTCACTTCGTTTTGCGATTTTGGGGTGAATATGCATGCACACTCAAAAAACACAAAATGGAGTGAAATAAGCCCAAACAAAGCTAATTCGTCTTCTTTCTTTATTGCGCAACAGGTTCAAGGCGAGATTGAACCCAGAGGATGGGGTGACATGAACATTTAAAACTTCCCTCCCTTACCCATGATACAGTGCAGAAGCATCATCAATACATCACAGTTACATCATGAATATATCAAGAAAGGGTTGGGTTACACAGGATTAACACATGGAGGAGGGAGGGGGAATATGCAGAGTTGGGGATATGCACAGATAAAAATGCTGGGACAGATTCTTCGGGCATATATAAGTATGCGCCATCCCCGGAGCATTTTATGGTAGCATTTAATTTGGAGAGCAAATTAAATTCCGTATCACAGCCATTTGAGGTCACAACTTGCTGCATTCTGAACTTTATTGGAAAATGACACAGTGTTTAAAAACAGGGTTTTGCTTCATAAATAGTCCATTCATAAATGGGGACGTTGTGCCAGAGGTGGAGGGGCAGCCCCCACCATAAAAGGGGTCTCCTCTCCCTTGGACAAGGCGGATGGAGGGTGCCGTGTTGGACAGCCATGTGCCCCCATCCTGCCCCCCCCCCGCGGAATCTGCCCCCTCAGACCTCCTTGGGGCCCCGGCTGGCTGGATTCTCCCCCTGCCCCTTACGATATACGATATATCTTTATTGTCACTGTCCCATGCAGGACAATGAAATTGAAAAAACTACATAAAAACTGCATAAAACTACATAAAACATTCAAAAACCCCTAAAAACTCTAAAACCCCATTTTAAAATACACTATACTATAGAAACCCTTTGGCTCTGGGGGGCTTGGACCCCTGGTCAACCTTGGCTTTCTTGGCCGCTGCAGGCGCCTTGGCCTCTGCCTGGGGGGCCCCTCATCCTCGGCCCCCCGTCTTGCTTTCCTTCCATGCCTTGGGCTTCGCTGGAGGTTTGCCTGGATCCTGCGAGGTAGGAGAGAGAGGAGAAGGGGCTCAACTGGCAGAGTTGGAAGAGACCCTGAGGGCCACCCAGCCCTGCCAGTTTGAAGCCATGCTGGACCCTGCTTAGCTCTGCAAATGTGCCAGCAGCCTTATTGCTGCACACAAGTCACCACAGTGGCCCTTGAGGCTCTGAATCTCGGAGCCAAAGATTCCTGCATTGCAGGGGGGTGGACTGGATGACCCTGGGGGTCCCCTTCCAACTACACTATGGAGAAGCAATGAAGGAGTTCCCCACTTCCTTGGGTGCAAGCTAAACTGAGATCCAAATGCAAACACTTGTTCCTTCAGGCCAGGGATGGGGTACACTCTCAAGGACCAGATGCGGCCCTCCATGACTTACTGCCTGGCCCTCAAAAGGCTCTGCCAGTGCTTTTGCCCTTGGACAATTGCCTCTCATTTCGAGGAGGGGTGAGTGTGCGTCACCTGCTAACCAAAGGCAGCCCTGACATTTGCCACTCATTCGCCTCCACCACTGGCCCCTGGAAGGTTGTGCAGATGGGCGTGCGGCCCCCGGGACGGAAAGCCTTCTGACTGAAAGGGGACCTGGACTGTGCAGGAGGGAGGCAGCTCCATGGCAGCATCTTGGCGGCCTGAGGCCAGTTCTGGATGCTGCTCTTTGGAAGAAATTTGGAAGAAATTCAGAGGAGGGCAAAGAAAAACAATCAGAGATAAGTGGGGAGACAGAGGAAGCCCCTGGAGGAAAGTGTGAAGGAGCTTGCAGAGAGAGGTTCAGCTTGGAGGGGCGGAGGCAGAGAGTTAAGACCTCAGCAGGCTTTGAGGCCCAGCTGTTAGAGAACCAGAGTTGGGAGGGGTCCCCAGAGGTCATCCAGCCCAGCCCCTGCAATGCAGGACTCTCAGATAAAGCATCCCTGACAGATGCCCGCCCAAGCTCTGCTTAGAAACCTCCAAGGAAGGAGAGCCCCCCATCTTCTCAGGGACCCCATTCCAGACAGAAAGGGCTTCCTCGTTCTCAGCTGGATTAGTGACCCCCACTCCAGCCCCTTCTGCCCCACTGCCTGGTTGGCTGGTGACAAGAAGAGGCCAGAGCTCAGCACTGTGGGGCGGCAGCCCCCAGCAAAGAAGACAAACCGCCCTGAGTTCTGCAGGTGAAGGGTGGTGCAGTAGTAATAAACAACAACAACAACAATAATGACACCCAGGACTTACCTTGATAGCTTTCGCCTTGGTACTTGTGCTGGGACCCGCCTCCTCCTTCTCCCCTTCTGCGATTGCTGGAGAGGGAGCAAAAACACCCCAGAAGTCACAGCTGAGCAGGGGGAGCCCAGGGTGGGGGCCCAGCCTCTTAAGCAAGGGGTCTGTGGCCAGAGCGGAAAGGCTGGCCGAGCCAAGGAGAGAGAGAGAGAGAGAGAGAGAGAGAGAGAGAGAGAGAGAGATGGTCATCCAGAAGGAGAGCCAAGCTTTGACCTTGTTTGCCGCCCTTGCTCCTCCCAGAAACACGGCTGCTGCTGCTTTTGGACTCTCCTCAGGGCAGGAGACCCACCTGCTGACCCAGCTCAGGCGCCCTGAAGCAGGATTGCGACCCACCAGCCTGGCGCCGCTTTCCCAGCCGTCTTCAGGGAAGACCTGGAAAAAGAGCCCTGCAGCTGCAAGACCAGGCCCAAAGTCCAGTCCAGCCTCCTGTCCTCACAGCAGACCAATGCCCCTCAGGACCCAGGAATCTAGATAGACTGCCTCTGGACCTGGAGGCTCCATGAGGGCCTCTGAAGAAGCTGGCTGCTGGATCAGACCTGCCCCCTCCATCCTCACACAATATAGGGTTGTGGAGGTGGACTGCCTCCACTGTACAAAAGCAGTGCAGGATTCCTTGTTCCAGAAAGGAAGTAAAGACCACACATTTTTCAGCATAGGAACATAAAAAGAGCCCATCTAGTACAGCCTCCTGTTCTCCCAGGGCCAACCATGTGAGTGCAAGAGCCCTGCCACTGGTTTGCCATTCAGGGGTAGACTGCCCTGGCCCTGGAGGTGCTGCTATCCCAACAGACCTGCTTAAGAGGAGTCTGGCTGCTGGGGGGAGCCAAAGGGTCACTGGTCTACCAGCTGCCCCACAAGCAGGACCGATGAACCCCAACCATTGCCTCCAGCCCCCCTGCAACCACAGAGCCAGGGGTGGTTGTGGCCCTTCCTCCTTACCTCCCAGCCTCGCTTTCTCCACAGGAACCTTGGCCGCTTCCTTCGGTGTGGGCGCTGTTTTCCCATCCGAATCCGAATGCTTTTCCGGGCTCTTCTTCCCCCTGGCATACGCTGGGCCCAGCTGGAGGCATTGGGACACAAGAAAGGACATTTAAGAGCAGGGAGAGAAAAGGCTCCCTCTCCCCAGGAGTTCTGGTCTTTCTGAGCTCTCAGGGCAGATTCCACAGAGATGTTTGGCTCTAAATCTGTGTTTCCCAAACCTGGGTCTCCTGCTGTTGGACTACAACTCCCATCATCCCTAGCTAGCAGGAGCCTGTCTTCACATGCAAGGGAAGCCCCAAACTCACTGAGGGTCAGAGATCCCTCAGCTCCCATCAGCTGGTTCAGCTGGCCAGTCGAAGCCATCCTGGGATTGTGGCCGCTGTCGCCTGCTGGCAGCTTCTAAAAGGCGGGAGCTGAGTGCAGGGGGGGGGGGGCTCAGAAGGAGCAGGACATGTCCCTCACCAGATACCACCCCTCCAGCCCCTTCGCCTCACCTTGAATCTCCCTGTGGCCCCCAGGGCGGAAGAGTTTTGTGGCCGGATGAGCCAGCCCCTTTCCAGGCCTCTGGCCAGGGCCACCTTCAGGCTGTACTTCAGGCGGATGGGCTCCACGCCGGGGTAGGTGCCCAGGATGCAGCGCTTGTTAGGGGAAAATCGAGGTGCAAGGCTGCTCCGTCCCCCAGCTGGCCGGGCAGAGCCCGCGGGACCCTGCAGAATAAAGGAAGGAGTCCAGCCAACCGCAGCAAATAGCTGTAGACCAAAGTTGATTGCGCAATAGGTTCAAAAGCAAATTTGAACCCCGAGGATGGGGTGACAAAGACTTTTAAAACTTTCCCACCACATCCCAGAATACAGTTCGAAGGGGAGGGCTTAACCTTGGCAAACATGTCCAGACAAGTCCTTGGTACAAGATTAGCATAAGCAGAGATGAGAGGGCAAGACTCAGGTATAAGATTAGCATAGACAAATATGTCTTAAGTACCCACCACCCAAAAGTACAATAGAAGTTCCTTTGCATGTCTGGAGCCTGAGGCGAGTCAGGTGATGAGATTTGCCTTCCTTTGGCTAACAATGAGCCCAGCAGTTGTCACCTTTGAGAACTTCCTGGAGTCCTTTTGCAAGGGGAAAATAACTTTGGAATGGGGGGAACTGGGAAAGGAGATGATTTTACTGTATATTATTTTTAAAGCTAGGTGACTTCCCTGAGCTGTCAAGTTGGAAGGATATTGTCAGGGGTTCAGAGAGAGAGGCACAGGGTAGGCAGGAGATGGAGAGCGAAGGGGAGGAATTCCAAGCCAGCGAGGAAGAGGACGACAATGACTCAAGGGATTCCATGAGTCTTTCCAGCGAATCAGAGGATTCCCAGAAGGGGCGCCGGTGGTCAGGGCCAGGGAGCCCCAGGGGAAATGTCAGGAGCAGGGTGCCAGCGGAGGATCCCAAAGTGGCAGCTGGGCGTCAGGACCAGCCTCCCCACCAAAGTGCAGCGAAGGGGGTGGAGTTTCCAGTGTGTCAGAGGAAGGAGCTCCAGCAGCAGAGAGAGGAGGGGGGTCAGAGCAAGCAGCCCTCCCGGAAGGGGAGGGAGCAGTGAAGGGAGCAGTGTAACTGTCAAAAGGAAAGTTAGAGGTTTGGCGCGCGCGCCTAGTTCAAATGTAGAGGCGCGCGGAAGTGCAGGGAGCCCGGAGGAGGGGCCAGGTCCCAAAGCCCGCAGGAGGGGGAGCAGCAGTCTGATTCCGCGTCAGAGGAATCCAGTAAGGGGCAAACCCCAGGGGGCAGAAAGACCCTGCGGAAAAGGAAGGAGAGAAAGAGGTGGAGCAGCGCAAGTCTCTTAAATTGGTGCAGAGGAGGGACTGACTCAGACGGGACTTCGGCGGTCTAGCGTAAGAGACGTAAGGCTGCGCGCCTAAGATGTCAAGCAAACCATGAACTGCAATAAACACCTGTGTATTCAAGAAGACGTAGGCGTTGGTCTTTTGTGAGCTAAGACTTGAGGCAGCCTTGACAGATATATTCAGGCATAATATTTGTAATATTTAACTTTAAAGATGCCCCCCCCCCCGTAATTTCCGTAACACGCTTTATGGCCACGACAGAGACCCCCTTGCGCTCATTCAGGGTCTTCACCACCTCCATCACCATGGTCAGTGTGGGCGGGTTCTGCGCCTTGCGGCGGTTCAGGGGGGCCAGGGGGCCGGCCAGCGAGGCAGAGGCCTTGGCTACAGAGGCAAGAGGAGCGCATTCGCCAGGCACCCTGCAACCGCCCCACCCACCCTTAAGGACCACTGTCCCCCTGGGCAAGCATTTCCCCTCAGAGCCATCCAGCGGTGGGACTCGGTCCCGCGGGCGAATTGGCGGCGCCTCCACCTGGAATGCTGCAGACTCGGCAGAGAGGGGCACCTGTGGGCAGCCATTGCCCCCTGTTGCTGCGTCCTGCGCGTCCATCAAGGGGCGCATGTGTCTCCCCCCACCCCAGCCGCCTGCTTGGAAGGGGCCCCACTTCCACCTCCCCAGTCCAAAGGGGCTTTGCCCCCACATGGGAAGCGGCTGGGGCTTTGGACCTACCCAGCGTAGACACACGTTGGCCACCACCCCTGAGTTGCTCTGGCTAGTGGGGGCCACTTTGGGCACCCCCTCCCACAGTGCTGCCACATTGTCCAGCCCCCACCAAATTCCTGTAGTTCAGCCCCAGAGTCAGTGGAGCCCCCAGCCCTGCAAGGGAAGACCTCCACCTGCAGCATGGGCAGGTTCTGGGCTCAGGTGGAGACACCACCTGCAAAGATTACCTGAGCTTGCAGGGCAGCACTTGAAGAAGGAGCAAAAACGGTTTTCTTGTGTGTGTGTGTGTGTGTGTGTGTTTCTTTGTGGCTGATTAGCTGCTCTCCCTGTGCAAAGGTCAGAGGGGGCAGGGTTTCTGTTGAGGCAGGTGATTAGCTGTGGGAGGAGCTTATCAGAGCTTGCAGGGCAGTGGTGCATGCCTAGTGGCGCGCGCAGTTTGATCCATCTTTTAGATTTAGGGGAGCTAGTCTCAAACGTTTGTTGGGGGAGACCTAGGTTTTTTTGTGGGGGGAGTTATTTGTCCTGTCTTCACGCTTTTTATGATGGAGGACCGCTGTAGCCACCCCCAACGACACGTTCTCAAGATGGAGGGGGAGGGAACAGCTGCAGTCACCTGCGGTTCCTGCGCAATGTTTGCCATCTTGCCAAAGGTTGCAGGCAGCTTTATCTGCAGCAATTGCATGTTGATTGCCCTCTTAAAAGACAAAGTCCAGCAACTGGAGGAACGTGTAGCTACGCTCCAAAGAATTAGAGAGCTGGAGCTGTTCTTGGAAGCAACAGAGCACACCGTCTCCACCAAGGAGGAGACAGGGGACTCCCTGAGAAGGAGGCTAGTTCACCAACACAGGAGCCAGATATATGGAGAAACGTGACTCAAAGAAGTAGGAGGCCCAGGGTTCGCTCTGATTGTTTAGAAATACACAGTCGCTTTGAGGTCCTCTCCCCTAGCATGGAAGACGAAGAGAAGACTCCATTTGAGGATCTCTCCCTCATTACAGTCGATCAGATATATGAAGACGAGCAGCAAAGTCAGTCCTCAGGGAATGTGCAGGCGACCTTGGAACAGACAGCTCACGGAAGAACCCCGACCAAACCTAAGAGGAGGCGTGTAGTGGTGATAGGGGATTCCCTACTGAGGGGAACAGAAGCAGTGATCTGTGGGCCTGACAAGATGTCTCGGGAAGTGTGCTGTCTCCCCGGGGCTAAGATCCAAGATGTAACTGAACGACTGCAAGGAATCATAAAACCCACTGACAAATACCCCTTCCTCTTGGTTCATGTGGGAACCAATGACACTGCAAGCAATAGCCTCCAGAAGATCAAAAGAGACTACGAGGCTCTCGGCAGGAAATTGAAGCAATTAAATGCACAAATTGTCATCTCATCTGTCCTCCCAGTTGAACGATGTGGCCCAGGGAGAGAGGCAAATAGTGGAAGTGAACAGCTGGCTTCGCAAATGGTGTAAACAGGAACGGTTTGGATTCTTAGATCATGGACTGCAGTTTCTTGAAGATGGACTTCTGGCAAACGATGGGCTGCACCTCACAACGGTTGGGAGGAATGTTTTTGCCAAAAATCTCAAAAACCTCATCAGGAGGGCTTTAAACTGACTAATGTGGGGGAGGGAGACAGTGCTCCTGAAGGTAGGAGTCTATCAATTGATGAAGATGATCATCCAAATGTCATAGACCAAATGGAGCAAACAGCACGCAGACCTAGTGGTGGGAGGAAAAATCCTTAAATAAGAGACACGGGGAATGATTAATGGACTTCAATGTCTGTACACTAATGCGCAAAGCATGGGAAATAAACAAGATGAGCTTGAGCTCTTGGTACAGCAAACTAAATATGACATAATAGGCATCACTGAAACCTGGTGGGATAAGTCCCACGATTGGAATGTAATAATGGGGGGATACAACCCCCTTGGCAGGGGGTTGGACTCGATGGCCCTTGTGGTCTCTTCCAACTCTATGATTCTATGATTCAATCTATTTCAGAGAAACAGACCAGACAAGAAAGGAGGAGGAGTGGCGTTATATGTCAGGGATGTGTATACCTGTGAAGAGATCCAAGATTTAGAACCTCAAAGCCAAAGTGAGAGCATTTGGGTCAAAATTAAGGGAGAGAAGAATAACAGTGACCTCATTGTGGGAGTTTACTATAGATCCCCAAGCCAAACGGAAGACATAGATGATGCCTTCCTGGAACAGATGGCCAAGCATGCAAAAGGAAGGGAGATAGTAGTAATGGGGGACTTCAATTACCCGGATATTTGTTGGATGTCAAACTCAGCCAAGAGCATAAGGTCAAACAGATTCCTCACTGGCCTTGCAGACAACTTCATTGTCCAGAAAGTGGGAGAAGCAACAAGAGGAACAGCCATTTTAGATCTGGTCCTAACCAATGTTGATGACCTGGTTAGTGGGGTAGAAGTGGAAGGATCATTAGGCGCGAGTGATCATGCTCTTCTGAAGTTTACTATACAGCGGAAAGGAGCAGCCAAGCATACTAGGACTCAATTTCTTGACTTTAAGAAAGCCGACTTCATAAAACTTAGGGAAGTGCTGGGTGAGATCCCATGGACAGTAATACTAAAAGGAAAGGGAGTTCATGATGGCTGGGAGTTTGTTAAGAGGGAGATAGTAAAAGCACAACGTCAGGCAATACCAATGAGACGGAAACATGGACGGTGCCTAAAGAAGCCAGGGTGGCTATCTAAAGAACTTTTAACTGAGTTAAGATTTAAAAAGGATGTGTACAAAAAATGGAAAAATTCTGCTCTGGTCAGACCTCACCTGGAGTACTGTGTCCAGTTCTGGGCACCACAGTTCAAGAAGGACACTGACAAACTGGAACGTGTCCAGAGGAGGGCAACCAAAATGGTCAAAGGCCTGGAAACGATGCCTTATGAGGAACGGCTAAGGGAGCTGGGCATGTTTAGCCTGGAGAAGAGGAGGTTAAGGGGTGATATGATAGCCATGTTCAAATATATAAAAGGATGTCACATAGAGGAGGGAGAAAGGTTGTTTTCTGCTGCCGCTGCCGCTTCCACCTCCAGAACCTCTACCACATGGGCATCTGCCGATGCCGCTGGTCCCTCCGCAGCCTGAGCCTCTACCACCTGGGCCCTTGCCTCTGCCGCTGCTGCTTCCGCCGCCAGAACCAATACTGCGTGGGCCTCTGCCGCTGCCGCTCTTGCCTCTGCAGCCCGAGCCCCTACCGCCTGGGCCGTTGCTGCTGCCGCTGGTGCTTCCGCAGCCATAGCCTATACTACCTGGGCCTCTGCCGGTGCCGCTGGTGTCTCCACAGCCTGAGCCTGTACCGCCAGGGCGTATGCCACTGCTGCTGCTGCCTCTGCCGCCAGAGCGTCTACCGCTTGGACCCTTGCTGCTGCTGGTGGTGCTTCCGCTGCCACAGCCTCCACTGCCTGGGCCTCTGCCGCTGCCGCTGGTGCCTCCGCAGCCTGACCCACTCCCCCCTGGGCCTCTTCCGGTGCTGCTGGTGAATCCGCAGCATGAGCCTCTACCGCCTGGGCCTCTGCCACTGCTGCTGGTGCCTCCGCAGCCCGAGCCACTACCGCCTGGGCCTCTGCCGCTGCCACTGGAGCCTCCGCAGCCTGAGTCTCTACCGCCTGGGCCTCTGCCGGTGCCCCTGGTGCCTCCGCAGCATGAGCCTCTTTGGCCTGGGCCCTTGCCGCTGCCACTGGTGCTTCTACCGCCACAGCCTCTACCACCAGAGCCTCTTTTTAAAAAAATAATATTTATTGCTTTTAAAAGTTACAAAAAAGTAGAAAAAAGAGAGAAAAAACACAAAAAAGAAAAAAAGAAAGAGAAAAACAATACAATGTATAAACAATACAAACCCACCCTCAACACATTAAACTAAACACATGAACAAAGCAAGACAAAAACAATTTAAAAGCATCTCTCCTTTTCCATACTCTATCCTTCATTCCCTTGTTTCCTCGACTTCCTCACACCTCCCTTCTTGTACTTGTTTCAGCAAATCCTTTCCATCTTTCTCTATTTTCTGTCATATTAAGAATAACATATTCTTTAACCTTATTTCCCATTAACGGTTGATTACTTATATACACCCAACTTCTTATAGTATTTCTGCTAAATCCATAAAATATCATTCCACCGTTTTTCTGACAGTCATTACTTTAACAAAGTTTCTAAATAAACACTTTAAATTTCCCATTAATCTTCCACTATCTCCTCTCCCTGGCTTCGGATTTTGCCAGTCCTTTCCGTCAGTTCCATATAATCCATCAACCTGGTGCCCTAATATCCGAGGCTCTTAAATCTCTTCCAAGTCCCTTCTGCAGGTCTTCTTCATGTTCTTTGATGCTCAGGAGCAAGTCTCGGGAAAACTCCAGCCTAGCAATACTTTTGTTCCTTCTGGACAGTTCAGCCAAATTTCTAAAGTTAAAAGTAAAGTCCATAAAGTGTTTCAGAACGTATTTCAGGATTCCTCCAATTCTAGCGACCCCCAAAACTTCAAACTCCTCCAAGCCCAAGTCCATGTCCCAAAAATCAGTCAATCCCTGGATAGAGGGTTCTTTCCAACTTTCCTTCTTCAATCCAAGCCGGGATCCTAGCCTTGAAATTTGACTTTTGCTAGATTCAGTCATGAAAGACCTCAATTTATAATCCTCAATCTGCTTCTGAGAAATTAAGGATCCCGCTTGTACTACTTTTAGTTTCTCATCATCAGCTTTCTCCTTTTCCTCCACCATTTGTCCAACCAAGATATGTTCCTGTACCCAATCCTGAGTTGTTTCTGTATTAGCACTCACTTTTTGATTCAAATTAATCACGTTCTGTTCCAAGTTGTCAATTTTAGAGATCGTGTCATCTGTCTTTTTATGAAGCTGTTCCAGCGTGTGATTTATCTTGTATAATACAGTCACAATGGCTTCTCCTATCAACATTTTGAGTGATCCAAGGTCAGACTCTATTTTTCAGAATCTTATCTTGCAGCTGGAGCTCTCCCTGTTGCACTCCTGTAACAGTTTCACATGCTCCCTCTAGAGGGAAACAGTCTCCGTTTGTATCAATTCTTTCAAACACAACTCAAGCAAGTAACAATAGTTTCAATTTTCGGTTGCTTTTCCCTCCATTTTTAAACGCAGAGAAGGACAATGGAGACAGTGCCTTTCTTATTTTAGCTAGCTGTCAAATCCGTTCTGTCAATAAACATTCCCCAAACGTTATCTGGCAGCCCTTTTCCAGGTTCAGAGCAGTGGCAATTTAATTTTGACTCTCTTCTGCAGGCACACTAAACCCAAAACTTCCCCTCTCTTCTCCTGCTTCCAAGAGGGGTTATATATTCTTGTCCGGTAGAAATTTAATCCTTTATCAAAAGCTTTCAAAGACTTTAGCTTGTAACGTCTTTGCTTCAATCTATTTACAAAACGGGAGGCGGACTTCCTGTTTAGAACCTTCCCGCTTTCGGTTCCTAATTAAGAAATTTCATAGTCCAATTTTCCATTCTACTCACGGGTAGTCGTTTAAAATCCAATTGTCCACAGGAAAAAGTCAGCGCTCTCCGACAACAGCAATGCGGCTTCATTCCGTGAAAGAAGCAGTCGATTCAAAGCACCGCGCCGCTCACTCCACGTCGCTCCAGATCCCCAAAACAGGGTTTCCCCGCGAGTAGGGGGGGCGCAAATGGTGCCAGCCAAATCCCAGGTTCACAGACTTCTCCCGCCTGTGATTTCTATGGGTCTCCGCCTTCACCGTGGCGGTCAGACCCTGCTTTTCACGGAGCAAATTCCTCCCGATTGGAGGAATTCAGCCATTGCCGGAGGCGCCTCCCCGGAAGTCCTCTACCACCAGAGCCTCTACCGCCTGGGCCCTTGCCGCTGCTGCTGGTGCTTCTGCTGCCAGAGCTTCTACCGTGTGGGCCCTTGCTGCTAGTGCTTCTGCCGCCACAGCCTCTACCGCCTAGGCCTATGCCGGTGACTCTGGTGCCTCCGCAGCCCGAGCCTCTACCGCCTGGGCCTCTGCCACTGCCACTGCTGCCTCCGCCGCCAGAGCCTCTACCGCCTGGGCCCTTGCCGCAGCCGCTGGTGCCTCCACCGCCAGAGCCTCTATGCCTGAGCCCCTGCCACTGCCGCTGGTGCCTCCGCCGCCAGAGCCTCTGCCACCTGGGTCTCTGTAGCTGCTGCTGGTGCCTCCACTTCCAGAGTCTACTGCCTGGGCCTCTGCCGCCTCAGCCAATGCCGCCTGCGCCACTGCTGCTGCTGCTGTTGCCTCCGTTGCCTGAATCTGTACAACCTGAGCTTCTGCCCCTGCTGCTGGTGCTTCCATCGCCAGGCCCTCTACTGCCTGGGCCTCTGCCGCTGCCACTGGTGCTTCCGACGCCAGAGGCTCTACCGCCTGGGCCTCTACCACTGCCGCTGGTGCCTCCGCAGCCCGAGTCTCTAACGCCTGGGCCTCTGCCGCTGCCGTTGGTGCCTCCACAGCCCGACCCTCTACCGCCTGGGCCTCTGCCGCTGTCGCAGGTGCCTCAGCCGCCAAAATCTCTAACGCCTGGGCCGCTGCCGCTGTACAATTGCCGCCTGGGCATCTGTCGCTGACACTGATTCCTCCGCCGCTGGTGCTTCCATCGCCAGAGCCTCTACTGCCTGGGCCTCTGCCGCTGCCGCTGGTGCTTCCGTTGCCAGAGGCTCTACTGCCTGGGCCTCTTCCAGTGCCGCTGGTGAATCCGCAGCCTGAGCCTCTACCGCCTGGGCCTCTGCCACTGCTGCTGGTGCCTCCGCAGCCCGAGCCACTACCCCCTTGGCCTCTGCCGGTGCCCCTGGTGCCTCAGCAGCATGAGCCTCTACCGCCTGGGCCCTTGCCGCTTCCGCTGGTGCCTTCACCGCCAGAGCCTCTTCCGTCTGGACCTCTGCCGCTGCCACCAGAGCCTCTGCCGCCTGGGATCTGCATCTCCCACTGGTGCCTCCACTGCCATTGCCTCTACCACATTGGCCGCTGCCGCTGGTGCCTCTACCGCCTGGGCTCTGCCCCTGCCGCTGGTTCCTCTGCCACCAGAGTCTCTACTGCCCGGGCCTTTGCCGCGCTTGCTGGTTCCGCCGCCGCCCAGGCTGCATCGCCTGGACCTCTGCATCTGCCGGTGGTGCCTCCGCCGCAAGAGCCTCTACTGCCTGGGCCTCTGCCGCTGGTGCCTCCGCCGCCAGAGTCTCTACCACCTGGTGCTCTGGCACTGGTGCTGCCACTTCCAGAGTCTCTACCGCCTGGTCCTCTGCCGCCTCAGCCAATGCCGCCTGCACCACTGCTGCTGCCACTGGTGCCTCTGCCGCCTGAGCCTCTTCCACCTGGGCCTCTGCCACTGCCGATGGTGCCTCCGCCACCAGAGCCTCTACCACCTGGGCCCTTGCCTCTGCTGCCTCCACAGCCTAAGCCTCTACTGCCTGGGCCTCTGCCACTGCCGCTGGTGCCTCCGCTGCCAGAGCCTCTACCGCCTGGTCCACTGCTGCCTCAGCCAAAGCCGCCTACGCCACTGCTCCTGCTGCTGGTGCCTCCGTTGCCTGAGCCTCTACCGACTGGGCGTCTGCCACTGCCACTGGTGCCTCAGCCGCCAGAGCCTCTACCACCTGGGCCTCTACCAACTTTTTAGAATAATTAGGTCAATAACATCCTTAGGAGGACAACCAAATTTAAGCACAAATTCGACCCCAAGCTGTGAGGCATTCGCGAGCTTTTTTGCGGAGAAAGTCCTGTTGCTCTGCCGTGACCTCCCTGCCAATTTAGATACAGTGACTGAACTGGAGGCCCCTCGACTGACTTCAGGTCCAGTGTTGGACCATTTTGATCGGATACTCCCTACTGATGTGGATAGATTCCTCCAAGTTGGTAGGCCCACCACCTGCCTCCTTGATCCGTGCCCGTCTTGGCTGATTACGGAGTGTCCAGATGTTGCGCGGACCCCCCTGGTTGAAATTATCAATTTGTCCCTTGACACGGGGACATTCCTAGGGAACTGAAGGAAGCAGTGGTGTGTCCACTCTTAAAGAAAACTTCATTAGATCCCTTAGACCTATCCAATTACCGCCCAGTTTCAAATCTTCCATACCTGGGTAAGGTAATTGAGAGAGCGGTTGCTGAACAGCTTGGTAGGTTTCTGGAGGAAACATCAGCATTAGATCCATTTCAGTCCGGTTTCCGTCCTGGTTTTGGGACGGAGACGGCTCTGGTTGCCCTAACAGATGATATCCGTAGACAACTGGATCGAGGCGGGTCAGGACTGCTGATCCTTTTAGATTTGTCAGCAGCCTTTGACATGGTCGATCATGATCTTCTGGACCACCGCCCGCAGACGTGGGGATACAGGGCATAGCCCGTAATTGGTTGTGCTCTTTTATCTCTGGTCGGGGACAGAGGGTGGCACTAGGGAGGGAAATGTCGTCGCGCCACTCCTTGGTGTGTGAAGTGCCGCAGGGCGCAATTCTCTCCCAGATGCTTTTTAACATCTTTATGCACCCCCTTGCCCAGATTATCCGGAGCTTTGGGCTGGGCTGTCACCAATATGCTGATGACACTCAGCTCTATCTGCTGATGGATGGCCACACCGACTCGGCCCCGAACACACTGACCAGATGCTTGGAAGCTGTGGCTGGATGGTTTCGTGGGAGCCGATTGAAACTAAATCCTTCGAAGACAGAGGTCCTATGGCTAGGTCGGGATGGCATGGGGATGAGGGACCAACTCCCTTCTCTTGCGGGGCCCAATTAGTGCCATTGCCTTCCGTTAAGAGTTTGGGTGTAATCCTTGACGCCTCCCTTTCCATGGAGGCGCAAGTTACAGCAACAGCCAAGGCGACATTTTTCCACCTTCGCCGCATCAAGCAGTTGGTCCCTTACCTTTCCCGCCCCGACCTGGCCACAGTGATCCATGCGACGGTCATCTCCAGGCTTGACTACTGTAATTCGCTCTACGCGGGGCTGCCCTTGAAGCTGTCCCAGAAACTCCAGCGGGTACAGAATGCTGCAGCGAGGCTTCTCACGGGGTCTTTGCCATGGGAGCATATTTACCCAGTGCTTTTCAAGCTGCACTCCACCGGGAGGTGGAGTACAGGGTCAGATTTAAGGTGCTGCTTTTGACCTTTAAAGCCCTTCACGGCCTAGGACCCTCGTACCTACGGGACCGCCTCTCCTGGTATGCCCCACGGAGAGCCTCAAGGTCCATAAATAACAACACCCTAGTGGTCCCAGGCCCTAAGGAAGTTAGATTGGCTTCAACCAGAGCCAGGGCATTTTCAACTCTGGCTCCGGCCTGGTGGAACGCTCTGCCTCATGAGACCAGGGCCCTGCAGGATCTGATTTCTTTCCGCAGGGCCTGTAAGACAGAGTTGTTCCGCCTGACCTTTGGCTTGGAGCCAATTTTATTCCCTCCCTCCCTCTCTTTCTTTTTTCTTTTCCTTCTCCTCCTGCAATGAGGCTACATTTTAATATTTTAATGTTCCATTATTTTAATGTTGTATTTTATTTTTGTTTTTAAGTTGTAATCATTCTTCTTGTTTTTATTATTGCTTGTAAGCCGCTCTGAGCCCGGCCTTGGCTGGGGAGGGCGGGGTATAAATAAAAAAATATTATTATTATTATTATTATTATTATTATTATTACCACTGCCGCTGCTGCTTCCACCGCCAGAACCTCTACCGCCTGGGCATCTGCCAGTGCCGCTGGTCCCTCCGCAGCCTGAGCCTGGGCTGGGCGTCTGCCACTGCTGCTGGTGCCTCAGCCGCCAGAGCCTCTACCGCCTTGGCCCTTGCCGCTGCTGCTGGTGCTTCCGCCGCCAGAGCCTCTACCGCCTGGGCCTCTGGGCGGTAGAGGCTCTGGTGGCGGAAGCACCAGCAGCAGCAGCAGAGGACCAGGCTGTAGAGCCTCTGACGGCGGAGGCACCAGCAGCAGCAACAGAGACCCAGCGTCAAGGGCCCAGGAGGTAGAGGCTCAGGCTGCGGAGGCACCAGGGGCACCGGCAGAGGCCCAGGCAGTAGAGGCTTGGGCTGCGGAGGCACCAGCGGCAGAGGCCCAGGCGGTAGAGGCTCTGGCGGCGGAAGCACCAGCGGCAGAGGCCCCGGCAGTAGAGGCTATGGCGGTGGAAGGACCAGGGGCATCGGCATAGGACCAGGCAGTAGAGGCTCGGTCTGCGGAGGCACCAGCAGCAGCGACAGAGACCCAGGTGGCAGAGGGTCGGGCTGCGGAGGCACCAGCTGCAGTGACAAGGGCCCAGGCAGTAGAGGCTCTGCTGGCGGAGGCCCCAGCGGCACCGGCAGAGTCCCTGGTGGTAGAGGCTCTGGCGGTGGAGGCACCAGTGGCAGTGGCCCAGGCGCTAGAGGCTCAGGCTGCAGAGGCACCAGCGGCAGCGGCAGAGGACCAGGTGGTAGAGGTTCTGGCGGTGGAGGCACCAGTGGCAGCGGCAGAGGCAAAGGCAGTAGAAGATCTGGTGGTGGAAGCACCAGCGGCAGCGGCAAGGGCCCAGCGGTACAGGCAGAGGCCCAGGCGGTAGAGGCTCTGGTAGCAGAAGCATCAGCGTCAGCGTCAGAGACCCAGGCGGTAGAGGCTCGGGCTGGGGAGGCACCAGCGGCAGCGGCAAGGGCCCAGGCGGTATAGGCTCTGGCGGCAGAAACACCAGCGGCAGCGCCCAGGCAATAGAGGCTCTGACGGTGGAAGCACCAGCGGCAGTGGCAGAGGCCCAGGCGGTAGAGACTCAGGCTGCGGAGGCAGCAGCGGCACCGGTAGAGGCCCAGGCTGTAGAGGCTCAGGCTGAGGAGGCACCAGCGGCAGCGGCAGAGGACGAGGCGGTAGAGGTTCTGGCAGCGGAGGCACCAGCGGCATCGGCAGAGGACCAGGCGGTAGAGGCTCAGGCTGCAGAGGCAACAGCAGCAGCAGCAAACGCCCAGGCAGTACAGGATCAAGCTGCGGAGGCACCAGCGGCAGCGGCAGAGGCCCAGGCGGTAGAGGCTTGGGCTGCGGAGGCACCAGTGGCAGTGGCCCAGGAGCTATTGGCTCAGGCTGCAGATGCACCAGCGGCAGCGGCAGAGACCCATGTGGCAGATGCCCAGGCGGTAGAGGCTCTGGCGGCGGAGGCACCAGCGGCAGCGGCAGACGCCCAGGCGGTAGAGGCTCTGGCGGCGGAAGCACCAGCGGCAGCGGCAGAGGCCCAAGCAATAGAGGCTCTGGCGGTGGAAAAACCAGCGGCAGCGGCAGAGGACCAGGCGGTAGAGGCTCTGACTATGGAGGCACCAGCAGCAGCGACAGAGACCCAGGTGGCAGAGGCTCTGGCGGCGGAGGCAACAGCGGCAGCAGCAAAGGCTCAGGCGGTAGAGCCTCTGGCAACGAAGGCACCAGCGGCAGCGGCAGAGGCCCAGGCAGAAGAGGCTCAGGCAGCGGAGGCACCAGTGGCAGCGGTAGGGGCCCAGGCGGTAGAGGCTTGGGCTGCGGAGGCACCAACGGCAGAGGCCCAGGCAGTAGCGGCTCTGGCGGCGGAAGTACCAGTGGCAGTGGCAGAGAACCAGGAGGTAGAGTCTCTGGTGGCAGAGGCACCAGCGGCATCGGCAAGGGCCCAGGCGGTAGAGGCTCAGGCATCAGAGTCACCAGCGGCACCGGCAGAGGCCTAGGCGGTAGAGGCTGTGGCGGCGGAAGCACGAGCGACAGCGGCAAGGGCCCAGGCAGTAGAGGCTCTGGTGGCAGAGGCACCAGTGGCACCGGCAGAGGCCCAGGCGGTAGAGGCTCTGGCAGCAGAAGCACCAGCGGCAAGGGCCCAGGCAGTAGAGGCTCTGGTGGCGGAGGCACCAGCGGCACCGGCAGAGGCCCAGGCGGAAGAGGCTCAGGCGGCGGAGGCACCAGCGGCACCGGCAGAGGCCCAGGCAGTAGAGGCTCTGGTGGCGGAGGCACCAGCGGCACCGGCAGAGGTCCAGACGGAAGACGCTCAGGTGGCGGAGGCAGCAACGGCAGAGTCTCAGGTGGTACAGATTCGGGCAACGGAGGCACCAGCGGCAGCAGCAGTGGAGTATCTGGTGATACAGATTCTGGAAGTGGAGGCACCAGCGCCAGAGGACCAGGCGGTAGAGGCTCTGACGGCGAGGCACCAGCAGCAGTGACAGAGACCCAGGTGGCAGAGACTCTGGCAGCGGAGGCACCAACGCTAGAGGACCAGGCGGTAGAGGCTCTGGCGGCGGAGGTACCAGCGACACCGGCAGAGGCCCAGGCGGTAAATGCTCTGACGTCAGAATCACCAGCGGCAGCGGCAAGGGCCCAGGCGGTAGAGGCTCGGGCTGCGGAGCCACCAGCAGCAGCGGCAGAGACCCAGGCAGTAGAGGCTCTGGCGGCAGAAACACCAGCAGCAGCGGCAAGGGCCCAGGCGGTAGAGCCTCTGGTGGCGAAGGCACCAGCGGCAGCGGCAGAGGCCCAGGCGGCGGAGGCACTAGCGGCAGCGGCAGAGGTCCAGACGGAAGATGCTCAGGTGGCGGAGGCTCTGGCGGTTGAAGAACCAGCGGCAGCGGCAGAGGACCAGGTGGAAGAGGCTCAGGCGGCGGAGGCACCAGCGGCAGCAGCAGTGGCGCAGGCGGCATTGGCTGAGGCAGTAGAGGCCCAGGCGGTAGAGATTCTGGAATTGGAGGCACCAGCGCCAGAGGACCAGGCAGTAGAGGCTCTGACGGCAGAGGCACCACCAGCAGCGACAGAGGCCCAGGCGGTAGAGGCTCAGGCTGTGGAGGCACCAGCGGCACCGGCAGAGGACCAGGCGGTAGAGGATCAGGCTGCGGAGGCAGCAGCAGCGGCGGCAGAGGCCCAGGCGGAAGAGGCTCTGGCGGCAAAGATACCTGCAGCAGCAGCAGAGGCACAGGCATTTGAGCCTCTACTGCCTGGGCCCTTCCCGCTTCCGCTGGTGCTTCCACCGCCAGAGCCTCTACTGCCTGGGCCTCTGCCACTGCCACTGGTGCCTCTGCCGTCAGAGCCTCTACCACCTGGGTCCTTGACGCTGCCGTTGGTCCTTCCACCGTCAGAGCCTCTACTGCCTAGGCCTCTGCCGCTGGTGCCTCCGCAGCCTGAGCCTCTACCGCCTGGGCCTCTGCCACTGCCGCTGTTGCCGCTGTTGGTGGACGTGCCCAAAGATTAAGGCTTTCTGGGAGATGATATATAATGAATTAAAAAAGGTATTTAAATATACCTTCTTGAAGAAACCGGAGGCCTTTCTCCTGGGCATAGTCGGCCAATTGGTGCTAAAAAGGGACAGAACTTTCTTTATGTATGCTACAACAGGAGCAAGAATACTCATCACAAAGTATTGGAAGACACAAGAGCTACCCACACTGGAGGAATGGCAGATGAAATTGATGGACTATATGGAATTGGCGGAAATGACTGGCAGAATCTGTGACCAGGGAGAGGAGTCGGTGGAAGAAGATTGGAAGAAATTCAAAGAATATTTACGGAAATATTGCAAAATTAAAGAATGTTAGAGTGATGTTGGATTGAAATGAAGTGGCTTCTAGCTGTACAGGCTTTAAAGTTATATATAGATCAAGGTTAAGGATTAGGATTAAAAAAGTTAAAAGAAATGGAAAATTGGCTTTTAATAGGTTAAAATTTAAGGTTATATTATATTAAGACTAAAGATTGGGATTAAAAAGGAGGGAAAGGAATTGCTGAACAAACAAATTGAATTGGAATACAAAAGAGGGAGGTATGAGGAGGTCCGGGAAATAAGTTAAAGTAAAAGTTATGATGAAAAGATGGAATTGTTTTTAACTGTTTTCTTTTTCTTTTTCTTTTGTATTTTGTATGGTGTATTTTTCTTTTTATTGTTAAACTTCTTTTTTATTTTTTTCCTCTTATTAAGATGTCTTTTTTATGTGAAACTTCAATAAATATCATTTTAAAAAATGGGAATTTATTTAAAGATAATTATGAAAAATGTTGGACGGAAGTGAAAAACGATTTAGAAATCTGGTCAAATTTGAAGCTTTCATTGCTGGGCCGTATTGCTGCGATAAAAATGAATGTATTGCCTAGAATGTTGTTTTTGTTTCAGACATTGCAAATTATGGACAAGATGGACTGTTTCAAGAAGTGGCAGAGAGATATTTCTAGATTTGTCTGACAGGGCAAGAAGCCCAGAATAAAATTTAAGATGCTAACTGATGCAAAGGAAAGAGGTGGATTTGCCCTGCCAGACTTTAAACTTTATTGTGAATCAGCAGCTTTTTGCTGGTTGAAAGAATGGCTACTTCTTGAAAATACGGACATTTTGGATTTAGAAGGCTTTAACAATGTATTTGGATGGCATGCATATTTATGGTATGATAAGGTCAAAGCACATAAAGCATTTAAAAACCATATTGTCAGGAAAGCACTGTTTAATGTCTGGATAAGATACAAGGATTTATTGGAAAATAAAACCCCAAGGTGGTTGTCACCAATGGAAGCAAAAGCTCTGAAAAGGCTCAATATGGAGGCCAAATGGCCGAAATATTGGGAAATTTTGGAACAAGAAGGAGACAAATTGAAATTGCAGAGTTTCAAGAAACTAAAAAACAAAGTGAGAGATTGGCTTCATTATTATCAGATAATGGAGGCATATAATTTGGATAAGAAAATTGGCTTCCAGGTGGAAAAATCAAAACTAGAAACAGAACTGTTAGAACCCAAAACTAAGATTTTGTCAAAGATGTATAACTTGCTGTTGAAATGGAATACTCAGGATGAAACGGTGAAATCTGCTAGATGTTGGCACAAGATGTTGGACATAACATTATGATGGCTGACTGGGAACAGTTATGGACCACAGGTATGAAGTTTACGGCATGTAATGCCCTAAGAGAGGATATTATGAAAATGATATACAGGTGGTACATGACCCCAGTCAAGCTTGCAAAAATCTATCATTTGCCCGATAATAAATGCTGGAAATGTAAAGAAACTGAAGGTACATTCTTTCACGTGCCCAAGGATTAAGGCTTTCTGGGAAATGATATATAATGAACTGAAAAAGGTATTTAAATATACCTTTCTGAAGAAACCAGAGGCCTTTCTTCTGGGCATTGTCAGCCAATTGGTGCCAAAGAAGGACAGAACTTTTTTTATGTATGCTACAACAGCAGCAAGAAAACTCATTGCAAAGTATTGGAAGACACAAGACCTACCTACTTTGGAAGAATGGCAGATGAAGGTGATGGACTATATGGAATTGGCAGAAATGACTGGCAGAATCCGAGACCAGGGAGAAGAGTCGGTGGAAGAAGATTGGAAAAAATTTAAAGTATATTTATAGAAATATTGTAAAATTAATGAATGATAGAATGATGTTGGATAGTAATTAAGTGGTTTCTAGCTGTAATGCTTTAAGAGAATACCAAAAAAAGGGTTATAAATGGATTAAAATCTAATGGTAAGGATTTGCTGAACCAATAAATTGAAGTGGAAAACAAAAAAGGGAGGTACGAGGAGGTCCGGGAAATAAGCTAAAGGAAAATAAGTAACTGAAAATATGTGTTGTCAAGGCTGCCTCAGGTCTCAGCTCACAAAAGACCAACGCCAATCTCTTCTTATATACAAAAGTGTTTATTGCAGTTCATTGTTTGCTTCATATCCGAGGCGCGCAGCCCCACGTCTGTACGCTTAGACCGTTGAAGTCCCCTCTGAGTCAGTCCCTCCCCTGCACCAGTTTAAGAGCCTTGCGCTGCTCCACCTCTT